CCCTAAACCCTAAAACCCTAAAACCCTAACCCTAAACCCTAAACCCTACTGATAGATAATCGATCCAAATTGCCGTCTTGTTTGTTGTACCATGGCAATTTCGGCCTGATATTCATACCATTGGAATAGTGGTTCGTAGGCACCTCAAAGTCCCCCAGCGGCGACGGCCGTTAGAAGGTAAAGAAACACAATTAAGAAGGAGACCTTCATGATCGATGGTATGCGCCCATTGCTGGAGCTTGAAAGAAAATCCAAGAGGAGATGACGGATAGGGCGCGGAGCAGACTTGCCAGGGGAAGCAGTTAACATATCTTCCTTTTGCACACAGCCCGCCGTGTCTCGTCTGGACAAGGCCGCTATCGCTGTGCATTAGCTCAGTTCAATAACTCCTTTCGAGTGGCCTGGCCAGCCGTATAACCTCATGCCGATACGATGCCTCTGCCTGAAATTAAACAGCGCATTCTCTACCCATGGGCGCAGAAACTAGCCCCATCCTTCCAGAAATACCTCGTCTAAACGGGGTCAGTTAGGACCAACTCCCAGGAACAGGCTAGCGGAGTAGAATACTAAGCCATCTGGAACGAGAGTGTGATCAATTTCGGCAAATTGGAACCTTCGTTGGCCTTTCTTAGGGAGATGAATAGTCAATTTGGGGGCCATTACCAAAGGAAAACCTTCAAGAGGTTATTTCTGTCTAAACTCCAACCCCATCGGCGGTCAGGCGATTTCGGCCATGAGTGGATTTGCGACGAGTGGCCGGATCATCGCCTTGGCCGAGGAAGGCGCGCTGGCAGCCATTGCTCGGTGGTCGACGGCTCATCTCCCGCACCGTTCATCATCTTCTCCTATATTGTCAGGGCCGGCGCATTCGCCGATGCTGATGATGTGAGTAAGCTTGGGGACGCGTTTAGTAAAGGGTTGGGCAAGATTGATCGTGTCATGAACGTCTGTAAGCTGTGATGGAGCAGAGCAGGCGGATGGGACGTTTCTACATATATTAGAGACCAGGGAGGTAGATGATGAAACTGGAGAACCTACCTGTGCATTCTGTAGATTGTCTGTTGTCCATCAGGAAATTCAGTAGCACGTTGTAAATCGCTAAGCATTCAAGTATGTTGGACGGTAGAAATACTACTTATCACTGGATTCCGTTTACCCCGTCCCATATTAAAGTTGAACAACTAACTTATAATTACGAATCTGGACTCAGCATAGCGGCTAGTGGTTTTATAATTGGCTTTTGCCAAAAGATGCACGCTATAAGTGGCCATTTTTTGCAAAATGAAATTCTGTTTCGTATGCATAAAATAAACTGCGATTATGTATAAATCAAATGACCATCGACTCTACCGAGAGCTAAGTGGCTATCGAAGTATCTGCCATAAGGCAGCGGAAGCGCTCACCATGATCGCCGCTGTGATCAGGGTGGGGGCAATGCTCCGGTCGGACTTATTGGATGCTTCTCTGAGATTGTTATCCTTGGCAGGCAGGGGAAGATATTTCAACCAAGGGCCGCTGCTGGAGAAACTGGCATACAATCTAGCCTTCAAGTTGTCGCTGACCCATGGGACAATGTGACGAGCTGCGAATTTGAGAACCCAGTTATCTTGGGCTTCATACCGCGTAATGGAGCCAGAAAGACCAACGACTGTCTTGGCTCGAGGGGCTTGACCAGTAATATACTGGTTGAAAACCTTGCTCAACTGCTCGAGGGATGGTATCGGGTTTTCTTTCAAGAGGGGTACGAGGCCATTAGTGAAACGAGCAATGCCCTCATAGGCTGTGTTCCCACCTAGACCAGGGTTGACCGTAGCCTAGTAAGACAAAGAGGGTTAGCCATTCCTTTGGAAGGTGATTGCTCACAACATGAAGGGTTTCAGACCTTGTGGACCGAGTCACCTATCAATACGACCCTGTCATGATACCACCGTGGAGATACGCCCTCTTCCAGTGGTACCATCGTAGCCTTCACTCGAGTTCCCCAGAGATCCTTCACAGCATACCCTGGGCCCACTTGGGAGCTTCCGTACTTCTGAATATATACATGTGCATCCTCATCCACAAAATGCGGGCAATTTGGCATCCTGGTAAGCGTGGAACTCTTGACGAAGAGAAACCAAAACACAAGCCCAGGCACACCAGCAGCCGCAATTGCAGAGTAGTCATCGTAGTACACATTGTGAACCATACCATCGGGTAAGAACCCCTCATTTCGAGAGACTGCAAATATACAGTTATACTCGCTAGTGAAAGCTGGATCCATAGCGGTCAGCCGGCTTTCAAGGAGAGTGATAAAGGATTAGGATTGTTCGAACCTTCGTTGATCGCTTTAGCGAGAGACTGGTCTGTCACGCTGATTTTTTCGGCCATCAGCCCCCGAACTTTGCTGTGAATTCCATCGGCACCGATAAGGATATGACCGTGATGTTTAGTTCCATCTTCCGTGGTCACAATAACCCCCTCTGCAGTCTCGTCATAATTTGCGACGGAAGTTCGAGCATGAAGTTTTGATTTGTCTCTCACGTGGCTATACAAGACTTCGAGAGCCTTGGATCGCTCCATGAAAACAATGGGACGCTCAAGACTGGAAAATTATTCAATTAGCAAATTTCTCTTGAATGCCATTGCCGTTAGATAGACACCGTGACAAGATCTTCTGTGAAGTAGAGACCTACATTGCCTCAATGTTGACTAGCACATGTGAGTCCTCAAAGCAGTTTCCAATTTCGTCAAAATGCATTCGATGCTGCAGGGGCACGACCTGCTTCTCAATATCGCCCCATACTCCCAACTGCTCTAGAATCCTGATGGTATGCGGGTGGAGTCCAATAGAGGCGCCAAGTTGCGGCGCAAAGTCACCCTTTTCAAAAAGCTCGTACTCGATTCCCGCATGCTCAAAAGCTAGGGCCAGGCCAAGGCCCGCAAGACTGCCTCCCGCTATAAGGACCTTGAACTTGTCCACCTCTTGATTGGACGAAACCATAAAGATGATGGGTTGTTGATGTAGTTTGACCGCGTGCAAAATGTGATATCTTCAATCCTGCAGGCAGAACAGGATTAATGTCATATATATCCTTTTGCGGGCCCCTTAATCTGCCGCGTGGGGCCGGGAGAGTCAGACCTCCTTTCCTGGCTAGCTCAACTGCTTCACAGATCAGGTTAGTTAGCCGGAGCCGGTCTTTAGAAACCGCAGAACAACGCTAAGGCATTCTGCCATATTTAATAACGGTATTAATTTACGTAACTTATACCTAATCGGTAGAACAAATAGCCGATCGATCATCTTTAGTGTAAAGGAGAGTCCAACAGTGCTTCTTCGGAGCAATTATCATCTTGATGCATAGCATCGGGAAATGAACGATTAACCCGCTGTCTTCGGTCAAACTAGCATGACGCCTTGTTATTTGCTCCTGCTTCTGGTAAATTGTTTCTTACAACACCATGTTTAAAAGTCTAGTCTGAAACTGACTGACAGGATGTGGAAACGGTTCGCTCCATCCACACGAAGCGATACGTGATTAGCTCTAACTACCTTTGGTGGAAATTTACTCTTTAATTAGCCATGCTTTGACTCAAGGTTCTGGGGTTTAAGTTTGACGGCGCCGATCAGTTCTTTAGTTGTACCTCTAACACTTGATACCGTTACTAAAAAATTACCTTCTTCTCATATCTCCATAGAGCCTCTGGACAAAACTCTCCAAATCAATAAACAAACCAATCAAATGGTGCAAAGGGACTAAACTGAAAGCAGTACACCAGACCAACCTAAAGAGACCAAAAAGACCAAAGCAAAGACCTTCTTACCACCCAATTCGGCAGATGATCAAAATCCGTTAGTAGTTCCCCCGCTACATTAGCTTTATATTCGCGGGTAAGTGCAGCAGCCGCTACAATTTTGGATAGGGCCTTGTCTCTGTATCTTTTTGGGCCCATATTTTTATGCGCTAACCAAGTTGCTCCAATAGTTACCCGTGATTTATGCGTATAGCCTCAGGCTGGCAAACTTAGTCGCGGGCCGGGCTAATAAATATCAAAACACGGAATATTAGATCTAGAATCACAATCAATACAATCTCAAAACGTCTAACTACTAACTATTAGATGACCAATTTAGAGGGGGTAAATCACATAAAAAAGCTTTTCTGTACAGATTAGTTGATAATCTATGTTTCCGCATTATCTTAGATTCCGGCACAGGCTTTGGTTATAAAATAACATCTCTTAGTTTGATGCCTGATCCATAACAAGACGCTTTCCCAGATACCGGATTCGAATTTCTTACTTAGTTCGGACTAGGCCAGAGAAGTCCACCAGAATTTCCATATTGGCATTGCCTGTGGTCAGACCCCTGGCACCCGCTGTTACATCCTAAATTGCCGTTGTTCACGGAGCCGGAGCCACCGACGCCCGCATTCACATTGGCAAAAGCCCAATTGTGGTCGTAATATGAATCAGTGGGTTGGCCCAGGCCGCCACTGCAGTGGGTGTGGGTCTGGTAATTCGCATTGCCGTTGTGGTAGGACATCAAAGGCTGATACCAGATTGAATGGCAGCCAGATTCTACATTGTTCCACAGGCAGGTGCGTGTATTGGTCAGGGTAAATGTCTGCCCCCATGAGAACCCAAAGCTAACTTCGAGGACTTTATCAAAGGTTTCACTCAGTCCAATGGTCCAGGTCTCGGAGACCGCAAAACTGACCGCAATGGCCTCCGAACAGTCATCGCAGTAGAAGCAGTTGCCAACCTGATGCCAGGGCTGGTAACAAAGCCCAATGGTGTCCGTGTCGTACCACCTCTGGGTCTCGCTCTAGCAAGTCGGCGGCGCTGGCTCCCGCTTGGTCAGGCTGCTAATGAATTCGGTGGATTGGTTGCGGGCCGCATCACCAGGCTTATATTCGACGCTGGTCACATTGTTCTGTTTTCGGACGGCCTGCAGTTGCTCACGGGTATACAAATTGCGTTTGACCTCGATAGCCCCATTAGGGTGCGTAATCTCCGTGACGATGTCCGGGTCAGGCCGGCGTAGGAGTTGACAGATCGGGTCCGCAGTTCCTTCAGTACATTGTATAAATGTGGCATTTATCGGGGGTCCATCACTGTCCGACCTGAAGACCAAAGGGGTAGAAAGGCCCATTGTCACCAAGGACAAGATCATGGTGTATGGAAGTATCATGATGAAAGACAAGAACAACTAGAGACTCTTTCCCAGACAATAAAGTTTATACAGAGAGAACGATGTAATGGGAGTTTCAGTAATAAAAAATATATCAAACCCTTGGAGGTAATGGTGCGTTTTATATTGTCCCTCAATGCTAAGCAGGAGAGGTGGTATCCTTTGCAGAGGCTTATAAGGCAACGGCCTTGTTATCCATAATGGTCTACCTGAAACTTCTAGTGCTGACACTTTGGAAGCTCTTGAACCTAGTTGTTGAATAACGTGTATCGAAATAGGGAGCTCGCATAATTCCTACACTCTAATCTTCACCTTGGGCCTACTATTCGTAGTTTTGTCCTCGTTTATCAAACTCGTGGTTTGGTTTGTCCAGAGTAATCTGAGACCAGGGCAAGCAGTCAGGAAGGCGGTTCGTGGGTTGTGCCATCCTGATCCAAAGCCAGTGTTGTTCAAGTTACATAGCTACAAACGGCACGAAATCTTATCTTAAGCAGTACGGCCGTTATTGTGTTACGGTCGAACCGTGTACCGACAGACAGAAGGAAAATACCGAAGAGTATTCCCCCCTTGCGACCAAACCGGTTGGATGTCCAAGCAGCACCAAGAGCACCGAAAAACGTTCCTATCCAGTAGATTGCATTGATGAAGCCTAACCATGCTCCCGTTGGGCGTTTCATGAATTCCTACCAAGTCTCTAAAGACTGCAGGCCGTTAAGCAGCGAACGATCGTATCCGTTCGCAGATGCTATTAATGGTCAGACTTTATACATACATATATGTGAAACAAGGCTGTATACAAGGGCACTCACAGAATAAACAGAGGCCGATGACACAGAAGGTGGCTTTCCATAGATAACTCGCCTTCCAAACCGAGACGTGAGGCACTGTGTAGTCAACAGGGATGTCGTCAAATTCATTTCGAGACCCATCTTGGGTCTCTCCAGGCTGAGTCATCGTGTAGGAAGAGTTTTCTAGGTCTTCGCATTGGCCTTCGAGATGAAAAATTCGTTGAATTTTTCCCCGTGAATCACGGCGCTCTGAATTGGAGGCTAACTCGGACAAAGTGTTAGCAATAATTCTACTACAAATCTCGGCACTTAGTACGCGGGCGACGATTATCAAACTGAAGGCACTACGTGTACACAGCATCAAGTGAAATTGCTCTCCAAAACTTGAAGTATCCAACAAGAATAGTAGGCCTCAAATCGTATTTAATCACTAGCATCACGAAGTTCCTCCACCTGCGTGACATATTCAACCAAAGGTGGCGCCATACTCTCTCATGACCTGTATCTTCTCTTCTATATTCATCGCGAAACTTATCTTCCCGAAATCTCTTGGACATCGCCTAGGACTCTCAAATCTTAACACCCACATACCTACGCTATCCGTCGGCTAGCTAAACACCACCTCCCTTTCTTCTTCCTCCGTCATAAACCTTGTGCCTATCTACGCCTCTAGCCTATCCTCCTTACTCGGCCACCACGTAGCACGAGTCCGTCGCCTAAGGTTATAGAATATATCTTCTTCGTCGGTATTAGGTAAGCGCTAAGATCCATAAGAGCGGGGGAGGGATAAGAAGAGTATATCGAGAAGGTCGGCCTCTTTGACGAGAACCCCGCTAGTGGAGGGGTGGCCGTAGGCTATATATCCCCGGGGACTAAACTCGGTCCGTTCAGTCGTCGATAGAGGAGGGAGCTTGGAGCATGAGACCTACTCGTCTAGTACGTCGCCTATTCCCGTTTGCTGATAGAGATAATTCAAGACGGGATTAATATTGATAGGAAATAAGCGGCTAATGGTTTAAGGGCAGATCGATAGAAAGGCAGAGACGATAGCGACGAGCATGATGCTGACGCTAACCCTTATGTTCTAATAAGGTTATAAGTAGGGAAAGAACGAAGCTCATGAGCGCGCTCTCACCGGGTGTCATGCAGGTGACCTTTTCAATTAGTTGATAGGGATATATAGGAATCGGGAGAAAATCCTAGCCTTTAACTTGAACTGATTGGGCAGGGGCCATGGCGTATGCAAAAGCAACGATTGTTTGCCGAGAACTACCGCTCAACGACCATGATGCCCTCGGCGTTGTCGCACTATGCCAAGAGGCTCTGGTCATGGGGCTAGCCGGAGGGGGAGGAATCTGAGGCAAAATAGTGTGGATAGGGAATGGCAGGGATTACGATTTAGGGCGAAGAGTGGCGGATTGGCACCACGTGGACCTCCCTAGGCTCCAGCCAGGAGCTGGACCATTGACAGCGGCCACGAGAATTTTATGGGAGATGATCATGGTCCTGTGCAATTCGCTTCAAGATTTTCAGCCTCAATTAAATAGAAAGATTTACGTATTTGCACCTTATTGAACACAAAAAGGGGTCACCAAGCACTGTGTCCGGTCCCTTAATAGACTCATCCTTCAGATCAAATCCAGCAGTACAGATCCTCCCTTCTCCTGTCTGTATTATATTATTGCTGTGCGGCTACCTAAGCAAGTCCGTAGCGATTCTTTTATATGACACCAAGATTGCAGTAGGCGCAAATAAGTATAGATTGTTCCAGTTTCATTTGAGGAACGAAATATTGGTAATAAATCGAGTGAACATGTTCCATTAGTTTAGAGGGCCAATAGGTATAAGACTGCTGTGTTGTCTTTGGATTAGGTCTATGGGGGCCAGATTTGGCTGATGCAAAACTACCCGAATGTCCTCCAACCTTGTTGAAACAGAGTGAAAGGGTCAAGCCCGGAAAACTGCTCAACCCCGGCTTCTGCGAAAGATAAATTGTACCAGAGATAATCCTGTGGTAAATCGATCTGCCTGAGCAGTGGACTACTATGTTCAATCCCAGTGTGCGCTGCAACCTGATTTTCGACAGTTGTTGTTGGATGGGGCCCTCGTTGGATTCCAAGTCCTTCTCTTTCACTACTATCAGCCGCCGATGGTTGTAGGTGATCATTCAAGGTATCCGTGACGTGGTTGTATCTTTCTGAAATCACGGGGGGATCACAATCTTTGACTTGTGCCAATAATTGGTCTGAAATTTCATTAGTTTATCGAAAATTGAGACATTTTAAGGACGTGCTTGTCATTACCTTGTGAATTTGCTGGCTTAGGTTGTCCTTTGCGCTTCGAAAATTCTGTTTGCAAGGCAGAACGCAACGTTTCCCACTAGAGATCTTGTGGTTAAAGAAGAAACTAAGGGATAATGCATGAGAGATATGGCTTACCGGACGTTGCAAAACCGTCCAATAGACTCGGAGGTTGTCCAATAGGTGCAGTATTGAGTTCACAGCAGCTAGTGTCTCATTCATGTCTACCGTTTCAGTAGACGACCTATTTCTCTCTCTCTCTCGGCAGGATATGTCTGTTATCAGGAGTACAATACCGGCGACAAAAGCACCGTAGCCAACAACAGGAGGTAGCCGTGAAATATCATACTTCCCGCAGCGGTAAGGTTCTAATATGCTATGAAAGAGCATTGCGTGTCTTGCAACAGCCTCTGCGCTTTCCTTCTGCATACCGATGCCTATTTTTGGGTCAGGAGGGAAGCCGGAAAATATAGGAACAATTATCGAATGTATAGTGATCTGGCATTGGTGGTAAATGGCATCATGCACGATGAGCAGAGCCTGCGCTTCAGATAACAAGTCGTTCTGGTAATCAGGGCTCCTTGACGAGATCGCATTATCAAATAATGACGTTGCTAAACGTGATAATTCCAGAACAGAGTCGAAATTTCGAGTAATGGCAGAGGTGTTATCCTTACACAAGAGTTGAACTTTCGCCCTATAGAAACAATCTTTGAGCGATGTCTAAGGCAGATCAAAGTCTCCAGGTCAACACATTCACTAACCATAAACCAACCATTTTCATCAAGTGTCCTGCGGCTCCGAGATGAAGACCTGTCCTTGTCCCTGATACCAAGACGTTTGAATGCCAATCCCCATCCATTTTCTCGATAAGAGTTATCCTGTAACCTGATAATGTGGTTGAAATTACTCCTGGAAGTGGTACCTCTGCCACTTCTTGCCAGCATGATTTGATAAATGGCTCTGGCTCCATCACTATGCATGTAGATGTCCAGCAAGCCCAGAAGCACCGACGGCCGAGCTCTGATTCGAGCGACGAGCCAAAATCGGCAGTATCGTCTGTAATTTTCTTGCTATATCCAAGGAGGTGACAGGACCGGTAGGCGAGTGCTGCGGATTTGTCAACACAAGCCATCCAAAGACACAACGGAGGTCAGACACAAATACTTACTAAGGCATAAATTACCTGAGTAGGGCTGGCCAATACCAAACCAATAGAGTTGTAGGCATGCTAATGCCTGAGTTACCATGAGAGATGGGGCCTCCACGGCCAAAATCAAAGCTTCTCTTAACGCAGCTTTCGCCCAAGGGAAGCCACAAGTGTGATATGAACTTAAAACCTTTAACTCCGAAGGCATACTAGAGACATGATAATCGTCGCCTATATTTCTCGGTCGAAGAAACCTTGGACGTGATATTAGCTGAATATCCAAGAAAAGGCGTCGACGACGTGAAACGTGACATACAGGGTTGCTAACGCAAGTATAGCTTTAAGAAGAGCAGAATGAAGTCCTCCAGTAAGGTATTGTTGAAAGAGAAAAGGTTTATCAAACAGTAGAGATGCGTTATACACGCGTGAAAAGTATATCTCTAGCAAAGAAAGGCCGAGGGCGGTTGGTGGCAGAGGTGGCTGGTCTGAGGAAGGGGCTAGTTCTGTTGGGAATGAGCTTGTTACATGCAGTTGTGCTGAGTAGGGCTAAGAATAATCAGTCACTAGAACACACGCCCTTTAATAAAAGCGGAAGCATGCATCACTGCGTACATCTGGCAATAAAGGGGTTCCTGTGGCTTGCGGGCTGGGTATGTCATCAGCTTCGGCGTCATTATTCGGTAGTGTACCTCCTTCCAGAAAGTTATTGCGGCTCAGGGTCGCAATATCATACCGGGGGTTCCGAATTGGGTTCGGAATTGGTATTTGTGCGGCGGTGGCAGGAGTCTCTCGCGAAACTGCGCCATAGTAAGGATGCTGAAGAACGGCACGTTGAGGGTGAGTTTGTTCCCGGTCATGTTCGGTTACCCTATGCGGTGGCCGCCGGCCTTTTCGTCGAGTTCGCAAGCCCCGTCGATCTGGAGGGCTAGGGTACTGACATGTTGCGGTGAGTCGGGCGCATCGAGCGCACGCGGGACGTTCGCGACCGCATTTGAGCTAGGAGATGTTCATTATCAGCAAAGGAGCATACATAATTAGATCGTTACAGATAAGCGATCACCTTCTGCTCGCGACACCGCAGACACGCAGTGATAGATGGGCGTGATAGCCCACTAGTAGCTTCTCCGCTGTTTTCTCGAACACTGGGGTTAGCCATGCTGGTCATCTGGAGGTTATCAAACAGAAATGCTTGACTCGGGCCGAATTACCATACATCAATGCGGCACAAGTCACGGGACCATTCGGATTTTCGAATCGGGCCGATCATCTTGATTGGTCAAATATATCGTAGTACAACTACGTCTAGAATTCCACAATGAGTAATAGTGTAACATCTTGATTCTTCAGTAAACATGAGTAGTTTACTATCTCTGTTGAAAATCCCTATTCCCTATAAAGGCACTTCTAGGTAATCTCCGTGACCGCTCCTCTTAGACTGTTTACCTATTCGATGATCTCGTAAACGAAGCGGCGCGATACCCCCGCTTTAACGCTGTAATGAAAAAGTCTAGGTCTTAATTACTGGTATAGATCTGCTTTAAGTTAAGGTAGGTTACTAGCACTAGATCCTAAGCTTTTCGAATATCGTCCTTAAGAACTTCGCTGCTTACCCTTAATTATTGCTAATTACTATATTCCTCTATGGCCAGGTTATACAGACTACGTATATAAATTAGATTTGGGGGAGTCCGCGAGGGTAAGGGGGAAGAGCTATTTGCATCTAACATCAAAGGAGTATCCCGATGGATCCCGAGAGTGAATCTAGCGGGCTTGCCGTGGAGACAGTGTGCGTCGCTCATGATAGGTAACGAAAAATTAACAGATAGATAACAAAGAGGGTTATATGAAGAGGGAATAATATCCTCGTATCAAATAAATAAATAAAGCTATGGGTTGGCTCACATGCATAATAGAAGTGGCCATAACTTGAGGAATACCATGGATACGCGGTTGGAGCCTGGGTTCTTTTTGCAAGTTGTCAATTCTCCTCTTTTACTTTTAATCCTCGTACCCATAGGTCCGATTTTGCTATCAAAATTACTATCTGAACTCAAAACACCCACGAATAGTGGGCAGTCTATGATCGTCTCTTCTTATAGTCAAATGTCTCGATGAGGAAGCCATTGCTTCAAACATCCCTTTTAATTGGCTAATGCGAACCAATAGATTGAAGCTTGGTTTAATTTCTCTTTACATGTGATTGAAGTGCCATCCGATAGCTCCCCTGTAGAAGGAGAGGGGAGGGAGTTAGAGAAGTCTCTGTATATAGTTCGAAGCTAAAGTCTAACTGCCTACTGTTAAAGATAGCATTATTAAAATTAAAATTAGTATCTTCATCTAGGAATAATCCATTCATGTTCGCTGATAATTTAACGGGATGAATTTCACGGGCTTGTGGGCTGTAGCCGATTCGGCCCGAATGGCCATGAGGGGCTTGTTACCATAAATCAGGTACGTTAATACGTACTCTGGTTACGCGAAATCCGTCAAGCGAATCAGACAGTAGTATTACCATGTTTACATCGTTTACATCAATCTTATTGGCAGACTATCTGAAAAGAGGATGCGAAGGGGAACATTGTGAAATTTAGTGAGGTGTGGGTCGCTTGGATATATTCGCGGTCCAGATGATTTGAACACAATCCGTATAGCAACCACGTATTAGGTTCTATCTAGTGTGCAATTTAGTACTCTATCGGCCTAAAAACGATTTACAGATCGTGAGAGACTCATGAATTTTCGAAAAAGTAATATGGCATCGTTCGGCCTGATATCATGCATCCGGAGGCTATGCTTGAACGTTTGACTTCGAATTCAATAATAGGTGGTGAAACAATTTCTCCGTAAACCAATATCCTTTTTCTACATACTACTATTGCGAAAACCATGTATGACACAGTAGAATCACCAGATAAACATCACGGAATTGCTTCTCATATTACGAATTATGAGAAGGGCTCTCTGGGAGCAACCCAATTCGAAATTGTAACAACGAACAATTTAAGAAAAGTATAGGGTGAACCGCTGTGAAGGATAAAAAGTAGAAAGCATGTTCCCCCGAAATATTACAGTTTTTGTGCTGCAAATTGCGACTCAAGGAAATCGAAGATAACTTGATGCAACCGAAAGGAGGCCCCTGGGTGACAATGGGCGTCTCCACCTTCGTCGGCTCGTAGACTAACGAGTTGGTGTTCACAGTTCAGATTTCTTCGAAGAATTTCTGGTTGGCCTTTCAGAAAGTGGTCATTTTCTGCATCAAGTATCAGGCACGGTGTGACAATATCTTGGCTAATGCCCTCCAAGGTATATTTGTTGACTGCGCGAATCAGATCCGCAGCAGATTCCACGCCGAAAGTCCATTTGCCGTTGCGCAGCGCCCAGCGGATCCCCGTCGAAAAGGATTGTACGCAGTGGAATATCCAGTTGTAAATTGAATCGTGACGTTTTTCAACCAGCGCTTGAATAAATGACGGCTGATGAGCTCGGAAAGCCGAGCCAAAGTCGTATACACCATCATCCAGAATAATGGCTCGCGCCCGGTGCTCTCGCGTTGCTCCTCGTGCCACTAGGTATCCACCCATGCTCCACCCAAAGATGACTATCGCATTGGCATCGATTTCCACACGAGTTAAAGCGTAGTCGATAACAGGGGTGAGCACGTTCTCCCAGTCGGGTCGGAAGTGCAGATGCTGTCGTCGGATAGCTGCACCTTGTCCGGGGCCATCAAATGCGAGGAAGTTATATCCCCTCTCTAGGGCCGCTGCTCCGATAGCAAACCACCCCTCACTCATGATGGAGTCGTAGCCACCGTTTAAAACAATAGTCCGTCGAGGCTTTTTTGTGTTATCAGGACTAACAAAGTAGGCTGGTAATGATGTTCCTTCGTAAGAGATATTGATCGACTCATATGTAAATGTAGATAGCTTCATTGCCGCTTCAAAAGAAGCCTCCGATCTTTCATGTAAGAAATGAGATACTTTGTCTTCGTCGACATTTTCTCGGCGAAAGAACTCGGCAGTGCGGAAGTAATTCGATGCACGAAGGTATCCATGGTAGGCACTTTTTTGGTTTTTCACAGATTCTGAGTGCTCAGCATTGGAAAGTGCTCGTTCTGCAGCCTTCTGCCATTCGTGCACCCAGTCATCCTCGTTTCCTGGGCGGATTTTGGAGCAGATAGCTATCACTTCACCGAGATCTGCCCCGCCATGATTGCTATAGCCAGCAGCACGAAGCGCTTCGTAGCTAAAGGTCTCATTGGATTTGAAGAAATGATCAATTAACATTGGTGGAATATAGTGTTTGTAAATTTGAGGGAGGAAAAAATATAGAAATCAGAGAGAAACTATCATGATTTGGGGAATCATGAAGGGTGAAATATGCCCTTGGGGTTAGCTGTATGTCACGTGGTGGCAGAGACAAACAACCGAGGGCTTCGCATTATTTAATCCTGTGATACGGGGGAGTCGGACCTTGGATAGGGTCTATTCGGGCCGAATTCACGACTCTGTCCTGCGGGGCGGAAGCTAAAATGACAGTCAATTATTAGCTCCGGTCGGGGTGCTGTCTCGTGGGCCGGGGCGTAGTTCCTGGTTTCAGGGTTTCCGACGAGTCGATCTCTTCTGGCCTGCGAGTGTTACTACGCAAGTTTATGGCTTAGTACACCTGACCATTCACGGGCGGGTCCGTCATTTGATTATTTAGGATCCGTTAGGGACCATCACGTATCGAGGGTCTGCCACCCAAGAAGATACTTTCCATCCCAGCGATATTTTCTACCAGGCCTCCGGGCTATCTGCAAATAAGATAGCTTCCGCCGCGCAAATACGAAAAGAAATGACGAATGTCCTCAAAATGGGTATTTTGAGTAGCATAGGTTGCTTGATACCGAGAATATTCGGCCCGACTCACATGCCGATAAGGTTTTTTACTAACTCATACATTAATTAGTATTGGTAACAGAAAACAGGTTACAACAGTCATTTAAGCTAGAAAAATAATACAAACTTGCAGACACAGTCCCTATCAGTCAAGCAATGGTGGGGAGGAAATAGTAGTTTTAGTTATTTGTTCAGAGTTGGCCGTGCTTAGAAACCATCTAACAAGTTAAAGTACCACCTCCTCTGTTGAACGAGCCATATATCCTCATTGCTGAGATATTTCTCTTTTTCATTGCGGTGATTTACTCCTAAGCCAGGCTCTCTCTTCCTTAGCAGGATAATGTAGTAAAAGAGAGATGCTGTTTATGATTGAAACATAGCAGATATGTGTTCAGAGCAATATGTGAATGAATATGCCATTCACAACAAAAATAAGTGAATACATAATACCGCCAGAATGTACTGGGATGCTGTAAAACCTTGGACGATGTAATATTTCCTAACTGTGATGCGTGTGACCTCATGCTGAGATGAAGCTGACCACCTTTTAGTTCAATTAGGCAATATAAGATGCACGGCCATACTAGTGGTAAATGTTCCGAAGTGCCAGATCACCAGCTTATCAAGGTGTTCCTCTCCTGGTACATTACCTAAGGATGACTCAGTGAAGGTTTGTGGCCAGTGACGAAGCCAGTTTTATCACGCACAGAGAGCCTGTTTGGTATTTTGAAGAAGATATGCAGATTGGCATCAGAATGGCCTATCAGAAAGAAATATTCAATATGAGCCTGGATCCTACACTATTTCACTTCCATGGCACTTGCCCCTGGAAATTGAACAGTAGATTCAAAGATCACTAACAGTAGAAGGACCCATTGAGAAAATCTAGTCTCCAAATCAAAGCATTACCAAAAAAGGTTTTATGAGAATGATATGTTCTCTGTGACGATAGATCAGAGCCGCTTTCTACCGAGTTGTCAGAATTGGAACGTCCACACCAGCCTATGGGGACAAAACTAGGGAAGCAGGTCACTTATATAAGCTAAGCATGCTTCAGAGACCCCTTCTTGTGGTTGAACCCTTTCCAAGACCTTGACTTAGTCTTGTTCCCATATCATCCGGCAGCTTGAAATGCAGTATGGCAAGTCAATCAAGAGAGTTGCCGAAAATGAGTGTGATAAAAATGCTAAAAAGAAATTACCTCAAAGTCAGAAGGCTAAATTCCTTCTATGTGAATCAAGGAGGAGGACTTGAGGGGAATTCTACTTTGATTATCCTCCCCTCCATCGTGAACTCAGTATGAACTATCAAAGAGCATCTTTTTGCCCATCCTAACGTTAGGTGACGTTATCAAGAAGCAACACAAGCAAATTTGCTATCCGGTTATTGGCGGCAATCCAACAGAAGACACCAGAAATTGCTTAGTTAAATTTTGCTTTTCTAAAGAGACTTCTCTGCTCGGCTTACAGCCGACAAGCCTATGGATTCCCACTTTCTGTCATATGATATCACATGTCTCTTCTAGTAAACTCTGACATGAAATAGTTAGGCATGATGTAGTATTGTCTGTGGAACCTGCCTAATCACATACCTTAAGATCCACACCTAGACTGCCAAGAACAGGGATCATCTGCAAGATGGGATCCAGGCTAATAGTATCACGCTTCATCGCACGAACAGCTATGCTTCACGGTAACCTTCGAATTCCGGCCCCAATTATAACTGAACTATATTTTAAGCCTTCCTCCATCGCCCCTCCCAAGTTACCAGTGACGCTGGCTACGGATTCCGAGCGCTGGAAGATGGGTTTCTTATTTCTTTTCACCATTCTGACATTTTCTCCCCTGATCGAAGCTAAATGTTTCAATCCCGACCGGACTATCGCATCTAGTGCTGTGCCCTGTAATAGCAATAGTGCTACCTTTTGCTGTGCATCAGACGCAATCTGTCTCAGCACTGGGTACTGCCTCAGTGCGATAACGCAGCCATTTACGCTATATCGTGGCTCCTGCACGGATTCTGGCTGGGGAAGCTTCTGCGCTTACTACTGCGGTTTGTTTCCTCTGCGTCATTTGCGAGTCTGAAAGACTAAAGCTGTATAGTCAACTACGATACTGGCTCTAACGCCCCAATTGTTAGCGTGGGACTAAATAATGACAGCCGCGCGATATACTGCTGCGGTTACCAAGGCGAACATAACAACGGCACTAAATGCTCGAACGGGGACACTCCCTTTATCCTTGACGATGGGGAGATGATCTTCGGTCGAGCGGCGCTAGTTAATGTTACGACCAACCGGCCCGATCCGTCCACGACAGGAACCGCCAATACCACGTGCGGAAACGACGAACGTTCTTCCTCGCAGAATAAGAACATAACGCTCGGGTTAGGCGTCGGTGTCCCCCTGGGCGTTGTCGCGCTCTGTGCGGTTGCTTGGGCTCTCATTGAGCGACGAAGAACTAGAAGGCACCAACCGACAATTCCAGGGTTCGCGCAGGTGACTGGACAGGTTTATGTTCCTCCACGGCGAAAGTCTGGGCCGACAGAATTAGATCAGCCAAGCAGCACAACCTCGGATACTCTAATTCAAGGGTCTCCTCTTGTGGAGATCATGGGCTCTGAATCTCACCGTCATTGATTGAGGTAGAGGGCGGTGCGGTTTTGGTGAAACTCAGGCGAGGGTCCAAGTCTTCCTTCATTTTTCGGGCAGTTACAGCTAGCGATCGAGAGGTATACAGGTCGCCACCAGGGACCTCTGTGAAGCAGATGAGCAGTTGATCAATATAAAAACCTGTTCTGGCTGAGATATAATGACCATATCTGCAGTTCCGTATCTGAATCAAGACTGCTTTGAATACGCAGTTACTGCGTAACTTTCTTCGTGAATGACACAAAACATGGGTTTCCATCAGAACCTGAATTTTCTTCCTCGGCGGTAAAGATAGCCCTGAATGTGTGAGAATTACGATTATGTGAATATAAAACACGGTATTGATCCTTCAATACGCCGGCGATTTGAGCGTCTCCATGTCAGACAGACTGCACTATTTAGATACGAGTTGGTTGCTCGATCATGGCAAGAGTTCGAAGATGACAAACGGTATTAATCTATAATAAAGGTATAGACTCTCGAACTAATTATACGAGATACAATGCATTCCCAAAGTCGCCTGCAATCTCTCAGAGAGAATAGGTCACAGGTGATCCATTATTCAGCTTGAAGTATCCTGGTTGCAAAGTCTGGTAGACCCCAGTCGGATCATACACATTAGCAATCTTCCGCAGACGCTCTTTGTTGGCTTCTCCATAGCCGGCAATTGGATCCTGGAACATGCTGGCATAGTTCATGTAAATATACTCGTTGTAGATGCCCATGTCTTGAGCCTTTGCGATGACCTGGGTCCAGAAGCTGTAAACCCACTCGTAAACAGTGTCGTCATCGGATGAATCGTCCCACCAGAAAGAAATATGCATAAGATGGACGGGGCCCTTGGAAGCATCGAGTCCCAGGGCATTTCCGCCATAATTGGTCATATTCTTCAGCATGGGCAAGGTGATACCTTGATAGATGATCACTGGGTTTGCGCCCGCGAGGTCGATCACCTGTGGGATCAATGACATGAATAGATCCACAACCCAGTTGCTAAACTCCTCATTGAGTTGCACGGCGATCGGCCAGTAAATTTCGCGGTATCCAAACGGATTGTCGGACTCTAGGTACTCGACGTATTCGACGAGTGTCTTAGTGCTAGTCGAATCTGCAATTGCAGGGATGCTTCGGTATTGCTGGAAAATCTCCGGGTCGGCAACATCTTCAACATAAGTCAACTCAGCCGTGGCGATGTTTGTACCTTGGGTTTGAAGGAAGGCGACGTATTGTTGCGCTTTGCCATCCACAGTGGCGTTGTTCACAACGTTGATGAAGGCGTTGATGACTTCGCTGAAATAGTTCTCAGTAAAGATTCTGGCACCTCCACGCATCGTTGGGCATGGAATTGTATAGAGGTTGTATTTGGTGACAAGGCCAAAGTTATTTCCACCACCACGGAGGGCCCAGTACAAGTCAGGCAGGACAGTCTCACTCGCAGTGACGATTAAACCGGCCGCAGTGACGACCTGAGGATTGTGAGTATGTAGATCTCTCAAACACGTAGAGAAAGCATCAACATATTGCTTACCTCGAAGCTTTGAACATTATCAAGGGCCCAACCGTACAAGTTAGAGTGGTAGGAAATGCCGCCGCCCAGGACAAAGCCACCCACACCGATGCTGGACGCGCGACCCCCAATTGTAGCCAGTCCATACGGCTCGAGTGCCGAATATACTGACAGCCAGTTGTTACCAGGCTCGATTGAAGCAACCGACTTGTCTGCATTGAGCTTCACCGCATTCATGTCCTTGAACCAGATACTGATGCCTCCAGCACTGCTGGAAGCCCCGGAAAAGGCCGCATGGCCACCACTTCTGGCAGCAAATGGACAACCAGTCAGTCGAGACAGCAGCACAGCTATGCTGACTTGCGTGTTCACCGAGGGTCGGAAGACACAATAAGGCTGGACTTCTTCCTGTTGCTCGGACCAGAAAGAATTGGTGAAATTGTTGTAGAGTGTCGAATTTTGCGCGTTAACCTGTTGGGATCCGAAAAGAAACTTCAAACTTCCACACTGATGGCGATGGAGTTAGTATCTGGAATTAAATAATCCAATTATTGGTTTGACTTGATGAAAGGCTCAGACTCACAGCTGCTGCACATGCGCCGTCGGTTGACCGTGCTTGGATGCCACTGAATGACTTCAAAGCAGGAATGCTCGACACTTTCACGCCAAGCTGCTCCAATCCTTCGGTCACATTGAAATTCGAAGGTTCAATCGCATCGGCAGTCGCCAGAGTTACCCCACTAGCGGCAGACAAGGCGCCGAACAAGGACCAAGCACGCATACTCGCTACGGGTGTGTTGATCTCAGAAGTAGAAAGACAGCGTCGGACTCAATCTCGTCCCTAGGGAGGATACCGAACAAAGGGAGGCCAAAGAAAGGATTGTTTCCTTCTTATAAATGATCCACGTTGGGTGGCCTGAGGGAGCTAGCTACCGTACTCCGTAGCTTCGGTCGGATCAACTTCCGCTAGTACGCTAACCGATCGCGAACCGATCGTACCTTGTACATTTGTTCAATTGGCGCATTGCTTCAGGGGTGCGAGCTAAGCCTCCGTTCTCGTTTATGCCCACGACAAAATCGACTTGGATCTTTAAGCGAGGCGGCGGAACCCGACCGCGGAAATTGAAGCGAAGCCAGGATTCTGGATTGTTGTTGTTGTTGTTGGAAAGGCCTAGCGGACTGGCTAGGACTGAAGGAGCATCGCCAACTTGCTGATCCCTGTCATTCCATGCATCGGTGCGGAGTACCCTAATACAAGAAAACACTGTAACTGGTGGAAATCTCGACTCGTCTTTTCACTGCCAATTGTTTTCACACAGGATCCCTGAGCAAGGCTCCCTGCTCTTCTTGTACTGTACTTGTCGCGTACGCATTACAGTTTTGGCCCCATTGATTTCAACATCCTCTAGTATCATGTTACATCGCCCCAATTTCGGTGACCCTTGTCACCTCCTCCTTCTCTTAGTAATAATATTTCAACTACTGTAGTGACCGTGTCGCTTACATGCTTAGCCAATTTAGTGCCAGGGGACGGCTTTGTCTGTACAGCATGACTGGTACGCCACGCCGTTAGCCCATGCATTCAGAATCCTCCCCGTATATGACCCTGGCACTTCTGGTTTCAGGATTCCTCAAGTCGTGCTTGACTTGCCGACACATGGCAACTAAGAATTTTTCGAAACGGGGCCCAGCCCACGCGTTCGGCTACAGGATGAAGATATAGTGACGGGTGCCCCGTTAATGATGGATGTGATGGGAATGCCTCTCCATATGTACGGCAGACAGCTATCGTCTTACACTCCTTCACGCCGGCCTTTTGGAGCCGCGCCAGCGACAGGTGATGGGAGCGAACTCAGCGTCCACTAAGGGTACATTTGGTCCCGAAACCATCAAGGGCACCGGTATTGCCCTGATCGTACTCACTTCGCTCGTTGTGTTTGCACGCTTCGCTGGCTCGATCCGTCGAATCAAGGATATCAAGCCGGAAGACTGTCTCCTCCTCGTTGCTTACCTCTTCTTTTTGGCACTCAGCATCCTCTACATCTATATTGCACCTGCTATCTTCCGACTAGCGTCTCTTGAAGCTGGGTCAATACCATATTATTCAACGGTGGAGGAAGATTCTGTGCGACTACAGATTGTTTTCTTCGTCAACACTTCCTCGCTATGGATCTGTCTGTGGATGGTCAAGTTCTCACTTTTGTCGATGTATAAGCGACTCTTGGTTGGAAAACCTTATATTGCAGTGTGGTGGATTATCACAATTTCCTGCACTCTGGTATGCATATCGCAATCCCTACCCTGCTCCGCGGAATGCTAAATTCCATCTCAATAGTTCCTCATTGGCTGTATTCTCTCATCCTGGTTTTCATGTTCGAGCTTCCATGCATGGTTCACCGCGGGGGCCTGCAATACACCGCGCGATCATCGCGCCGCCGCGATCAGCCTCTATTATGCATATGCAGTAGACATCATAACAGACCTTGCAAGTACGTTTGTGACCCTCCCCTATATCCGGAGAATCTCTTGGATTAACATCATGATCCAGTAATGGCTCTGCCCATACGCCTGATCTGGCACTTGAGAATGCAGTTGAAACAGAAGATGAGCATTGGCGGCCTTTTTTGTTTCGGCTGGATCTGCATCCTCATTGCAACTATTCGCGTTGTACAATTGGGGAATTCTTCAAATGAATCTTCAAGAGGCACTCCAGCCACATCATGGCTTGCTATGTGGGGAATCATCGAGGCCTCAATCGGTACGTGTCTCCTCCGATGACTTGGATTATCAGTCATTCTGATTTACTGACCGTTCTATAGCGGTTATTATTGGCTGCTGCCCTGGCCTGTACCGTGTCGTAAAGTCTGTCATCTCTCCCTCCAAAGCCTCATACGATTACAACTCATACAATGCACGCGGGCGTGGTCTGAGTGGCATGCCATCTCATAGATCAGGTGCCCTAAATATTGCATTGTCAAATATTTCGGGCAAAGACGGGGTATTTCAATCAGCCAGTGCCTACCGGTCCACGAGTCCTTCGAGTAGTCAGGAGCAGTTGGCACACGCCCATGGTCGAGGGGTCATCCTCATAAATCATGGGATTGAGGTGACCATTGGGGAGCGCACGCATGATTTTGACCGCGATGAATACGGTAAATCGGATCATTCTTTATGATAAAAGGATTAGACTGTCATCACACACGTTGGCCCTTGTAGGTACTCAAATTCAAGAGTAGGGGGTGAAAGAGCGATTTTTCACACCTCTCGGTACTGGTAAGCTGTAATCCTCCAATACGTCGGTACGAATAGTCAATATCCTGCGTCATCATCCCGGCAGTATGAACATTTCCTTGCCGTCAGAATACACACAGTCTCCCTTCTTTACTAAATCGACGCGCCGCATACCATGTTTTTTTTTGAGGAAGGCAGGCGAGGGGGAACCCATCTGGATCTTCGGTAGACACAGAATGTAGTGCAAGAACACTCAAGGGTTCCATCTTTATGCTCTCAGAAGGCTTACGTTTTCATCCGTAGAATGTCTAAGCACATTGTCCGATTTACTCTGCTGGTTGCCGAAAATATATTGATGTAAAAGGCGCCGATACCCGCTGAATTAAAGAGACTAATGCCATACCCATAAAGACCTTCTGTCTAGTACATCTGTCGAGTTCTCATTTCAATGGGTAAGAGGCATACCCAGATCCCACCAGCTTCAAGCCAAAGCACACCCGCTGCTCCTTCTGCGATGAGATTTTGGCCAGCAATTGGGGCTATGATGCCAGCGATACGTCCTACATAGTCCACATGCAACTGTTTTTTTTCTCCTTTTGTGAGGGGGCAGGCTCATCACACTGAATTCAGATTTCCAGAGTCGATCACATTTGAACAAGATTGTACCAAACTATCTAGTGCATAAAATAAAAATTGATTCAAATACGTGACCACCCTCTATGCCACAGTTGCCTGTGTCGTACCACCATTCACACTTTCTAGGTGCTCGATCTCTGCCGTCTTTGTGACTTGCACGGCTTTCGTCTCGACGATCTCCTCTTCCTTAGGATAGAAATCGATCTTTCCGCCCTCTTGGATGACACGCTCTCTGTCAAGACACAGGCGAGCTCGAGTATATGGGTCCAGCTTCCAATGATTGACCCTCAAGCGCTCTGCCAAGTATGCTCGCTGGCTCTCTGCAGATTGGATCTTAGTCTTGTCTTTTGACTTGGCTGCTTCAATCCACTCGGAAGTAGCTGCGAGGAATTCTTCTCCGATCTGCTGGCGCTCGCGGGTAAGTGCATCTCTGGTGGTGGTATCCTCCATCTTCTGGTTCTCATTCTCCTCGGGCTCAATATATTCGTACTTCCACTTCTCAGTACCACCAAGCTCCTCAACAAGCTGATCACGGGCGATGAACTTAGTGAGATCGTTGGTGTTGTTTGTGAAATTCACTTTAGCTGCAATATCAGGGTCCATCCAGCCTCGAATGATTCTCCAGATGCCTATTTCGTTCAATCATCAAATGTTAATGTATGCTTTTGACAAAGCGCCATTGGCGGCTCCTGATTGTATGTGAAAAAAAAGGCAGACCAACCTGAGAATACCCATGGGGCATTGTGGATGAGAAGGACACCCAGTGATTCTGGGTAGTTTGCTTCGAAGCACTTCAAGATAAACTTGACGGGTGGGTATTCCTATGTATTTCAACCGCTTGTCAGTTTCCTTCTAGCACAAATCAGATAGGAATTGTTCATGACTCCATTCCATACGTACCATGTTTGATAGCCCAAATCCTGTCATATCAAATACCACAGCCTATAAGGGGAAATGATTGGTTAGCAAGGGTATCAACAAGGGTACCAACACATTGAGGGAAGGCGCAGATCTTACGGCGGTCTCCACGGGAGGGGATAGAGTCAATCGAACAGACTCGATGACGTGCACAATGTATCTCTCTAGAGTCTCCTCGCTCTGCGCGCCGGGTTTGTGCAAGCGAACCTTGATCACCACAATTGGTCGACCGAGCTTGTCCTTTCCGTGCACATAGGCTTTGCCCATACGCATTTGAGCCAAAAAGTCTTTGCCGGCCTTCTTTTCCACTACATTGGCGTTGTTTCGTTCTTGCTGCAACGCGTGTAGCTCACCCTTGGCCATGACGTCGTCGTCCACATGCATTTCCTTGACCCGCCAGACAATGGCCTCCATCATCATGGCAAAAGCCTTGGGGACGTCCCACTTGCGGGCGCGCAGGAATCGGAGTAGCATCGCATCGGGATTGTCATGCTTCAGCAAGTTCAAAACACCGTTGCGCAACTCGAGTGGGGCAATCTCTGAGAGGGCTTTCTGGACCATTTTGGTCTCCTGTGCGCCGATACCAATCTCCTTGAGGTACGCCATGACCTTCTGCTGATAGGGGGACTTGGCCACACTGGCAGTGGTCTTCTCAGAGACATTGCTCTGGGTGCGACTGAGCAAAGAGTGTCGGCGTTGAGGCTGAGTAGGGCTGGTGGGCTCTTCGACGGAGCCGTTAGACAGCTCGTCGCCCGACGGCGCCTCGGCCGCCTTCAGCAAGACCGACCAAAGCTTTTGCAGCTTCGCTTCCTGGTCCTGGTTGACGTTCCCCAGGAAGCCAGGTTTCGGACCATCCGCAGCCATTGTTGGGCTAGTGTAGTGAATTGCGATTCGACTATGAATAGGCGCACAAGAAGAGGACTAAGGGCAATAGTGAAAACAAATCCAATGCACCGAAGGTTGAAATTGAGGACTGTAGTGTTGGAGATTGCTTGAAGGGCAGATCTTCCAAAGGAACACCTCCGGATGAGAGCTGACCTGGCTGGATGATATAGGTCTCGTCAATGTGCGCCCCCCTTGCCCCTCGAGATCATCGTGAATCCACATGAAACCCCTCATTTGATGCCCCTCGTCATGGCCACAAGTCTGCCTCGGTAGCCCCAGATCACCTAAAATCGCCCAAAATGTTGGGGAACAAAAGGTCCATGCGCCCCTCCTGATGGCTTCGCCATGGCGATCCTGGGCAATGATCAACCGTCGTGGCCACTGGTTCCCACTCGTTCCCCGGATTTCACCAGTCAAGTGCCGTGATTCGCAGGTTTGGTCTTTCACAGTGGAAAACCTCGGGCCCTCGGTCGCAGGCCAACCAACGGAAAAACACATGCGGTGGGTCCCCCACAAAATTGGGAACGGTGGCTCGAAGTTTCATATCCCAGGATTCTGGGTTTGGGAGTTGGGATTGGGGGATTCTTATTTGATCAATCGAAGGGGGTCCGGAAGATAAGAAAGAACAGGCAAAATGCCAGTCGATCTTTGCCGATTGGGGTATTATCTGTCCCTGTCCCCGGAATAGCTTCCATCAGCGCGTGGATCTCATTTCACTCGGTCCAGCCCCTCCCAGGATACCTAATCCACAACTGCTCTCACGACACGAGACCATACCAGCCTCGATAAACCTCGATCGAGCCCCCTCAGAGCTGTCGTAATGTCGCGTCGACCGATTGTTTGATCGTGATCCATGTCCAATCAGGATGCCCCTCGGTCGCCTCGACGATAACCGCAAACGATAGACATGGGGAGAATCATACTCGCCGCGGGGAACAAGGGTCGATCATTGTATTCCGATCATCCATCGCGGTTGATCAATTGCATCATGGTTGCTTCGGAGTTGTTGTCGTAGGCGCTGCAGTAGCAGACTGTAGTTGATGTTGTTTTTCTCCGACGAAAATCGTCGAAGCGCCCAACATCCACGTGACTCTACATGGTCAACCAAACGAACGATGGATTATTATTATTATTATTTCTTGACGAAAGTGCTTGGACCATTCTCTAAAATCAAATGCAAGTGGAATAAGAGTCTCGGCTTGTCCTTGATTATTACCGGGATGTGAGACCTTCATACCAAAACCGGGTCCCCTATTTTTAGCGCCTCCAAGAGTATTATTATTGCAACCAGCGACCGGGCAGCAACTATAATAGTCGAGATCCTCATACTAGACCATTCAGGCCCGAAATTTAGACCGTCTTCAAGGACCAAAAGTTGCTCACTAAGGGGACTACCTAGGTCGGATCTAATAGATCATTTATCAAGGTAATCCATCCCGTCGCGGCGCTCACAGTATAGCCCAGGCTGAGATATATATCGTCTCACCTAGTCACTGGGGCAGGGGATGACGATCTTTGATCATAGATCCAAATGGATCCATTTCAAAGATTCTACAGCCGGAGTTCTTTTCTCTGTCTAATCACTAGCACGATTAATTGATTTTACCTCATGCGCGGGTTGGGGAGTCTGGTTGTCTCCTAGCTAATGCGATGATTTTCGCTTATCTTCAGTTCAAGTCCCTCTCAAACCTAAAAACCTTGGGAACTTGAAAGGTTGGGGTTGCTCTGAAAATCTCGATCATTCATTTCGCCCAATCTTTGGGCTTTCTTCTACGCAAGAATTTCCATGACGCCAACAGTACAGATGCCAGAAAACATCATCTACACCCAATCTCAACACCAATCCTGTTGCTCCAACACGGAAACCGATGGAGCGACTCAACGTAAAAAGATACAGTCAGAATCTGCTTAGACAGGAAAGTGTATCCGCGAATTTCAACAGGATAAGTTTCATGTTCTCTGCTGAGGTACCATACGTCAAACCTTGATCTTCCCGCCCAAGCACCAAAAAGAAACAAGCAAATGCCTTCAGTGGCTCTATGGCGGCAGGTCCCGCAACCTCGTATGTTCCGTGTCTCAGTCAGACTTGTCAGATTTATCAGGTTTGGGCCCCCGGGTAGATTGACTCGTTACTCTTTAAGAGTTCTGTTTTTCCCATTCAACTCGATTCGCGAGGCGTACCTTTTATTATCAGTCAACTCAACAAGCTTTAGTTTGAGCAACCTCCTTCCATTTCAAGCGCAAAATGGCGCTTAGTGCTTGCAATGCCGTGGTGAATCCATCATTCGAGTCCGGATCCTTGTCACCGTGGGTCCCCTCGGCAGTGAATGTCGCAAAAGTCAGTAATGGCACAAACGCATATAGCGGGGATTACTATCTGTTAGTTTACAATTCTCTTTCCTAAAGATGATCATCCTGCTGATACACAGATAGCGATCTGCAGACTGCCGTGGGCAACAGGGGTAACACGATATCCCAGTCTCTGAAGCATCTCCAGCCACGCGCAAAGTATACCTTTAGCGCAAGCGTCCAAGTTCCATCGCCATCTGGTTCCGAATACTGTGCCTTTTATGTATATATGGGCCACAACGCGACAAAAGGCCAAATTGCATCCTCACAACTGTTCACGTTTGGCGAGTGGATGTCCGTGACCGGAACCTATTCCCCGCGGAGGCCAGAGGAGACTCTGAACATTATTGCTAGCTGTGACTCTGAGGACTCTTCAGTTACGGGTCATGTCTGGATAGACGATGTTATTTTCAGCGGGGGCAACAATTGTGGAGCTTTGTTGAACTGAGAAACTTGTCACCAATTGTATCGCTAGACATACAGCCACTATTAAACCAACATCAATTATATACACTAGCGTTCTATGTTCCTCGTAATAAGTCGATGGGTATTTCGGTCTGAGAGGACTCGGATAGTTTCTTAATGCCGGATAAATTGTGCCTTCTTCAAAGCCCAGATGAATAGCTCATCTGACCCGAAGCAAAACTCCGAGACAACCTCGAACCCACATTTACGGAGGACTGTCACGCTCCCGATATTCAGCTTCTCACAAATAGCGTATATCTTCTCCTCGCTCCCATTCAATTCGCCCATATCTCTTCTTGGGAGATCCCACCACTTTGACAGCATCATTCGTAATGCTTCTGTGGCATAGCCCTTTCCCCACGACTCGGGAAGAAGAGAGTATCCAATTTCAGGGCATGGATCCAGGGTGTTCACGCTGACATAGCCAATGAGTTGCTTTTCTGGTTCCGAGATCGACTTATCCAGAATCGCGTAATTAAAAGAGCGCCCGATGATGTCTGCTGGTCCCTTGGCAAAGACTTTGCTGGACATCCATTCACGAGTCTCCTCGATGGACTTGAATGGCTCCTTGGGGTAGCTATTTTTATAATTACAGATCAGTCACCTGCTTCATGCGTTGAGTATTCAACGACTCACTTTGTCTTTGCCACTTCCGGTCGGCCTCGAACCGCTAGCAGTGCGGCAGCGTCAAAGTCACAGATGGGTCGCAGAAGAAGGCGCTCGCTCTCGATTGAATCGTTGGTTGACGGAATTGTCACATAGACTGGCTGATATGGTAGTTCCATCTTCGAAGTAAGTCTTGGTGCGTTACACACTTTGAACTTTGAACCAGTAGCACTTTCAAGGTCGGGGGCTGGCGATCTCGTGAAATATGATGCATCCAGCAAACGGAAGGGACGATCTTGCAAATACCCGCTCAGTGTTGATTGATTGGTCAGATTTCACCACCCTGCTATCCGCTAGGCTAATTTTGGAGCCCGCATTTTCCACTTCCATCGGTATTCATAAGCATGCTTATAAGAGCTCGGTCCGAGTTCAAAGTCAGTGGTCAGACATATTTTTGACCACAATATAAGTTTTCTCGATTCTCTAAATATTATTCTTCGGAGCTATCAACACTTGGCAGCCGATTGACCCTCACAATGAAAACACAGCAAAAACTTTCCAATTACTCTACGACACAAAACATAATAGGAGTTAACGCACTCTTATTTGTAAGCATAATGGATATGAAATCTTCCCACCCAGCAGAGTATATTAGTATATTGCACTGTACAATTGGGTATGACCAGGGCTACAGTCTACTCGCTGAAGCATTCAGTTGACAACCATCTCACTGATATGCAACTAAAGCTAGGGCCCGGCCCAATGTACAAGCTTCTCACTTGGTTGTAAAGGGACCCGGGTCCTGTAGACTTTTGATCCGGCCAAGTAAGAACTCAAGTTGCCTGTAAGCAGCACCGGGGGCGTATTGGGGAATTTCTGTGTGGGCAAGCCAATTAGTTACAAGATATTGAAGTCATTGACAAATTGAGAGGTTCTGGTAGCATCATTCTTACCGTGTCCAGATCCATATACGGTACTGAACGTTAATCCACGTTCGGTATGAGCTGTCCCCAGGATTCCGGCCCCTGCGTCAGCAGTGAAAGGGGTCTGTCCGTTGCCATTTGCGATTGCGTTCAAGGCAGCTGTGTATGGGACCAGCAATGGCTCAACCGGAGGCTTCTGGAACCCCTGGTGTCCATTCCACGTCATGTTCTGGATAGTCGCCAGGGTTCCATTCATAAACAGTAGATAATCATACCAACCATGACCAATGAGGACATTATTAGTGCGCTCAATCACACTGGGAAGTGGGCCGAGAGCACTAGGCACTGATCCATCACCATTGGGGAAAATATTTCCACCACAGACAGCATAGTTGGTAGGGGGAACGTGTAAGGCTTTCTGGACAGCAGACTGGTTGAAGTAGTCATTAGGGCCGCCAGCTAGAGACGGGAAACCCATTTCGTCCCACAAGAACGGACAAAAGTCTGTAAGGTGATAAATGTTGAAGCACGGGTTAATGTAGGTAGCGGCTTTGATGATCTGGTCCCAAACATCGCATCCATGTTGACTGGGATCCGGTGCGGTCGGGAAATCCCTAGGCGGGGGGAAGGTCAACGCTTTGTCCAGGAACTGGTTGTAGCCACACTCATCTGCTCGCTTGTTGATTTCCGTCATGAAAGTATTGTTCAGTGAGAAGACGGTGGAGAAGTAGTTCAGAGCAGGGACGGCAGGAGCTGGAATGCAAGTCCAGTCAGCTCGGGAAAGATATTTTGTTATTGCAGGACGAACCGTATATCAAGACATTATCTTCGTTTATGGACGGATCATTGATTTGTATGCCCTTGAGGTTAAAATGAGTCTTATCATTCTGGTCCAGCATCCCGGAGGCTAGATACGGGATATATTGCCCGGCATAGCTTTCACCCGTGATGTAAACTTTGTATCCTTGCATACTAAAAGTTTGAATGAATCTCTTCCAGAAATCATTGAATTGGTTTGACACGTCGATCTCGTTCTGAACGGTAGCCGGTCCAGGTGATAGTCCAGTACCAGCTGGCTGGTCGACGTAGACTATGTTGGTCAGGTTGGACCATGAGTAGGGGTTTCGGACCGGCTTGTATGTCCCCGACTGCCAGAGGAACGGTCCATTCTCTTGTAGTAAGCCATCCAGAGAGCTACAGCCAGGGCCTCCATTAAGCCAGATCGTTATCTAGGATGCAACATAAGTTTGTTAATTGTAACATATCGATAACCACTCACCTCTTTTTTCGCATCTGGATTTGTAGAAGGGAAGAACCAGAAGAATAGGCTGGACTCCCCGTGGGGAGCATTGGACAAGAGGCCCGCGTAACTTTCGCCGATATCAAAAGGGACTTGTGGAAAGTGCGCCCCATCGACCACGTATTCTGAGGTCGGCTTAGACTTTGCAATTTGTTTCATTCAGGGCGCTCCAGGTTATCTAACACTCACTCTGTGTGTTGTTGTTCAAATACTGATGCCCCGACTTCGCTGCACTACTTCTCTTGTGAACAGACCTAGTGAAAGGTTTGATCGAAGGGGCCTTTCGATGAGGATTCTGCAAGGCTGCGACCGTGGCCACTAACAAGGTTAATGGGGCCAGAATAAGCATTTTCAAGATCTCAACCGAGGCTTGGCGTGGGCTTGAACTGAAAGCCACGGCAGTGCCACCGTGTGGGACTTATATGTATTTCTATCCATTGTCATTTACGAGGACCATGAGCGCTAGGCTCGTTCTCTCAAAATCGAAGATGAGCACGGAGTCCAAAAACCATTGCCAAATCAGCTCCGGACCCTGGCGGTACTATCCGCTGTGATAAAACCGATTGGGTGCTTCAAGCGGGGTATCATAGGGGAATAATTTGACTGCAACGTCGCCAAGGGAAACTAGGAAGGTGACATAGACAGAATGGCGTAATAGTTCGAAATTTAAGTGATCACGATGTGGAGAGGCTTAACCCCCGACGGAGTCCTTTTCAGGCAGCAGCACAGTCCCGGACTCCATACGACTCCGATTCGATCCCATCTGTGGTGGATTATTGCACAATCGTGCATTAGAAGTGTTCGAAATGGGATCTAATAGGATCTACGGAAATGTTTACTATCATCCGTTAGCGCCCTTGATGCCGTTGTGGAAGAGATGGCTGAGAAAAACCTGGTCAATGCGAAGACATCCGAAACAGCGTATTCATTGGATAGACATTTTCATTGACCAACGGGCTTATCGTGATCAATCGTGCATTAAACCATCTCCATGCCAATGATGGGTTGACTTCCGCTAGGTAGCCGTTGGCTATTGTTTTTGAACGCCGTTATTTAGCATATGCAACTTTCTTCACCCTTTTCTCATTTGACTAGTATACTACTGAGATATACGGTCTGATCAAATGCGAAATCCAAATACGAGCGACAGGTGTCCTAGTATCTCCACCAAGAAAGGGATCATGAAATATCCACAAATATCCCACGCAAAACGGACTTAGTCCACCTTATTCCACCCTTCTCAGATCGATGTCTTATTGAAATATTATTCCCACCCAGCACCTACGAGCAAGACTAAATAGCCGGGGGAATAATTGCTTATCATAGAGTTATTGAAATGGAATTTTCTTCCACCTTCAACGTGTGCGCTTGAAACGGTTTCTGGGCACTTATTGAATCGAGGGACAACAACTTCCTCCACTTCCATATATGCACATTTTTAGGTATGCCTAGCACAGGTCGGTCATCAGAGACACAGCATCCTTCTGGCCTCTCCCTTTTAACCTTTCGGTATCTCCTGTTGCTTGCTCTCTATATTGGCCTCTGGGGGCTACTACGATCATTCCGACAAATAAAGCTTGAAATAGCGGCGCTGGGGGTTAGATATGTAATCAACCAACAATGAAAAAGATATCTTCTTGGAGGCTATTGGCATGTTAAAACGTCACTACCAACTCTACTTTTGCGGAAATGTTCCGCGTCCACAAGAGTAGCCAATAATCAACGTCTCCACGGGCAATTCCCGCGCTTCGCCTCCGAGTTGGACTTGGCTCGGATCGCGTCCCGAGCTCAACCGCCAACTGCGCTTGGCTCGGGAATCTTGCCAAAATCCAACTCAAAAGTCACTACGACGCTGAAGAATGAAGAGTCTGGCCAACGAGTCCAACGAGAGAGTAAAACGGCGAAAAATCTCGGTCGCTTGTGATGAGTGTCGAGGGAGAAAGGTAAGATGTGACGGGGTCCAGCCCGGTAGGTGCCGAACGACAATTCCCATCCGGGATTCAACCCGCATTAACGCTATCAATGCGACACAGTATGTGGACCTTGTAGCAGGAGGCCGGAACGAGGAAGCCAGTGTGTCTATACCGGGGAACTAGAGAAGAAGCGAGCAACACAAACGTACATTGATTGCATCCCTGAAACACTTCCCTATGATTGGCCGGACTAACTCGAGCTGATCGGTAGGTATATCTCCAACTTGGAAGATCGCATCAAGCAGCTGGAAAGCCCTCAAAATTCCGAACGAGCATTCGGCTCAAGTCAAACAATCGTGCGTAAATCTCCACTTCACATCCTACACTCGGCTCATGTCCAAGTAGCACGCAGGCTTATCATCCCTTTCGCCAACGACTACCCATTCTGGGACGCCCATTGAATCTTCACGGTCAACGCAATGCCAGGATCCGTTCGGTCATCGCTCTCGGGGCAGTGTAACTCGAGGAAACCCGGGGCAAAACGATGACGGTGGTAGCATGAGAGATGGAGTCAATGCCATGATGGGTGCGGTCGAAGAAGGGCGTGCCAGCCAAGGCTTTTTCGGTACCTCCAGTGCAGCTGGCTTTATGCGTCAAATTAAGACTGCAGTCGACAGAAGAGTATCGTCCCCAGACAGACGGCCTTCAGCTCCCGACATTGCTCTTCACTCCAGCCTCTTGACAGGACAACGCAGCCAACGAACTCTCTCAGCAGCACCGGATTATGTTCTCCCTCCTCGAAGAATGGCCGATAGATTGATGGAGGTATACTGGGACTACGTCTTCCCTCTCTATCCATTCGTGGACAGTGCTCACATGAAAATGGAATACGCTAAAATATGGCGCGGGGATCCCTTGCATTACGACGAGAACATGGTGATGTGCACGTTCAATGTGATATTTGCACTAGCCAGTAAATTGGCCGATTTTATCGCCCCCGAGGAGCGAGAGACATCCGCTGATGCGTATTTCTCGCGTGCCAAAGGGCTCCTGCAATTCAATCTCTGGGATACAGGGTCTGCCGGGTTGATTCAGTGCCTTCTGTTGATGGCACAATACCTACAAAGCACAGATTATTCGCATCAATGCTGGATTTGTACGGGACTTTCCATTCGCAACGCCCAAAGTTTAGGTATTCATCTACCTCAAACAATTGCTAATCTCCGTACCCCAAGTGAGCGACAATTGGCTCGGAAATTATGGCACGGCTGTGTACTGATGGACCGGTATGTTACTCGTATCTTTTTCATTGACTGGATCTCATAGTTGCATTTAGCGTTATATCCATGACTTTTGGACGACCGGCTATGATATCAAAATATTCTAGCGGTTCTGTCCCGTTACCAATCTCAGTGGATGATGAATTTATCTCTGCTTCAAGTCTTGCCGAGCCGAGCCAGCCTGCAGAACGGCCATCCATGATGGTCTTCTACGCAAAAACTCTGGAATTGTACGAAATAATGAACGACGTTCTTCTCAGTTTGTATAAGCCTGTTCCAGACGAAAGCGCAGATGATATCCACGATTTTTACTTTAACAATACCGCTGGAGAAGGAGAGCGAACAATATTTGAATTGGATCGCTCCCTTACGCGCTGGACCAGAAGCCTTCCAGTGCATCTGCGAGGAGACTCGTCGATAAACGCGCAAGACAATCCCATATTCTTTCGTCAGGGGATAGTCTTACACGCAAGGTAAGCGAGAACAAGCCCTGTTTGTGCTTCGAGATGCTGACAAGGGGTGATACGCAGGTTTTTACACGTACGCATGCTGCTCTTCCGGCCAACACTGTGAGTATTCCATATCGTGAGGCAGTGAATTACCGTCAGAGGTTCTTGTTAACCGTATCCGATAGTGCAAAATACTGTGCTGCACGAGATAATTTCACAACGAACTCGATGATCTCAATAAATGATTCTTTTCCACGCAGGGTTGCCCTCCAGTGCTCTGTCATCTGCGTCAAGGTAGCACAAGAATCAATTGAGCTCATCTATACACATGTTCCATCCGACGGTACCGGTGGCCCTCTCCCTGCATGGTGGTATAACATACTATGTAAGAGACTTCCCTCGCCCTCCTTCTAATCTGAGACAAGATAGCATTGACCATTGATTATAACACCTAGACATATACACCGCGGCCACCGTGTTGATCGCTGGGCGACTTTCTCCCGCAATTCTCGCCGAAATTTCAGAACCGTCTATTACTCGCTCATGGAATTGTGCACTTGAAATACTTCGCAAATATCAAAGTCACAGCACGTCGGCCAGGCGTTGTGTGGCAGCGCTCGAGATTCTCTATGAGCAAGTTGTTTCCGAAGGGCAACCACCGGCTGAGACAGCTTCTGGCCATGATCTCGGCTCCAACGTTGCTCATACCATGAATGAACTGCCCTTCGGAGAAGGGATGCATGCAGCTATGATGGATGGATTTGAGTTTCCTGATTTCCAAGACATGTCATGGTTGAATAGTGTTCCGAGTAATCTTTTCTAGTAATGTTATGAATAGTGTCCCCCGAGCCACTTGGTTTCCGACATTTTGAAAACCTGAGCAGTAACACCGAACATTTCTGGGACCTCAGCACAAGCACAAGCATTATTACAATTGGGAGACAATTAGAAAACCTCGTCTGTTAGGATGAATAATATTGTAACTTCATCTAGCAGCCAACGCCGCTTGTCTCTATATGACGTGAATGCAAGTCTCTAATGCTTGGCAGATCTAGTTGCCACAAATTGAACAGCAATGATCGGAATCATCGCACACCCACCAACAATAGCGACCATAACCCCCGCTGCACCACCGAACCCTAATGCTGTAAACATATGTGGGAGGTAAAAGGGTCCAATCTAATCAGAGGCTGTAAGCAAAAGTTCGAAGATATGTGGGAGGGGATTTTAGTGCAATTCGAAACTTACAAATCCATAAATCTGTCGGCAGACATTGACGAACACGCCAACTTCAGCAGAGCGCTCCTTTTGACTCTCCACGGCAAAGGTGGTCAAAATTGTGGTCTGCATTTGGTTGCCAAAGCTAGCAATGGCAGCACCAACACACGGCGTTACATTCCAAGTTGTAGCGTGTTGAAGTTGGAATCCCCAGGTCAAAAGACCAGCATAGATGGTGCCAAAGGCGATATAAGACAGCCAGAGGCGATCGGCAGGACACGAGTAGCCTCGTGACTGACGGACACGCTTCAAAAACCAGTCACACATTGGTCCACTGACCTGTTCACCAAGGACACATCCGATAATGATTGCAATGAACTGTAGGCCAATCTGCTGCGCATCGAAGTGGAATTTCTCTCCAAATGCAATGGGCATCTCCACGATCATGGCAATATTGCCATAGCAGAAAGTAATTGCATGAGCACAGGCCGCAATCAAGACACGTGGAGTCATGGCCAGGGAAAATGGTGCCACGAAGTCTCGTGGGCTCAATGAGTGAGAGGTTATCTTGCGGGGAATGAGCTTTCCGAAGAACCCCGACCGCTTGCGTTCATTTTCGGGATTGTAGATTGTTTCGTCACCGATAGCAACGTACACAAGGAACTGGCAGAAGTTGATGATGGCAAAAATCCAAAAGATCCATTGGATTCCAAGGTGTTTAGTAACGAAACCCATGAGGAAAGGTCCCAATGGTGTTCCAATGGTGGTCATCAATGTCCACCATCCCAGCTTCTGAGCGCGTTTCTCAGGTTCGCACAGATCAGTGACGACACCACTACCGTTTCCGATAGGAGGAGAGATCAAGAACGCAGTCAGAACCCGAGTGGCCATTTGTCCTCCATAGGTAGTGCATCTGGCGCCGCCAATATTGCAGACCATACTGCCCAAGACTGAAAACATGCTGATATGATAACGACCGTAGACGGCGGTGACGGGGTTCCAAAGAAGGGGGGCAAGACCTAGAAGTAGAATCTATTTGGTTACCCGTACCAGTTAGCCCCTTTCCATATCACCTTGCGCTGCTGCAATGCGTCACATACCTGGAACGAAGTGAGGTAGCTTGCATCGGGTACTGTAACCCCATATTGCTCAGCGAACATGTCATAGGCTGGGATAATTCCTGCTGCCATGAATGTTGACACGCATGAATGGAAGGCAACCATGAGAATCTGAGCATTTTTCTTCCACCGAGGCCAGTTCCGAGGATCCTGCAGCGATTGAGTTGGACAATCGCCATCCTCGGATGAGTGGATGGGTGGGCTTGGGGACACATCCTCGAGATGAACCGAAGTCTCCGAGTTGGTGGCCTTGTTATTCTGGCCCAAAGTGGCTCCCGACATGGCTTCGGATCCAAGATTACCAGTGGTCGTAGAGGATATGAAACAATGATTCGATATCTTGAAAAGCGTCCCAGCTCTGTAAGAGTCAAAGTTGAAATATGATCTTTGCTCCTGTGAAGAGACAAGGCAAGAGGGTCTAGTCTTGGGTTTTTAAATGGCAGAACATCCTCCGGTGGACCCTTATACACCCCGTACCCCATGGGGCATTTTCTGGATCATTTCACGGGGTGTTGATGGGGTGTGTGGCACTGACGCCGTGGAGCTCGTTCTTGTTGCGTCTGTGATTGGATGCTCTCTGCGGACGCCTCTATCCCTCGGCGCCGTTCATCACAAATTCCGCGATTTCAATGCCCGTCTCGACCATCATCATCCTGAATCTAGGCTTCTGATTCGCTGTGTCTCGAGGTGTAGATGCCGCTCGGCAAGGAGAAAGGGAGTTTCGGAGCTGACCCCGGCCGATCTACGGCATCCTCCGGGATGGGTTCCGAAGCAACATCTTCGCATCAATGTAAATAACTGAAGCCCCCACCGGTCGCGGGCTGACCAGGGTCGACTCGGCTATACATGGTAGAAGTGATATTCTGGTCACGGTATCAAATACATATAGTTTCGGGATGACCAAGCCTGGACACTGGCGATTCATCCACGAGAAGAGCTGCGAACACTCTAGAATAGCGAGCGCGTTTCGTTGAAGTCCTGCAAAGCTGTAAATATCTTTTGAGATAAATAACCCTCAACTGGATGAATAGAAGGAGCGCGCGAGTAGCTGACCCTTTCCCGAATCCAAAAGCCGGGGGTCCTGTTTGTTGTGGAGGAGGACGGAGCATACCCGGAGTCTCAGAATCATCGGAGGTGGATGTGGGGGGTGTTGGTGCCTGATAATGCCTGTATGCCTGAGAATGGTTATTAGTGCCTGGGGCATCAATATGGGTCCGCTTGGAGTCTACCTCGTCGCCCGTCGTCTCCTTGGCAAAGTCGACAACCTGCAAGAGGATACCCTTGTCTACTCCTTTTTTGTTCTGTCTTGGTCCATTTACTTTCCACCGGAAAAGCCCTACCGAATCAATTGATCCGGTCCCATCAGATCCTTGTTCAAAATGCACAGCCAGTTCTCGCAAAACTCGCCCTGGAAATTCCGTGCGACTTCCTCGGCACACGAGCCTCTTCACATATTCTAGAGAATTAGACTCCAGAATTCAGAAATTCTTCGCCAGTCGGGTCAAAAATGGCCGAGATCGTCAATTATCCACTGCGGTTCCCCTGGTGCCGGACCTTCCAAGACCTCGTCCACTGACTCGTGGCTGATGAACATCTCCATTACTCCTTAAACGAGCTCGACCCCCGCATGCCAAGACTCATCCACCCCCATGTTTTTCATCCACTGGCGTCCATTGGCAACGAATGATTGGTGGATTTACATAAATGAATCGTTGACGCGAGTCTTCAATCAAGCGTCTGAACTTTCTCGACGTTGGCCGTTCGGCGTATCAGGGCCCGGGGTTATACTAGACATAAAGCACACCGCACTTCGTCGAGATGTCGGGCTTTCGTTCACCCTGTCTGCGTGGGCAAGCAAGAAGGAACTTGTTCGGGGAACATGGCGACACTTTTGACTGTTCTCCTTACAGGAGTTGGTCTTGCATCGGCCGCACTCCACGTTTCACAAAATGACACGACCATCACTGTCGCCAATGATCGTCTCACGGCTGTTCTGAGCAGAACTGCAGGCCAGATCGTTGATCTTTCCCTCGATGGCCAGGATCTGCTGGGCCCCCAATCAGGCTCCACGGGTATAGGTCCGTACTTGGATTGTTACTGTATCCCTTCCGGTTTCTACACCGCGGGTGCCACCACTCCGTCCACGGAAGTTGTACAGGGAGTGGATTCCACGGGAACCAAGTACGCTGGCTTGATTCTAAATGACACATACACCCCGACGGGTCAGCAATTCCAGCAGTACTGGTTCTTGCGTGATGGAGAGACTGGCCTCCACATGTTTAGCCGGCTGGCCTATTACAACGAGACAACACCGTACCTTCGCAATTTGCAAGAGCTTCGAACTCTGTTCCGTCCAAACACGGCCTTGTGGACCCATTTGACTTCCAGCGAAGTTCAAACCGCCCCTCTTCCGAGCAAGGACGCCGTTAGCCATGAAGTCGTCGTCCAGGATGCAACTTGGTCCTTCAACAACACCCCAACCGATGCCTACTACACGCAGTTCTCGGAATATTTCACTAAATACACCTTTTCAAACCGTAAGCACGCTACCTGCCATTTTGCCTTCGATTTAATTGGACCGTTCACTAACGTATCACTAGCTTGGAGAAACAATAGCGTCCACGGGATGTACGCCGATGGGTCCAACTCATCTGGCACGACGTATGGAGCGTGGCTTGTCATGAACACCAAGGTGAGTTATTATCCGAAATCATGAAAAACCATTGAGCTTGGCTGACAGTGTCTGGGATAGGATACGTACTATGGAGTAGGTCCATCGTTTTATTCAGTTGGTTTAGAATCTAACACATCATAGGGCCCAATCCACTCGGACTTGACTGTGGACGGCATCGTCTACAACTACCTTGTTTCGAACCATCATGGCGAGGGAACACCCAATATCACAAATGGGTTCGACCGAACCTTCGGACCTCAGTTCTACTTGTTCAATGGTGGCAAGGGATCCCAATCGCTGAATCAACTAAGAGCCGAAGCCTTGGATCTGGCCAAGCCCGACTGGAATGCTGCGTTCTATGACTCCATCGCCAAACACGTCGTGGGCTATGTCCCCTCGAGTCAGCGAGGAAGTGTTCGTGGAACCGTAAAACTCCCCAAGGGTGCTGTCCGGCCTATTGCGATTCTGAGTGCCAATGGTGTTTATCACCAAGACAACAGCGCCGTCCCTGATGCTTATCAATACTGGGTTGATATCGAATCTGACGGGAGCTTTACCCTGGATCGTGTCAAGGAAGGAACGTATCGTCTTACTATCTACGCGGAAGGAATCTTTGGTGATTTCGTTCGTGACGATGTCGTTGTTCGTAGAGGAAAATCAACCACAGTCCGCGATACTTGGGTGGAAGAATCGGCGGGAACTGAGGTCTGGCGTCTTGGAATTCCGGACAAGTCTTCGGGAGAATTCCGTCATGGCCATGCAAAGGACACCACCCATCCCCTCCAGCCCCCAGAGTACCTGATCTACTGGGGTGCTTATGATTGGACCAATGACTTCCCCGACGGCATTAACTACACCATCGGGAAGAGTGACCCCGCTGTAGACCTTAACACTGTTCACTGGTCAGTGTTCGGTCCTACTCCATCGAACTCACATGTGGAGTACGATACCACCCACGACTGGAATATCCACTTCACACTGAACGCAAAGCAACTACGTCAAAAGAAGACCGCTACTCTGACAGTACAGCTGGCTGGCGCAAAGACCGCCGCTGGAAATACAGATGTCTGGAACCCTGTGGTAAGTTTCAATGAGCAATCGTATTTCCTTTTATTCTTGTCTCGCGCTCAAACTGACGGATCACTTGCTAGGAACCGTACAACAACCTGTCTCTTGAGAGTTATATTAACGGCCACTCCGACCCTCTAACATTGGTAATTGGCTTCAACCAATCCAGCAGCTGCATCGTTCGGTCTGCTGTGAGCTGCTACCAAGTTGGCTCTCGCATGTCCTTCCCTGCCAGTTGGCTTCACGAGGGAGACAACGTGCTGCGGCTGCACCTCCCTTACAACGCGACCGATACGGAGACTGCAATCTTGCCAGCGACAGTGTATGTGCAATATGATGCACTGCGACTGGAAGTGAAATGATGTGTGATACATTGCTTTTCTATTCTTCCAAACTGTATCTAGAGCACGGCTACATGGCTTTGATCATCAACAAATCTCTGTTCTCTCGAATTCCTGTGCGTAGATACTTCTCCTTGAACTGGAATCAACAGAGCAGTGGTTATTAAAGTGCCGCGCTACCAATTCATATATTCCACGGCCCCTAGAGAGTTTGACTCGCAGGCTTTGCTCCTGGTCTTCAGGGATCCCAAGGCCCTTGAGCTCGGGTTCCCGTCAGAAGTTGTGGCTCTTCATTTCCCTGGACAAGCAGTATATCCTCGTGTCGCACGCCAAACTTATCAACCAAGTAGATACCGGGCTCCGATGTGAACGTCATCCCTGTTTTGAGAAGAGTACCATGATTGCCTTTGTTAAGATATGGACTTTCGTGGGCTATTCAGCGAGTCAAATTGTGTTCACATGAAATCGAGGATGATAGAAACAAAAGTGAAACCTCCATACCTTTAATTCCAATTCCATGACCGACTCTATGCGTGAATGTTCCGCCATATCCAGCTTCAGTGATCACTTGGCGAGCAGCAATATCGACACTGGCCGCTGTCGAGTTTTCTCTCATCTGGTGGATTGATTGGGTTTGGGCTTCGAACACAATATCCCAAACCTATATGAGCTCTTAACTTAGTATTCGAACCGCTCCCAGAGAAATTTCGACGTACCTTGAGCTTCTCCTTCAATTTTGGGGATAAAGTTGCATCTTCCGCCGGCTTTTCAAGGAAAGGGGGAAGAAAGTACGACAGATATCCGAGGAATACCCGTAAAGATGAGCCCTGCCAGATGAATCAGATATTGAATATGGAGTTCGGAATACTAGGCAGACCAACCCGACGTCAATTAGAACAAAGGTTTCTGCCTCTAGAACCTTTTCCCCGTCTGTTCCACCATGCGGGTTTGATGCATTCTCATCTTTAACAAGTTAGTAAAGTCATCATATTTCTCATTGGCAGGTCATGGCGAACCAAAGAGTACAATGTCGAAGAATGGCTCCATGCCAGCTGCTCGCAGTGCATTATCAAGCACGGTGGCTATTTCATTCTCGGTCAACCCGGGATAGAGACCTGATGATTTAGTAAGGAATGAACTCTCAAGTCTGTTTCTGGGGGCTTCTTTAGCTTACATTTCCTCATCTGCCTCACAGCTTCGACGGTACCCGTGTTGACTGCACGCAGAATCTCGATCTCGCGGGCAGTTTTAATCTGTCGGACCTCTTCGACACGACCGCGCAACCCGACTACATCAAAGCCCCCTGACCCAAGGCCCCGTTGGATGAAGTCTCGCATTTCCTCGTCGACCATCAATCGTGGCACACGACTGACGCCAAGAAACACGTCGGACTGGTGAAGTGTATCGTACGGATCCCAATGCTCCTCCCATGGGACAATTTGAATATCTTCCGTGAACGGCATGCCTAACAACCGCGCTCGTTCGGCTTCAAATGACGGGCAGAGAAATGTCGTGTTTGCCTTTACTTGGCCTGTGGTCTGGTCCAGGACTGGACGAACAACCATCAGGAAGGGACGCTCTTCTGGCTAGTTTTAATCAGCATCTTCAAACGGTACGCTGGTGCATCTCAATCTCTGGCAATGACTGACCTCCCAAACTTCCCATTCTGGCTGGCTCACATTGCCATAGTATTTAAAGGTGTATCCAGGCTCCACTACGAAGGCATCAACGTCCTCGGCCACCAGCGCTTGCGCTAGCCGGTCTCGACGCTCCTGGAAATCGGAGGTTGTGATTGGAGATGCGTTCTCTAAGAAGGGCAAGCCGGTATCTAAAAGGTTCTTAATGGCACATTGTTGAAAGTCTTCCAACCGATTTTCTCTGCTGGTTGCTTCGCCATTGGAAGCTCCAATACGATAGTTAATCGGATGCGCCCATGGGAGCCAAAGGTACCGGTACCCAGTGGCTAGCAAACCTGCGGTAGCAATAAACTGTGCCAAATTCCTCACATTAAACCGATTACCCTCGGGGCATTTTGAGGGACGGATAAGAGCCTCCACATCTCTTTGGGTGCTCGGCAGTTGCTTCGACATGGTGTTCAGTCGACGCGAATGAATAAGTTCAGCGGAGGAGAAAAGAGGACAGTTTCAACAATCCCAGCTTTTGAATCCGGCGCCTCGGCAGATTCATCTAAACAGCCGATAGCTAACTTGGAAAATCAGTGCCTATTCAGTGCTATCTCGTTCTTACCTTCCCCGCCCGTCCCGTCCTGGACGGGTGGACTCCCTGAGTGGCTTGTTAGTGAGTCCGTGGGGCCCGCTAGCTTTAGATTCCAACCTATCTAGCGCCTCGCCCGTCTCAGTGTCCACGCCAGTTGCAGATTTCTGATATACTTAACCCCGCACACCAATTGATTGGTTCGATAATCATGGGCAATCTTGACCAAATCCATACCATATATCCGAGAAGTACAGTCCACGCGGAGTGCCGGTGATATGGCCCGGTATAAAGTGCGAATCGGCCCCTTCTTGAAGTCTGTAATAAAAACATATTAGGAATAAACCTAGCAACAAGATGAGCGAACCTGCGGTAGTCGAAGTGCCTGAGCCGCATATACAAAAGCTCGCAACGGCAGAGGTAGCTGAGCCCAAACCAACCCCATCGAAGGAACCAGACTCCCGAAACGCAACAATCCCAAATGCAGAGACTCCCAATGCAATCAAACCAGATGCTACACTTGAAGAATCCGGTCGGGGATACTCCCGAATGTCCATGGTAATGATGGTCGTCTTCAGCGGTCTGGCCATTGGCTCGGACGGCTTCAATGCATCTATCATCGGTAACATAGAATTATTAATGGAAGTCATCTATCCACAATCTCTAACGACCGCGGTCGCGGCTCGCCTATCAAATGCTTTCATGGTCGGCATGATCATCGGGATGCTATCATTTGGATATATCTCGGACAAGCTAGGTCGGAAAACGGGTGCCGTGCTTACAACCACCATTTTGGTCCTCGGTATCGCACTCAGTGCAGGTGCCAGCGGTCTCACTGATGACGGGATGTTCTGGATGTTGATTATCGCCAGAGGCATTGCAGGAGTTGGTGCAGGGGGGTAAGCTTACTTTCCCAAAGCTCAACATAATATAATTCCTCACCTAACAACTTTTTAGAGAGTACCCCGTCGCCGGTGCAGGTGCAGCAGAAGCAACCGACGAAGCTCCCGGTGTGCGCAAGCGTAGGGGCTTTATTTTCGCCATGATTGGAGATCTTTCAGCGTCGCTAGGATTTGCTTTTGGTGCATTGGTGCCATTGATACTACTTCTTTGCTTCCACCAGCAAGTTAGGCACTATGAAGCTGTGTGGCGTGTATCTCTGGCAATGGGTGCCATCGCCCCTCTTTCGATCTTCTGGTTTCGGTATCGAATGGTCGTCAGCTCTGCATATCGTAAGAGCTCAATGAAAAAGCAGCCAATCCCATACTGGCTAGCGATCAAAAAATACTGGAGGTCATTGCTCGGGGTGTGTGGTTCTTGGTTCATGTGAGTGTTTCCCTTATCACAGCAGATATTCCGGGCTGACCAGGTCTGGCATTTTAGCTACAACTACATCTCGTATCCGTTCGGGCTTTTCTCTTCGACCATCGTGGGTAGAGTGAACCCTTCGTCTTCCCTTGCCCTTACCATGGCGTGGGGAACATTGATAAATTGCTTCTACATTCCGGGGGCATTCATTGGAGGTATATTGTCCGATCGAATTGGTCGTAGGCGCACCATGGCACTGGGATTCTTTCTTCAAGCCATTCTTGGCTTTATCCTGGGTGGCGCGCTGGGGCCAATTCAAACGAAACTGCCTCTCTTCATTGTCTTGTATGGCGTCTTCCTTACTCTTGGCGAGGTTGGCCCAGGTGCTACTATTGTTCTCACTGCGAGTGAGAGCTTTCCCACTGCCCTCCGTGGCCATGGAGTGGGTATGGCTGCGGCTTGGAGCAAGGCTGGTGCTGCTATTGGAACCCAAGTATTCAAGCCTATTCTAGCCAGCTGGGGGAATGATGAACTCCATGGTACTCAAGCTGTGTTTCTGATAGGATCAGGATTTGCCATGCTGGGGGCTTGTCTGGCGTGGTTCGTTCTTCAGGACAGTAATAAAATTCTGGATCATGGCGACCAGGACTGGAAGGACTATCTGACAGCTCATGGTTATACGAACATTGAGTGGGGTATTCAGGATCAGCCGGTCATGGCGGAAACTAAAGTTGTGGACTAGAAGGTCATTGATATCTGCTATGCTTGCGGATAGAATTTCTGATTTTCTGAAACAGTCTAATGCGCGAGTTAGCAAAGATTATGGAAATAGGAAAAGGAAACATGACTATTCTTATCAACCTGTACCGGTGCGATTTAGCTCAGCGGGCCGGCATATTCACTCTAGGATGCTTCAAGAAGCGCATTGAGAGGCGGCCATAACTTCTAGCATACCAGCGAATGCCGTCGTAGCCATCCGTATAGACGCAATGTCAATTCTTTCACTGACAACCCACGTCACCTCGGAGAGAACTCAGTAGTCTAGATTCCTGTCTTTGTGCGTATTTTAGACTCGATTAGACCATCTTCTTTATTGGAAATCTTAGGTGCTAGGATTCGGAACGTTGTCTTTTCTGGCTCGCCTCTAGTTGTAATTAAGCAGAGCCTCAAAGTAAAATTATCAGCTCGTGGTACATGAATTAGATGTGAAATGAAGTTTGGAGGTCAGGGCAAAGCATTTGAAGGACGCATCCATTCAGAGCATGAGATTTCTCGACCGAATTAGTGCCTACGGGCTAGCCAATGGACGTTCTCGATATTAGCATCGATGCTGGCCCTCGCATTCACCAATGTCTATAGGCAGAGCCTTGGCAGGCTAGACTAGGGCAGATTATGCTTTCCATGAAACACCAAGACAGTAACCCGGGTGGAACACAGTCAAACACATTGTCGTGATAAGGATCATCGCTCCTTCGAGGATCATGAAGGCAACCTCATTACCAGCCAGCTTGCTTTGGAACCCATCCCGAAGCTCCGCAACTCGGAACACGGAGCGAATAAATATCGCGATAGTCGCAACTAACAGGCCTGACATGAAACAAATCTTAGCAATGGTTGTAATCCTTGGCTTTCTTGGGGCACTCACTGATCAAAAACCATTTCCAGCGCTTACCTTGCATCGCAGGCGAAGTTGGGAAAAGGCCGTTACGGCTAACACGCCACGTATAGTCCAGTGCACACCCAAGGAAAACCAAAAGTGAAACAACTTGAAGAGCCAGACCAGCAATCATAATGTTGACACCGGTATCCTGCATAGATTTTGCTTGTTGACTTGTTCCACCCGTAGTCGCCGTGATTGCTCCTCCTGCAGCCTGGAGAACCAGACACAAAATGTCACTTGTGATGAAAATAACTGCGAATGCTTTGGGTTTGATTCTCGAGAGCGAAGAATCATAGATATTGATAATCCGATAGAAACAAAGGTAAATCACAGCGCTGATAAAGGCCGGGGCAATTGTCAAACAGACGAGGTATCTGTTAATCAGATCAGTACATATTTACCGTCAGGTTTGGGCATTGCGTGTACTAGCAATGCATACAGTAAACTTACTGTACAAAGTTGTTAAACGAGAATGGGTCAGCGTGTAGTTGAAGTCGACCCGCGTAACCAGTTATTTCAAGCACAAGGCCTCCGCCCATACCCACAAGATAGCTCCAGGTCTTATAGCGACTGCTCAAAATAATCTGGGCAACAAGTAGAATTGCAAATACTGCCAGGAAAAAGGTATTTGCACCCACATTCGGTCGATAGTGAATCATGGCATCGGACATTAGGCATGTTTGTAACGTGCATGGAACATAAGCTTGTGTGTCGTTCGACATGATGGCTGACGATCGGAATTGAATTTCAACGAGGGATTGATGGAATCGCAAAGAAATTCGTCGTGGCCATCTTGGTCCTCTGGGTCCTCTGGTTTTATATACTTATTAAAAGACTTCGTATCACTTTCCAAACACTGTCGAGCCACAGTTGCAGGTTCAGGCAACCGAATTGAGCAGCATATTCAAGGTGAACAAGTTACGTATTCCAAATGCTACCCTGGAAACACTATCACTAGCGCTTGCCTCGATCACAAAGCAAACGTTCAGTGCTATGAATAGTTCGCTTTAAGGGCACTCGCGCATGATTCTTTCCCAATTTAGCCTAACACTGAAACACGCGGGAATCTGTCACTTAAGGCCAAGGAAAATACTATGCTATCAAAAAATTCAACGCCCTGGTACGGCGGCTGTCCAGTCAGGGGCAGCAAATCCCCCATTTCCTAAACTTGGTCGATGAGTCCTTATTCTCGCACGAGATACCCAATCATTATTCTAAAAGAGCGATTTTCGGAGAGTCTACTGGGGCTATGACGCGCTCTAGACCACGCCTAATTGATCAATCATTCAGGCCATCATTTCAAGTCCATTTCGTTAGCAATTTTCCTTCATGTCAACATTTATTTTCATACTTAGTTCTCGCTTTCTCCAATGTTAAAAGAAGTGGATCTTCGTGCCGCTCGCGCTTGATTACTTCCCAAATTAGTTTAGCGTGGACCCCGAAAGTTGAAGAGTGGATTGGAAAGTCGGCTGCCTAGGATTAATTTAGCGCCACGCGATTGGTTATGGACAATGAAAGTGAGTCCATTTGAAAGGCGACTAAGTGCCTTCATTAACAGAAAGGACTCACTCGCCAATCTTCCATCAATAAACACAGGCGAGCTTCGAAGCAGTTGAAACATCCGACGTTAAACTCAAGTGCCAAAATGCCCCGGAAACGCGCACTGGGTCCTCTTGACCAACGCAGGAAGGTCATACGCTGCGAAGCTTGCGCAGCCCGGAAAACAAGGGTAAGACCATTGCATGCCCTGTATGGCATGTGCCGTTGCTGATATAGGAGAGCAGTGTGCAGGTGGATATCCCTGTGAAGCCTGCATTCGCACAGGCAAGACTTGCCGAAAACAGAGCAGTGGCTTTTCAAAGGCAGTTTTCGTCTTGTACAAGGAGACCGAAGGGACTCTAATGCCAGCGCAGGTGATGGCAAATAACGAGACTATCTTCGTGGATTGCTTCTTTGCCTTTCTAGGCCGCAATCATTTTGTCTATCATACAGAAGTATTGATCGAGGTGCTCCTGCCCTTAGTGAACAAGTCTACTCTGTTGAGCGCTGTAATCAGCGCTATAGGTGCTTTGGATGCTTCACGTCATGGTTCTTGCAGCACTTATACCAAAAACGGAAATCCTCGGGCTTTAGCGTATAAGTCGTACGCCTCTTCGATCGAGTCTTTAAAAACGGAATTGCTGGGCTCGGAGGTCTCTCGACGGGACGACGTTCTTTGGGCGACGTTTTTCCTCGGATTGTTTGAGGTATCTCTTCCCATCTGTTGCAAAGGCGGCTCTTCAGGCTGACCAACTTGAAACTATAGCTTATGGTCGATTCATCCGGAGATGGCTGGGCGAAACATATGCTATATGGTACATCTCAGCTTTTGCAGGCTGCGGGGCCTAATCAAGCAATTTCCCATTCACGCAAGGCCTTCCTTGGCATTTTTAAGATATTTGAAGCAAACCGAGCAATCCTTTATAGCGAAGAAACCATTCTATCTCGCCTTGACTGGACCTCAGCATATCAAATGAACGCCCACATACCTTTGCATGATTGGGACAGTCTAGGTCCAATCTCATCGATAATGGTCCAGATATCAACCTTTAATAACCGGTATGCAGCAGCTAACCTTTGAATAATCTTTGCCCCACTAACTTCTTCGTTTCCAGATTCTTTAATTATATACCAAAAGTTGCAAGTTTTGACATACGGGATCCGATCTTGGACCACCTCGGCTTCGAGGCCTTTGGAATCCAGAGGGATTTATTCGAATTGCATGGCCAAATCACAAACTCGAGTCTTGGAGACCCACGGAACTTGCATTTCCGTCAAGCATTGCCATACTACCACGCCACGTTACTCTTTCTTTTTAACACGTTTGACTATTATGGCTGCTGGAATCTAGATTATTCTCCCTACCTGTCCAGGGATGACATTGGCCAGCACGTGGACCAGATTCTCCATCAGGCTGGAATTCTACTCAATTCACATGGTGAATCTGGTATACTATTAATCTTCCCACTTCGGGTTGCTGGGACACGTGCAGAGACTGATGACCAGAGATCTGCCGTTCTGGTACTGCTGGATTGTATCTTCAAACGTGGATTTATTGTCGTGAACAGAATCAAAGACGATCTCCATCAATTTTGGGATTGGAAAGATAGATCAGGCACTTTTCCAGGAGGATTATAATTACAATAGAAAAGTTTCAGCATTGGGCCCAGTGACTTTCCCAATTTGGTCATAATCGAGCGCGGTAGTAGTGCCCCACAATTATTTAGGCATCTAATATGTACAGCCTCGATTGATGATCGCCGCTCTTGGAAGACCCTCATTAGAGGTAACAAATCAAGCATATATACAGGGACAATGGTCAGTCTGAGTGATCTGCAAAAAGCAGAAAGAATTCACACCGTTGTCTTGGATCAACCTACCTCTTCTATCACTGGCACTCGATCTACTATGAAGCTCCTGTGGACTCTTTCTTTCTCCCTAGTGGCTCTGGCCGCCTCCATCCAGTCGACAGACTCATCCTGTGATGACTTTCCTACCTCGACGCTCGAATTCACTAGCGAGTTTCAGCAGCCAAAGCCGCCGCTAGTGAAGCCTGAATTCCAAACGAGTTTCATTCAGCACAAGTGGTACACGATTCGATCTTGCCGTTAGCATGAAATTTTACTAAAATAGACAAGGAACAACAACCTCTCCCATATCACTTCGGGCTATATTTACTTTTCCCCCTCGCAGAATCTCGTCCGTGCCGATGAGGCCTACGACGGGGGCCTGGCGTCCTCGATCTTCGACTACTCGAAAACTAACAAAGAGGGTTTGGTCCTGAACAAACTCACCTCGTATGAGGTCAATAGTACCGATCCTACCGTGTGGATGGGCTATGTCATGTCCAATTATCCTCTTTTCACCGAGGACTTCTTGATTCGAGGTGATGCTGTGTTCGGTGGACTGGTGAAGAGGAACTTGCTAACGAAACATGTTGCATCTGTCAGTTCAAGCAGCCATTTCCTTTCTCATGCAAGGCACGCTAACAAACTCCAGTGGAATCTCATGTACTCATCAATTCCGGTAACTGTTTTCGTGGACGCTTGCGGTGTGGTTGTTGGATATGACTACTTTTCTCCCGGCCTTCGGACGAGAGTCGTGACAGACTTTTTCAACATTGCTATTGGCCCAGTTAAAGTGTGACATACTACGGATCCTCGTGTTTGTCACTTGACTGAAGGCTCGAGGTTGGTTTCTGTCGATGGGTCTATGCTATAAACAGAGCTAGAATGAAGAGTGCCAGTTTTCGAATGTTCCGAGGAATTTTAGAATGCCCGATGTGATTTCATTCGCCTGTCAAACAGTTCATCAAATTGTGATCGGTACCTCTTCCCAGATCAGTATAGTTATTCATCAGCTTCTGTAGTTATTTGTAAGTAGGTAGCAGTCGAGAATCAGGCAGGAATGAGGCAGGAATGAGGCGCCATGGCCGCTTTCATGTTATTCCAGACCGCCAAAAATGATTACATAATTACTGCCGTCACGAGAAATCCAAGGCGGTGAAGCTGGTGATGTCACTGGTGTCCGCCTCAAGCTCTCGTCTTTAACGAGGTGGCTGATCGACCATACTAAAATTAACCTCCAGCATTCAAAATGGGAGGTGGAAGCCAATTTCCCTCGGATGGAGGCTCTCATGGAAGCCCCACAACATCCTCAGTCCCAGGACAGAATGACTATCTACACGCGGTGGTCGATATGGGCAGGTACGCCGATCTTTAAGAGCGCGAACCCAAGTCCGTTAGCCCAATCATTGACCCCTCCATCTCTCTTCCTTCGGCAACAGTAATGGTATCCGATGCTCGATTTCCGAGCTCACCTCCCCAACTACTCGCATCATCCCTACAGTCCACTTCCATCGCGTCAATGTCTCCCTCTACGAGGCACAAACCGATCCCGCGACCGGTACTCGCATCCCTATTTCTCAACATGTGATCGACCGAGTGGTCAGCGCTATCGTGCGGTTTCAAATCATCTGCGTGGAGCTTGGAGTACCAGCTTCTAACATTCGCATTATCGCGACCGAAGCAACCCGGACAGCAATCAATTCCGCTGCGTTCACCGACGCGATTTACAAGGAAACGGGGATTGAGGTCGAGCTTCTACGGAAGGAGGATGAGGGGATCATCGGCGCATGGGGTATTGCTAGCAGCTTTTCCGACGTGGAAGGGCTGGCTCTGGATCTTGGGGGTGGAAGTATGCAGATGACTTGGATTATCTCGCATGCGGGCAACGTGCGCATCAGCCCCCAAGGCGCAGTGAGCTTCCCCTACGGAGCTGCCGCACTAACCCAGAAACTGGCCGACTTGAAGCGAGGGAAAAGCGATGACGATGCTGAAAAGGCAAAGGAAGAGTTCCGCCGCGAGATGGCGAACAACTTCCGCGCTGCATTTGATCGCCTCGAAATTCCGGAGAGCCTCCTAAAGAAGGCACGCGAGCAGGGTGGATTCCCCTTGTACTTGTCTGGCGGAGGGTTTCGTGGCTGGGGCTATCTCTTGCTTTACTTGCATCAAACCCGCGGCCAGAATTATCCCATTTCCATCATCAACGGATACACTGCGCCCAAGGCGGATTTCGAAAACACCGATGCCCTCAAGGAAGTGGCTCGTACAGCAGACGAGATCTTCCGCGTTTCTGATCGGCGCCGTAAGCAGGTTCCGTCTGTCGCGTTCCTGGTCAAAACACTTGCCGAATCTTTGCCGCATGGGATCAAGGAGGCGCATTTCTGTCAAGGAGGTGTGCGAGAGGGTGTTTTGTTCCGAGAAATGCTACCAGTGGTCCGTCAACAAGATCCCTTAGAGGTTGCGACCGCTCGATACGCGCCTTCGTCGGCTCAGGCAATCGCCGCATTGATGCTGGCTGCTCTACCCCGACCGAAGGATTCGCATTCAGTTCCATCCACAATCAGCGTGCACGTGGTCCAGGCATTTGCCAATGCCCTCTACGTGCATGCCTCGATGGCCAAGGAACTCTCCTCCAGTGCAGCTCTGTATAGTACAAGCACTGGCATCCTCGCCTCGACTCATGGTATCCCTCATTCTCAACGGGCTCTGCTAGCGCTGATGCTCCAGGAGCGGTACGGTGGAGAACTCCCACCACGCGATGTGGACCTCAAATCCCATCTCCAGGGGCTTCTCACTCCAGAGGAAGTCTGGTGGACTCGCTACCTTGGCAAATTCGGCCTAATTCTTGGCCAACTCTATCTAACCGGTTCGATTGATACTTCCAAGCCCCGTATTGTCCCCTCTGCCGAATGGGTGACGGAACTGGGCAAGAAAGGGAAAAAGGATGGGATTGAGTTGAAAATTGCCATTCAAAAAGTTGCATACGATCCGACCCATTTGAAGGGGGAATTGGAGCACGATTTGCGGAAGCTCGAGAAGGTAGGAAAACGCAAGAATTGGATTGGGGGGAGACATGGCTGGGGAATGAAAATTCTGGTGTCTGTGGAAGAGGAGGATCTTCTGGTCGTTTAGCCCTCCAGCTTACGGCTTCACACTGACCAGATCGCCTCTTTGTGGATAACATCCCGTCCTACAGTACATCGTGCTGTATTTTCGCACTGCGTGCTACTTTCTGTCATCATTCTATGGAGCATTGTCATGGGCAAAGATTGTTTACTATACCATCATACCCTCATGGGCTCCTGGTTATATTCGTGTTATTATGTGTCATGATCATGATTCGCAGAATCGGCGTTGGCATTAAACAGGCAAAACATACGACCTCATTCAAGATTCTTGCATCTTTAGCCCCTTTTTATCCTTCTACGGAAGAAATCGCGCGTCGAGATCCACCAAGTGGGCACCATCTTTCCTGTGCGTCGGAGAACTCAGAACTGCTGACGTTCAGCTCTTGGAGGACCCTGATTCCCTTGGCGAACGGACCGTGCACACTATCTCATTGTATTGCACTGAGTGCAGAGTACCATGGCCAATTCCAAAAGTCATGACGAAACGCTCATGAGCTATGCGAGTATTTACTTAGGTAGACCACCATACCGAGTTCAATTCGAAGCTTCTATGAGAAAAAAAAGCCGGTTCACAGACCCAGAAAAATGTTTCACTGACCAGGCAGACGTGAAAAGGCTGCCAATGGGTTGCTAGTAAGTGGACCCTTTATTGAAGCTTTCGTGCTCCACTTCGCCTTGTAGGGCTGAACCCGATTGCGAACTCGCGAGAAAACCACGGCGGCTGACCGAGTCGGCACCCGGAAAGGGCAAACGGAAAGTTTCCATCATGTCGGACGATCTTATCTGATGCGACATATTTATCTGATCCGTCTGCCGGGTCTTCTCCAGCATTCTCTTCCTGCGCTCTGAACGCTGCTACTCTCGCCATGGCAGAGGCCAAGGAGGTTGATGTTCTTGAAAAACATGCTCAGGATGACCATCAGTCTGATGCCGGTAAGAATATTTCCCTAATTTCCAGACTTCTGCATATTTTCCCCGGGCTTTATCTACGTCCAGGTTCTAACATGCATCCCTATCGATTCAGACTCTCAGGTCGATGTCCTCCGAGCAGCCGGTATAGGCATCGATGAGGATGACCCAACCGAACCAATTCTCACTTTACGGATGTGGGTGCTCGGAATCGGCTTTTGTATCGTCGCGAGTGGCCTGAATACGCTATATACCCTCCGAACGCCCTCTCTCACCATCTCTGCCTCGGTGGTTCTTCTGTTGGCCTACCCGCTGGGAAAGCTTTGGGAAAAGCTAGTGCCTAGCTGGAATGTTCCACTTGGGAATTGGTCTTTCAACCTTAACCCTGGCCCCTTTAATACGAAGGTCAGTCATTGAGTGAATAATAGAGAGAACACGATTTGCAATTGCTAAACCAATCCATCGACAGGAACATGTTCTCATCTACGTCATGTCAAACCTCAGTATCTATGTTCGCCTAGGGGCTGATGTCTTGACCGAGCAGCAGATGTTCTACGGTTATAAAGCCGGATGGGGATTCCAAGTATTGATTACCCTTGCCACTTTCCTGGTTGGTTTCTGTCTTGCGGGCCTGTTTCGTGCTATCGTGGTAGTTCCCAAAGAACTCATCTGGCCCGGTGTCCTTGGCGTCACTGCTCTTACCACTACCCTGCACAATATTGGCCAGGGTAAAGTGCAAGAGAGGTAAGCGTTCTTTTACTCTGCATCCGCAACGCCGACGCGTCTCTTAAACTCTTGTCATAGCTATAATACTTGGAAAATCTCTCGCTATGCATTCTTTACCATCACCTGCTGCATCTCGTTCTGTTGGTACTGGTTTCCAGATTTCATCTTTCCAGCTCTCAGCTACTTCAGTTTCCCTTGTTGGATCAATCCGACCAACCCCGTCGTCAATCAGCTGTTCGGCATGAGCTCTGGAATGGGACTTATACCCATCACATTTGATTGTACACACTCCGTCCTGTCGGTGGAATTATAAACTAACAACCCAAATAGGGAGCCAAATCTCTTATGTCGGATCACCACTGCTGATTCCATCATGGGCAATTCTCAATGTTTTCGTATCTCTGGTGTTCTGGATTTGGATCGTGGCTGTCGCTTGTTATTACACGAATGTGTGGAGCACAGGGTATCTTCCCTTTCAGAGCTCTAAAGGTAGGGCAACCATCATTGCTATCCTCCGTGTTGTAACCTCGCACCTAATGATGAATCTTAGTTTACGATAACACTGGAAGTGTATACAAAGCATCCAAGATTGTCAACAAGGCTTCCGGGTATACACTGGATGTCCAGAAATACCTTGCATATTCCCCCGTTCGTTAGATCCTATGTCTCACTGTTACGCAGGCTCCCCAAACTTACCAGACATCTAGGTCTACATGCCGATTACGTATGCCTTGAATATGTTCGGCCTATCCTTTGCTACACTGAGTGCCTTGTTGGTCTGGGTCATTCTCGAACATCGCCAATCTATGGCTGATGCTGCTAAGAGGGTTCCCAAACTAGTGATGGAATCTCTCCCTGGTCGGTCCAAATCCGAAGGTCAGGACGAGACTGGGGCGCCCGATGTCCCGATTTGGTGGTATCTCGTTGGCTGTGCGCTTGCTTTGTTCATGTCTATTTTTGCGGTGGAGTATTGGGATGTCGAGCTTCGCTGGTACGGAGTTCTGTTGGCATGCGCCGTTGCACTCGTCTTCTACCCTCCAGTATGTCACCCACATCGACGTGCATTGGACACCGTTACTTCGCTAACATATTTTTCTTTCTCTTTTTCAGCTGGCCATTGTATACGCAACATCTAATCTGAAGATCAACATTGATATTTTTTGCAGAATTGTTGCAGGATTTGTCTTTGAGGGCAAAGTCCTGGCCAATATCTGGTTCTTTGATCTCGGGTATATCACCACTATCAAGGGACTGTATTTCGCTCAGGACATGAAGCTTGCCTACTACTGCAATGTGAGAAGTTCCAACCGCCTGTGGGACCCGATTCAGACGGATGAGGCTAACACTTTTTATTCAATTCCAAGATTCCACAACGCAAAATCTTCCTTGTGCAATGTGTGGGCATGATCGTTGGGACCCTTTCCTCTCTTGGAGTTCTGAATTGGGCTCTCAATCATATCAGCGGAGTCTGCACAAGCGCCGCCGTGAATGGTTTCAGCTGCCCATACTCCAGCACCCACTTCAACACATCACTCATCTGGGGTGCGATCGGCCCACGTCGCTATTTCTCAAATCAGATTGGCTACCACGCTCTTCTGTACTTCTTCATCATCGGTGCTATCCTTCCAATCCCCGTCTACTTCCTGAGTCGCCGGTATCCCAACTCACTTTGGAAGCGAGTCCACATTCCGTTGTTCCTTGGTGGCTTGAATTACCTACCACCTGCGACTGGAATGAACTACGGCAGTTGGGCGATTGTGGGTCTAACCTTCGGTTGGCTCATCCGAAAGCGGGTTCATAGCTGGTGGAGCAAATATAACTTTGTGCTCAGCTCTGCCTTGGACTCCTCCGTGGGAATCGCAGGCGTGGTCATTTTCTTGACCGTTTACTTCACTGGGGCAAGCGATCATTTCAGCTGGTGGGGCACAGAGGTTTACCAAGTAAGTGCATCATACGCTCTTTCAAATTCGAGAATCTTTTGCTAATTTTTTTCCCAAGAACACCTGTGATTGGAAGGGGTGTCCATATCTCTCAGTGCCCAAGGGAGGGAAATTTGGTGTGTGAATGGCGTCTTGAAATGCCTGTGGTTCGGCAAGTAGGCGTGGCAACACTCATTATGCCGATAGATTAGAAAATAAGATTTGTTTAATCCAAGTTAGTACCTGTGAGTCAGTGGGCTTTATAGAGACATTGTTTAATTTGCGAGAGATTGTTTGCGAAATTCGACATCCATGATGAATACCCACCCGCCATAACATGAAAAGATTTCTGTTGTCCGTCTCCGTCTACAATAGAAAGCACCTCCAAGGATGGGAGGGCAATTATTAGTAGAAATTTATTAGCAGCGACACTAACCGACCGTATGCTGTGCGACCTTGATACTCGGATTAATTCTCGGATCCTCGGCCTGCTTCGGGTATTTCTCCGACCCTGTCACGTGGCGGTAATCAATCAGATAAGATTCGATTGCTGCGCCACAGCCACAAGGAGATCCTGTTGCCATCGCCAACTTTGGACACAAATGATTTAGTGAATGAAAGGGTAACTGAAACAACCTAGACTTGAATTTTAATCAGATTCCCGATCGTTTTCTTTCTCCCTGATCGCCTCTCTGGGTGGCCATTCTTGGTTTGAGAGGATTTTTTTTCGTGCTCACCACGTGGGTCCACATCCATGGATCAGTGCGATCCTCGGCACTCCCCTCTCATTCTCATCCGCATCTCCGTCCACGCCGCGTTTTCTCGCAGTTCGGCTGCCAGAGCCTGGCCACAACCATGCGATTCCTCAGATGGTTAGGCATCATTCTCAGTGCTCGTGGCGTTCGGGGAGAGACCCTTGCCAACGATGAGCTCTGTGTGACTGCAATCTTTTCCGCATACAATTACATATCCTTCCAGGGAGACCCCGCAAAGGGAATGTGGGATACACGTTGTCGGAATCCACTCAAAGTCGCTTCTATATATGCATCTTCGGAGAGATACTGCCGTGATGGGGAGCGTCTTGCTGGGCTGGCACAGCTATCGAAACTCTGCCAGGAGGTCGGTCACCGCGAGCTACTGTCGAGAGATGCTGTTGCCGAGAATTTAACTAGAGAGGCCGTTCGCGACATGAGAGTTGTGGATTACTTGGAGCTTTCAAGGGCAGATTATCAACAATCACCAGTTCTTCTCTCTGCATCCTACTATGGTCGCATGTTCAATACCCTCGTACGTATCACCGAATATCGTGGCATGACATGACATATTCCCTAGAAGCTAACACTCTGTTCAAATAGGACTCTTGGCAGTTCGAAACATGGTCTCATCATGCATTTAGGTATGGAGCTTGACATGTGCACCCTTAGAACCTTGATGCATGACTGATATATATATTCCCGATAAGCTATATTGGTTACGCCTATTGGGCAGGAATATTGTCACTGGGAATTCTGTATCGCCTATGGAATTGGATGTTCTTAACCCGACAGCATCAAATTGAGTATAGCCCAGCGTCCAGCATATACCCTCCGACTGGCTCCTGGCGTCAATTATCGTTGGTGGAAAATGCCGTTCACTGGGTTTCAACACACCTGATTATCCCGGCTCCACTCGCTGGTCGAGGACGCCGTTTACTCAGCTGTACATTTACCACGCGAGCAGAGGCCATTGTCGTAGCAGGCTTTTGGCTACTGAGCCTTATACTAAGTGTAGTTGGCTATCGAACTTTTCCTGGGAATATTTAGTATGTCTTGTTTGGCTTTGCTCAAAGTATCACTTCGCTAACGACCTGCAGCTGGCCCGATGTCACAAGTCAAATTTTACGCTACTCAGCAGATCGAACCGGAATCATGTCTTTCGCCAACTTCCCTTTATTGCTTCTATTAGCTGGGCGCAATAATATCTTGATCTGGGCTACAGGGTGGAGTTTTGCGACATTGAACGTTTTTCATCGCCATGTGGCACGGATAGCCACGGTACAGGCAGTGGCACATTCGGTCCTCTACTTTGTGATATGTGTACGAAGTAAGTGATGCAACTCGTGGGCTCTAGGCGGTTGCACAGCACAGAGTACTAAGCAATACGAACGGGTAGTCAACAAAGTATGGAAAGAGATGACCAAGGTTTATGTCCTGTGGGGAGTCTTGGTAAGGCTCTCAATCATGGCCCAAGCACTGGCTCCTGGATGGATGTTAACGGATAATAGGCCTTCGTACTCATGATCCTGGTATTGATCACCTCTTTGGATCGGATACGTGCTGCATCCTACGAGATGTTCATGGTCGCACACATTGTGTTCTCCGTAGCCACCCTTGTCGGTTGTTTCTAGTGGGTCCACGCCAGCGCATGTTGAGCCATCTCGTATCTGCTGACACCCGACAGTCACACCATTGTATTCGAGGGCCACGAGTATTGGCAGTATCTGTGGCCATCCGTGATAGTGTGGGCAATCGATCGGTTTCTAAGGCTCGTTCGGATAGTCTATTGCAACGTCCATGTTAGACTGTCCAAGGGCAAATTGATAAATGTCACAGAGAGTCGCATGACATACGATGAAGCAGCAGATGTCATTCGGTTGGAGGTGAATCCAGGTCTTCCAGGTTTAGAAGTCCGACCAGGGGACTACTACTTCCTGTACCAGCCATTCCGCTTTACTGGCTGGGAAAACCATCCGTTCACTGTTGGGGCTTCGAGCTATGAGGTGGATCAATCGGGAGCGCAGCTGGACATTTCTGGCAAGCCTCGCAACTCTTTCGATAATTCTCAGCTGCCGCTTCTTTCAGAGACCTTGACTGGTTGCGAAAACTTGGAAACAGGGAACGGGCTATACCAAGGATCATTGATTCCAAAATTGACCTTCTGGATTCGTCCGTATGATGGTTGGACGCAGCAGCTTCGCCAGCAATGCCTGCGTGCGCCAAATCAGCCCGTCCACGCCACCATTCTCCTAGACGGCCCATACGGACAGGGGTTCCCACTGTGGAGATATGAATCGGTGCTGATGATTGTGGGAGGCACTGGGATTGCAGCTGCGGTGCCATATCTTCAAGATCATCTCCGGCGGTGTGCCAATGGCTGCTCTAGCCCATCAAAGGAAAAGCCACGAACCAGAGAGATCGAGTTAGTATGGACTACACGACAGTCAGCCTTCATTCGTGATCTTACCGATCGTGAACTCAAACCGATGCTTGACCAGGAAGACTTCCGTGCTTCTTTCTATGTTACGGGGTCCTCGGATAGATTTCGCGAAGACTGGAATGGTCCTGGGTATACTGTCCAAATGGGTCGGCCGAATCTTCAATCGCTCATTCTGAGCCGTGCAGCTGATGCCTATGTGGCTGGAATGAAGCTGGCCATTGTGGTTTGTGGTCCAACTGGGATGGCCGACGAGGCGCGTGCGGCCACTCATCTGGCAATGCGACGAGGCTACCGGTCAACCCAGTATGTGGAGGAATCCTTCACTTGGTGAATGAATACGTCAATGGTTGTGACGTGTGCCGTGCCAACACGGTCTTTGCACGATTCTGTGTTTGCGGTGAAGATATGATGAGAGGTTCCCAAGGCATAGAATAATAGATCATGGATCCTGAGCCTCCGTAGGCCCCTTGAAAAAGAAATATCTACCACGCCCGTGGGTTACCAGTTCATCATTCGCCGGTAGATTTTGGGTTACTCAATCGTTATTGTAAGTGCTGAGCGATCGGCTTGAACGAAGCCTGGTAGAGAAGGGATATACATCGTAGCGGCGCCCGGGGAAGCTCTCTAATTATGCATGATGCAGGAGGCTGTTGCTGCACGTCCCTCCCTGCATGGATTTATTGATTTCAAATTAAGCCCCGAGTTAAGAATTGCGACCAATCGACTCGGCCCAAATGCCGGTACCTGACGTCTCAATTTCTATTCCCATAAAATAGACACCGAACACGCCATTTTTTATCCCGCTGTTGTAACAGTCAGAATAGCCGATAGCCGGTCGCGACCGTCGCTTCTACTTCAGTGTTTTTTTTTTAACTTGTCTTCATTAGCCTTTGATCTCTAGCGGACGATCGCCCGCCCCCAGATTCACTAATTTAGCAACTTAAATGCTTGATAGATCACATCGCCGATCTCTCCAGGAATGAAAAACAATTGCCGCCGCTCAAAAGCAAAAATGAAAAAATTATTGCATCTCGAGAGCTGATCTTAATCTTGACATGCTCTTGCCAATAGTACCCAGCCATGTCGCCTCCCCACAGTTCGTGTTTAGGCAGCCTCGCATCCACCTTATGCTGGGATCTGGATCTTCGCGATGTTTGCCTGGGGGGATTATTACACAGTTTTAGCCAATCGTCCAAATATTCCGTCCTGCGTGCAGCCGCCTCTCCTGGTTTTTCTGCGATCTGCAGGGACCATAGGGCCTGGTTCCTGCAGCCGCATTCCCCGGGTTGAACATGTCGTTGCTGGTCCTCTTGGCGAAGCAAGAGGGAGCTGTGCAGGAACCCTGTTTTACTTCGTCCAACTCCGCATCGAGCAAGAATCTACACTTGCCACCAGCAGGGTCGTCAACACTATCGACTTCTCTGGCGCACGGTGTGAGATCAAGGGCGTCCAGCTGAACAAAAGCACATCTGCATTGATGGTCAAAGTACGGTATACACCAACTGAAGGGATTTCAAAGGGGTTCGGGCACGATGGAGGACGAATATAAAAGAGATCGGATTTCCAGTCTAAATCTATCTTTCCATCCTCAAGCTCATCACTCTTCGAATCATCCATTCTTTCCCAAAAGACTTTCAGTCGCCTATCCTTTAATTAATCACTTTACGTGTTTATCATCCAATCCATCAAAATGAAGTTCTTCGCCACTGCTCTCCTCTTCGCTGCCACCGCCATGGCCCTCCCCTCCGGCGGCGACTCCAGCGTCGAGTACCCCCTCGCCAAGGACGTCACCTTCGAGCAGGCCAACGCCAAGTGTGGCAATGACGCCGTCGTCTCCTGCTGCAACAAGAAGAGCACCACTGGCGATGTCACTACCCTCAACAAGGGTCTTCTTAACGGTGTTCTGGGCAATGCTCTCAACAGCGTCAGTCTCTTCGACGGCTGCAATGACCTCAACCTGAACGGTAAAAAGCTTCGCGAAAAGTCCTGAAACTTTGAATCAACATCTGACCTGTATATAGTTCCCGTCCTGAACTTGGTTCCCGTCAACGCCCAGGACCTTGTCAACAAGAAGTGCCAGCAGAACATTGCTTGCTGCCAGAACACTCGCTCCGAGGCGGTATGTCATTATTCTCACCTTTTGACTTGAAGAACCTAGCTAACAGATACTAGAACAACGACCTTGTTGGCGTTGCTCTGCCTTGCGTTGCTCTCTCTAACCTCATCTAAATGGCGCTCACGCCACCATTCCTCGAACAGATTTCTCTGTGAAGCTCACCTTGTGGAATGTCTTGGGCCTACGAGGGAAGGAGTACAATGCAGTTACGTACATATATGTACACATGAGCGTCTGGGCAAGGGCCTTTTGTTCCGGTGCACTGAGAACAGCAAATTGTCTGCTTCTCTTATGTATCATGTCGTTCGTTCTCTTCTCCTTTGTCGTCTTTTCTGGGACGTGCAATTAGTGTAATTAAAAATTATTTTAATAAAAGGTCCTTGCTATATACTGTCTTGATTTTTCATCCGCTGCACCTTATAGATATCGCTTGTTTTGTTCATCGTTCACTCTGGCATTGGAGCTTGAGCCAATCTGCAATTACCTCTCGGTTTTCACCCCACTGGTCTGGATAGAAAGTCTTACCTATTGAATTTCAAGAGGGGGCCACCACTCTCCAGGATAACATCCCTTCTTGTTCTCACCTCTGGAGGCCGAGTGAAAGCTGGCAATTCGAATTGGAATCTGACCAATGAATTTAGGGTTTGCATGACAGATCACAAGGAGTTTTTGGGAGGATATGCTCCTCTAGACCCTGCAGCTGTCAAGCCTCGCATGTACAGAACATGAACAGAACAAAACTCTGTGGAGACACGGAGTGTTTCCGCCGATACCGGGCTGATTGATTAGATCTTTGCAACCTTGTCATACTGACAATTCCCCACCGGACAGAAAAACGGTTCAACATCCGGTATAGTCGTCGCGGTGGACTAAAGCAGGGTCTCTGCAGCCCTTTTAGCACAGCTCATCCGGATCAAACCGGCAGTGATCCACATTATTGAAGCTGGCTAGGTTTGTTAGCCTTCCCCAATCACCAGCACTGAAGGTTAGCATACGGGGGAAGCAAGACTATCCCCCGTGGAGTTGCGCGTTCATGTCAACGTATTTGCAAGACCATATCGTATATGTATTTACTCCCTTTTTGCAAGTTATAATCGTTTGTGACGCCATGCAGAAAAATCTCAAAATTATCTGATCCGAGCGGGGCGCCACGAGGCCCGCCCACCGAATCCAAGTGGATCATCCCTTTCAGGTATTTTCCGGTATGTACACAGTACATCCAACTCGGATGGATGTATTACCCGTGTATACACTAATGATACTATGACAATCGAGGATTCTGACGAAAAAGTCCGGAGCGAACATCCTCACTGGGAAACTTCCTTGGCTGATCGCTGCCACTCTCCAAGAAGAACCAGGCAAATATCCACAGATGATCTCGTTCTCCAGACTGAGACAGACTCTCAACGCCTGTTCCGTGCTCAGTTCACTGCCAAAGACTGGAATATCCGATCTGGCTTCCGTCAATGTTATTCTTGGATAAGCAGGAATAACATTGGAATATGTTCAATCAACTTTGGTACGCGGAAGACTGCAAAGGGTCTTCGCCTTCGCTTCTGTGTGCCCATGACGTGGAGTGGACCCCCTCGACACGCCAAAATATTCCAGAATCGCTGCACCTTTGCGACAAATTACCTGTGAAATGTTAACTGCAGTAATAGCATACTAGCTATGTATTCTGGTACAAGTTGACGGGTGATACCGCCAACCACTTGTCCATCCTCCTCCGTATGAATCCACCCTACAATACGCCGCTCCACCACACCCGCCTATCTGATTGATCGATGGCTATCTGATCAGATACGGAGAAAATTAAATCGAAAAAAATCGAAAAAAATCACAAAATTAATGCCGCGGTATCATCGGCTCTGCTATAAGCCCACGAATGCGCTCCATCTTCTCCCGAAATCGCACACTTTCTCTTCGCTATCCCTTGGCCTACTGAGCGACGAGCTTCTACAAGCCATGGCTGTCCCCCGGAGTGTTCATCGCCTGCAGCAGACGCTGTCTCACGTTCACCCGCCACCAGCACCCCTCCAATGGTCAATGGTGGCGGGGCCAACTCAGCCGAAGCTCCTGGACATTACCCTCGGCGAACTGTTGACGTTGCAAGCGCTGCAATATGGGGACTATGAGTGCTTGGTTTTCCCATGGACGGGCGCACGATGGACTTATGCCGATCTCAAGGATGAGGCCGACCGTCTCGCGCGTGGTATGCTTGCCATGGGCATTCAAAAGGGCGATCGTGTCGGTATTATGGCCGGCAATTGCGAACAGTACATCTCGGTCTTCTTTGCGGCGGCGCGAGTTGGCGCCATTTTGGTGGTATTGAACAACACCTATACTCCGTCGGAGCTCTATTATGCTCTGAACCATACTGGTATGTTAATCATTGCCCATGGAATTGCCATAACAGAGTCTCGACTGACCACTGCAATCCCGATACAGACTGTCGCTTGCTCTTCATGACTCCTCATATCGGCCGTCACAACCTTGAGGAAGTCCTAAAAGAGCTTGGCCCCAAGCCCAAGCAAAACAACACATCGAAATGCCTGGACGAGATCGTGATTCTCCGCGGCAACTACCAGAATTTCACCACCTACGACGACGTCATCTACCGGGGCCAATCACAGGAAGCTCATGTACTACAGGATCGCGAGGCCGAGCTGCGACCCGACGACGTGTGCAACTTGCAATTCACCAGCGGCTCAACTGGAAATCCCAAGGCAGCCATGTTGACCCACCAGTACGTACTTGGAGATGACTTTCAGGGAAAACTAGAAGATCAATACTCACCAATCCTTCAATAGTAACCTTGTGAACAACTCGCGATTCATCGGCGACCGCATGAACCTCTCCTCTTTCGACATTCTCTGCTGTCCCCCTCCACTCTTCCACTGCTTTGGCCTAGTTCTGGGCATGCTGGCAGTGGTGACCCACGGCTCGAAGATCGTCTTTCCCAGCGAAACCTTTGATCCAAAGGCCGTGCTACACGCCATCTCAGACGAGAAATGTACCGCCCTGCATGGTGTCCCCACCATGTTCGAAGCCATTCTCAGTATCCCCAAGCCTGCTGGTTTTGATACCTCAAACTTGCGCACGGGAATCATCGCCGGAGCTCCAGTTCCACGTCCATTGATGAAACGACTTCTTGAGGAATTGAACATGACCGAGTATACTAGCAGCTACGGTATGAACTGCACCGTAACGATTTCTATCTCTTTCCATGCTGACACTACTCTACCAGGTCTAACCGAGGCCTCTCCTACCTGCTTCAATGCTTTCACCACCGACAGCATCCACACACGATTGACCACGGTCGGCAAGATCCTGCCCCATGCCCGCGCCAAGATTATCGATGCAAAGGGGAACATCGTCCCCATTGGCCAGCGCGGCGAGCTGTGCATCGCTGGATACCAACTCACCAAGGGCTACTGGCACAACCCCGAGAAGACGGCGGAGACCCTCGTCACCGACGCCGACGGTGTGACCTGGCTGAAGACGGGTGACGAAGCTTCCTTCAACGAGCAGGGCTACTGTAGCATCACCGGTCGGTTCAAGGATATCATCATTCGCGGCGGTGAAAACATCTACCCCCTCGAAATCGAGGAGCGTTTGGCCGCGCATTCACACATCGAGCTGGCCTCCGTCATTGGCATTCCCGATTCCAAGTATGGCGAGGTTGTGGGTGCATTCATCCAACTCGCTGCGGGTCAGAGCCGACCGACGGATGACGAACTCCGAGCCTGGACGAGAGAGACTCTAGGTCGTCACAAAGCCCCGCAGCATGTGTTTGTCTTTGGCGAGGAGGGCGTTCCCAGCACGGTGCCCGTGACGGGAAGCGGAAAAGTGCGCAAGGTGGAGTTGCGGCAGATGGCGACGGCAGCACTGGAGCAACGAGGAGTCCAGGCGTAATGCAATGCCTTAAGAGAGCGTCTTGTCGTGCTAATACCCTATATATTTGTCTTTTCCCTGTCTAACCGTTGTTGGACTATACACGGTTCTGTCGTATAGAATGCGAATGAAAATTTTTGTACCTTTCTGTTGATCCCGCGGGGCAAATCTTATCAGATGCTATTATTCCGTGTCTTGAAATTAACGAAAACCGAATACCATACGAATAGAGGAGCCCTTGGAAATCCACTAGTAACGCTGACGAAAGCTGGGCAAATTGCGCGATTTCCTTAGCGACTTGGCGGGCCTGGCCGGTTTTTCTTCTTTTCCCTTGTGATTCCTATTTTCGGGTTAGGTCGGATTAAATGGCCTTTTTGGGTGAATCAGATTAGATGCGGATCTTGTCTGATCGAGCATCTCTGCGTGATTGGACAGATATTTCCTCGGCATGATGGTAGCGCGATATCCCTGCAATCCCACCCAACACCACGGAATTCATGTCCCATGGGTCACTAAAAGTAAATAAATTCGTACGACATTATAACCGTGATCACCCAGCTGAATTCCGTACTCCGTACGTACCCAAGGGACGCAATCCATGTATTGAATTATCGCCAGAGTACCCCACTCCCCACTGGAGCCTTTCCTGTAATATTATTTGCGAGACCTGCTGCTCATGTCACCCCGGTTAAGACCGGATCGGATCTGATAAGTTCGCACACGCGCTAAGAGTGACCAAATGTGCAAGATTTCTGTAAGGAGGTGCTGCGCCCTGTGGAACGTCACCGATGTCGCATCTGATAAGATCAATAAGATCTATGAAATTCGGGCTTGGGAGCTGCCGAGTCAGACATCCCTACCCCCTTGGCTTCTTGGCAGGCCTTGCTTATAGTAGAGTATATGATACTTGACATTCGCCGGTTTCTCCCACGCTTCCTGATCTTTTGTTCCGTTTCTGTTCCTTTTCCCTCCCCTTCTTCCTTCTCAGCTCTCTTCTGGTGTTTCCTTCGATATGCCTTCCAACGACGGCGTCCTGGCAGTTGCCCGCTCCTTTCGAGTACTAGTCATTGGCGGTTCCTATGGAGGTCTCTCCGCTGCTCTAAACCTTTGGGATCTCTCGCGCGGACGCCTGCCTCGCTTCAACTATGCTTACGAGGGCCCAGCCCCAGCTCACCGAATTCCCATTCAAACAACGATCGTGGATGAGCGCGACGGATATTGTAGGCGAATACAAATAGCTGGGCAAAGCAAGCATAAAGTATCCTGCTAACGCATCGCTACAGACCATCTCATTGGATCCCCCAAGTCACTAGCTTGTGAGAAGTTGGCAGCAGAGTCATGGACTCGATTCCAAGATATCCCGGCACTCAAATCTCCGAATTTCAAAATCATCCAGGGCAGCGTGAGCAAGGTAGATTGCACCACCAAGGTCGCCCATATTACGGATACCGCGACCAAGTCGACCATCACCGAGCCTTATGACTACCTCATCGTAGCCTCCGGACTGCGACGAGGGTATCCTACCGTTCCGAAATCCCTACGACGGGATGACTTCCTCGAGGAGGCCAGAAAACATACTGAGAGTGTGCGAAGTGCCCAAGGTGTTGTGATTGTTGGTGGCGGTACGCATCCCTTCTATGGTCGTGTCCAATGTTGATTGGAATATTTTCTTTCGTGTTGCCTAGTCAATCTAACACTTAAATCGTGGAATCGCAGGTGCTGTTGGAGTGGAGATGGCGGCCGAGTTGAAGATGCTCGAGCCACAACAAAAAGTAACATTGATTCACTCGCGAGATCGGCTTCTCTCCTCCGAGCCACTCCCCGACGACTTCGCAGAGCAGGTGTATTCCATCCTGCAAGAAGGAGGTGTTGAAGTGATATTGGGACAGCGTGTGGTTGATACCACCGCGGTTGATGTCGAGGCTGACCAGCAAATGTGGCGCTTGACGCTGGGTGATGGCCGACAGATCACAACGGGCCATGTGCTGAGCGCCATTTCGCGAACGATTCCCACATCTACATATCTACCACAACACCTCCTGGATGAAGCAGGTTATGTGAAGGTGAATTCATCGTAAGTCATGTCCCAAACTTTCTTATCAATGTCTTTCCTGGGATATTTCCCTCACACGTCAATAGATTGCAATTTTCGGGAGACCTTCCACATGCAGAGCATCATTATGCCGTCGGCGATCTTGCCGCTTGGCCTGGCATCAAGCGCTGCGGAGGTGCCATGCACATGGGTCATTATGCGGCGTTGAATATCCATCAACAAATGCTTGCTGAATGCAGTGGTGAAAAGCCCAACTTGAAGACCCTCAATGCCTTCCCAGCCGTGATTGGGTTGGCCCTTGGAACGAAGGCTGTTTCCTACACGCCGGATGAGGGGACAAAACATGGTGAGGAGCTCTTGACTAGCTTGTTTGGAGATGATATGGCGAATAGCAGTAAGTTGAATGGAGCAAGTCCAATATGTGTGGAGCTCTTGATCCCGGCAATGGCTAACTTGAATAACAGGTTGTCGTAATTATTTGAAGTTGTCGGAGGCGTGCCAGGCGTGATTACGGCTGGTGTGTTATATGATGGTTTGTCGGAGTTTGGAGTTTTGAATCTCGAGCCCAACATGCTCTCAGAGTTCATGGGATGTTCATAGAGAGTCTGATAGCCGGCACCTTTGACAGGCGGAATGCTAGCGCAATGTCACTGCAGACTGAAGTATTTTGAGTTTGAAATCAATGCATATACTGTCCAATGTGCAGCTATAGTGCTTCATTTCGTGATTTGTTGGTTGTTGAAGTCGAGGACAGATATTGCCAGCACTTCACACAGTACGAAGTGTGCCTGCCCAGGCGATCAATCGCTCCAGGTTGGAAGCTTCGGCAAGAGAGACAAACCACGTAAAAGTGGTTATGCATGATAATATGAGCACCTGGACCGTATCGCGCCGTGCCATTGCGCGGTTTCAGGCCACACTCGACGCAGAAGCGCTTGTTACTGTCCCGGCCTTCTCGGCTGCGGCGTCGGCGCAACATGCTCTCGCCAAATTGACTGGCCGGGCGCAGCCGGAGGCAATAGCGACATGCATAGACATCGCGCAGGCGGGCCCAGTCCGTGGATTCAATCAATAGTAGTTCATCATGAGATGGCTGGGGAATCGAGTTGTAAAAGTAGGCACACGTCAGCCTGAACTGGAGGATATCCTCAAGGGGGAGAAAATAGGTTATTAGGACATGCAGCTCAGGTGGGAGTAGAAACAGTGGTGGCATTGACTGGGTTCAAGAGAGGGTTCATATTCTCTTTGCAGGCATAAGCTCAGGTGGCGATGGAGTTGGAGATGGGGAGACTTGAAGATGGGGAACGAGGTTAGGCGTGTATTGGTAATATTACGAATGATACCGTACGACAGGGGGTGATTTGCACATATTTTCGGTAGTGATGATCTTTAAAATACCGTCAGCGTGTGTAACAAAATCATGGTGCCAGTGACGTCGTAAGAAGCAGCTTGGTTTCTTGCAAAAGTTCCATATGATTTTAGACAATCTAGATTCTTGAATTGCAAGATTTTAAGATAATAATTAGTCTATTGCATACCATCTATGTTATCTTTATAGTTTATTCCATCCGGAGACTCTAGATCGGAAATGTAAGGCTGCTGATGGGCCCCGCAAGACAACGGTATTGTTTGCTAAATGCTGACATTCAATCATAGGTACAAGCATGCAGGTAGATAATCATCTCTCTATAATTCCTATGTACTTCTCTTTCTATACTTGTATAACCTCACATCCTTCTTTTCTCTTGTGTCACCACAATGTCAATTTCCCCCCACTTGCCACGGAATTCATTCCCTGTGGATTAGCAATCGGCTTCCACCTGCTTCCACCCCACCTCCCTATTGGCAAGGCTGTGCAGTTGAATTCGATCAACATGCTTAGATTATTAATCCAGGGCAGACCTGACTAAACTTTGAATGTCGGTCAAGGGGTAGCAAGGCGGGGGGGGGATCATTCTACACTCATCTTTAAATCGGATTTTGCCCCCGGGACTTGTGGCTTTGTACCTCTGAACAAGCTTCGCACCTCATCCTCATCCACAATGGCACCATTCGGCACGATCTACTCTTACATGCCCAGCCCTCGGGTCATGAAGGTACTTTACATCCTTTCTCCTATCGGCTTGACATCCTTGACAACCTTATTCACGGTGGGGCTTTGCTAACAACGTCTCTCGACAATGACAGGCCCAGGCTGCGGCTAACCTGAACGGCCTCGAGTTGGCCATCTTCCCCGACTTCGCCATGGGCAAGACCAACAAGACCGATGACTTCCTGTCCAAGTTCCCCCTCGGCAAGGTCCCCGCCTTCGAGGCTGCCGACGGCACCACCGTGTTCGAATCCGACGCTATTGCCCAATACATCGCGGAGTCTGGTCCCGCCAGCGCCCAATTGCTCGGTGCTACCCCGGCCGAGCGCGCCAGCATCCGCCAATGGATCTGCTTTGCGCAGGGTGAGATCCTGGACCCCGTCACTCAGCTCGCCCTGTGGCGTCTGAAGATCCGGCCCTACGACGAGGCCACCGAGACCAACAACCTGGCCCGCCTGGAGCGTTCGCTGGGTTGTCTCGAGACCCACCTGAAGGGTCGCACCTGGTTCGCCAGCGAGGAGAAGGCCAGCATGGCTGATATTACCGTTGCCTCTGCGCTGGTCTGGGGTTTCTCTATGGCTATTGATGCTGAGATGCGGGAGAAGTTCCCTCTTACTGTTGCCTGGTATGAGCGTCTCATCCAGGTTGACGGTGTGAAGCAGGCCTTTGGAGAGAAGAACTTTGTTGAGAAGCGTCAGCCTTACCAGGGTTAGATTGGTATACTCTTGAGGTCAATACTTGCATGTTAAAGTTCCCAAAAGTACCTTATAATGATGAATGACATATCTATTGATCATGATTGTGCGCAATACGGATGAACTTTATAAGAGCAAGACAATGTAAAACTTTATTATGTATGACAAGAGGTAATATGGGCGGGATCAGATGATTCATCTCATCGTATAAACAAATATGAAGCAACTATCAGGGGTAAATTTGTACAGAGAATCCTGCAACAACATGAGAGTCATGGGTATAAGCATAGAATCAAAATATGAGTATATACAGCCTGCTCTCACAGGCGAGACATGCCTTTCCGCTCACTGCGAGGCTTTCCCAATGCCCGAGCGACATTCCGGCTGGCCCAATCGGCAATGGCCATGTTGGTGACCATTGGGTTGACACCGCTAGCACTGGGGAAGACTGAAGCGTCCACAACATACAGGCCATCGGTACCCCAAACTTGACAGTCGGGATCCACCACACTAGTCTTAGGAGTCTTGCCCATACGGCACGTTCCCATTTGATGCGCACTGGCGAACAGACCCCGTTCGGGGTTCAAGGGGGACTTGCGACGCAGCTCGGCGATCCAATTCTGCAGAGCAGCATCGTTGGTCCCCTCTGGAGAATCGGGGTTCGACGCATCAGGGCGGACGAAAGGCGGGATGTCACGGTGGGTGGTATGGAACTCCTTGGCGCCAGAGATGTATGCAATCTTCGCGGCGGCAATGATGCCTTCCACAATATGGCGGCGATCAAATGGAGAAACCGTATAGTCAATTCGGGGTCGACCGTCAACGGGGTCGGGGAAGACCCGTCCACCATCGCGATCCTTGGTCAGAGTAATGAAGCTAGTGCTACGGCTCATGCTAGCTGCCCACATCTTATAGTCGAGTCCGTCCCTCCAGGGGAAGACCGGAATATATACGGATGGCATCATCGCCACGGCTTCAATCTTTACACCGTGACCATGTCCATCCAGGTCCTCGAACTCGTTGACAACGGTGGTCAACGCGCCGCCTTCCCATGGACGAACTGAGTCGTCAAAGATCGCACCAGCACCCATGACTGTTCAAAGTAATTAGTAAGAGAGCTATACCAAAAGAATGATAGGCGAGTACTCACCTGGGTGCAAATGCAAATTCTTTCCAACCTGTGAATTCTTGATGCCACTCCGCAGCAGCAAAAGAGGGCTCTGCAAGGTACCCGACGAGACAACCACCTTCTTCGCCTTGATAATCAACTTGCGTGTCACGGCTCCATCACCACTGACACCGAGATACGAGTCACGCGAGGTCCAGGTACCTTCCACGCCAATCGCAACCCGCTTGCCATTTGGACTCTTCTTGTCAAAGTTGACCTTGTCCGCCTTGAATCCTTCAATAAAGACTGCTCCAGCCTTGGCTGCATCAGCCAGGAAAGACTCCGTGGGGCCCTTCTTGCCAGCCGAATGGCAACCCAGTGTGCAGTAACCGCAGTAGTGCTCTTTATTACCGGTGTTCTGTGGTACTGCCTTGGCCGCATACCCAAGCTTGCGAGCGCCTTCTAGGATAACGTTGTTCTGGCGGTTGTGCTCGACGTGTTCGGTGTTGACTCCCATGCGGTCACAGACGCGGTCCAAACTTCTCTGGAATTCAAGTGACGTAAAGAAGGGCAGTCCGGTATCAGCCCACTCTTGACGAACATATGCCTGGGTTTGGAGAGCAGCAGACCAGTTGATCGTGCCACCACCTCCCCAAGTAGAACCTGCCAGGACTGCCATGGTCCCATCCTCGCTCATAGTAGCTCCCGCATTTTCATACATGTTGACGTATGCCTCATTCGGCTTCATGGGGAATGACTTGCTGGAGTAGGAGTATGACTTTTCAACCACGAGCACTCGAAGACCGGCCTCGGCCAAATTCTTCGCAGTTACGGCACCACCACAGCCACTTCCAACAATAACCACGTCGGTTTCAATCGTCTCGGGTTGGTCGCCAGCGGGGAACTGCAGGAACTCGTAGGGGAAACCCTCTGTCGGCTTTCCATGGACTGGAACGCGAGGAAATCCGAGAACCTGGTTCATCGTCGGGCTTGACATTACCCAAGACTTTTTGACGATTGCAGTTAGACCGCGATAGACTGCGCGGAGAGGAGGCAGTCGAGAAGTGTCCCATCCTCGGAAGACCTTTTCCCGAAAGGCCACCGGCTGTTGATGGATTGGTGTCGTGGATCCGGTGAGAATTAATGAACCTGCTCGAGTGCTATTCTCAGTGTCAGTATACAATATCTCATAGACCTCAAGGATAAAAGTACATACTTGAGTGCATTCATGATCAATCCAAACCCACTCTTTCCTTCCTCATGCACGTAGTGACCCAAGATGCGTTCCACGGATGCCCGGAAGATGGGATTCGACGAAGCATCTTCCTCCAAATAGACAGCCGCGAGCTTTGCAGCATCGGGGCCGGGGATCATTGACGATAGCTTGCTCACGGCCGAGTCCCATTCGGCAGTCGAAATAACCCTATCCGTTGATGATTGGACGGTGGCAGCCGTTCGAATAGACGGAACTATAGCATCTGCCAGCGCAAATAGCGTCGTCCATTGAGCCTCCGAAAAGAAGGAAACATTCGGAGCTGGAGGTAGAGGAACCTCCTGCGGAGTATATTCGGACACAACGAGATCGGTCATAGTGGCGATGAGCTTAACCCAAAAACGAGAACAGCCACGCTATGCAGGGTCTAACAGGTCATATAAAGTCAAAATAAAAGGATTGACGAGTACCCAAACAGCATTAGAAGGGGGGAATTTTCAGAAAACAATAGTGTCAAGGAGTGGAGAGCACAGATATAACGGGGACTCCGGACAACTGCCAACGCTCGTTCCCCACAGTTTGTTCGCAAGCCAACGCTCCGGTTCCGAGCCTAACCTCCTAGGGGACTAATTAAGAGGCTAGGGAGTAGAACGAGGGAATGGGCAGATCGAGAATCAGACCAGGCGGCCATTTCTCCCAACAAAAGACTCGCAAGACCATTAGGATTCGGTGAAAGATTAGCATTGGGACTAGGGCGGGGGGGGGGCCTCGGCAAAAAGAGTGGCATACAAACGGCAGGCAGAGTTGGGATCCATTTTTTGCATCCAAGTGGGTCGGCTAAACTGCGTTGAACCAGTCAAGATGCTCTAATTGCAAGCGATCGTCCGGTTCTCGGAGAAGCTCATGCGGGTAGCTTCCCTGAATAAGCCGAGATCCAACGCCATGTGAATCTGTGGGAATTCATTGGATGGAAGACGGGCAGCAAGAGAAGCAAGACATGCTTCTAGACTATGGTTCCGAGAAGAATGGATGGACAGAGATCAGGCCATTTTAGGTTTGATCGTCTTCTAACTACAAAGAGAAGTATGTATCCGACAAATCCACTACTTAAGTAATATATCCACGATCGGAATTGTCCCGATAGCTTGGTTCCATCTGTTGTATGACATGATTTAAGCCATGTGCTATGCTGTGTTGGCCGGGAGTATCTGAGTATAGTTTATGGCTATACTTGCTGAAGATCATCGTGGTCTATTGAGAATGGAGCATGTAGTTGTCAAGACTTGGCCCGGAGAAAACCCACCAAGGAAAAAATGGATGAACGAAGGAAATCAAATACAAAGAAGACATCAAAAGGGAACTATTGGTTCGGAATCTCATTGAATATCATCATCCTAAACTCAAGGTGTCCCTGCATGTTCGATAGTTTGACCTGCAGGACCGGAGTTTTGAATCCAAACTTAGCAGGTGTCGAGCGTGCTTGATCTAGTCATTTGATAGTCATTCTAGCTATTATTTACTAGGACTAGGCAGGTATAGCGACTCTTCAAGTCAACTCTGTTGAACTTCTAGATCTAGATCCGTCGATGTGATTGACTCGGGAATGCACTAACGCGGTCGCAAGTCGGCTTAGCTTCACCCGCCATCTCACCGTCATCCAACTACACTCCCCTTCTCAACCTCCTCTCCCCTTCCTCCACCTCCACTTCCACCATGGCAGGGGACTCCAAGGCCACCACTCCCCCTAGCGCCGGCAAATCACCAGCTTGTACTTTACCCTCCGACAAGGTCTTCTCCATCCAGATTGGCTCGGAGCTCTTTCGCCTTTCTGGAGCCTCAATTGCCTCGGACGGTCAGTGGAGATTCTCCAACTCTTTCCTCCCCGACGATCCCCAAAGTTAACGTGTCACTCTTCACTCAGCACCCTCCTATTTCTCTCGCTTCTTCGAGGAACAATTGCGCCTGGTCGATGCCTCCAATGTTCGAACCCTCTACATTGATCGCGACCCAGCCACCTTTCAAGACATCGCCCGCCATCTTCAAGGTACAGAACAGAGAAACCCGCAGGCAAAGAAACGCATGCGCTAGAAGCTTGCATCTCAAAATTCAGCCCACGGTCTAATAGTTCTCAGGCTACCATGTCCGACCTCGAGATGGCGCCCAATTCGTGAAGCTATTCGCCGACGCCCAATTCTACACCTGTCAGATCCCCCGCCCAATTAACCCCCAATTTTGCGACCGAGTCCGTGCTGATCCAACCACAGTGCCACGGTTGATGTCCCAATTATTCGAGTCCGAGATCTTCATCCAGATCGGCGACCGCCACTTTCAGATCCCTCGTGATATCTTCTCCGGCCCTGGTGATTCCCCGAACTTCTTTTCCCTAGGTTTCGGTGCCTTTTTCGCCTCGCCCTCCGAAGTGTTCCCCGGCCTAGACCGTGTCGGCCTGCTTCGACCCCCTGCTATCATACCCCCAAGCGTTCCCAATCGGTCTGCAGACGTATTCGCAGAATTGCTGCACCTGCTACGCGGATACCCACTGCACATTCGAAATGCCGACCATCGTGCAGAGCTACTACGGGATTGTCGATATTTCCACCTTCGCGGTCTAGAGCAGAAGTTGATTCCCCATCACATCAGTTATAACCCCTTCCGTCAACGCTCGGAGATTGTCATTCGCTTGGAAGATGTACGACCCTCGGGTGTGCAGTTCGCGCCCGATACAACTTCTCGAACGGGCGTTGGGTCGGTTCTGTATGCTCGCCCCTTCGTCGACGAGAACCCGGCCGACTTGATCCTGGAGATTGCAGATGCCTCTACGTTGGTTAACAGAGCCGCTCGCCGGGCAGACTTTGTTGGATTGACCAAGTCTCGCATGGCCAGCTTGCTCCAGGTAGTGGCTAAGAAGATGGGTCTTCCAGATTCCAAATTCGGTACGATTCCCATCAGGGTTCGCTGGGGACAGGCTACGGATATTGTAGTCGACGGTGAATCAAACCCGACCTGCCCGGCGAATTTTGCGCCGGACTTGGAGACGGATGATGATTTGCCGCCAGCCAAGCGCCACCGATCAGATGCATCCGAGGGGTCTTACAGCGAACCCTGCGTAGTGAGGACGGGACAATGGCGACTACAGGTGGAAGCGGACAACAATGGTACATACGAGGTAGTCCTAATCGCGGTCAAGTTGGATACGTGGACAACTGCCCAAGTGCGAAACCAGTATCAAAAGTTCCTCTAAAGAGAACTATCTAGTGGTTGAATTTGGAGAAGTCGGACAGCTATGCGATATGGATTGATAATATACAGGTCAAGGCATCTGCCGTTGCACTCAACATTGATCTAATCGGAGAAGCCATCCCACTCTTCATCCTCGTCGCTGTCATCAGTGGCGTCGCCTTGAGCGTTATCATCTGCCACATCATCGTCGGACTTCTTTTTGGCAGGTTCTGTGCGAGCACCTTCCGAGTCACGTACAAAGCCAGCGACGAAGAAACCTCCCAGCCCTTCTGCATCGCCGGACCAACAACGCAGACAAGCCTCGAGGTCTTCCACGGAGAGTGCTGCCACCGATTCGCAATCTTCCGACTCCACACCGGTCTCCATGTCTCGATCACGCCGAACGCCGCGGTGTTTCCACCGGCGCAGGCCTTCAGGTTGCTCGTCGCGTCGCAAAAGTCGCCAACCACGCTCTTTGGCAACGTCCGATGCCAAGAGGCGAGCCACCACGGCCTCGTTCTCGATCAGATGAATCGAGCAGGTACTATATGTGACGTGGGTTGCATTGGGGAAACTCAATGCATGCTCGACGATGCGGGCCTGCAGATTCGACAACTTGGTGAGACGATCATTGTCGATTGTGCCGCTTGGAATATCATTCTCATCGGATGGTGCGGCACTGGGTTCTCCCATGGTCACGTTTGATGACGAATCATCCGCCTCGTCGCCGTCTTCAGCGCCACGTTTCCTCTTCTTGCCGTTGGGCTTGGAGGATTTGATCACTTTAGGCTGGGGCAGTGTCAGTTGTGGAACATCATCACGACCCACGATACCACTGCCCGAACAACTCGGGTCAAGTAGAAGACCAGATACATTCTCAAACTGTTCATCTGTCGGATCCAGCGCTAGGAAGTCCTGGCCCTGCAAAACCGTAACCATAGGATCTGCGCCAGCTAGCCCCACCATCTTCTGCAGCGTTTTGGAACGCACTTTAGACGCATCCATAGAGAATATCTGTTTCCGAGGCGTCTTCTGCTTTTGCTGCTTGGCCAGTAACGATGCCATGTGTGTAGTCTTGTTTCCCGGAGCAGCGCAACCATCCACCAAATCCCCTTGCCAGGCATCCTTGGGCCCGCGATCACCTAGCAGGAGGTACGCAGGGAAACACGACGCTTTATCCTGTAAGATAATCTCGCCATTCTTGTATGCGGGCGAAGACGTGAAATCCGCACCGTAGGGAACCGCTACGAGATCAGGAATATTGGGATCCATATACAACAACTTCCGCTTAGTACGATCGTCCTCCTCCGGAGCGAGAGCAGCAAGCGAGTCCACACGCTGGTAGTCTGCAAACGTAGTACGCAGCTGTTCCTCCAGGGAACTCCTAATATTGTTCACGCGCACCCAGCGCGGATAAACGAAATGAGAAGTGCCATCAGCCTCACGCTTCTCTCTCAGCACGGCAGCCTTGAGCTGTTCAACCGTTGCACAGCCACGTCGCACACGGGCTTTGGTAAATTCGGCCTTGAGACGAACTTTATGCCGCTCAACAGCCTGGCGAATTGGATGAGCTGCAGGCGCTGCAATGCCCTTTTTCGAGAGGAGGTGGTCATAGACCAAGAGGAGAGCGAGGAGGGGAGTTAACTATAACGAATCAAGAATACTTTGTCAGTCAGTAGGTATGACATTGTAGATCCCGGGACAAATAAAAATTGCTCACCTTGCGCTCCACGCTGAGAATATCAGCTTTTTCAATCACATCTGCCAGGACGCGGTCCCATTTGGAGGCCTCGGTGATCAAGGCGTAGATTTGGGCGGGCGAGGCACGGAGATTGCGGGCGCTGTAGATGCGGGACTTGAAGGAGCCTCCTGCCGAGGGTGCGGTCAGGATTGCGACTGCATCGAAGTAGAGGGACATGGCGATGCATCTAGAGATCGGGAAATTTGGAAACGATAAAGTGATAAAATGATAAAATGATGGAGATGGTTGTTTGGCTTGTTTGCACTCGTGTGGGTCCGCTGGAGATGCTTGGTTACTCCCGTCAATCCTGTCAAGTATACTCTCGTGGCCATATGAATCGAGGGATTGTCGACAGTTCAATTACAATATGATAAATTACTGAGCCTTACGGGCCACCGTATATCTATGATCGGGCGATATACGTAGATATTGATCTAAAGCGGACCGAGGTGCAATGGTTGTGTGCTCTCAATCTCAGGATTAATGGATATTGGAGTACCTAAACAATTTATCGGAGCTGTTCGACTGTTGATGGCTGAGGGGCGTAAGCAATTTGAGTAGAAGATAATGAATTTGAATTTGATTTGAAGATAAATAGTATTCCCACGGTTGGTGTTACCTTGACCGAGTACACCTGCACTACGGGCCGCTAGCACAAATATATACTTCCCCATTGTAGCTCCAACTTCACACTCCCTTTCCTACCCAATCCACCACCACCATAACCTCAAGGCAGTTCCAATTCAAACTCGGGAACCGACCTCCTCTCGCAAGCATTGTCACAACTACATCCCAGTTTCAACATCCTCCATCAACACCCCAACCTCCACAACCATAGCAACAATGACAACCTCACCAACATTCACAACCACCATCCAACCCCCTCCAGGCCCCTCAACCCCCCTCGTCCTCCCAACCCACCCCCTCGCCCCGCAAAACCCACCAATCTTCAACGATGCAATGCACGTCCGCGCCCGCGTCTTCATAGACGAACAACACTGTTCCGCAGATAGCGAGATCGACTCTGACGACGCACGGAGCTGGCAATGGGTGATATACGCATCACCTGCAGCCAATACACCACACCAAGAAGGAAACAGTGCGAACCCATCGTCGGGGCAGTCCACCCCCGTCGCGGTAATCCGTCTCGTCCCCCCCCCACAACCACTACACGCCCTGCTCACGAACCCGTCCGACGCCGGGAATGAACATCTCCCGGCCTACGATTGGAGTCACGAGCCGTGTATAAAACTCACCCGCGTCGCAGTGCTACCCGAATACCGGGGTCACGGGCTGGGTAGACGACTCGTGCAGACGGCGTTGGAATGGGCAGCCTCCCACGCGAGTGAAATCAACGACGCTGCTGTGCGATTAGCTGGTCAGACGAAGGAGGGATTGAACGGGGTAGGAGGTGGATCTCCGAGTGCATGGACCGGATTGGTACTGGTTCATGCGCAGGTGGACGTTGAGCGGATGTATAGGGGCCTTGGATTTGTGACGGATGAGGAATTGGGCAGGTGGGATGAGGAGGGGATTGAGCATGTTGGTATGTTTCGGCGGGTGGAGGTGCGGTGATACCAAGGAGACCGATGGAGAATATTTGAGAGATGAGGTACGATGATATCACGGGTGGGCTATAGACTATAGACTTTTTTAACATAACCAGCATAAACTCTGCCGTATCATGCAGGAAATCGTGCATATCCGATAAGATGGACATAATCTACAAACTCAAAACGGAACTAGAATTTACGGAAGATAAAGAAAAAAAGCAAATTGGAATAAACAATTCTGAATTTCATTTCAATAGTTGCTGAAGGGAGGTGACATGGAGATCAAGCCTAGCCCCACGCCATGTCCGTCTAGCGTTGCTCAGGATCAGGCATCAGTGCGAAGAGAAAAAAAAAAAGCATAAACGAGATTGCCGCTCGAGTGAAGTGGCGGGGTATCCTGATCGAAGCATAAAAAGAAGCACGAAAAGCCACTGCTAGGCTAGGAAAAAAAAGTGGAACACGCAAATGACTGCAGATCGCTGGATCCAAGCAGCTTGCAGGAAAAAACCAGAGACCGTTGACCCTGTCTAATAAAGAACATGATGCAAAGGATCGGGCAAGGCCACCGCGGAGGGGCCGGTGCCTTGGATAGACGGAAGCGAAAAAAAGACAAGCACGATGCTCATAAACCGAGGACGCCAGTAGAAACTCCGTACCGATGGTCGCAAATCAGAATGGAAAAAAATAAGGCCGTGAAAAAAAAAGATGAATCGGAGGGAGATTAGAAGTGAAATGTTGCCGTATGCCAGACCCGCTGACCAGTGCGAGGGACCCGAGACGAGAAGGTCAATTCGATGCAGACCAACTCGTTCGATCAATTAGAAGGTGCTCCAGTTCCAGTCACGGGGAACACTGGCAGCAACCTCGGCAGTCTGACCGAGATTGGCCTTGAGAGCCGCTCGGCCCGAGCTCTCACTGGACTCGAGATCCTCGGCAGGCTGAGTGTTCTCATCGTTCTTGGCGTCAATGGAGTTCTGAATCTTGTTCAGGCGGTCGGTGCGAGTCTCCTCCCAGCGCTGGTAAGCACTCCAGCAGAGATCACAGGCCCGGGAGAGAACGCCCTCGGGGTGGAAGCGGGCATTCTGGTCGAGAGGAACGAGATGCGGGGTGTGGTTGTAGCAGAAGACGTGACCACAGTGGCGGCAGTGATGACGGCGGGTGAAGATGCCAAAGGAAGAGCGGCAAGTGGGCGAATCACAGCTCGAAGAAGCAGCGTCAGCCTGTAGGGGAGAGGAAGATTAGCAAAGGAACGATAAACATGGTGGAATGTGTGATTTGATCGCCGAGTCCCCCTGCAATCAACATGCGAGCACGCCATCCGATGACGAGCGCGCGACGTTGACTGTGAATGGCGCCATCCCCACCAGTCCCCAGTCATATATATAGAGAGGGATATGACTAGAGAAGAGAGGGAAAAAAAGGAAAGAGAACTGGAAGGGGGCAGTGTTTACTCACTTTCCAGTGATCGCGGGTAGGCATTCCCGTGACCACGCCCAAGTGCTCGGTCTTCATCCACTCGTGTTCAGCCACCTTGCTGATGCCGCTGAACTTGCTCTCCATGGTGGAACGACGACTAATGGGTTCGGTGTCTTCGTTCAGGCTGTCCAGAGAACCGTGCACGCTGCGCGGTGGGGTGATAGGGGAGGACTTCTGAGGACGTTCGGTGGGCCGCAGGGCCGCGGGGACATAAAGAGGGCCCTTGAGAGGACGCAACTGGCGAGACTGAAGGGGCAGTTGGTGCAAAGCAGCGGTGGTGAGACGTGGTGAAGTGGGAGAATTGTTGGCGGGAGTGGTAGTGGAGGAGTTGGTGGGCGAAGGGTGGCCGTAGACGGAGATTTGGTTGTTGCCGGGTGCGGCCGTGCCGGGGGCGGGGGCGGTAGCAGTGGCCGTCATAACGTGAGTAGCCATTTTGGAGGGGAGAGTTTATGAGGGGGGGGGGGGGAGAAAGAGAGAGAGAGAGAGAGACAGAGAGAGAGGAGAGTAGTGAAAGTTGGAGAACAGGTCGGCGATAGCAATAATAAAGGGGAGGAGGCAGAGAGTGGAAGACCCGATGTTGACCAGTGACCAGTCGGTTGTAGGTCAGGTTCGGGAGAAGGTGTGGGTAATAAGTAATAATCGTGGGTAATCGAGTAGAGAGTACTACTCCGTCCGTGTAGGACTAGTTCAACTCTCCCCGTTCCGGAGACGAGCACACGACCGACTCGGGGCCGTTCAGCCGTGGAGTAAAAGAGCCAAGAGGAGTCCTCGAGAAGAGGCAAACGGGTGCGCGGTGAATGGCCGAGCGAGTGGAGAATATCGGGGAGGGGCGAACGTTGGGAGTTGGTGGAGACAGTATTGGGAGAGTTTTGGATTGGAAGAAGTGGAGATATGAAAGGCGAGGGAGCTAAGAGGAGGCAAATCGATGAACAAGTAGAGGAATGCCCATGAGGATCAGAGAACGGAAGACAGGGAAGGGAAGTGTTCAAATAAGATCAACGGGTTTGTCTGGAATATCTGAGATGAACAGAACCAAGAAAGGGGGATTCCGGGAGATATGAGATGTACCGGTACATACTACGAGAGTAGAGGACGGAGTACTGACATACTCGAGTACGCTCTCGTATTGCCTTACAGATTAACAGATCTATCTAACTACCCATTCACCACGGAAGTTAATCATGATTCCGTATACTCCGTATACGCTCTTTCTATGTACAACAGTTTACCCGGTACGACACGGGCCCGTCCCTTAGCCTCCATCCCGATTCTTTGCCGGTCACAATTCCCGTCTGTACGGTGTTTCTACTAGGAAGAAACTATAGTTGACTATAGACTATAGAACAACTATACTATACCATCTTATCTTCCTATGGCATGTACTGTACATCCAGTAGATCTCCCCCGTACATTCCCCCGCGTCCGTCTTGAGACACACCGATTGTTTCTAACCCTCCTTTTGGCTGACCGCTCTTTTCGGATGAGAGGAATGAGGTTGGACTAGGGATACTCATAGAGACTATCACATGTGCAGACTGGGATCTATATCTGTCGACCTCTCTCAGCGAATCGCAACGAATACTAATCCCTTGCAGTCCGGGATATCGAGACAAGCATGCTGGGTTTACCCGTTGAGTTCTGCACTCCACACAGTAGTATGTGCATATACAAGTATACTGGAAACCGAATCATCGCCACCGCATAATAATACTCGAGTACTCCGTACATACTAATTGATTAATGATGTCGTTTACTTGTAGACTCCGCTGGCCCCGCCAGCTCCGCCGTCCTCCGCGGAGCTCGTGCCTATCCTCTCGATCGGGATATTCCACCCTAGGGTGGCCAACTTGGATCTCTGCGAATGTACCGATACATTTTCGAGTTCAGAGTATCCAGAGTATATCATATTTTCTCCCCGGGAAGTATGATGTTATGATGTGATGCTAAGATAGCCGCCAGCGCTATGATCCTATGATGTTATGATCTCCAGCCATCTTACAGGAAACCCCCGATTAACTCTGTCACTTCGCGGATGCCTCGAGCGGGTTCCGCCCGAGAAGTCAAAAAGGAAGATGGAAAAATGTCGAAAATCGACCGGATCCCACTAGGCCAGAGAGGTCGAATGCACCAATCAACATTCTTCACCGGATGGACTAGTGGCTCACTGCTGCCAAGCACGGCCGAGCACCGCTCTTCACGGTTCCTCGCCACCAATCAGCATCTATTCCCACCATCCACGCCAACCGGTGGCGTTTCTGGCTTATCGATGACTGTTGATTGGTTACCAGTACCTCGGGTCCCCGACGCTTTTGGGAAAGTCTTTCCTACGAAACGCTGAGCGAGACCTACTCTACGAAGTACTACTAGTACATTATGTATACACTTTTGACATATCTTTGTGAAAGAAACTCTTGCAAAACACCGTTTCGACGATCCCGTCTATCACGCTAAGAAACCTACAGACCCAAGCGACAATCCGGATCCTCCTGATTGGCGTAAAATAAAAAGTAAACACCCCATCTTTCCAGCCCGCGCGGATCAGCGCTTTGCCCGCCACCCAATTTTGGAGTCCTTCCTAATATTCTCCACCAACAAAGTCACCAAACCCAACTTCCCGGTGGAACTTTGCTCTCCCGAATTCGGCAATCATCTGGAATCTTTCGAACTTCCCTCTCGGTCCATGCCCGAGCTTTTGCCTCTTCGTCCACGACGGATGTATGAACTACTGTACCTACTATGCATGACACTTGATTCAGTCCCGCCTTTTCCGTAGTCCTCGACTCCTTCGAGAGATCTGCTGACCGCCCCCTCCGATTATCATTGCCGACATCCAGTAGTTAGTGGCTGTGGTGTACTGCACTGATCCCCGGACCGGGGATCGCCCTGTCTAACTGTACACTGTGACTCTCTAGACTCTGGAGTACTGTAGTGCCCGCTTGGCATGCAGCCAAGCAGACCGTGTCTCGAATTAATGATGCGCCAATGATGCTGTAGATCATCAATAGCGTCTCGAGGATTTGCCCTTGAATAAGAATGGTGACGTCTTAAGGGACTGACTCTCCGATGGGCTGAGAACAGACATAACTCTATTCAAGTGCGGAATATATTGCCCGTGTTTCCGCGCTGATGGTTATGCAACATTTAGATGTACTCTTAACACTGGTCTACTAGTCTAGTAGTAGTGATCTACATAGATATTGTGGTACGCACGACGGGTTGCGACTGTAGGAACGAGGCGGGTCGAAGATCTGCCGCATTTGGCATGGTGATACCTAGGGATAGTTGACTGCTATTGAGAAGGAAACAACTAACTGGACAGTTAATTTGGCTGTTTGCATATTCAGAGAATCATCCAAAGCTTCGATTTTACCCGGTAGAAAGACAGAGTATCGTGTACGGTGCACGTGAATTGCTGAGCCATACATAGTTCGACTACGATAGTAACGATTTCCACCGTTGAGGTTGCTCTGCTACTTCAGTTTACAGCCTACGGAGTTAAACTCTAGGCCATTCGGGCTCGACTCCTCTAGACCCGGCGATAGAGCTACACGTCTCTCCAGAAGTAACACCTCCCTGTCAACCTTAGGATCCATACAGGACAAAGCTTTGCCATCGAAGATACTTAGACAGGCATAAACGCGGGGGAAATGGAATTCAGAAAGCACGGACTATCGATAACCTTGTGATAACCTTATTCCACTCAGCTCAACCATACAGCTGGCAGAACAGGTCCAAGACCAATTATCGAGCCTAACCTATCTAACTATAGACTTCTAGCCACGTTCAATCGGTCCCAAGAATTCAATCACCGATCCAACCTATTGGAACCAAGAGATCTCGTCTCATCTCCAAGATCCCCAGGATGTGAAAGGTCCCTCAGATCTGTGATCCTTACATTCCATCCCCATGGACACGGAATTCCGCTGTGCCCAAACTCCGCCGAAATAAAGGTCCCCCGTCCGCTTGCAGCCGTTAGAGTTCTGTCGATCCCCCAGATAATGTAGCTTAGCTCCAATGTACCCCCAAACTATCTCCGTACCTCCTCTCCTCCAGATATTGCGTCATGACTTGGTGCTTTTGTCCACGCCACAGCATGTATACCATGTATACCATTAGGCTCGAGCACAGCTTCCCCTCTCTCCTCCTCTCTCCTCCCCGGAGCCACAATTCACAATTCAAAGTTCACAATTCACAATCCCAAACCTCCAAGCACAACGCAAGACCATCCCAATAAACTCCCACCAACCACCAATCATGAAACTCTCCGTCTTCAGCGCCAAATCCTACGACAGGACCTACCTCGACGAAGTCCTCTCCACCACCTTCCCAACCCTCTGCGAAATAGAATACCACACCTTCGCCCTCTCCGCCGAAACCGCCCCGCTAGCATCGACCAGCACCGCAGTCTCCGTCTTCGTAAACGACACGCTCGACAACACAGTCCTCCACGCCCTGCACGCCACCGGCGTCCGCGCAATCCTCCTCCGCTGCGCAGGCTTCAACCATGTGGACCTGGTCACCGCCGAAAAACTAGGCCTCTTCGTCGCAAACGTCCCCGCCTACTCCCCCGAAGCGGTGGCCGAGTTTGCAGTGACGCTGGTGCAGACGTTGAATCGGAAGACGCACCGGGCGTATACGCGTGTGCGCGAGGGCAATTTCAATATCGAGGGGTTACTGGGGACGACGCTGCATGGGAAGACGGTGGGGATCGTTGGGGTGGGACGGATTGGACTTGCTACTGCGCGGATCTTTCATGGGTTTGGGTGTCGATTGCTAGCGTATGATCCCTTTGCTGGGGGTGAGTTTGAGCAGTACGGGAGTATGGTGGAGTTGGATACGTTGTTGGCGGAGAGTAATATTGTTAGTTTGCATTGTCCGTTGACGGAGGGGACGAGGCATTTGATTAACGAGGGTACGTTGGCGCGGATGAAACCCGGTGCTATGTTGGTGAATACCTCGCGGGGAGGATTGATTGATAGCACGGCTGTCATTGAGGCTCTCAAGACGAGGCATTTGGGTGGGTTGGCGTTGGATGTGTATGAGGCGGAGGGGGAGCTGTTTTATAATGATCATTCCGGGGAGATCATTGATGATGATGTTTTGATGCGGTTGATGACGTTTCCGAATGTTTTGATTTGTGGGCATCAGGGATTCTTTACCAGTGAGGCGCTTACGGAGATTGCTGGTGTGACTTTGTCAAATCTTTCGGATTTTGCTGGGGGGAAGTCGTGTGCTAATTCTCTGGTTACGGAGGGACATGTCCTGGTCCGTAGAGATACGGCGCCTGTACGATTATAAGGGAGATGGTGTTTCATTAGGTAGTGGTCAATGTATGATGATAGTAATATGGAAAGACTTGTATTGAAGTTCATCAGACTCATGGGAATCATAATAGCAAATGGCATTCATGGTTCAAATCAAAACCGCGTCGTGGGTTATAGAGACCAGCTGGTCAAGAAAGAAAAGCAAAGCAGAAACAGGAAGGAATATGGAAGACACCGTATGAACAGAAGAAACTCCCGATTAGGTCAAATTCAGTTGCGGAGTGGCCGAGTACATTGGAACTGATCTCGCAGCGCCTGCCACGCCCGAGGAATAAAGCGATGTCCATGGACGATCAACGGGACTACCGCAATCAACCACATCACATATACGATGCCCACGGCAAATCCCAGACGAATCTGCTCCATGGTTGAGCCGATAACTCCAGGCCGAAGCGGTGTCCGTGGACCGTGCGACTCTTGATCCGTATGTGTCAACGCATCGGCAATCTGCCATGCTGCTCGACGATTGATCTTCTCCCAAGTGGTATCATCCGCATATTGACGGGCAGCCTTTGCAAGTCTTTCCCGTCGGACAGAGTCTTGGGATACCTCGCGCGTCAAATCGGTGAATCGGTCGAGGTCATGGGGCGCAACTAGATATCCAGTTTGATCATGACGGATAATATCAGAGGGCCCGCCTTGATCGCGCGCAATCACGGGAATCCCACTGGCCATGGCTTCGAGGACCACCAGCCCAAAGGTCTCGGTGATAGAGCAGTGCAAGAAAAGATCGGCCGAGGCATAGGCACGAGCCAGGGCGACTCCAGTGAGGAACCCGGTAAAGACGACGTGATTCCGGACATCGTCAAACAACCGCTTGACCTTGTTTTCCACCACGGGATTTCGGTTGCCTCCCACGATCAGCAGCTTGAAAGGCACCTTGTCCGCCGCCAAGCGAGTCGCGACCTGCGCGAGGAACTCGAATCCTTTCTCCGGGGCAATACGGCAGACGCAGATGAGAATGATTTCTCCATTTGGCGCAATCTCCCTGCGGTAGGCCTCGTCACGATGTGTGGGGGTGAACAAGACGGTATCGACGCCGCGACCCAGCTGGACTAATCGATCAACTGGAGCTCCTGCGCGTTCCAGATAGCCTCGAATCGCCGAGCACGGGTAGAAGATGGTGTGTACGGCACGAGTCCGGAACAGGAACCCCTGGACCGTCGCCAACAACCAGACACCGAATTGATCCAACGGAGTCGGAAGCATGATCTCCGAGTAGGCCGACAGATCGGTCTGAAAGTTGAGCAGCACTGGCGGGGGTGACCGTAGCTGACGGATCTGCAAGAGCATCTGAAAGCCAAGCGAGGCCGGACTCGCCAGGTACACAATGTCTGGCTGGAAGGTCTGTTGATAGACATGGTTGATTTGGAAAGGGTAGACGACGGTCAAATCGGGGTTGTAGGGCAAGGCGCATCCAGGGAGGCGATATTCCCAGGACACCTTTTGTTTCGACGTATCACCTTTGAAGTGAGGCGCGACCAGAATCAACTCCACGCCATGATCCCGCAAGTACTCGACCAGACTGCGAGTAGTGCGACTGACGCCGTTGACGGGACCCCATGATTCAGTGGCCAACAGGACCTTTTTCCCTTGCAGAATGCTGGGGAATTCGTTGCGATCCTCCTGAAAGGAAGCTAGCAAAGGCGAAGACTCGGCCATGTTGCCGATGCAAAAGGAATCATGGCGAGAAAGGACGTCGAGGCGGGGGGAGAGAGGGGGATGATAGATAGTCTTGAAGGCGTGGGGCTGATCAGAGACCGATTCAAAGTTTTGGGTTCACGCAGTTGGTTCAGGTGGTCCCAGGTCCCGACTTGAATTCGATTTTTCTCTCTTTTGCATCTCAGCCATGGCCGAAAATGGCAGGGGATAGGCCACGATTGTCACACAAGGCGAGTCGATTGGCGGGAGGATTGAACGAGCTTGACGGTGAGTTGAGAGGGATGGCGAGTTTTGTTTGGTTTAAGGTGATCCAAGTCCTGCACGTGCCGCATCTGGCCGCTGACAAGCAAAAGAAAGCGAAAGTAGTGGGAATTTGAGAAGCATCTCAGGGACTTTTGGAGGAACGTTGCTTAACGGGTGGAGGCTGCTTGGCGGCCAGTGGGAACGCGCCATTCCGCGCGTGCCCCAACGATGCGCTCTGGACGAGACTCGACTCCCCTCCTTCCCGAAACTCGCGATAGAGGATCAACCGATTCATGAAAAGTGCCGGGGGGCAAATGATCATGAGGAAGGCATAGTCTGAGAGCGGATATACTCTCCTGGTTCTTTCCTTTCTTTCTTTTCTCTTATCTCGGGAGTTTCATAGTTCCTCATAGTTCTGGTTATCCGTGATCTATGACCATACCCGCACCAGTGACACCAACAAGTCATTCGCGACCAAGTGACCTGAAAATCACAAAATCAGAGGACCAGAGACCCGTGATCGGACCGCGTCGAATCTTTATCTCTCGTGTCGTGCCCGCGTGTTCTCCCCTCTTCGTCGCAACCACCACAAGCACAACGCCGACAATCGACAATCATGTCTGGCGATGAGATCCCCATGGACGTCTTCTCCTCGTCTTCCCCCTCTGAGGGCAGTATGTCCTGCTCCACGGGCCCTACCACTCCGAGCGCAAGCCCGTTGTTTCGTCCCTCCGAGTTCGACGATCTCAAACTGGCCGCATTACCGCAGTCGCGCGTCCTCAGCGAGACCGAGTTGCCCAGCATTGCAGTGAAGAATGTCTGTGTCGTCGGCGCAGGATATGTCGGTACGTTTGATCCCTCAACGAGCGAGCTCCATTAATCACTGTTTCGGCGAAACTCGGGTTGACTCAATTTGTTACAGGTGGTCCCACGGCAGCGGTCCTGGCCCTTTATCACCCCTCCATCTCAGTAGAAGTGCTTGATAGAGATCCAAGCCGGATTCAACGATGGCAGTCCCAGCATTTGCCCGTCCATGAACCGGGTTTGGATACCGTGGTTCGCATTGTACGTGACGGCGCCGAGATCAACAACGAGGAAGTCATCCAGCCAGGCTCCTCTGCATCCAGACGTCCCCAGAACCTGTTCTTCACGTGTAACTCTGCCCAGGCTATCTCACGGGCAGACATCATCCTCATGGCGGTGAATACGCCAACAAAGATGTTTGGTGTCGGCGCTGGATGCGCCACAAATATGACAGCCTTCGACGGGGCTATGCGGGATGTTGCAGCTCACGCAAAGCCAGGCGCTATCATCGTGGAGAAGAGTACCGTACCAGGAGGGACGGCAGAGCGGGTTCGCAAAATGGTAAATTTCAATCCCAAGTTCCCTTGAACTACATATCGAATGATCTGACATTTCTTTCCAGCTGGCCACCCACCGCCCTGGCGTCTCTTTCGAGGTCCTTTCCAACCCCGAGTTCCTTGCCGAGGGCACGGCTGTCAAGAACCTCACGGCTCCGGACCGTGTGTTGATCGGATCCGCGGCGACTCCCAGCGGACGCCTGGCAGCTCAGATACTGGCCAACCTCTATGCAGCCTGGGTGCCTCCATCGCGCATTATCGAGACTAATGCGTGGTCCTCAGAGCTGGCAAAACTCGTGGCCAATGCCATGCTTGCCCAGCGCATCAGCAGCATCAACTCGATCAGTGCGATCTGCGAGAAAACCGGAGCAGAGGTGGACCAAGTTGCCAAGGCCATTGGCATGGATGTGCGCATCGGACCCCAGTTCCTCAAGGCAGGACTGGGCTTTGGCGGGTCCTGCTTCCGCAAGGACATTGCCAGTTTGGCGTACCTGGCGGAATCCCTGGGCTTGGACGACGTGGCACACTATTGGCGACAGGTCAATGTGATGAACGAGCGACAGCGGGATCGCTTCTCCCGCAAGATCATCGATCGCTTCGAGGGCAACCTGGTCGGACGCAAGTTGGCAATGCTCGGGTTTGCGTTTAAGAAGAACACTGGTGATACGCGCGAGTCCTTGGCCGTGGAAGTCGTTCGTGCCATTTTGGAAGAGCGACCGGCCGAAATTGCCATCTTCGATCCATACTGTCGCCAGGAAGATATCTTGCGCGAGCTGGAGGCCGTTTGCCCTAGCTCGGCTTTGGGTCAGATTGTCAAGGTTCATCCTGACCCGTACCTGGCCTGCTCTCAGGCACACGCAGTGCTGGTGGTGACCGACTGTGACCAGTTCCGGAATACTCCGGCACGCAAATCATCCAAGCAGTCCATTCTTCCTTCAATCCAAAAAGAATTGGCCCGATCTACCGCGGACGAGGCGAGTGAGGAGAACTCCAAGCGAGCCTGTGCCCGACAGGACCACGAGATCTGGACCCATGCGGGCGTCTCTTATCAACTAAGACCCCAAGTAGCTTGTACTGCAGACTGCGGCGATTGCCGTTCGGCTGCAACCCGGCCCACAGCCACCGAGGCGATCGAGTGGACGCGCATTGCGTACAACATGGTTGAGCCAAAGTGGGTGTTTGACGGGCGGGGGTTGTTGGATGCGGCAGAGTTGGAACGGCTCGGCCTGAGATTCGACGTGGTGGGCCGACGGACCCGCGAGATGGTGGCATACTAAAGCGATACCCTTTGATTATTGTTTCTTGATTTCTCTTATTGTTCAAGACATTTTTTCCTCTCTCGTTTACTAATTAGAATACACGAGACATGGAGTTTGACTAATCGATTGTTCTTTCATTTTTTTGATTTGATGTCCGGTATGTTTTGTTCATGGCGAGGGTTGGACACCTAACATTGATTGAATGATGAATAGACTGCATTGTAATATGATGAATATGATTTTATTTTCTGCTTATGGTCCTTTGCTATAGAATCTATAGTATCTGTCTTGAACACAGAACAGTGAGTCGACGCCTGTCTCCCATTGGAATCGAGAACTTGTTCGCCAGCATCTTTGTTTCTATACGGTTCAGCGATAACCTCCATCTACAACTTAGAGCTCTTCGAGACACTCGGCTCTAGAGCAATATTTGCTTCAGGCCACCACGGATAATTTGGGGCACTACTATCTCGTGGATCAGTCTCGAATCGAGGCTTTCTCTTCTCAAGGAACGAGTTGACACCTTCCCGGTAGTCCCTGCAAACACTAAGTTAGCTACCGGCCTTTGGTCCTCAAAATTAAATGTCCAATAAACACTAAATCACTTACTTCTGTCCAATCATATGATGAAACACCCGTGACTCAAGCAAATGAGCCTCCTCGGGCGATGTCGGACATTCCCACATCAACGCCCGACTCATCGAGGATGCCAGCGGACTAGTATTCTCCGCCATGTCCTGAGCCATTTCCAAAGCTCGGGGTAGTACCTGAGCAGAATCAGGGAGAACTTCCGTGAATAGATCACCAAAATACTTTGGTGAAGGCGGGTAAACCCCGCCGGTAGAGATGAGGTGCATAGCGCGTGAGAATCCGATCAGCCGAGGGAGGAAGTATGAGGCACAGGATTCGATAGTTAGGCCACGACGGGTGAATACGAAGCCGAATTTGCTCTTTTCGTGGCAGATTCTGGATCAATGTTAGATTTAAAGCATATCTTTTGTGTTATAGGTGTTAGTGCATACCTCACAGCTGCCGGCAGAGTCATTGTCATCCCGACACCAACCGCAGAGCCCTGAAGCGCAACGATAGTAGGTTTATGGCATCGATGCATCGCCAAAGTAACTCGCCCACCACTAGCAAATCATAAGCTCAGATCATCTCCTCCAAGAACGAATAAACCTACATATCACGAAAATCAACAGCCCTCCCCTCCCCATCACCAAACCCAATATCCAAATCCATTCCAGCACAGAACATCCTCCCCGTCCCCGTCAGCACGACGACCTTGACGCGCGGGTCTACATGAAACATTTGATAAGCCCGCGTGAGACTATCCGCCATGTCAGGTGTAAACGCATTATGTTTCTCCGGTCTATTCAGCGTAAGAATCACCACTGGTGTTGCGGATGGTGATCCAATGGGGTGGTGGGAGATTTTGATGTGTGTGAGATTGAGGGTCTCGTAGGAGGTGGGGATGTCAATGGCAGCTGATGTGAGCGGCATGTTGAGTGTTTGAATCTTGAAATTTTACAATTTGCCATATTTGGGAAGAGCTCGTACCTCTTATACATAAGATGGGTTTTGGATGGTCGGCTTGTTCAGCACGCGGCATGCGATGCGGTACCTCGGCCCCGAGGGCGATCATCCGGGTTGGAGCGGGGTGATGAACATCACAGGAAGCTGTACTTAAGCTTCATGGCTGGCTTTGAGAGGGCCAACGGTGACTAGTTACGTTTTAATAACAAGAGAAGGTCCGAAGAGCCAGTGAAACGTGATTGATGATTCACACTCATCTCTCCACAACATCGCATCGTTCTGCACGTCGATGTATCTCCTTGTCCAGTTCCAAAAACATTTGTCCTACACACTCCAATGCGATTTTCCTCCAGATTTACAAATAGAACAACTTGTCAAGGTGTCGCTGCTTGTTGGAATATTACTACAGGAGAGTGGTGGCTGTTCTAGAACGTTCATTAGAGATAGGCAGCGGTCGACCAAGACCTCTGAATGCTCTCCAATATAAGATTTTCTCGTATCTCCCTATGAATCTCGTATTTTCGGACATGGTTTAAGAGATGTGGGAAATGTTTAAATTATTCAAGTTCATTGGTGAATGGCCAGAGCGATTTGACGGATCTTAGCATGGGCTTTGGGACGCAGAGGCTACTTCCATTGCGATGTGCGGACCATCCTTGCCCGGATATGACTGAAGTAAAATGTATTTTGTTGACAGGACTATAGCCGGCCTTGGCTTATTCCAGGAGCCGTGGTCAGTGGGGCGTGGGGAGGGTTAATGGTATCTCTGATCTACATTTGATCCAGACAATATGGAGGAGGTTCTCAATGATTGCTCAATGGTTGCTGTTTCGCTTCCGCTTGATCGTGAACGAATACTCGTCTTTCCGGATGACCGTATCGCCTGATAACTATTAACTCTTGTAAATAATTCGGTTGTCTGATATTTTCTTCGAGAATGGTTTCGACATTGAGGGTAGCAAGGGTCTGCTCAGTAGGTCTCTGCAGGGTGACCGGTAATGACTTCGAATGATCCAGGCAGTGCTTGAGAGTGAGCAAAATAAATCAAAAATATAATCTGATTCGTACGTGCTCATCACACGCTCAACGTCTTGAGGCTGTGTGTCTGGTCAACTCACCACTCGTGAGGTTTGGTCTTTGTCCGAATTGGGTATGCAGGTGGTAACTCGTATAGGGACAGCACCGGAACTTGACCTCGGGACAAAGCGACGCGGCCTAGAACATGAACTGTTACCCCATACTCGACTAGTGGCATATCCTCTGACAAATCCAGAGTGGATCGATTTGTCCAGTGCCGGGGAAAAATCATTGAGCTCGAAAATGGGGTGAAAATCCCAACGAATACGGCTTCATAAAGTTCACATGAACGGGAAAAAAGGATCCGCAGATCTCGGGGGTTTATCCTTATCAATCGAGCCTCGGGCCATTGACATCATCCGCCACGAACCACACAGCCCACTGACCACTAATGAAAAGGAGAACCAAAGAATTAAGCAACATCATAGACCGGGTTTAATAAAGAGACTAGCATCCCCATCTGCTTTCTTTCGACAACTCCATTTATACCCAACCCCCTCGTTGAACACACGAAATGGCAGACAACAACCAAGGCTGCAAGATTACGCTCTACTGGTTTGTCGGCAATAACCCTGTCGAGATAACTTCATCTAAAGACTGACACTTCACAGGCTCGAGCAATCTCGGAGTCATCGCATCCTCTGGCTACTGGAAGAGCTCCAGTTGAAATATGAGCTGAAGACCTTCAAGCGTCGCGCCGACAAGCTGGCCCCCGCCGAGCTCAAGAAGGTCCACCAACTGGGCAAGTCTCCCGTCATTACAATCGAGGCCCCAGGATCCGAGAAGCCCCTGGTGCTGGCCGAGTCTGGCGCGATTGTGGAATACCTCTGCGATCACTTTGGCAGTGTGCGACCGACGCTAGTACCGGAGCGCTACCAGGCCGGCCGCGAGGGCCAAGTCGGCGGAGAGCGCGAGGAGTGGCTGCGATATCGCTATTTCATGCACTACGTGGAAGGCAGCCTGATGCCTTTCTTGGTGATGACTCTGGTCAACGACAGTAAGTCCTAGATCTATTGGCTCGATGCCTATTCGTATTCGCGGGCCCTCGTATTCTTGCGCCGCAGCGAAATCCTGAGCAGAATATGCTGACGTTTGCATGAAAAGCCATCCGCAACTCGCCTCCCTTCTTCGTCCGCCCAATTACCGGGATTGTGGCTTCGCAGGTTGAGGCGTCTTTCCTGACTCGCAATATCGAGGGTAACCTCGCTTTCCTGGAGCAGCAGCTGGAGACAGCCCCCGAGGGCGGTCCTTACCTTTGCGGTAAGGAGCTGACCGCAGCAGACATTTTGATGAGTTTCCCTGTTATCGCGGCTAGTGGCCGAGTCCTGAAGGACAAGAAGCAGAAGGATAAGTATCCCCTGCTGGCGGCATATGCTCAGCGGTTGGAGGGGGCTGACGGTTACAAGAAGGCCGTTGCGAAGATTGAGCAGATCGAGGGACATTTCTCGGCTTCTATGTAATACTTGGGATGATCTCGGAATTATTGTTTTTCATGAACATGTTAGCTATAATTTGACTTAATCCATATATTTCTTTTGAGCGCAAGACTCTGCCAAGCTATCGCTTTCATGGAGAGTAATTCCTGCCCGCTAATTGGCGGAGATGTTTGTGGAGAGAGATGTATGAGGTTGAGGACCACGCAGGACCAAAGTACTTTTTGCAGAACATTCGACTTGAAGATACAACCCAGAGTATACTATAGCAATACTTTAGAGCATATACTAATAAGGATTAAAGTAGATTGCTGCGCAGTTTCGCAATGTTCTTCTCCTTCTCCGAGCAAACCACGTGACTTGACACTGCTGAATCTTGGGTCACATGACACTCCACCTCACTTCACCTTCCGGCTCCAGACAGGAACGGCGCTGTGTCTACGCTTCGAGTTCCATCGCAATCATGGCTGGCCCCAGCAAGTGTAAGTCCTTCCAGTCTAATAGCCTTGAAGGCCCGAGAAATGTCAGCTGCTAACCAATTGACCAGCCCTGGTCCTTGACCCGGCCCTCCAGAAATACTACGGTACATGATCCCCAACCCACCATCTTCAACTCCTGCGCCCCGAACACGAGCACCCACGAGACAACCCCTGCGCTGCATATCCGGGATCTCTCCTGGAAGAGAGAGGGGCCTGTCCCTCTGCTTCCCGGTCGCAGAGCGAACTCCATTGAGCAATGACTGACTGACCCGACAGAACTCAACGCCAACCGCTACAAGTACTTCCGCTGGACCCCGCGCCATGCCTGGCTGTCCTTCGTCTACATGCTCGCTATCCCCGGTGCGCTGACTTGGGTCGCCTACAAGACCGAGGTATGTAGCATTTTCCCACGACGGATGTCATGACGGGAGCACTTCAGAAGACGAGAACAGTACTGACTATTCACAGGGCAAGTACGAGCTCCGTGGCAAGCGCAAGGGCGACACCATTGCCGAGTGGTAGAGAGGTGGTCGATGATTTGAATTGATTGAAGGCGATTCCCGAGATGCAGTGGCGATACATGAATGTATATCCAAGACATTCCGGGTTGACCACTACTCGGAATCGCGAGAGGATGGAAGCGAAAACCGCAGTTTTACTTTTTTACTGGCGCCCCTCGCTCTTGGGCTATGTACCTTACTACGAGCATATACCGCATTGATTTTCTTCTGTTTCCAATCCCGGTGCCCACTTCGTGTCACGCGTCAAGTGCTAAATACGTATGACGCAGTAGCGATAGAGAAAGGCACAGAATCATGCATGATTTGATGATGTTTTTATTGACCTTAAAGCCGACTAATAATACATTAGTGCTGTGAAGCGGGTATCCATATCTCAACCTTTGAGATAACGGCATTTCGATTTGCTCCTCGAATCCTATCCTTGATATTCAACCAACGTTCAGTATGGGGCCCAACCCCGGCGACCTCCGCCTCGATGGCCTCCATCTGGTAGTCTCTCCCCTCGTTTCCAATCGCCCGCAGGAAGAGCAGGAGGCCCACCACGATCCCCTCCACGGGGACCACCTCGACCACCTCGTCCTCCGTACCCGTTGTCTCGGAATGCGCGCATGCCGCCTCCTACCGGCGGTGGTGGACCGGGAGTACTGCGGAGCATTGGCGCAACCGAACCATCCTCCAGGGGCGGCAATATGGCACATTCAATGTAGTCACCGATAATGAAGCGAGCATCTTGCAAAGCCTTGTCTGCATCGGAGCCCTGGAAGCGCATTGGTCCTGCGCGAGGTCGTGCCTCTGCGTGATCGTCTGCATCTTCATCCCCGCGGTACGGACTATCCCTCGGTCCAACGATCACACTCCCCAAGTCTCTGCTCAAGTATCGGCCACGCGCATCGGGACCCATCATAGCTGCGCTTCGCGCGTCGGGGTAGATTAGACGGAAGCAGAGGCGAGTGCCCACGGGCGGGTCGGGGAGTAATGTGGGGAGAGCGGAGGTGAGAAGCTGTGAGAGTTCGCGGAGTGTGCATGATTGCCATGTGTAGATTTCAAGGTGTGGAGGGAGTGGTGCAGCAGCTGGTGGAGGGGAGGGTGCGCGGATGGCATTAGGACCGCTGACGGGACCGCCGCGGCGAGAGGGAGCGGGGATGCTGTAGTCGGAAATGGAGTGGAAGGAATTGACACGATAGAAGAGTTTTAGGTGAAAGGGTGTCGTCGTTTGGCGATTGATTTGAGGCTTGGTGCCTTCTCTTGAGGAGTTGGCCATGGCAACAGGGCGAAGTCGCGTGTCTGGAGAAAGGTCGGAAGAGGTTTAATTGTCGTGACGACCAAGGCTGATAAGATTCACAATTTGCGCCAAAGGTCTGGGAGGTGAGCTTTGAAGAAGATGAGTCGAGTGCTGTTGAAAGAAAGAGGGTGGGAGCTTGGAGAGTGGAGGTGAAATGGAGAAAACCCCAAATGCGGCCGTCGAAGCTTGCGGCGGTTGGCGGTTCCTTTAGCTTCGAACATTCTTTCCGCTCTGCCAACGTCAACTTTAACACCCACGCATTCACCACAGCCGATCTACAATTCTCGAATATCTCTCGATCCTTTACAGTTTGATCGACGAGACCAGAATCTGCCCACAAATTGAAGGAAGTCTGCGTCCCGCAGCCATCGCCACCATGGATTTCGCCGCGCTCATGTCCAAAGAGATCTCCAAGGCCAAAGGCCCGGCCACCTCCAAAGCATCTGCGGCAAGCAAAGAGAAAGATACACCCGCCGAACCATCAAAGAAGTATTTGCGCCGTGGAGAACTCGAAGCCGCGCGTGTCGCAGCATACAACGAGGAGCAGGAACGGTTACAGCGCGAACGCGAAGAGCGCCTAAGTACGAAACGCAAGCTCGAGGAGGAAGAAGCAGAGCGAAAACTGGAGCGAGAGGAGAAGAAGCGCAGGCTTGCAGAAGAATCCAAGAAAAGAAAGGAAGAGGAAGAAGATAAAAAGGAACGCGAGAGGCGACGGAGACTGGGTCTACCCGAATTACCAGCCAAGAGCGACGGCGAGACACCTGCCAGCGAAGATGCAGATGAAGAGGATATCGACGAGGAGGAACTTATCAAGAAGCTCCGGGAGCTCGATGAGCCTGCTCGGATGTTCGGCGAGAACCATCGTGCTCGACTCCGTCGGTACCGCCGGTTGGTGAAGCGCGCTGCTACGTTGCAGAAGCTGTCGGATGGCCCGATCCCCACGATTCTGGAGCCCGTTCCCGGTAGCCAGATGATTATTGAAGCCAAACCTCCAAAGGATCAGGATGGACGACAGTTCCTGTTCCGACAACTGGCATCCTACTTCAATATGGTTTTGTCCGAATGGGAGCTGGCATTGGCCAAGCGTGATGTGACCGTACGACAAAGCTTCCAAGGAAAGCAGGCATATAATGCCATGGTTCAGTCTCGAGAGAACATGAAGCCGCTCTTCCGCCGGTTTGAGAAAGGAGACTTGGAGGATGGACTGTTGGAACCGATTGTTGAGATCGTGCACAAAGCCCAGCAACGGAGATACGTCGACGCTAATGATGCCTATCTTCGAGTGAGCATTGGAAAAGCGTAAGTTGATTCCTCCCCGAGCTGTCCATGAATTAGGAACGATATACTAATGTATCTACAGTGCCTGGCCCATCGGTGTGACCATGGTTGGTATTCACGAACGATCTGCTCGCGAAAAGCTACACCAAAGCGATCAACAAGCCCACATCCTCAGTGACGAGGCTACGCGGAAATACTTGCAGAGTATCAAACGCTGTCTTAGCTTTGCACAGGTGCGCTGGCCTCCGGAGGATCAGTTGCAGATTATGGGCTAGTTGTCATCATGTATGTAGTATATACCCTAGGCGTTGTTAGTCTTGAAAACATTGCATGGAGTTTCAACATATCATTGACCATCTGGAAATTGTGTCGGTAGTGTGGTTTTAGATGGACCGCCATAGTTCTGTAAAGAGTTCCGGAAGATTTATTTGTCACTTTGAGGAAGCTCTCGTCTCTTGTTGCACTTTTATCTCCACTGCCCAGAGCATTCGTTTCTCAGGTGTTTGTTTACCCCGGGTCCTTTCTTCTCTCTCCATCTCCTCCGACTCTTTCTTTTCCTTCCTCTTCCTCGATCTTTTTCTATTTCCTCTCTTTCCATCGACATCTCTCTTTCCACCGACATCTCTCTTTCCATCGAAATCTCCATTATCTCAGTTCTCTTATCCCTCTTCCTCTGCCTCTCTCTGCTTCACATTTCCGACATCCGTCGTCGTCTGTGCTCCTCAGGATCTCACCCACCCCCGATCAGTCTCTTCACCGAAATCGACCCAAAGCTCAGCAATATGAAGACCAAACACCTCCCAACCGAGCTATTCATCCTGATCGTGAAGCACTTAGAGCCTGATGCGTGTTATCGGCTCATCCAGAGCATCCATGGTCTCGAGACAGTCCTCCCCAGATCAGAATTCGGAAAGCAGACAACCCGGGATGGCAACACGATTATGCATTTCGCTGCTCACAGAGGAGATCAACGCTTGATTGAATACATCAACTCTAAAGGACTGGATGTCAACGTTAAGAATCACGATGGAGTCACCCCGTTGGCTGTAGCTGCCCGGCGTGGGCACGAATCTGTGGTCGAGTTTCTCATCTCCACTGGAGCAGAGATAAACGTACGGGACTACCGAGGGTTGACACCCTTGCACAATGCTGCTCATCATGGAGCGGATCGTATCGTCCGAATCCTCCTCGACGCCGGCGCTGACCCCCTTTTGCAAGCGCGCAAGCGCCGCACAACTGCACTGGACTGGGCCTCTAGAAGTGGGCATGTCACAACCGTTGCGTTACTCCTCAGTCGTATTTCCAAAAGACCGCGATTTTTGGCTGCCATGTCCATTGCAGCTAAAAACGGCCGGACGGCCGTCCTCCAGCAACTCATCGACGCCGATTTTCAATTCTACAATCATTCCCTTTACGCAGGTGCGTCATCAGGGCGACCGAAAGTGGTGAAGCTTCTTCTATCGCATGGAGACTGGTACGAAGGCGCGAGACGTGAAGCATTGTGGATGGCAGTCAAAAAAAGGTCTCTATCAACGGTCCAAGAGTTGCTTGGGTCCGGCCTGCGCATTTCCAATGACGATGACTTGTTACTCAAGGCACTGGGCCATGGTGGAAGTCTTAAAATCTTACGGGCCCTTTGTCATGCAGGCCTTGATATCTCCGAGTCCACGGACAACGACACCAAGGACATGCTTCTGGAGGCTGCTGCTCGCGGGAGCAATACTGCATTGGTTGAATATCTTGCCCATTTGGGTTGGGTGAACCCGGATAATGGAAGCTATGCGTTATTTGAAGCTATTCGGTTTGGAAGCTCTTCTGTGGTGAAGATCCTCCTGGAGCACGGGTTTAAACTCCCCCGTATTTGCAGACACTGGCGCTAGCGACAGCATGGCGTGGTGGCCATCACCTAACTCTGAGTAATTTCCCCCGGGCCCTCAGTCAAGCTTCGACCCTTTACATTGCAGTCCACGACCGAAACTATGATCTTGTTCGAAAAGTCATCAACTCCGGGATCGATACATCTCCCTCTGACCCCATCCTCCATGAGAACCTACGATTGGCTCTGTCCAAGGCTGTTGATCATGGAAATACCGAGATCGTTGGCCTTCTGCTTGGTGCAGGTATCTCACCCGAGGCACATGGCTTTGAAGAATCTGACATTTCTATGCTCTACAAAGAAACTGAAAAAGGCCACCTAGAGATGGTGAAATTACTAGTGCAGGCCGGAGCAGACGTCTTCTATGAAAGTTACAAGGATTTTTCAAGAGCAGGGCCAGGTAGACACGGGTATACCGCGCTCTACATTGCGACGAACAATGGGCATCTGGATGTGATGAAGTACCTGATACAACATGGAGCTCCAGTTTCTCACCAAGGGGCAGAGGACATATCTGCACTACATGTCGCAGTTCAAACCGACTGCCCTTCAAGCGTTAGCCTATTACTCGAGGCCGGTGCCAATATGTCCCTCAGAGCGTCCTGCGGAGGAACTCCCCTTCATTTCGCCGCTGAGTATGGTTTCTTGGAAGCAGTCCAGCTTCTACTCGATGCCGGGGCCGACCCCTTCGTGCGGAATTGGCACGGGCAATTCCCGTGGGATTTGGCGCTGAATGGTGGCCACGATGACACTGTCAATATTTTCGAGGAACTGGTGAACTAGGGGGCAAACGGGGAGGATGGAGATTTCGTTTCCAGGATGGTTGTCTCTAGGACAAGAAACTACAAAGATGCTCCAAACACACGAGAATATCCCAATTCACTCCACAGTAAACATACTACCTCGTATCCACTGCCCTTGTATCCATGGAAGTAATTTTCCAGTAGTTATCGATGAAATTTTCTCTCAATGCCCCATCATAGCATTTTCAGTCTGGCTGTATTTGTATACTTCATCGCCTCCTATCGAGTGGGGCTACGGGGCTACTACTTCGGCCCTGAACACCAACGCGATCGAATCTACATCTTCCTTTCATAATCACCTCGCCATGATATCCAGCATCCTCTACACATGCTGTCTGCTATGCCCTCTATATATAATCTATAAACCTCCCCACACACTCATCAAATACCTCCAACGCCGCTGGCCGGACGTGCTATTCCACCACCTAACCACCCAAAAAGTCATCGCGTTAACCATCGACGACGCCCCCTCGACACATACACCCGCCATCCAGGAACTCCTCCAATCACACAACGCAACAGCAACATTCTTCATAATCGGCTCCCAAGTACCAGGCCACGAACACGATCTCTCCAATCTAATCCGCCATGGCAATGAACTCGCCAATCACGCCATGCACGACGAACCGTCACGCGGGCTAAGCGACGCGGCCCTCGCAGAACAAATCTCCACCGTGGAAGGTATGATTCGAGAGGCCTATCGTGAAACCGGCCAAGACGGACCCGAGAATTGGTTCTTTCGTCCCGGCTCAGGCTTTTTCAGTTCCCGCATGCGCGCGCTCGTTAAGGGGTTGGGGTATCGGTTAGCCCTGGGGGATGTTTATCCTCATGATCCGCAGGTGCCATTTGCCAAACTCAATGCGAAGCATATTCTTAGTATGGTTAGGCCTGGGAGTATTATTGTTTGTCATGATCGGAGGGAGTGGACGGTGCCCATGCTGGGGGTGGTTTTGCCTGAGTTACGGCGAAGGGGGTATCGGGTTGTTACGTTGTCTGAGTTGATTAAAGAGGGGTGATTGGACTTGATTTGATGGTGGGTTAATGTAATGTGCGAATAGTGTCTAGATTCTATGGAATGAGAAAAGGGTAGTGTCGCGAGGATATTCGAAAGTGTAGATACCACTAGACCATAGGGGCAATTTGGCTGTGGGGAGACACCTGGATGGTATAAGGGATGGAAATGAGAAAAAGGAAAGGTAGACAGCCAAATGCAAAATTGTAAACTTAGATACAGATACAAGATATAAGCCATGATATCAACATGTGACCATGCTATTGTGTCAAGTCCCTCCACAAATGCACTATCGTTGTCCACCAGCTCTGTACAGTCGTCGGTGCGGGGGCCGTAGAGACTTTGCTCAAGGTATCCTCTCGAGTCAAATCAGTCCCATTGGCTGGGTAGATATGATGACCGTCCATTCCATTCATCACTTGTAGTGATGCGGATTGCGGTCTTGTTGAGACCACGCTGCTACATATGCTTCGTGATTCTCGCTCACCGTCCTTGCTACCCAGTAGATGCCCTGCGGTCGCCACGCAGCCGCCGTATGCAAAGCGGACTAGTGAATCGCCCGTCAGACTACCGATGATATAGACATCCGGGGCGACTTCCAAATCTTCAAGTGCTTTCGCCCGGAGTGTTTGGCCTGAGATGGCTACGTTGTTCACCTTGTCATGGCCTAGTACCTCCGTGCGAAGTTGTGAGTCGAGATAGGACAGAGTACCTCGCCGACCAGCTGCGTACACGAGGCCCCGGACGGGCCGTGAGAAGGTGGAACCGTCCTGTCGACGGAAGGTGACCTCGGCCATGTCATCTTTCGTCTTCACATCAATGATTTCAACATTGGACAACCCCTCATACACTTCGTCCCAATTGCGGCTTTCCAAAAAGCCTGTCGAAGTGCCACGGCGGTATTTTGGCCGCTGGCTTTTACCTTCTGATGCGGCTGCAAGGGCAGCCCTCTTCATTAATCGATATACACCCGCATATTCTGGGTATGCCTGTTGATGACAACCCCGAAGTGGTGACGGGCGATCTTCGGGAGACCATTTGAAGACATGCAAAATCTTCTGGTTCTTTGATGCAGAAATGATAGCGTCCGCGCCAGAAAATCCAGACCCAATTACCAGTAAAGGTACATCCGGCGTGATCTGTGTTTGAAGTAGTGGTTGTAGCATGGGTGGAGGTGGAAGAATCTCGGAGAAAATGCCACTTGCGAGCACCAATCGCTTGCAGTGGAGGTTGTGAGATTGTATAAAGAACCCGTCCGCGGTGCGGGAGATGCCACTCAGTTGTTCACCACATCGAAAGACATCATCGACATGGACGGCTGCGGGGTAAGCCTGGAAGTAGTCGGCAATCTCACGTCTGGTCGGTCGGGTAAATGGTGGTAGATCCTGACCAGTTGCCTGTCGGTGATGATCGGCAAACGAGTAGCCCGGCAAGGATAACATGGCCGCATAACTCAAAGTCTGAATATCCCAGCTCGCCCCGTGAGGATCCTCGGTCCATTGACCTCCCGGACGAGGCGCGTCGCCGAATACGAGGTGGGAGACGGCCTTTTCAGGCACATGCCGCCACTCGATATTTGACGTGGAGCCGGATTCATCGACATCGACGCTCGGTCGCACCAGGGTATCCAGCAGGACATTCACTGGTAGAGCCTGGGTAGAGTAGGATAACCGAGAAGCCGCGAAATGCGCGGTAAGCGCGTCGACGTCGGCATTTAGTAGGTTGGGGTTGTTCTGCAACTTGGAATCGAGCAGAGAATCTGGATGCGGGGGGTTCCGCGAGTAGAACGGAATGTGACCATGAAGAATGTATGACAGGATCATGGACGACGGCCCATTGCCTGGTTAAAGGCTGAGGATTAGCCAGATTCTTGACTCGACAGGGTATCGGATGATCAAAGTAAATGATCCAATATGAGATCTTACCGACGATGACAGTGTCGGTCTCCATTGAGGACGGCGGGGCCTCCAACGCTGCATCAACCCGCGCGGGGCATTCTGAAGTCATGCAACGAGGAAAAAAAAAGATAATTTACAGTCACGACAGCCTCATCCGATATGATTCAAAATGAGACTCCTCGGTAGGAGATCAGTTGTCAGTCGAAGGCCAGGACCAGCAGAGCCAGGAACGGCCATGAAGAAGGAAAGAAAGTGTAGTCCATCGATGCGGCGGGGGCGTTTAATTTTCGGAGAAGTCCTCCCAGAGAATTCCGGGGAATGGATCAATAATCATGCTGCTGACAAACGCCAAAGTGGGGAATCTGGTACGAGACTGGAAGCTCTTCGCGGTCATTGGTACTTCTTCCAGGGTTTGACTTTGCTTTTTTTTGTGACTGGAGTTGAACTTGAATCACTTTCATGCTTTCCAAGAAGAAGAGGTCAAGTTTAGAGGAATCTGCATTTCGGCAATGCAAGTGCCCGTCCGGGCGGAGCCTCGATCGCCCAGGGGCCAATTGTAGCTGGCAGTTGATGAATTAAGAACTATAGAATCATATCCTGGGGGAATGACGGAATCAGTAAGCTTTAAGACCAATTGAAGGCCGAACTAAGCAATTATGGTGTTGCAGTCGACTCTACCAACAGAGGCATGTACCGGCATGTACTTAGGATGATCAATTCTAAGTCTTCTTCAGTAGGAAAGTACAATAGACGGGAATCCCTATATGATGGATAATAACCAGATACGAGTATTATTAGTATACGGGGCCAAAATGTATACATTCAAAGACGAGGCTTAATCCCTGTGTAAGAATAGGTATCCGAGGTATGTTACAACCTTACTCTAGGTACTTCATCTCCATCCACTGAACAATTTGAATGAGTCGTAATTCATTCCTAGAATATTACTGTTCATTCCTTAATTCTCTAACGAATAACAAAGTACTATGCCAATAAAACTACTCATTCTTAGTTAAGGACATGGATAGACTACTATACATACTTCTGCCCCTCCTCCAGCCCTAAGCCCTACTTTCCTAATGCGGCAATGAGGCTGGGGATTGCGTCGCAGATCGCAACTCCGACTCCGAGCGCCGCGGAGCCTCCAGATCCTCCGGAGCTCTTACATGCTTCCTTCTCCCATGATTCTCTCGGCTTGACTACCTCGGTCGCATCGGTCTTGATCTTGCGATCATGTATCACCTGGCCAAGTCGCTGTATACGTACGCGACCAGCAAAGAAGGTAAGCGCCATCCCATAGCGCAAGTTACGTACTTACCCCGAGGCTCCTCGCTGACCCATCGCAATCGCAGAGTACTCCGTCCTCCTCCTCGGCCTAGATAACGCCGGCAAAACCACCCTCCTCTCCCAAATAAAAGCCCTCTACCAACCCCGTCCAGAAGGCACCCCTGCGCCGAACCCGGGCAAGACCGTCCCCACCGTCGGCCAGAATGTCGCAACCATCTCCTTATCAGATATGAACCTGAAGATCTGGGATGTAGGCGGTCAAATCTCCATGCGCGGTCTCTGGCAAAGCTACTACTCGAGCTGCCACGCGATCATCTTCGTGGTCGACAGCGCCGACGTAGGCCAAGATCCAGATATCACCCGACTTCCATCCGCCTCCAGTCGACGCCCGAGCTCCGTATCAGGTCCGACGCGAGGGAGTATCGGTACAGGCGAGCAATTCTCCGAACTCACAGTCGGTATTAATGCGCCGGGGAGTGATTTCGGACGTTTAGACGAGTGTCGACAAGTTCTAGAGTCAGTGCTGCAGAGTGCCGACGTGGCAGGTGTTCCGATCCTCATTCTGGCCAACAAGCAGGATCGCGAAGATTGTGTCGAAGTCGTTCGCATCAAAGAGGGCTTTGTGAGGAAAGTTTTCGAGGGAGAGACGGGGAGCGGCGTTCGAGATAGCCGCGTGCTGCCGGTCAGCGCGCTTCTTGGATCGGGCGTGCAGGCTGCCGTCGAGTGGGTGCAGAGTCGTGTGCGATGGAATAAGGAGGGCCGGCCACCGGTGATGCGGTGATATACTGGAGTAATGGAGCGGGGAGCATGTGTGGGTGTAGTTGTAGCGACAGAGCTGCAACTGGGCGAAACCATCTGTACAGGGACATACACTCGATTGCATCATGGCGTTACTTAATGATATTCCCATCTACTTTTGTTTTTCATAGATATACCAATTCAGTCTGTTCAACGGTGACTTTACAGAAATCTAATCATAATATATAGGTAATGTGGGCTAGGTGTAGGGTAATGGAAACACAAACCCCATCTTCTAATATAAACTTCAACGAGCATTGAAAGTAGTCGTCTGTCGATATGAAGCTCTTACGTAGATCAAGGTAGCAACCTTAGGATACCTTACCTTGTATGGTTTAGGTCAGTCTGGCGTATATACCTATCTGCTAACCTTGTTGCGGAGTAAATTGCGCTCCCTGGATATACTTACTCAAATTGCAATTCAATGGATATGGTTAAAGGCGACAACGGGAACGCTTGTCTTATCCTCTCCTCGGATTTCAACCGTCACCAGCTAGCGTTGGGCAGCAACCGCTTTCAGCCCTGGTTCGTCGAGAGCCGACATGCTGATCGACTTCTTTACGTCAACGGCCTTTAAAGCCGTCTAACATTGGACACATAGTCCCTTGGAAATTAGAACATAGAGCCAAGCCTACTTCTGAACTATACTACATACAGGACCAATCAGCGACTGCGATATCGCTCTTCGACTCCAGCTGGCGTGGCCAGTGTCATACCCAGCTGCGGATGAACCTCAACTTGAAATGGCTGGAAGGAAGACCTCTCTCCATCTATACTAAAGGCACCGTGAGTCCTGACAGGAACGACCCGGTAGGCTGATACTTTCCGGTGATGAACCTCGTGCATTGCCAAGTGATTGCCTTCCGGTACTCTCTTGAACAATTGCAAAAGTCTCCAAGTACCAATTCCAGAATCCACAATTATGATATCCACCAGTCCATCATCAGGTCTTGCGTCAGGAAATACCTTGGATTTGGCATCCACGAATGGGAATTGACCTGCAAAAAAGACACCCAATGTTGGGTGATGCTCGCGCTTCCAGCTATCCGGCAGACTGTCATTCACGGACCCAAATCGTAAGTCGGGTAACCCGTGCAAATTTTCTCCGTTGATCTGGCTGCCAAGGCGATCAGAATGAGCGTCTGTGGAATGTTGGCTAGTGGAATTGTAGACTGCGAGGTCACACCCTTACACGGGAGGGTTGAAAAGGCGTTGGAGGAATCCGACTGCAAATCTTTTGCCGCCCAGAAATCGCATGCTCTCAGTATCAAGATCGCACTCGGCTAATAATCCGACATTCTGTGACAGAAACGAAATATACCGTTTGTCGCCTTGAGTGACGGACATAAGATCTATTGGTTGCCGAATACCCTTAAGCGTATAGAGCGCGGCATGGGAAAAGCTGGTTGTCTTGAACATGTTGACGCACATTGCGTTCCCCGAACCTCCAGGGAGCTGAACAATAGGGACATTTCTTAAAATGTGACCAGCGTCGTCTCTTTGCGCGATGCCGTTGATGATTTCGTATGGTAGACCATCGCCTGAGCAACACACTATGGCATCCCATGAATCAATCTCATGGTCTTCCCTGACTAGCCGACTAGCATGGCCGGAATAACGAGTTTCGTGTAGGTCTATACGGCATTGGGCTGCTTCAAAAAGAGGTTCTGCATATCGATGGTACAATTTTATAGCGGAGCCTTTGCCTGAAAACGGGTTCAAATAAATCTTCAGATGCTTCCGTGCTTTTGCTTCGCCGTAGGCGCAGTCCAGAAGCAACTGGATCCAGGCTTGTAATCGAGGAGAGGAAGTGCCCTGGTCAAGTAGCTGAAACACTCTCTTTGCCGCATTTAACGTTTTGTGCCGCTCTGCTGCATAGTGGATCGTCAATTGCTCTGTAGTTGCCTGAGCCCAAAGCACATGGAAGTACCGGACTTCAATTGATTTTTGACGGGCAAATTGTTCTATGGAATGTTAGCTCTTCGCTATATCTCATTATGGGCTTACTCTTGAATGATGAAGTCATACTTTGCCTTTGTCTAATCGTGAGTCCATTCTCACCCAGCTCTAATGTCGCTGATTCCACGTGCAGGGTGGTTTGGCAGATCGCTTCCTCAGTCATATACTTCATTTTTTGCATGGTGGTCATGGAGACGTAGTATCTGACTGCGGCATACCATACCTAAAACAATATATAGTTATCGAGAGGTGGCAAAGTGGGGATTTGGTCGACACTATCTATGACCGAGCCCCGAGATACGAAGGGACCTCGGGACGAAGTTACTTTCTCAGTTCTGGGGCTTCCGCACTGGATGACATCGATTCCACGAGCCTTCGGTAATCCGAATTGGAGAATTAGGGTTCTACAAGTACTGCTAAATACATCTACCGCTTCCAGAATTCCATCTCTTTCACCTCTGCCAGAGAACGACATTTCACCAACGTGCGCGGAAATCGTGGATCTAGCCCTTCGGTCGTACCGGCAGGGGCCAGATCCAAGAAGTATAGATTTTGGATTCCTTGCTCTTGGACGTATTTGAACATCTCGTGGTACTTTGCCCCAACTTGAGCGACTCCATGGCTGTCGTCAGAAAGGCAGAATCGGCCATCCATGGAGAGAAACTCCTGGTTTGCTGTTAGATTAGATATCCCAACACAACTCAGATTGACGACGAAATCATACCTGACAAATTTCTCCAGCCGGGTATGGCATCTCGAGTCCTTTCCGCAGGGCAGCTGAATTCAGTTCCAAAAGCCCCCCGTAGATCGAAATATACTTGAGATTTCTCTTCACCCTCTGCCAGACACCTGCCCATTTCTGAAGTCCCCCACTGGATAAATTTGGATCATCACAATAAAGCCGAATTAGATCAAAATGGCCTACTATTGGAGGCCTTAAGTTCTGCAACATCTCGTAATGAACATCAAAATAGTCCTCAAACGCACGCTCGTCTGTTCCGCCGGAGACTTCTCGCGCCTTTGAGTATAGAGCTCGACTCCAGTCGATGGGGACCCCATGGAGGTGATGCACCGATCCAACAAAGAATTCGAAAGGATACCTAGACAGCGAATCGGATATGAGCTTTAGTGAGACGCTGCCCTGGATCCATTCTGACTCAAATCCTATGAGAATCTTGATTTGTGAGGCATATTTTTCTCGTAGCTGAACCGCCGTCATGAAGTACCTTGCCTCATTGCTAACCAGAGATGCTGAAGTTACGCCGGCTTGGATCTAAAACAAAACATAATGGTAAAAAAAAACCCACATTGAATGCTTAGATGTCAGTGAGACTTACTTCTTCTTCATATAGGTCACCTTCAGAGCGTGGCATATGCTCGCTCAAGCAGAAAACTTCCATGCCTTGCTCTATAGCTGCCTGAATGACTTGATCCAAAGTGTTTTGGGCATGACTAGGGCAGAACTCTCCCGAGTGAGAGTGGTGGGAGAAAGGCATCTTGGCTTGCGGTCAACTCTGAATGCACGGAATTTGAAATGGACAGAGCGATGAAAGTCAGGAAATCTTTGTGATGAGCGGTACCTATCTGGAGCTACGTAATAGCTCGTTTATCCGAAACTTCACTGTTGTAAATAGTTGGGGTTTTCTATCTCGGTCTTCGGATGTGGATACTATTGGTGGTGCTACTTGGCTCGGTTCTCGGCTCTCGGATGTCACGAAGGGCTGGCAAGATGCGGCGATGTTATCACGATGCTATCCCCATATGCGGATCTATATAAAAGGCTAGAGGCCAAGCCAAGGGGAAGTGATATTTCTAGATTCCTTCCCTGGCCTTGACTTTGACTATCACATGTCTAATTCTTTTGCAAGTTGCAAGGTGCTATGTCTTCGCTTAATCGAATCACAAAGTCGTTGGGGTTGTTCCTAGGACAAGGAAGCGGAGCGTCAAACGTCGACATCTTTTCTCGACTAGTCTGTGTTATTTTTGTCATACGGAGCGTATACACAGTCTATGAGAGTATAACTCGTCACGGTATTGCAGGAATGTTGACAAATACCCTGGAGTCATGGCGCGGGCGGGCAAATCCACGCGTTTTGAAAAGGGGTGATAAAGACACGGAGGCAATATCAAATGCGATGGCACAGAAACTGGCTATTCAAGGTCCTGATTCCAAGAAGAACTTGTCTCTTCCTAAAGAGGGATGGGATTTCGAGAAAATTGAGGCGGAATTGGAGGACCTTCGCAACTTGGACCATACGAGATGGGAGGACGGTCGAGTCAGCGGTGCAGTGTATCACGGGGGCAACGAGCTGCTAGAGATGCAAACTAAAGCTATCGGCAAATTCAGCGTCTCAAATCCCATTCATCCGGATGTCTTTCCAGGAGTCAGAAAGATGGAAGCGGAAATAGTGGCAATGGTATGTGAATATTGTACAATCTTTTGGCTGGTAACTAATAGGCGATTCAGATCCTAACTGCCTTTAATGGGCCCGAAGATGGCGCAGGCGTAACAACAAGCGGTGGCACAGAATCTATCATTATGGCATGCCTAGCAGCTCGGGAGAAGGCAGCAGCTGAGCGCGGTATCATAAGTCCGGAGATGTATGTCATCGTTTGTGTATCTGTTTGGACTACAGTGCTAATTAATCAGGATCATTCCAAGTACCGCTCATGCGGCATTTCACAAGGCTGCCAAGTATTTCAAAATCAAGTTGCACCTGGTTTCATGTCCGGCTCCTGAATACCAAGCATCTGTTCCCGAGATTCGCCGACTGATCAATCGAAACACGGTGCTCCTAGCTGCGTCTGCACCAAACTACCCGCACGGCATTATCGATGATATCCCAGAGATTTCACGATTGGCAACTGAATATGGCATTCCACTACATGTTGATTGTTGTTTGGGATCGCTTATTGTTGCCTTCTTGAAAAAGTCGGGTTTCCCATCCCCGTACGAAAAAGAGGGTGGCTTTGATTTCCGACAACCCGGTGTCACCAGTATCAGCGTTGACACCCACAAATATGCCTTTGCTCCGAAGGGCAGTTCCGTTTTGTTGTATCGCAATCGATCCTACCGAAACTATCAATACTTCCTGTTTCCTGATTGGTCAGGTGGTGCGTATGCTTCACCATCTATGGCGGGATCTCGACCTGGTTCTTTGATCGCAGGAGCCTGGGCTACACTTATGAAAATGGGGGAGGCTGGCTATATTAATAGCTGCCGGCAGATTGTGGGAGCTGCGAAGAAATTTGAGACTACTATACTCACCGACCCAGTCTTGAAGTCTCATATTGGGATTATTGGACATCCCTTGGCTAGTGTCATCGCCTTCACAAGCAAGAACGGCGAAATCGAGACGTACGACATCGCTGATGCTATGGATGCTAGAGGGTGGCACCTGAATGCTTTGCAGTCTCCACCTGCAATTCATTGTGCATTCACTATGCCCACGGCTAAAGCCGTTGATGACCTCCTATCTGATTTGATTGAGGTTATCACGGAGATATTGCTTCGAATTGAAGAGCGGAAAGAGAAGGGGGAGCAAAGCGTACGTCCGAGTGGAAAGAGCGCGGTGCTCTACGGAGTAGGGGGAAGCATTGCGGATATGAATGCGGTCTCTCAATTTGCGGAAGGATTTTTGGATACGTTGTATAAAGTTTAGAGTGCATCACGATTCAGAAATATAGGCTCAGATTGGAGACATACATGTATTAGTCAGCAATTTTCAACAACGTTTTGATTCCACATTATTACTAGCCTTTTCATATCTTGAGGATTCAGCTGCTGGTCTACCGCTTTCAACCGTCGATTCCATCAAGGGACACGGATATAGACAGGCTGGCTGCGAATACCGTCAGCGTTAAGGTCAAGTGCAAGATCAAGCGTGACTTCCGACACATACCGAAGGAACCACAGACTGGAAGTTATCGGCCTCCGAGTTCCGTCCGTTAGTCATTTCGTCACGCAAAAGCGACTCCCGAACTTCGACTCCCGAGCTTCAACTCCCCGCTCACTAAAATCCACACTGAATATGCTCCATTCACGGCTCTCGCATGTTTGCGATACCTGTAAGGCACGCAAGGTTAAGTGTCATAGTATGCCTTTTTATGCAATACCTTTACTCACTTTGAAAGCTGAACATTGCTTGTAGGACCATCGGACCCCGTGGGACCGTGTGCGAACTGCCGTGTATGTGGTACGAAAAGATTGGAAAGAAAGTACCTAATATTCTCCGACAGAAAAATAGAGAAAACTGCGTCTATAGCCCCCTGAAGAGGAGATACAAGTCTCATGATTACAACACAAGACATTATTCACCCACTAACCGCCCCTCACGAGAGGAAATCAACCAGGTTGAAGTACCAACGCCATTGTCAACTGCCTCGTTCTCCGAAAGGCTTATAGAAGAAGATGGGGGGAATAATCCGGACGTCTCACAGATTCCAAACCTGGTTCTAAATACTTTATCTCACCCTCTTTATGTGGACCAGTTGCTTGAAATTCGACAGTCAACTGGACGCACCCAGAATGCTTCATTTCTCTTAGGAGTGAGTTTTACGGATCAAACTTTTGCATGGCTTGAAACTTACAATTGAATAAAAGGCCAACGACAATTATTGTTCGTTATAGAGAAAATTATAACTTGCTGTGTGGCGTGTTCCCTAACTTGGTCCTAGTGGCAAGCTCGAGTATGAGTTTCTTCTCCGACCTGCGATTAGATGATCTTTCAGCACGATTAGGTCACGATGGACTTAAATCACTTGTTGCACAAATATCAGGCATGGTGAAGTCTCGTGTGGAAGTCCTCCATCGCAACCTTGGTCCATCCAGTATATGGAACCAATCTGGTGATGTTCCGAGATTATCGCCTCAAAGAGCACGCCATCTGATCAATAGTATGCCACTACCTATCCAAAATTCTACGCCGGTACTGAACCTGAAATCAAAATTAGTTTATTTCGAAAATATCCACCCGTTGTATCCATTCCTGGACCGTGACGAATTCGAGGCCAGAGCGTTTGCCCCGACCTCGGAGGCTGGTCATGCCAATGAACTGGCGTGGACAGCTTTATATCATACTGTATTAGCTTTAGGCTGCGAATTTGACGATGGAGGCTCATTCACACCTGGCGAGGGTGAAGCCTGGAGTCTTTTCAAGGTGGCACTTGATCTTTACCCGAGAATCTTGTTGCTAAACACAGAGCTTCTTGAGGTTCAGGTAAGCAATATGCATATAACTTTTCTTTACTTGTGCATTATCAAAGTCGTCTACCAGGACTAACTCTGTCTAGTCGATCACAGCCATGGTAGGTTTACTCCTGCCTGTAAATAGTGCAAAAGGTAATAACTGCAACAGGCTCTCTTCTGTCTCAATTTATCCGGCACGCAGATCCAAGGAAAAATAATATCCGAGGCGGCGCGGGTTGCGCAACGAGCATTTTTACATAAATTGTCTGCCAGCAGCGACGCTGCAGCCCGTAGCCGAGTCTTCTGGGTGGTATACTACATTGAGAAAACCGTGACTTTTCATCACGGTACTACCTCGGTAAGATTAATGTTTCCTTCCATCTACATAGCTGACATTTGCAACAGTTTATCGTAGATTGTGACATTGGGTCACCCGTACCCACTATCCAAGAGTCAGTTTTAGGCGATTTTGACTGGTTTCTTACTGCAATACGGTTTGCAAGACTCTATTCGCGCATATTTACCGACTTGTTCTCCATAAGTGCAACTAACAAGTCAACGGCTGCATATCTCGTTAATATTGACGAACTAGAAAGGCTTCTGGAGCAGCAAAGACAAGCGATTCCTCGTCAGTTTCAACCTGGCACGAAGTTAAGACCACAAGCCTTCTCCCATCCATGTGGAATGCTCGCAGCTCTTCGAGTCCACTACCACTATCACGAGCTCAAAATCGCTCTTCACCGTCTGAAGCTTCATGTTACTCGCGATCATACTACATCTCAATCTCAGTCGACCATCATTAATATGATGAACTCAGCACGTGCTGTGATTGATGCCACACGAGCCATTTACCAAGAACCATCGACCCCTTTTTTGTAAGTTGTTTCCTGTTTTCTGCTTGACTGTGTTTACTGATATGTTCAGTCTTATTGTCTACATGCCTATGACGGCACTGTTTATCTTGTTCGACTTTATTATTCATAATCCGGCTCATGTGGATGCTGGCAGCAGTCTTGTCTTACTTGAAAGTGTCACGGGCTATTTTAGCGCTCTTGAGTACGCTACCGGCGGGTATTTACCAGGCTCTATGCTAATACAATTTGCGTCCATCGCGCGCACGTTTCACTCTTCTCTGCCAGCTGCTCACGCCAACAATATCAGCAACGACGTCAGTGACATGGATACAGCCGTTGAACAATCCGTATCTGAAACTTATGGCACAAGTTCATTTGCACATAGCCAGAGTCCCTCGAAGGTTAGATTTGCCCCAGAACGTTGGAGATCTATCTTATTATTTAACATTAAAATCTCCGGTTAGGTTGCCTCTCACTCGATGACCAATGATATATCCCAGAACCCTTCATACTTATTCCATAATAGCTCTATGTTTGGAGATGGCAGGCTCACCCCCGGTCTGGAGATTATGGATCTCTTTGGAGGTCCCGTGCTTGGCATTGATTTCTTCCCAACTTCAGATTGATCCATTGCATCGAGTTCCAATTAATTCAGAAATTGTATTCAGAATCGTACATATAAACCCCCGCAGAGAATAAATTGTATCTGAATTGAAACAATACACACTCTGACCCTAAAGTTGACCTGACTAGATTCGAAGGCTAAACTCGGGTCCCACTCCCTCAAACGAGGAGATGGTCCCAAACAGATCTTTAGACTCTCCATAATAATGCAGACGATAAATTCCACTTTGTAGAGCCTTGTCCCAGCCTGAAAGATAGTATGAATCCTCAATTTGCCAGGTCAAGCTCACTTGACTCGTACCTAGCAGTACGTTTGTTTGGTTCCATTCAAAGGTCAGGTTCCAGTCCGCGTCAGTGCGCACAACTTCCCAAATACCGTCATTATTCATTTCCACTGCTGCATACGTTTTTTCCAAGCGCAGGTCATTGCGCGGGTTAGCCCCAACAAAGGTGGCTGAAACGTAATCTCCCACCGAGTAGAAATAATTCGGCGAAGAAGATAGAACATCTCCAAACGAATGTCCAAGAATCGGTCTGTCAAAAACGACAGCAGGGATGAATGAGAGAGAATAATTCGTGGTAACCGGAGGCTTGGGGCCTTCAGGAAGTTTGGGTAATTGTGCGACCGCATTGGGGATTCCCAGATATGGCAGATATGTCAGACTAAGGTTCACATATGCCGCCAGCTGGTTGGGTCCGTAAAGGGTTGATGCTCCTTCATAACGCTGCACGGTGTATTCTTCCTCTGTTGTGACGTAGTGTGCGTATGAGTCTGCTGGAGATGCTAGAACAATAATAGGATCTGAAATGGATAGAACACTTCCGGCCGCGTCCGCAATGGCGCTTTTCCATCGACGTCCGGACATAGTAGTTATCTCACTTGGAGAAACTATGACCAGCAGTTGGCCAAGACGAAGGGCTTGAACATCAACAATATCAGGAGCCCAAGCATAAGGCTCGTTCATGGCCCCAACATCAAACAAGATCTGTTTTGGATATTGACAATGAATCTGTGCTGGCCCTGGCTGGTGAAGACCAGTCCGCACTACCTGCCAAAAGGGATTGGGAGACGTATTATTCTGAGTAAAATCAAAGGCCCCCGGTCCATCACTGGTTCCTCCTGCAAATGAAGTACCCAAGGCAGCATAACACGTTGATTGAAGACTTCCATTGAACGGAGAAATGAATTCGTACCCCGACATGTTTTGGTACGTATGGTAAGACGCCACTGATGATTCTCCAGCGAGCAGCACCCCTGAACCGGATGCCATCTGCCCATATAGCTGAAATGCGGCGTTGTATTGGCGACGGCCCATCTCAAATGCACTCTTGGCTCCGTCGTCAGCTTCACCGAAGTAAGGACCACGCCCTTGACAAAGCTCAGTGCGGCCATTGCATGTGCTGGTTTTGAAGTCACAGGGTAATCCCGTATCTTCACAAAATGGACCCAACACATTGGGGCTCAAGTCTCCAACGCTTGACTGTGAAAACCCAGCGACAAAATTATCAGCGAATCGGGTATCATTCGTAACACCTCTCTCAAAGAGATAGGCTGCAACTCCCTTGTTGTCTCCTGTAACGAGCGTGTTGTTATTATAGAGAGAGGTGCCATGCACGGAGAAAAATGACAATACTCCAGTGGTCCTACCATCCGAGAGGCGATCGAACGTCAGGAGTGTCATTGTTGTATCCGTATCAGAAGTGTATTCGGCTCGTTCAGTCGCTGGGTTTGCTAAGTAAGAATATGGACTGCGGTTGATATTTCCATCGGGAATATCGATGGTACCGACGCTGATTGTGCTGGGTGCAAGACTGTCATATGCTCTTTGGATCGAAAGAAGAGCTACCTCAACAATTGCGGTATAGGTCTGCTTATCAGAACCGAGTGTTGCTATCTGGGGAAGCAAGTAATTCATCCATCCCCCCGGCCCTGAGTGTTGGTGCGTGCCACATACTGCGACGTTATGTTCTCCATAATTCCTATATTTCCCTCCAAGGGTTTGAAGTCCTTGAAGAATGCCATGTCGAACAGCAGTATCACCTGATTGAGCATCGAGTACCACATAAATGAATGAATTAGTGGCATTGGCAGGATCGGCAAAAACAAATGACCGAGCATAAATTCTCTGACGGAGACCGGTTCCTGTCTGATTGAGCTGTCCATAGCCTGCAAAAGGGATCTGGACCACAGCACTGATCGTCGCAGCTCATTAGTTATGACCTCGTTCAAGGTAGCATAAACCTCTCACCCAGTGATATCGGCCTTTCCCACGCCGACAAGGAACGTGCTTCCATGCTTACTGGCTCGCTTCTCATGGCTATACGCACTCCCAGTACTGTCGGTCGGATGACTAAAAGACCCAACGCCCCACAGAGAAAATAACAGTATTAAAACTGACAGTAAACCTTCGGTGCTCATACTTGGGAGTAGCAGACGTGCCATGACTCGGAGACGATCGAGGAATGAGCTTCAAGTTGGGGCGAAGTATAATGTCAATGTGGCACTATTTATACTTCAGTGCGAGATCCCTCTCATGCAAGTTGAAGTCGCCAATCTGACTGGAAATTGGCCATATGGATCTGAGTGCTATTGGTAGAATTGTCTCGTGATATCGACACAGACCTTATCATATGCCGGGCATCGGTCGTAAAGCTTTGACGACATACTTACAGGACCCTCTTATTGGTTATCATATCATCTATATGTACTTACCTTTATATCTGACTTTTAGAGTTCAGTGTAGCCTGAACTAGGTTACTCCGTGAATTGTAGCATTATTCCTTCCCAAACTTACTGTAATCATGAGATACAGATGGGTATGTCACATGCCGTCGTATTCAATTGATCCTCTTTAGATTTGGCTTATTCTTAATTTTGAGGGAAAAATATGTCCTTTTTTTTAACCACTGAACTTAATTGGCTCGGGAGTATCGGAGCTTCAAGAATAATCGGGCAGATGGTTGTTCCGAGTGAGATCAAGACAACCTTTCTCTCCGACAACCGTGAAGGGAAGATCATGAGCACCGAGGCCCGACTCCCGTGGAACAAGAATATCATATCCACAAACTTGATAACTCTATGGAGCGGCCAATCGTCAAGAGTAGCATGTGGATATAGGACCTCAAGTACGGTTGACCCTGCATTTTAGATCCAAAATAATGGCCCATTATGGCATTATGGGGACGACGCGGGAGCCATGATAGTCAAGCAATGGGCCTCATTGATGAGCCAAATCCGACACCCGAAGCCCGAATCCCAGTAAACTGGCACACTAAGATTGGAACACCTGGAGTTCACTCTGCTCCGTATTGTTGAATTTTTAATTTATTACTACTGGGAGTTGATAAGAACGTCGATCCTATCTTCACCTACGTTCCAGTTATGCCCTGTCGTCCCTGATAAAGAGCCTTCTGACAATGTTCTTCTCAGCCCAATTGATAAGAGGAAATGGCTCGATTTGAACACCGTCTCTCAAGATACGGACCAAATAAGTTTGATTGGCTTTTGTGTTCCATGTGGCCTGGACGTTTGATCAAAAGTCAGTACCGAAATGGTTTGTTAATCCACGGCCGCTTTGCTTAACCCCGCGTTCCACGTAATTTGAGTTTCTGCCATCCCTTCTTCTCGCAAGGATTTCCTACCTTTAATGATGGTCATTGGGGAAGCTTCCGAGGTGGCAAGTATCGGGTGAGAGCTGATAATAAAACTGTACCGAGGTTGTACTTTATCTTTTTACCTGTGGTTCACTGCTTCCCACGAACATATGAAGTATAAGAGTCGCCGTTAAGACAAAATATAAAATGAATGGTGAGCGTATGCCGATATAACATCGTTGCAACGCCTTATTGCCACTCTACGAAAGTTGCAGTATCTATGCAGTATCTACTAATGCAGAAACCTTCCGAAATTCTCGAGCGGAATACTCATTCAACCTCGCAACCAAAGATGGGGAACTCTACTCCTGGCCAGGTAAAGAAACAACTGAACGGCATCACTTTGCTTTGCCTGGCTTTTGTGATATGTAATAGTTGGGCTGGTATTGCCGGGAGCCTTCAGCTAGCACTCCTGGCTGGAGGACCAGCCACCCTTATCTACTCAATCCTCGTTACCACTACAGCCTACTTTGCAATAGCAGCATCAATGGCAGAGTTAGCAGCCGTTTACCCAACAGCAGGTGGGCAATATCACTTCGCCTCTATTCTCGCCCCAGAGAGATGGAGACGAGGGGTGTCATATACTTGTGGGCTATTGGCGCTTTTCTCTTGGCTCGTTATTGGGGTTTCTGTCACCAGTATTGCGGCTCAGCAACTCCTGGCTTTGGTATCTACGAGCCTCTCGGATTTTGTGCCTCGACCCTGGCACGTTTTCTTTGTCTACCAAGGATTTGCGCTCCTTGCAATGCTATACAACGCCTTTATCCTGAAAAAGAACCCTTGGACACATAATCTTGCGTGTCTGTATCAACAGAAGTCCCCTAAACCAGTTTCTTGACCTAACTGTTTACGAAGTTATCCTGACAATCGCCCTATTTTTGGCGTGTTTCATTCTCCTCCTTGTAAGAGGCAACCCGAAGGAATCTCACGAGTTCGTCTGGAACACGTTCTTGAACTATACTGGTTGGCCAGACGGCGTATGTTTTCTCATCGGTCTTTCGACATCTTGCTACATGTACAATGGCCTCGATGGCGCCATGCATATGGCCGAGGAATCTAGCAACCCGGAAAGAGTTGTACCTCGCACTATGATGGGTGCAATTGGAATTGGGTTCACCACGGGGTTTGCCTATACAGTGGCCCAAGTTTATGCCATATCTGATATCCAAGAGATCATGACCACGACTCAGTAAGTTTATTAGCCAATGTCCTTTCCGTTTCACCGCTATAGTAACGCGTCTTAGATGGATTCCGTTTGTAGTTATGGAGCAAGGATTTCGATCTCGCACAATCGCTATGGTCATAGTTTCCTTCAGCGTTGTCATGGCGATGACTATTATAATTGCTACTCAAGAGGCGTCGTCCCGCCTTGCCTGGTCTCTGGCACGCGATGAGGGGCTATTGTTCTCACAGTATCTCCAGGATCTTCATCCGCGCTTGGACGTTCCCTTGTGGAGCTTACTCCTAGTCTGGCTGTTGACATTTATATGCGGCTTCTTATATCTCGCTTCAAAAACAGGTAAAGAACCCTTGAAATCAAATGGCATATTGAAGTTTGTACTAACTACGGTCCATCAAATAAGCCTTCAATGCAATTATAGGCTCGTCCGTTATTCTTCAGCAACTATCATTCTGCATACCTATTCTTCTAATAATTTCTCGAAAGCGATCGAGGACTTACTTGTCCCCTGCTCGCAGCTTCCGTATGCCAAACACCTTGGGCTGGATTGTCAATATCTACGCTGTTGCATTCATTACTCTCATGGCTGTTATCCTGTGTCTGCCAGTCACTAACCCAACGGATGCATCTACAATGAGTAAGTAACATTCATTCCCAAAAACGTTGGATAATACCGTTCAGACCAGACTAATAGTACCATCTCCATTCTAGACTACACATGCGTGATTCTAGGATTTTGCCTTTTGCTCGGTCTAGCAAATTGGTGGCTGCATGCCAAGGAACAGTACAATGGCCCTGTGATAGAAAGGTTGGAAGGCCATGAAGCTGAGCCAGTTGGTATCTTCACCATCCCTTCTCAAACAAAGAACAGGAATGAAGGAACTGTATAGGTTTAGTAAATATTTTCAGTGATAATTATTGGCGTGGCCGATAGCTGTTGGCGGGTTTACTAGTCGTGCCTACTTGCTATTGAGACTAGCATTCGTATTGAATGCACCTCTATCTACATTAGTCATTTTTGATTGAAGACCGATATTTAGGCTTCATTGTCTGGTTTAAAATCTACATATTGCTGGTTAAGGGCATTGTATTTGACTGTCTGCTTCAAGCTATCTGTCATTGAATATACTTGTTGAATTTCCGTTCCTGGTATGTTCTTAGAGCCTATCTGTAGAATTGATAGGATCGCAGATGGATTTCCGTCACTAATTGGAGTGCATAAATATCATAAAGCCTTTCAAATCGTTTTTCAAATATCAGTGCCACTATTTTCGCGTCCTCGTGATGCCCTAGTGTAATACTGAAGTGATAGTCTGCTACGAAGTCATCAACGGCTTCGCGCTAAGAGATAACGCTAGTAACATTTCAAGAATCATCCGTATCTTTTGACTCCCTGGAGGTTCGAGGAACGTAATGTGCGTTAGTATGTTTAAGATAAGTGGCTTCTCCTATGCCGCGCTCTATCTACTTATGGGTATTCGGTAACTCACTTAATAGATCTCATGTTACTCAGTCAATGCGGTAAGCTAACATTTCTGTCGTAGGCAGCCGAGATAGGAAAGGCAGATAATATCCTGTGTATATTTTTCTGTATACAGTTGCAGGTAGAAGGCAGTTCGAGATGAGGACCCACAGCCAGCCTCGGCCTGAGATTCCTCCAATAATGTCCTAGGGCGCATGAACGAGAAGCAGATGTAATCAGATGTACATCTTGGTTAAAAATCAAGGAAATATCCTTGCCTTGACATTGATAGCTCCGCATTTCTGAAATCATTCCATATTGGAATCCTAGGGTTTGATGTAACGACCCACCGATGATCCCGATCACCCTACCGACCTGTTCTCGGAATATACTATCTACCAGAACCGAGAGGCAAGAAATTTCTAGATTTGCAGTACCAATGTCTGTGCACTCCACAGAGTCGTTTAAATGATCTTTGCGCAGCAATGAAGTCAGTTGTGGTGGATGTGACGTCACATTCTTAGTGCTCTTCCAGATGGGAGACTGCATGTACTATAAAGTGGTACTTGCATCAACGGGCTGGTACATAGACCCAAACTTCACGAATTTTTCAGATTTCTCTACTATCTTCAAAATACACTTCCATAATTCACCACATATCATCATGAGCACACTTAGCAACCCCGATTCGATCAACCACAAGCAGGGTACCTTCAAGCCCTCTGTGGCACCCGAAGGACCTATGACAAACAAGAGTGTAAGTATACATCTTTCTTAACAAGAACATACCAAACTAACAACCACGATCAGTACCAACCCGGCCGCAAAGTCAACGAGGCTGACCAGCGCCCCGAATTCCACATGGAACATCTCCCTCCGGGCACCGCACCCGCGAGCAACTCCTACTCTGCCAACACGGTGAACAAAGTTGGCAGTCAAGCCAACAACCCCGATGTCCTCCGTGCACACGGCAAGGAAGCCGTTCACACACCCGCCGCAAATACCTTGAGGGGAGCAACTTCCGCCGATGTACACACCGGGTTTGGCAAGCCCCTCGTGGGTCAGACCGGCGTTGAACTCGCCCATGACGGTGCCCATGGCCGAAAGAAGCAGCGTGGTGGTCTGGAGGGTGTTGGCACTTCCATAGAAGATAAAAGTGGCGAATGCAAGCTCCCTGACAAGCGTGGCAATGAGAGAGAACATCATCTAAGTCGCCTTCGTGGGAACAAGGAAGATCGCTCTGCGGCGGATGTGCGGCCAGAGCCTGCTGAGACTCTGGATGCCGAGTGGAAGTATGAGCCTGGCACCAAGCGGTGAATAAATAGATCAGGGCAACAATGATGGAGGAGGGACTTGGTACATGTGCCATTTTTGGGGGCCCGCGATTGGGCTCGCTGGTGTTTGAGGTCGATCGTGTGAAAAAAGACAAAATATTGAGCGTATAGATGCAATTAGTCATGATTATTACATGGCACAAGGCCGTAGAGAATTATGTACAAGTCGTTTCTCCACTTTGGGGAGGGACAAAACATCCGAGGGATTCAGCTTCAAGCTTTCACCGACTGTTGCGAGCAGCGGTAGATGTTCGGGGCTTCTCTGCTGGCGGTTTCTTCGGCCAGCTTCGAGCAATATCAATATTTGCTCGTGGAAACCACATTTCGAGGAAGACGTAGATCAAGAAGTCAATGACAACGCAGAGACAGAACAGCTTGCCGGCCCAAACACCACAGCCATAGTACCGTTTTAGGCGGTCGATGAGCGCAAAGCTGCGTACACGATCTCCGCTAGCCTCCCATCCTTGACCCGGATAGTAGCCGTAGAATTCCTCGGGGCTGATATCACCTGTTATGCCTTGGTAGACTCTTTCAGTACGTTCAGCCACATCCCGCCAAGAGTACATCATCTTCACTTGGTCGTGGAAGCGGTCTGTTCGGACTTTATTCGAGCGCAAGGCGGCAATTGCCTTGCTAGTTGCAACAACTAGGTCGTCCTCTTCTGGCTTCGCAAATGTTGTCATATGCTGTGGCAACACTTCAGGAATACCACCGACTCGGGTACAAACAACATATAACCCGCAACTGGCAGCTTCAACAATGACAGTACCGAATGCTTCTGTCAAACTAGGATGTAGGTATATGTGACCTCGTACCATGACATCTCGCACCTCTTCGTGTCGAACCGAGCCAAGCATCTCGACCTTGTCTTGAAGCACATTGCGTTCCAACATCTGTTCAAGGTCAATGGCCTTTGGTCCAGACCCAGCGATGATGAAGCGAGTCTTTGGATTCAAAGCAAGAATCCGTGGAATGGCAGCAATTAATAGATCAGTGCCCTTGTTGTAAAAGAGGCGGGAGATCACTACGATCGTGATTGTATCATCAGGACCGATTGATGTAGGGGGTGCTCGTTGGTCAGAAGGGGATGTGGGAATCTGATCCAATGCACGAGAGTTGTATGAGAGCGGGCGGAAGTTTTCCGCGACCACAGCGTTTGGAATGACTGATACCATCAAAGGGTCTAATGAGGCTCGAAGAACGGTGTTCTCCTTACTAGTAATTGTTAGTTCACGGTCACATATAAGCGTCGCCATCCACGTACCAAGTATGGCTGACACAGATCGCATGGTCCACGTCACTCAATGTAAACTTAAGCAGCTTGTTGGTCAAAATGGAGGCGGCATCGGCGAATCCGAAAAGAGAGTGGTCCGTAAATACGGTCCGCAGGCCCATTGTTCGCGCATGGAGAATAGCTTCTCCACAAAAGCTACTGAGACTGGCATGACCGTGTACAATCTCAATCTGTTCACGAATCACAATATTGCGGAATATGGGAAAGAATGAGAAGACGGTAGGGAAGGTGGTTTCGCGGTAAATGACGAAGAAGGGGACGTGGTAGATCTTCAAGCCATTGGTGAGGTAGCGGACTCCTGTTCGACCTTTGTACGCATGTGTGATTATTATGACCTTGTGTCCGCGGTCGATGAGTTTCTAGAGAGCTGTCAGGGTCGGATAGAGGGAAGAGAGGGTGATAGTGGGACCGTCGGGGTGCATACGGATGACAATTGGTAGATGTGACTTTCAATTCCCCCTGAAGGAAGGTCAGAATCGTGTTCATAGTTGCTAAAAGGAGTTGTAGGACATACCCGATTGAGGGAAAAAGAAGTCACTGACCATACTGTCACAATCCAGTTAGTGTCAGCGATCGGGACATGATAGTAGTGTTCCCCTGGGAGGTATAAACACTCACGCAATGTTATACGGCATGATGTCTTTGAAGCTGAGGTAAATGAGTATGAGACAACGAAAAGCTATCTCCAGTATGTTTTGCCCTGCCCATGGCGATCACCCTAATCGGTTCTTTCAAACATGAGTGAGGAGTGACCAAAACCGCGATCGAGACCGATGACAATCAACGTGAAGCTGCGCGATAAGAGTGGGCGGTCAACACAGGGCGGTGAGATGTGGAGAATATTGCCGGCACAACGTAAAAAAACCCAATCTGCTCCTCACCAGAGCTCTCCAGCTCCAACACAGACGGGAACCCCGAGCACCTCAAAAAATGGCCGGTTCCAAGGCTACCGTTGGCTCCTCGAAGATGGACTCAACTCCAAAATCCTCAAAGTCCCACAAACGAAAGCGAGATATCGAAACCTCTAATGCGACTACGCCAACTCCGACCAAGAAACACAAGAAGCGCGAGAGTCTGCCTTCCTCTGTGTCGCCCGCCGTCGATGAGAGCGCCACCAAGCGGAAGCGACTGAAGGATGCCCTTCAAGGCAGCGATTCTGAGAAGGGGACAAAAGACGATACCTCTCAAGAAACGCGCAAGAAGGACCGAGTTGGCGAATCAAACAAGAAAAGAAAGGATGGCAAGCGAAAGAGCTCTGGGAAGGACAGCCGGGAAGATTCCGAACCTGCAGCTGCGCCCTCCGAGTCTGAGGAGAAGAAGGAGGCAGATGAATCCTCCGAAGATGAGGGCAAGCGCCGCAAGTCATCGAAAGACAAACATGCGGGCATTCTGTCCAAGTTCGAGCGGACCAGAACGGCAGCAAGCGCAAAGGCGAAAAAGCCAAAACAAGCGACTCCGGAAGCCGAACTACCAGCTGAGATGAATGTCGAGCCAGTCATTGCCCAAGGTCTTGAACCATTGCCTCAGCCAGAGAACCCGCCCGAGGTGACAGAGGCGCCCACATATTCCTCCCTGCCTCCGTGGCTAGCGAACCCTCTGCGAACGTCTGCAAATGAACGAGCTAAATTCTCAGACCTGGGAATCAAGCCTGACCTTTTGCGCATTCTCGAGCAAAATGATTACAAGGAGGCATTCGCAGTGCAGTCAACGGTAATTCCTTTGCTGTTGGACGGCAATAACAACCACCCAGGTGATCTCTGCATCAGTGCTGCCACAGGCTCAGGAAAAACCCTTTCCTATGTTCTCCCAATGGTCACGTCCCTCACTCCTAGACCTGCTTCCAGACTTCGAGGACTCATCGTTGTTCCTACAAGAGAACTGGTCAAGCAGGCACGTGAGGCCTGCGAGCTCTGTGCCTCGGGTTCACGCCTTCACATTGGAAGTGCCGTGGGTAATGTGGCAATTAAAGAGGAGCAGAAGCTTCTGATGCGGGTCGATCAAATTTACAATCCCGCAACTGTTGCCCAACGACAGAAGTCAGGATTGCAGGGCAACGACTGGATGGATTTCAGCCTTGAAGACTGCGTCAATGAAGCAGTTGACGCAACTGGATTCTTGCCTGGCTATATCCAGAGGGCCGAGCCAAATGTGGATATTTTGATTTGCACACCCGGTCGACTTGTTGATCACATTCGATACACGAAAGGTTTCACCCTGAAGCACCTGGAATGGCTGGTTATCGACGAGGCAGATCGTCTGCTGAATGAGAGTTTCCAAGAATGGGTGGATGTGGTCATGGGGTCGCTCAACTCGCGTCAAGATCCCGAGACCTTTGGACCTGGAGGCCAACTTCTGTCCGAGCTTGGACTTTCAATCGACACTCATCCTCCCCGTAAGGTGATCCTGAGTGCGACAATGACTCGAGACATCACCAAATTGAACTCTCTGCGTTTGGACAACCCTAAGATGGTCATCATTGGTGCTGAGAGTACCATGGACGAAGAAGATCTGTCTGCGTCCCATCCGGATGCTCATTACACCCTGCCAGCAACCTTGCAGGAGCACATTGTTGCCGTCTATGATGCATCTCAGAAGCCGCTCTACCTCCTGCGCCTTCTTCTGTCAAACATCAAGATCTGTGGTGCGGACAATGGCACCAAGAAGCAAGCTTCTGCTTCTACCCAGTCCGACTCGGAGAGCACCAGCTCCGATGATACTAGCTCCGATGAATCCTCTGACGATGAGACTTCCTCCTCGGGCTCAGACTCTGACTCCGACTCTGACACTTCGTCTGACTCTGATTCTGATTCTGATTCTGATTCTGATTCATCTAGTGATTCATCATCAGACGAATCTTCCGATTCAGAGGATGAAGTCGTTGACATCGTGCCTGAAGCTGCCTCCTCCCGTACAACAGTCCTTATCTTCACCAAGTCCTCCGAGGCCGCATCTCGTCTATCCCGTCTTATCTCCCTCCTTCATCCCCCCTCGCCAACCGTGTGGGAACCATCATCAAATCGAACAAATCGTCTGCATCTCGCAAGACACTGGCAGCATACCGTCGCGGCCGTATCTCGGTCATTGTCGCTACTGATCGTGCCTCTCGTGGTCTGGATCTTCAGTCCTTGACCCACGTCATCAACTACGACATCCCGCCCAGTGTACCTACCTACGTGCATCGTGTTGGCCGTACCGCCCGTGCCGGCCGCGAGGGCTCCGCATGGTCCCTGGTCGCCCACCGTGAAGGCAGATGGTTCTCCAACGAAATCGCTGCCAACGTTGAAGGTCGTATCACCCGCACTGCCGGTATTGATCGGATCCGCGTGAAACTGGATTCTCTGAAGTCACTCCAGCCCAAGTATGCGGCAGCGTTGGACGAGCTCGAAAAGGAGGTCAAAGTCGGCAGGGCACGCCCAGCCAAGCGGTCTTAAATTATGCCAGCAACTGCCTCCTACGAATGCTTTATGTGATATTCTATGCATAGCGTCCTCTGTATCTTATTGTACCCCCTATTGTACACTACATCAAGAACATCTTACTTGACCATCTTCAAACCTTCATTGCTTTTGTCATGATTATCAGGCCTCTCTTTCAGACTTAGTCCTGATCCCTCCTGTGGTAGTAGATGGTGCAATCAGTAAATACCAGTAAGGGAAATGCAACAGCCGTCGGAAGGCTAGGACATTGCGAAGGCGAGGATTATCCAACGCCGCAATCGGGGTTGCCTCGGCGAAACAACACATCTCCGCACGCCGATCTTCAAGCTTTTACCCGAACAAGGGGAATTTTCCGGCGAATATGAAAAATATCCGATAAGAAAGATAGATTCGTGAAGGTTACAGTTATGCATTGGATCCACATATGCGGGGAAATGGCACCGTTACCCTCAACAGCCGATAAGACCTACAGTCTGCCGATGGTCAGTCCATGATATTAAAGCCAAGATTTCTCCAAACTTAGAGCTACCATACTATACCAACCTTCCGCCAATATGGTGAGGGTTAAGCATACAATTGCTGCTTTTGCAGCTTACTTGGTCCCAGCTACTGCAGTCATTTTCAAGCCTCAGAATGAATATAAAGCTCTTTCTGCAGAGAACGCATCCTTTGCCATTAATTTGCAACCATGGTTCAATAATCGTGCTTTTGGGTTGAATCCAAATGATTCAAGCTTCGATGGCAGTGGAAGTGAGCAGAGCCCGCATCAATAGATATTCTTCCATGTATAGAGTGACTAACAAGGGCTGTTGCTTCATAGATTCATACCCAGCAGCGCAAATCCCACCCGAGGAGTTTACATACGGTGGATTCAACTATCATTTCTCGGCATACAATGCCACCGGATTTGATAATATCCTTGTCAAAGGGCAGACCATTGAAGTGCCTCGAGCAAAGTATTTTAGCTATCAGATGCTTGCAGCTTCCGAGTCTGGAATGGCTTCTGGTTCAGTGACTGCCAAATACGCCGATGGCAGCTCCACAAGTGGGCCACTTTTAGTTCCAGCTTGGTGGAGTTGGCCGTATCCTGCTGGAGGTGACCTAGTATTCTCTTGCTACCTGACCGAGAACGAAACGAATTACAATAGATCAAACATCTTCCAGACTATCAACTGGCTGGATTCTTCTAAAGACCTCGTTTCCCTGACATTCCCGAGCAGCTCAGATGGGTCATCAACATCACCCGGAGGAGCATCGGTTGACACGAAACTGCATGTATTTGCTCTTTCAATGCTGCCAGTTACAAAGGTCAACCCAGGGACCATAAAACTGGAGGTACAGTATGCGCGCTCCACACAAAAATGGATGGAAGGAACCGACAAAATTCAAATCATTGAGGCTGTAATCAACAACGTTGGCTCTGATTTCGTTCTTCGCAAGAACAGTGTTCAAGTGCACGTTGAGTCTCCAGGCCTGGAAACCGTGACAGAAGGCATCATCAAACGGCTCGGGCCGGGAGATCAGGCCATTGTGGAAATCGGTGTTCGAAACCGCAAAGGAGCGAAACCAGGAGATGTCGGCCCAGCGACAGTGGTAATCAAAGGCCAGCATGTATCGTCTTCGAAATATACGTTCACTGCAACGTATGGAATCAGCCAATATGAAGCCACCTATGAGTCCGTCTACAATCATGAAGCGCCGAATTGGTATAACAATGCCAAGTATGGTATCTTTATCCACTGGGGAGTATACTCGGTACCTGGATGGGGAAATGTTGGTTCCAAAGAGGACTACGCTGAATGGTAGGCTTATGCAAACTTTCACTGTGTGGGTGCGCTGCTGACAGGAGTTTTAGGTACTGGTGGTGGTTAAACGAAGGTCCAAGCAATCCAACGGATGTGTATGACTACCATCTCGAGAAATATGGCAAGGATGTTGTTTATGATGACTTTATCCAAAATTTCACTGCCAGTGCATGGGATCCAAAGGAGTGGGTAGACTTGTTCGCCGATGCTGGAGCCAACTACTTTGTTCAGGTCAGCAAGCACCATGAAGGATATGCTTTGTTTGATCTCCCCGAGAATGTGACGAAGAGGACTTCGGTCGCTTTGACGCCACATCGTAATCTCGTCCAGGTAAGTCAACAGATCTACATAATCATCTCTTATCAGCTAATTGACCAACCGCTCTTTCCAGGAATTGTTCGATGCCTCGCAGAAGTATCAGCCACACCTCCACCGTGCTGTTTACTACTCGTTGCCAGAATGGTTCCATCCTGACTACAAGAAATATGGATTCTCATCTTGGCCCGGAGGTATGATTGAGATATCTATTTTCACAACGATATATACTGACAGGGACTCCAGGAAACGCAACAAACCCGTACACCAATGAGACTCTACCCTACACAGGCTACGTTCCTCTCAACGACTATGTTACCGACAAGATCTTGCCAGAGATGAACACCCTAGCCGACATGGGTACGGAGATTATGTGGTGTGACATCGGTGGTCCCAACCGTACAACCGAATTTGCAAGCGCATGGTTTAATCGTGCCGCAGAGCAAAATCAACAAGTGGTGATGAATGCCCGTTGTGGTCTCCCCGGCGATTTTGATACCCCGGAGTATGCCCGTTACAATGGTGTCCAAGTCCGCAAGTGGGAGAGTAATCTGGGAATGGACCCTTACAGCTATGGCTATAACCGAGCCACGCCCTTGGCCAGCTACATGAATGCCAGTACTATTGTTACTAGTCTGATTGATATCATCAGCAAGAACGGCAACTTCCTGCTGGATGTTGGTCCGACTGCTAACGGAACGATTGTCGATATTGAACAACAGCATCTTCGCCAAGCAGGCACTTGGATCAAGAGTCATGCAGAAGCTATTTTCAATACGACCTACTGGTTTGTGACGCCCGAAGAGGGGGATAATATTCGTTTCACCGTCTCGCAGGATGCTTTCTACATCCATTCCCTCGCGGAACCCAACAGTACTCTGACTTTATCAAGTCCCATTCCATGGGTCAATGGCGATCAAGTGACGGTAGTGGGAGGGAAGATGGATGGTACTGTTGTGCCAGTCCGGAAATTGAGCAATGGCTCCATCGCTTTATCCATGAGCAAAGAAGTCTCGGCTGGAGATCAATTCGCCTGGGTGTTCAAGATTCCTTATTAATGTTAGTACCACGCGGCGGTGCTGGAATGAGGAAGTTATTCCGAAAGACAATCACAATCATTTATCGCTCTCCGTTGCGACACCACAAACGAACATATTATGTTTGAAATTAGAATTTAGCTATTGATCTCAGCCCTTGGAAATGATCCACATTGATTTCTAGGATAAAGAAATACTATTTTGGCGCAGATATCAAGACACGATAGGTTGACAACCGTAGTATCGATAAAATCAAGCTGGGGGAATTTGCTGCTCATCCAGTGGCCACTTTGAAATAACAGTCTCGTCGCCTGTCAACGTAAAGGACAGAATAACGGAGCGCTCGTTGTTCAAAGCCAGCTCATATTTTCCTGGATAGACAACACGGTTGCCCAACGAGTCCGTACGAGCAACGTTGTCAAGAGAGACGGGAATCGTCATCACCTCAGAGGCATGCGGCTTGATAGAGCCGAGACGGTCAAAGCCAACTAGCCACTTGTTGGGGTATGGCTTAGGACCGGCAGTTGTATTGGCGAAAATCATTGCGGTATAATCCGAGAGAACACCACCACTGTTGGTGACGCTGACAGTGAAGTTGAGGAATGGAAGTTGCTCGATCACATTGTAACCATCGTGAGACCGGGACAAGAGATCGACTATGTCAAACGAAGTCGTATCGTCACTGCCTTTGGCACGAGACAGGGACGTCTTGAATGTCGTATAGAACAGTCCGTGACCGAATTCGTAGACTGGTGTTCCTGTGTACCACATGTACGTCTGTCCTGGGTTATTGCCAGCAGGACGCATGTTCATATCTATGGCAGAGAACTGCAGTGCATACTCGGCTGGGTACTGTGTGGTTGTCAAGCGACCAGCAGGAGCACGCTTTCCAGTGATGATATCCAAAAGCGCTTGGCCACCAGATTGGCCGGGATACCCACCCCAGATGAGAGCGTTGACGTTCTTGTTAGTTTTCAAGGATGAAGAATCAACCTGACCACCGCCCATCTGAAGCACGATCAATGGCTTTCCAAGACCACCCAACTCCTTGATGAGCTGAAGCTGATTACCCGGCCATGTGATGTTCTGTCGGTCCATTCCCTCCGCCTCGATCGTGTTGTCGATACCACCGGCGAAAACGATCACATCAGATTTCTTCGCCGCAGAGATCGCATCTGCAAACCCTTCAGTCGAAGTGGAGGAGATGTTTGTACCAAGAGCATAGGTAACGTCCATTTTTGACGCCTTGAGTGCATTCAGTGGGCTGATAAGGTAAGGAGCGGCTCCGTAATAGTTGCCCTGCAGCTGTGTGGTAGCTTTGGCCCAGGGGCCGATCAAAGCGACACTGCTAGTCTTCTTAGACAGAGGCAAGGTGCCATCGTTCTTGAGAAGGACGATACCCTCCACTGCGGCCTCATACGAGATATTCCATGCATTGGTGGTGACAACATCGGACCAAGTGAGGTCGCGGTACTGGCTGTTATTGCCATCAAAGTACCCAAGGCTAGCGAGATTGGAGTAGAGTCTGATCACGCCACGCTCGATCTCACTGCGCGAAATCTCGCCCTGGAAGAAAGACTCGTTCAAGTGATACTGGTAGGATGTTCCACAATCAACGTCCGTTCCGGCTCTCATAGAATCTGCCGCAGCACTCGAGATGTTTGCGGCATACTCGTGAGGGTTCCAAACATTGTACACAGCATCGCAGTCAGATGAGACATACCCATCCTCCACAAAGCCCCAGGTATCACGAAGAAGTGTTTGAAGTAAGAAGGAGTTGGCGGAGCTAGGAACACCGTTGACGGCATTATACGAGGACATGACACTGTGCACTCGAGCATCCCGAACTGCAGTCAGGAATTGAGGGGTGAAATACTCTGCTAGATCCTGCTGAGTGATGTTCATGTCATTTCCAAGCCGGGAATGGTCATCCCAGTTCTCAATGTCGTAGCCAGCATAGTGCTTAGCGGTAGCCACCAATTTCAGATGCTCGGGGTCCACACCACCCTGGATACCGGTGATGTACTCGTAGGCGTATACCGAACACAAGCAGTATGCATCTTCACCTGGGGTCTCTTGGCCGCGACCCCACACTGGGTGGCGGAAAGAGTTGATGTTGGGAGCATAGACATCGAGACCAAATCGGCCAATGTTATTGAATGCTCTCGCTTGCGTCGAGATGATCCCACCGATTTGATTGATCAACGTCCGGTTCAGGGCTGCCATGGAGAGAATTGGAGACGGGAAAGATGTGGCCCAGCTATAATCGCCAGATTTGGTGAAGTTCCCGCGATCCAATCCATGTAACGCTTCACTCCATACTTCGTAGGCCGGGAGTCCCAGACGGGGGATGGCAGCGATGGTATTTCCCGTGCTATTTACCAGCTCTTCAAATGTAAACAGCGACACGAGAGCGGCGGCTCGATCATGAGGACGAGCAGAGGTGTCGCACACTAGAGTATTGCTCAGGGGTCCGTTGGTGCAATCGGGGAATCCGAGATTGACCTTTCCAAGCGTTTGGGAATCGAGGCTTGGCTGGGGCTCCGTGTTGTAGTCGATATAGCTTGTATTTGCCTGGGCCAAGGTGGTCGGCACCAACGCCGCCAGTACAGCGAGGAGTGCAGTCGTAGCGGGCATCGTTAAGAAGAGGGCTCCTTTACAGCCACGAGAATATCGTGTAGCTCTCTCAATCTTGCACGCTCAGTCTGCCTTTTGTACTTCGGCAAATTCCCCCAATCGCTCCTCGTTTGCCCCCTCATCATCGCTTATCGCCCTTGCCTGCAGATGCGTCTCGGCTGTAGGAAGCTTAAGACCGGGTTATACCAACTTCTTCTTCTCCACATCCCTCCCAACGAGGCAAGTCCCGCAGTCGATCCCAATGCTTCGCTGTGCAACTTGCGGGGGTTCTCCGGCGTGGGGGGACAGTTATTGCAAAGAGTAAAGCCATTTAGCCTGAAGAGCACCCACGATGACGACGATCAGCAGTCCGCGATACTTTCTAGTCGGAAAAATATCGGCCGGAGTTCCAGTGACGTTGCACTGTCGAGAACCTTGCATCTCCATTGCAGGGTCGCCATGCGAAACGAATCTACAAATCAAATCAAAAAAAGCTGTACTTTACTAGCAAGGCAATTCAGGCTGAACTTGCAAAACGCCTCTCCCGGGCCTCCCGTTGCCTGATTCTGCTTAACTGTTTGCCCTGATCCCCACTGCCCCACGGCGGTTTACCCCAAGGGCTGCTGTTGAGACACCAGAATGTTAGGCTAATCATATGATGAATAATGCATGGGAACGATTTCTCCGACAACCTTCACCAAGTGGAACTCAATTATCTTTTTGATAATTGCCGCTGGGTATTATTGTTGTATTTCCGGTCTCGGCTAGCAAAAGCAAATAAGCCAGCCAAGTTATGCGTTCGTCATAACTATCAGGTCAAATAGATAAAAAGAAATCAATTAAGCAAAAGCTATCAATGATTTTGCCCCAAGCTCAATCTCTAATACGACCGACTGCCTCGGGATTTCCCATTGTTCAAACATCAGGAGATTCAAGCCAAACAAGCTACTTCGCGTCGATCAACTTACATTACCTATTACTAGGGGAGAGTGATGGGAATTTTTGAACATATTTTACTTTCCCCAAAACAAATACAAAGATAAAGGGATGCAAAATCAAACAAGCATCACATAAACAGCAGCGAATATCATCCCAGCGATAATCACTGTTAGGATTGCTGCGCCTGCTCTATCCGCAGTCGTTATGGCCGAGTAGAGAATTTCACTCTCCGTTTCATCAGACCCAGTTCCAGCCGCGCTATTACCTTCGCTTGTCCCACCTGTGTTGGCTGTGACGGGACCACTGATATCTGTGGCAAGAAGTCCATGAAGAACCTCAAGAACACCCATCTGCTGCCCAACTCCCGTGGTACCATCGTAGCTTCCACTTGACCATTGATGACCACAAAAGGTTCCAGAATCACCTCCTTGGCACTGACTGACAGCAGCCGTTGCGGTAGCACGAACCTTTGCTATGATAGTGTCGTAGGTATATGGCGCGAGCTGCATGACGTCCGCTAACCAGCGGGACAAGTATGCTTTGAAGGATAACTGATCCGTGTCGCAGCTACCACTTGACTCACAGGGAGGCTCCTCCATTACATTTGCGCTAGAGTTGTCTGTGGAGTAGAAATGGTTGGCAGATGTGAGTAATCCGTCGATTCTATTTTTCCACACGGTGGATGAATTGGAGGATGAGTTTGAGGAGAGAGATGAAGTCTTTGAAAATCGGGTCAGCCTCAAAGAACTTTTCCATGAATATACGAGCCCACTCACGTAGTTGTACATCACGGCAGCTCCGTGAAGGTAGATACCAGCAGTATAAGTCCACCGAGTCCGGTCGTACGAAGAGCAATTCGAGTCAACAGTGGTACCATCATAGACCTGGTAGTCTGCAGTAATCAATCCGGTGTTCTTGGACCAATTCCAGGCTTTGTTGGCCCACTCGGCGTATGTCGCATTTCCAGTATATCGTGCCAGTCGAGCAGCAATGTCGAAGAAACATCCATTTGAGATGGTGTTTTTGTAACCGTATCCAGCATTCCAAGTGTAGATTTGCCAGCGTAAACCGCCATCACAGTTGGCCGAATCCCATCGATGAGCTTGCTCGTTGAAGACCGCTTGCACCATTGCCAACCACCCCGGCGAGGAGGACGATGGATTCGTGAAGTTGCGCTCAGCGGCCATCATAGCCGACAGGGCCCAAAATGATTGATCATCGTTACCCTCAGTGTATGTCTGATTTGAGGGCATGAAGTCGCCTTCTGACCCGGCCTGGTGTTCCATCGCTTGGACCGTGATCTTGTTGTAGGTGGTATCTCCGGTAAAGGCCCAGTAATTGATCAACGTTCCAAAGAAAGCTCCTGCTTCCCACCAGTAATATGGATCGGGAAGATTTCCGGGCACATCGCCACTGTTATTGCCGGTATAGAAGGTGACTAGATCGTATGCCACTGTACTCGCCGCGGATTTTATTGAATCTATTGTCACGCGTGAGCCGTTAGCAGTTGGTGACAATGGCCCCCTGTGCCTCCCATTATGAAACGTACTGACCAGTGTTATCTATATCAATAGTTATGCCTGCTGCTACGACTTGTGTGAGACTTGACAGCCCTAATGAGAGCAACAGCCATTGTCTTGCACCTAGCCATTGGCGGATCATGAGTGTAGTATGACTGGGAATATCGCTGAAGGAAAAAAAAGTTTAAAAAAAAATGAATTGAAAATCTTGTCTTTCGGGAATGAAGCCTGGAGAGAGCCACAGATAATGAGTTTTAAACGAGTGTATGGAGAATGAGAGTTGTCGATGTATAGAATGCCAGCACACGTTGAACGGGTTCAAGGGGGGATGTTAGTGGTACTAATAACAAAAGTTTGTTCTAGCCAATTCCTTCAAGTGCCCACATCCAGCATAATGAGACCTATTCCAAGATCCATCACGCATCTTGGCACTGATGGAGTGAAAGACAGAGCGCGAATTTTGGCGGTTCCATGCCAAAGCAGCAAAATGTTGTTTGAGGCAATCCGTCCTTCTGGTTGGCTACTGGCTCCCATAGCCACTGCCGAGACACCGGTAAAACGTAGACGACCCCCTGAAAGGAGCTCAGGCTCATACATTGGTGCCTATTGCGGCGAGGAATTTGCAAAGGGCTTCGACTTGGCCAGGGCTTGGCAAGGAGTGGCGGATGCTCCGGACGCGTATGTTTAGCGCTAGCCCCGCTGGCCGCGTCTATGCCAAGTCTATAGACCAAGAGATTGCCCAGAAGTGAAGAGCTGGCTTCCGAACCTATGATGGTTCTTCATTTCCCGAAAGCGCGTGATATTTGTCTCTGTACTAGGATCATGGGTGAGTAACCCGATGATGCCAGCCGATTGATTCACTTGGCAAGCCATGTGGAGGTCATTCAATGCTATTTTGGGTTTCAAAGTGTCATGCCCAAGGTTTTCAAAGAAGGAAGAAATCGTGGGATGACTGGCTCAAAAAAGATACCATAGAATGCAGTTGTGCGACGAGGCAATTTGGCTCGACACAATTCACTGCTTCGGGATGCTCGCCCCGTTATATGTTGAAACTAAACCCAGCTCAATCAGTATATCGTCCGCTGGTAAAGTCCATGTGTGCATAGTTCAAAGTCATAGCTGATTTTAACTCGCTGTCATTATTAATGAAGACTTTGATCATTATTGCCCTCGCATAGAGGAACAATAGGATGTCAACGACAAGCCCCTCGGACAAAAGCGGCATTGATCCCTGATGCCTAAATTCTAAGGCGCCACATTTAATGACAATGCGGTCATTGGCCGACCGACTGATCAACCAGTTCGTTCCCCGCAATTGCTGTCCGCAATCCGCAATTCGCCGTCCCGCAATTCGATTCGTGCAGTTGGCAGGTCTCAGTGCGCTTCTTCAGTTTCCTCGATCCACTGAAGTAGTCCGCCAGGGATTATGGACCTCAGTCCGCAACACGTCTCGCCGCTGCAGAGTGCATCTGCCTCCGGACGTGCTCCGTCATCGGCACGGGGACCCCTCGCCGGAGGCCGTCAGATCACTCGAAATCGTGCGAGTTACAGTTGCCACACCTGCCGCCGGCGCAAAGTTAAATGCGATAAGGTATGGCAACCTGCATTGTCTGAATCTAGCGCATGACTTGACTAACCGAGTTCTCAAAATAGGTTCACCCAATATGCGGCAACTGCGCAAAGACCGGCGCCGACTGCATATACGATGCATCGTCCTCGTCGCAAAAGACGGAGAGTGTGCAAGAGGGACCTATGCGACCCGGATATGGTGTGAAACGTAGGAGGGAAACTCCGCGAACGCTGGAGGAGGATGTGGATGAATTACAATCGATATACGGCCACCTGAGAGAGGAGGATTCACCAGGCGGGCAAAAGGGGAACCCGCGCGCGATTGAGGCTCGGCTCGACAAGCTCATGTCGATGATTGAACGACTCGGCGGCAATCCTCACGCACTAGAGGAAGCAGAAAGGCAGGGCGTGGCTCCAACGGGCGGTATGGAGTCTGCACTCCTGGAACAATTGCGGCAGAGCAGTGGCATTCAAAATGGACAGTCCTCCACTTCTCGGCGATCCAGTCCACGACGCGCTGCAGCAGAATCAAGTGGCGACGAGTTTCCCATACCGTCGGGTCAAGCAACCGATCTTGTTGATCCAGTTGGGAGCCTAAATTTGGGACATTTGAGCTTGGAGGATGGCGGAAGATCCAGGTGAGTAGAAGAGCCAAAGTTCTGGTGGCAACCGGTCTAACAGCATCAGATATGTGGGAACGACATATTGGGCTTATATATCCCATGAGGTATATTCAATTTTCTCCCATCTCGTTTTATTTCGAAGAGGCTCTAATTCAAGTTCCAGATTAACGACCTTAATCAATTGCTGAGAGATCAAAATCGGTCGCACGATGTATCATCAGAGAACGCGAACGAGGATCTCAGCAACCCCGTTACCGGCTCACGAAGACCCTGGAAAGAATCGATTGATAGCTCTACATATTCCACCACCTCCCGCTCTCGGGGTGGATCCTTCCAGCAATCCATCATCTTCCCATCCGGTGATTCTCCGTCAGTCAACGAGAAGACAGTTGAACCCGAGATGCTCGAGCATGTCCCTACACGAAGGCAAAGCCATCTCTTGTATAAAGGGTTTATGTCAGGCATCCATGCCATTAGTCCTGTCCTTCATCCGCCAACTATCTTGAAGCTCTATAATGCTTTTTGGGACTGGTATGACTATACCAGCTATTCCGGAGAACCTTGTCCAAATCCTTCGTTCATACCATTGCTCTATGCCATATGGTACGGTGGTTCTGTGACGATATCCATCAGAACCATCAAAGCCGAGTTCAATGCGTCCTCGCGTGTTTCACTGTCTACGATGTATAGTGAAGAGGTGACACGCTGGTTAACGAAAATATCTTTCCCTCGCAGTCCTTCTCTCCAAGGACTGGCGGCTTATCTCATCGTGCAGACTATTTTGTCAAAAGAGGAAGAGCCTTTGACAAGCAGTCTGTTTGTGAGTCTAGCCATGAGAGTGGCGCAGACGATGGGCTTACATCGTGATCCAGCCAATTTCGGGATCGAACCGTGCGAGGCAGAGTACCGACGACGGCTCTGGTGGCATATCATGCACATGGATGGCGTGGTTGCCATGTCGAGTGGTCTCCCCCACTCGTTAGCGACGAGAACTACTGGGATGTGCGGGAAACTAGCGAGATCAAAGACACCTTGCTAGGCACTCCAACTGCGGAGCAATATGAAAAACTCCTTGCCAACAAGCAAAGGTTACCCGACAATCCTGACGATCCATCCGTCTGTGGCGGCCCGTCAATGGTGAATGTCTTCTACTTGACCGCCAGAGGAAAATACAATATGGCTCGTAAGTGCCTCCAAGAGAAGCTGACGCTGCATTGACCACTGACAAGTTTACAGGTGCCGTTCGACAAATTTTAAAGATTCAGCTCGGAACTAAACCGGTCACACGTAGCGATATGGAGGAATTGCGAACGATTCTTCTCGACCTGCAGCTGAAACTAAACTCCATAGTGAACAGAATCCCAGAAGGCTTACCTAACGGCAGCCCTGCTGTATCATCAGGGCGGGCACTATCCATGTCCAAATCTCCCGTCGAAGCTCGATCCACCGAAACGGAGCTTCCTGGTGAAGGTCCCAACGGCTGTCCAGAACAATACCACACTCCAGTTCTTGTTTCATTCCACAAATGGGCACGGATTATTTTGTCATTGTATATTGACAAGGTAAGAGATATTGATTTCTCTCACTTGCGATTCTTCCTGGCTAATCTGTGTACAGGCATTTTGTGTTGCATATCAGCCCTTCCTCAAAAATGCACGCAGTCGGATTTGGCCGGCGGCACGGCAAAGGTAAGCGTCTCACTGTACCTAAAGATGAACCGTGTCTAACTATCGCAGTGCTCTTCGCCACTGTCACGGATTTATGGAGAAGTTTATCCAGCTTGCGACTGACCCCGACTTTCAACCTTTCCAATGGAGTTGGCCTGGGTAAGTCCTACCGCATTGCACGGAGAAAGGCGAGTAACAACTGACCTGTCCCCAGAAACCACCAACCTATGCATGCGACGATGTAAGTCAGCCTTTTCTCAATATTTCGATTTCTCTTCCTTGTTCCTTGATATTCTTGCGCGATCATTACACTTTTCTTCCATCCAGCTAACCTATGCAAGGATCATGCTCATTGACCTATACGAGCGACCTTATAGCCCCGAGGCTTCACGCTCGCGCGCCTTTATTGACCGAATCCTGGCTCTTTCTGGGCCCGATGGCGGCGTGGTTGGTGGTGAAGATGGCATCTCAACGCAACGGCCACTCAAAGACGGTGGCCGCGAAGCATGGGACATGATCCGTCGTCTACGCCAAAAGGCATGGCAAAAAGCTGGGTTGAACCCGCAAATGCTCTGGACCGAACAGGATCAAATCCAGGCTGGCATAGCATCACCAGCAGGAGAAACCCGTGGCTCTCGTGGTCCATTCATTTCGGGGACATCTTCAGTGCCTGGATCACCCGGTATATCAGCTATACCTTCACGTCAACCCACCGCTCCCGATCGTCAACTCTCCGATTTCAACCGCATGTTCTACAACATGACTCGTTCTCACGTCCTCCCTAGTCCCGCAGTATCTTCCGCGTCTGTCAAGCCGAGCCCCCTTCGATACTCATATCAATTGCCCCCACCAACCCGAACCTCCGCCCCCCTTCCAACTCCACAATACAACCCCACACCAGCAGCTGTCACTCTGCCAACTCCCGACATTCTCCATGCACCCGGTCCTATAGCGCCTTCTCCCCCAGTGGCACCAGCACTTGGTTCTCCCCCATCCCCGCGCCCTCAGGCTCCCCCTTCCACAGCTCCAATCATTCGACCAGAACAACCTCTCCCCAGCATCACGGCCTCCCCGGGCATGTCATTCATGGATCCAGTTTCTTCTAATCCACCCCCAATGGGGGTTCCCACTCCACCTTCCATGGTCGACCCTAATCTAAACTTCGATTGGGATCAATGGGACGCTGTTTTCGGACAACATCTTCCCGTGGCTGATGAACTGATGGAATTGGATCCTGTTTCTGGACTAGATTTTGCGAATCTCGGGTTTCCTGCTGCCAATAACAATGCAGCCTTATCTTTCAATGGCGAGCTGCCGGGCTCGGCTTCCCCGGTAATGGGAACTTGCCGCCGGCTTGGACAGATAGTGGTTCGGCAAACCCTGGGGTTCCGTCTAGTGACTGGACGGGGTATTGTTGAAGCGTTAGAAATGATGCAATGCACATAGAATAACTATATGTAATGTATCGAATGAACGAACATAGAGCAACAATTTCCTGTAATCGTCATGTTGGATACTGGCCGAGGCGTTCATTCTCAAAATATCAGGGTCTACGTGTCCTACTAGTACCACAATTCAGGCAGTGGTAATTGGAATGGGTCACACATTTGAGATACAAGATATTCAAGATATTGATATATTTTGCAGATAAAAACGTAACGGTTTATTGATTCATGAGGCGTAACTCTTGACGATCAGATCGATCGGTCAATTAGGATACGAAGATGCGATTTGTAAAAAGCCAGAACAGACAAAAAAGCCCCGGCGGAAAGTAATAAGCGATCCCCGCGACCAGTCTAGGCACGCAGAGAGTTCGCGTTTCTTCGTTGGTTTCTCTTTCTTCAAGTCAAGTGCATTTTGTGGTCGCCCGTTGGGATGAGACGTTTAGACCTTGACCTCCTTGAAGCCGTGCTTCCAGACGGTGGCGAAGGGGGTAACACCATCGTCGCGGAAGTCGATCAGGACGTGCCTAAGAAGGGAGACGGTTAGTATCAAAGATATACTGAATACTGAATACCAGCAAGGTCTCGAGTGTATACTCACATGGCATCACCGTCCATGGAGGCGCCCATGAGGACATCGTAGTTGTCGTAGTTGGCAATGATCTTCTTCATGGCGGCGGGGGCGTTCTTCTTGAACTCGTCGATGGACTCAGCGCTGGCGCCGGTCTCCTCGAGCTTCTTGTTGAGCTTCTTGAGGTAGCCTAAATAGAGTTGAGTGGGTTAGGCACTTGAAGCAGAGGTGAGGGGAATTATGAAACGCGCAATGAACATACTCTTCAGGTGAGACTTGAAGGCATCCTTGGAAGGCTTGAGGCCCTCCTCGGTCTTGAGCCAGACGAGACGGAACTGGTCCTCGATATCGTGGACCATGACGGCCTCATCATCACCACCCTCCTCACCGGCGTCCTCAGCAGAGGGGTTGGCACCAGCGAGCTCGAAGTCCTCGTTCTTCTTCTTGAGGTACTTGCGGCAGTCGGTCTCCCAGAGGATGGGGCAGTCCTTGGCGGGGGTAATCTTGAAGGTATCGGAGAGAATCTCGTCACCGGAGATCAGGTCCTGTAGATCGTTGTTAGTACTCTACCACCTAATTTCACAGCTGCGAATGCGAATTTCGATGCGAAAACATGGGCGAATATTGGATGTAGGCATACCTCGTAGATAATCATGGCGGCGGTTAAGGAGTGATGAAACACAAAGGGAATTGATGAGGTTGAAGGGGAGGGGAGGGAAAAACAAAAAAGGAGGGGAAATGAAGTTTTTTTTAGTGGCGCCTCGTTGGTGGGGGAGTTTGCTCTGTTTGTCTCTAGAGGTCACGGGATTTGCTCTCTGACAGTAGCCCCTCCTGTCAACCCAACAGGTTGTTTCATACCAACACCTTAAATCCCCTGATTGGGCCCTATTATTCCCTTGCTAGGCGTACCAGTTTTCTGATGGTGATTTACCCTGTTCTTATGGTGGGGTTCACTTTTGGTGGGTCGATTTTCCCAAGTATCCCCGACGATTCGCATAGGGTGTCCATAGGGCGGTGGTCGAGATACCCGTCCTAGCATTCAACGACATTGCTTATTTATTATTCAGGAGCTATATATCGAGGGAATTTGACAGGATTTGGTGATTAAAAAACGAATAGCGTTGGCTTTGAATTTTAATCTTGTAGCGGGATCCATCTACCGTACTAGGACCTCGAAGGATATGCTCTTGTCATGCCATATTCGGAAACTGCTTTGAAGGTGGATCGATACGGGAATGCCAGCAGAGATAGCTATTATGGCAATTGCGTACAACTTGGTAAGCCCAATTCCAGTATACCAGGTCAAGATACACTCTCGGCATTAAATCATCATTGTTGAAGCAACCAAAGTTTCTAATTGTCTCCTGTAGCATACTAAGCTACTACCACTATTGCCGAAGCCTAATAAGGCTCTGTATCAAAAGAAAAGGAATAGTTTATAAATACAAGCTTCATCTAAATCTACGAAAACCCACATTGCTAGGTCGGCATACACATCAGGCCATTGCAGATCGAAGTAATATATAACACAAAACAGAGCACTAACAAGCCACCGCCTGTTACTGAAGCTAGTTCCAACGCTTCCATTCGAGGGTATCGATAGATATGTACCTAAATATATCTTGCAGGGAAGTAGAAAACATCACGAGACCTCATGCACAGCCTAATAGAGACCAGCTTGAGGCAGGCATGCTTGATGGTGCAACTCACTGCTATGATCTCCCCATTTCTAGAGAAGTCAGACCACGCAATGGAGAATGGAACATGTCATATGTCATCAATCGTATTTTAATACTCTGAAGTCAATTTGATCAATTGGTAAAGTACTTGTATCTATAGTAGTTGTTGATGCTGGGGATCATGGAACCTGTGGGTACATCTCCATACTATTGGATTGATTTGTGGATTTATGTAACTTTGTGTACATACTGGAGGCACCCGATACCAGACATTACGATACGAACTGTCATATCATAACTAAAATGGCCAGAATCTACCCAAAAATACCGTTACCAGCCCGTCATCCATCCGCATCCGACTGGCGCCACTTTGGCATTCGGCGTTTTCGGCCGCCTCGCCCTTTCGCCTCCTGATTCCGCGTGGATCTTTTTTATCTTTTCCTTGGAACTAAACTCCCTCCTTCCCCTCCTTCAATTTATTCTTATCGCCTTCCCTTGTGTCGTTGTCTCTCCCCTAATTGATCGCGCCTGCCGCATCCACGCTCTTCACCAGCTTGTCGACTTCCCTTTTGTCGTCCCTTTGTCCCTGAATTCACCTGTTTCCGTGACCGACCCCCAGTCTATCGTCAACTCTCCCTTGTAGTGGCTTCATTCCATTCCAGTCGGCCCAACAGTGGCACCCACCTATTCTAATTCACCCATCATGGCCGTCAACGCCTCGGTCGCCTTCGACCTACCTCCACTACCAGCCTACACCCTGTCCGTGCGAGAACCGCTACTTCCGCCGATTCCCGATAACGTTCTCTCGCTGATATTGCCCATCATCGCCTATTGGGGCCTGTCCATGGTCTATCACTTCATCGACGTCAATGGATACTTTGAGGAATATCGTCTCCATACCCCTGCCGAAGTCCTGAAGCGAAACAAAGTTACTCGGTGGGAAGTAGTGCGCGACGTGATCTTGCAACAGGTCATCCAGACCGTTGTCGGATATGGACTGTCATGTTTCGATGCGGCGGAGACGGTGGGCCGTGAGGAGTACGATGTGGCCGTGTGGGCTAAGCGTCTTCGACTTCTCCAGAGAGCTATTCCCCCAGCTTTGGGCCTCGTTGGGATCGACGCGCTGGGCCTGTCCAAGTCCATCTCCCAGTCCGGACACACGATGCTCGCTGGCGTGCTGGCAGGCGGTTCCTACCCCGGCGTGGTACAATCTCTGATCCTAGATAGTGGAGTAGAGGTTGTCGCGCCCGCGTTCGCCAGCTGGGAACTGGCGGTGGCTGGCTTCATCTACTGGTACTTTGTTCCGGCCCTTCAATTTTTGCTCGCCATCTCCATCGTTGATACTTGGCAATACTTCTTGCACCGGGCTATGCACTTGAACCGCTGGCTCTATGGTAAGCCTTTGGATCTTTCTTATCCCTGGCCAGACTTGACCATGTCTCTAACAATTCCCAGTGGCATTTCACTCTCGTCACCACCGCCTCTATGTTCCTTACGCTTTCGGTGCTCTCTACAACCACCCCGTTGAGGGTTTCTTTTTGGATACCGCTGGTACAGGCGTTGGCTTCCTGGTTTCCGGTATGACCAACCGCCAGGCCATGTGGTTCTTCACCTGCTCGACCATCAAGACCGTTGATGACCACTGCGGATACGCCTTCCCCTGGGATCCTCTGCAGCACTTCACCTCCAACAATGCCGCCTATCACGATATTCACCATCAAAGCTGGGGCATCAAGAGCAACTTTTCCCAACCCTTCTTCACCTTCTGGGACCGCCTCCTCAACACCCAGTGGAAGGGTGAGGTTAAGCTTCGCTACGAGCGGGCCCGAGAGAGCGCCCAAAAGCAAATGGACATGGATGCTGCTCAAGCCAAGGCCGCAGCGCCGGCTGCGCCCATCATTGAAGAGCGTGAACATGAAAAAGTGGTGGTCTCGCCCGAGGGCCCAGCAACCCGGACCCGCCTCCGACGAAAGACCGTGGACAGTCTCAAAGGCCCCAGTCACGCCGTTCCCGGCAGTGTGCTTCACAACTGAGGTGTCTTTTTTTTGATGAGTCTTTGAATACGTGTCAACTGTCTTTGCATTGCATTCCTGCGTCAGCCTCCCGAGTTGCGGGTCATCTCCCTGGGGCTGCTGTGCGGCCTTTTTTTCGATTGCTTCTTGTAAATGGGATCTTGGGTCCCGTGTATTAATAATTGTGAGAATGCGCCAGTCATTTTTTTCTGTACATGGTCCTCTCTACGACTTTTCTCAGGTTACTGTCAATAATGTCTATCTTTCTTTTTTGCTACACGTTGATGCTCTGATAGTATAGAAATAATCTTAATGGCACTGCCTACACCTTCAATAATAAACTACCAAGAAAAGAAAGCTTTAACTAAGAGTTGAGTAAATCAAGTATACGCTTCGCCTCAGACGACGTTATGATGTTCACAGACCAAACTCCACGTCGTATCTGTCACAGCCGAGGCATTGCGTATCAAAACTGGATTACACTCCAAGTCCTCACACTCATCATCTGTCCAAACACTAACAGAATCAGAAGCCATACCATCCTCCCGCTTGAAAGATCCACCATCATGAGCATGCACCGGTCGAAACAAAGCCAAACTAGACTCAGAGTACCGTCTAGTCTTGTCAATACCCAGAGCATCAACCATGGCCTCTGGAACGGGCGTAGCTCGGGAATAAGGATTATCCCCCGCAAGGTTCTGGTACATGGTAACCTTTTCAGACTCCTTGGCTAGATTTCCCCATTCAATCTGTGAGAAAAGCACCTTGCTACCCGGATGCTGTGGTTGTCGAACGATGCGCTTGAAACGGGGAGACGCTGGGCTCGGAGCTTCCGATCTTCGACGGCGACTATCGTCACAGTCATCCCACGAATCGCTGGACGGAGATGAATCGCCGTCTTGCATGTTGTACATGGTGAGAGAGTATGGTATCAAGGATGGGGTTATGACAAGATTCTCCTCCGAAGCAGTTGTAAAGGTGATACTCGGGGTTCGATGCCTTTTGGCGCGATCTGCATTGGTCAGTTCACTGGTGCTTCCTACTTCTCAGCATGATCGGTACGGGGTCGAACTACCTGTTCTCCTGCTATGCCGACGACGCTTCTGCCGCGAGCGTTTCTCAGCATCACCTTCTCGATCGCGCATATAAGCCTTGACGCAGGCCTTGCGAGCGCGTTTCATCCCGAAGGCAAGTTGACTAGAAGTGCTATGCAGATCTTCCGCTTCAGCTGGGGTAAACCTGTTAATGCAATGGTCGACGAAGATGTTTAATTCCCGTGGGCGATGGTTCTTGCGTGTTCGAGTGCGACTTTGGATAACGACCCGCAAGTTGCGGAGGGTGTTTTTGTTTGAGGCGATTCGGGCTAGGATACAAGCTGCGCATTCGTTGATTTGGTATGCCCATGCATTTAGATGTACAGGGCCGTCAGGGCTGGGATTTGTCCACAGTCCCTTCAAGGCGCGAAGGTTATGAAGAATCTCCGCCTCCGCGGGCTCAATGAGATCTGGGTATGCGTCGAGCTGGCGGAAGTGAGATGTGACTTCGCGCTGGACGAGGCGGAGAATGTCATCGACAAGATAATGGCTTAACGAACGGTGAAGCTCACAGAGGTCTCGGGGAGATATTGCCTCTCCATGGGTGTTGCTTTTCTTTTTCAGGTCTTTCGGGAGACCGTTAATCATTTCCTGGATTTGGTATTCGAGGGATGAGCTTCCGTGGGCTGTATTGTCTAAGTTTAGGACTGTGGTCAGCATTTTCATTTTGGGTTGAGTTAAATCACTGCTTCGTTGAGGGTAAGTCTCACGCGTCGAATGGGATGATCGGCTGGCTCTGCGAGCCTTCTTTGATTCACCACTGCCAAGTAGCCACCACATATGTCCCGTGTTCAATATTGGGCTATAGATGGATAGTTCAAGTGGAAAAAATAGCTAGCCGTAAGTATAGTTGAAAAGGTATAGCAGTCCAAAACTATAGAGAATGAGGGATGATGGCGGCCGCGCTCTTTTTATTTACTGAACCAGAAAGGCAGGCTTGAATGCAATGCTTTCTACCCATTCATACTTTTCACGTTATCCCGAAGCCGACCATTCAAAAGGTTGTTATTTTTGCACACCCCGTCAAGGGTAAATTGTTTCGAGTCTTTGGTTGTGGTGGGGGAGTTGTGCCCCATGCTTTGTTCAAGTTGTCTGGCTCGCCAAAGTTGCTAATTTTGGGGATCGCCATAGGCTGGCTTTGTTCCCCTGGGTAATCCTTCAAGCTGTTACGTGATGGGATGACATATCCCATATTTCTTTGGAACAATGTCTTTCATGGGGGATCATCATTCACACAGCATCCCTCGTGTGGCTCTTTATAAAGCCGCTGATGCCTATTGATTGTAGATCTCTAGACTCTACAATGTCCTTCTTTGGTGAGTTTTGGAGAGGCATCGCCCAGATTCTTTTGTCCAGTATACACCCTGGCTATGTCGATACTTTATTAGACAGTTCCCTGGGATTGATCAGAGACGTTGCGGCTAACATTGGATATAAATGTAGATTGATCCTCGTGGATGCCTTCAAATCCCTCCTCGTGGCTCTTGTCCGGGAGCTCTTCATGAAAGCTCTAGTCGCTTTGATCCGGGATATTGCCGAACTTGTTGGAAGTGATCCACTGGATATTATCTCGGATACCATTTTGGACACACTTTGGGGGCTTGGGATAGGTTTGGTCAGCATCTTTCGCCCCCTTATCAGGATTGTCATGGCTGCTCTTATTCTTGCCATACTTTGTTGCTTGGATGTCACTGTCGGCTCTCTACGCATTAGTATGTGTATCATGAATCTCTGTCTTGACATGATCGAAGCACCCCCTACGGCGTGTTTTGAATGTGAGCCCTCAGGTCTACTCATTTTTACATGTCGGTTTTCTTTCTTTCTTAATCCTGCTTGTATCGTAAGCACATTATTTGAGATTGCCATGTATTGACTTAGATTGGAATTCCCCTTGCGATAGATTTTGGGCCATCTTCCTGCCATCAAGCTATACTATCTTAAACTATAAATCAAGCTGAATTCGACCAATCCCTCGGGACACACAACTCAGCATCGCAGTATCCTTTTCATTCTCCAGTAAACCTGTACCCCGATGCTCAATGCGACCACTGCGTACACCCACCCGACAGGTTCCACAATTACCAGCCTCGCAAGTAGAAGGAATATCGAATCCGGCAGACCGAAGCTTATCCAAAAGGCTGTCTCCACCAGCTACCTCTAGTTCCTTTCTAGATTCGACCAGCTCGACCGTGAATGGATCACCCGTGCTGTTGGCCTGGAACGACTCGAAGTGTATATTTTCTTTTGGCAAACCAAGATCCGCGGCTGTGTCGCTTACAGCTTTCATCAACCGTTCCCCAGAGCAGCAGTAAATGTGGGCGTTACTGTCCGCTCGTTGGAGAACATTTGATACATCAAAGTGCGTTCCGTCCTTCTTGCAGTAGATTGTAACATTGGAACCCAATGACTTAATGTCACACTTGAAGGCAACCTCGTCCAGTGATCGGACGACGTAGTGAAGATGATAGTCTCGGTTTGTTTGCTGCAGTCTCTGGGCAGAGGCAAGCAGACCGGTGATACCAATACCTCCAGCGATGAGGATATGGCTGTCTGCCTTTTCGGCAAGAGGGAATGTCGCGGCAAAGTTGCTGATTGTGGTGGTTCCGCCTTCTTGAAGGCCCTCGTGGAGAAACAGGGAGCCACCACGAGTAGACTCTCGATCCAAAGCCACACCCAAGGTGAATTGATTGCGGTTTCCTGAAACCACGGAGTATGCTCGGATCAAACGACCTCCCAGTTTCAAGCGGACATGCGTTCCTGGTAGAACTGGCTCTGCTGTATCTTTAGGCTGGACGGCCTCAAAGTCAAACGAGGTGACCGTTGGGGTTTCTTTGGCTTTTTTGATGAGCCGGTATTCCGCCCACATATCAAGAGCCATGACACTGTCGCCCACGAGTCGTTGTTCTTGATTCTCGAATTTCTTGTTTAGTCGGTTTCTGAAGATATTTCGGATCTCATTCCCTAAAGCATCGAGATCTGCCAACTGTTTCATCATATCAAAGTTGTTTTTTTCGATGTAAAGATAATGCTGGACTCGAGCAACGGTCCAATGAGGATTTGGCCGCTCGAGCAGGACAAGTTCATCGCCCGCTTTGATCGACCCTCCCTTGATGATCCGGTAATACCAGCCCGTCCGAGACTTTTCCTGGCTAAATCTCGAAAGGTCCTTGTCTTGAAACCGATGGTTAAGCTTGTAACATGGCTGCCGTGGCAGACTCACTTGTGCAATCACATCGGGTCCGATACTAACGACATCGCCAATGCAAGTGTTGCGCTCATTCGCTCGGCGAGCTACCAAGTTCTCGCCAAACCCTCCGACACGAAAGAGGTGCGCACTGCCTGGCAGTTCCTCGCTCCATATGTCATAATGTCGGGAGCAGTACTGGAGAAGCGCTTTATCCGGGCCGCCATGGAACTCGTAAACATGTTCGTCGCCCTGGCAGCCGAGTGCGTCGACTGAAACTTCGCCATACCGGACGGACTTGAAGATGGCAGACTGGACGGGTAGACCAAAGACTGGTTTCGCTTTTCCGGTGCGCACTTCCACTAGTTCATCCCGCTCCCATGATTCCTCTAGTTTAGCGATGATAGAGTTGACTGCCATGGTCGAATACACACAGCATGTGTGGACTGGGTCGGAATGAGCAGTTGGGGTTGTCAATAATTCAAGACGGCCATGAACATGACTCAATCCTATCCATGGACGGACACAGCCGATCTCCGATGAGGCTATCCAGGGTTCACTGAGAAAAGTAAGTAAAATCACTGGGCCCCCTGTGAGTCAGCATGACAAGGTCAGGGCCTGCGCAGGGGTCCGAGCACGTTCCTGACATAGTGCTTACTCGATTTCTTGATAGAAATGGTGGAATCTGGTGACATGGTTAGTATGCACATAATGGCAATCAAAATGGAGGTCGGACGGGTGATCGATGGGAGGAGGAAGTCCAAACTGCCAACTCATCGGATTGTCAGGTGGACGAGGCCGACGCCATTCGCAACCACACTATCACATGACAGTCGCAGCCGCCTGCTGCGGTCGCTTTGTTAATTCCTGATAAACGAACAGGTTCATTTCGTCGGTCACTACAATCCTAGAATTTTTCCCCCAGCGCAAGTCTACGATAGGGCGATAGCTGCAATCTCCAGCCCTACAGATTCGCACTGTCGCACTTGTACTACTGGACGCCGATCATGGTTCCCCAGGTTCGTCTCACCCGGCGGAACTCGAACGCCACTCCGCTTCCATACACCGCATCCCCGCTTGGGTTATTGTGGAGCGACATCTGTCTTGTCATTCGATATGCCTGGGCTCTTCCGGCAATCTTTTTTCCACTTCGTCTGGGTCAAACGAGTCCGCTAGATGAGTTATATCTCAACTTTCAGGGCTCGTTGTCTCTGACAACCCAAGCCTTTCTCACGGTCTATCAGCTTTTGTTCCTCCTATCTTTACCTTTTACGGTTATATGCTTGATCCCTGCCCTCTGGATCTTCGTTTATATCGCCTCCGCTCTCACATTGAACTATGCCATCTGCATGTTCGTTCTCAACGGGGTTGAGCGAGTGCTGGTATCCAAAGTCCCGATAGTCGAACAGCCTGACCATGGAAAAGAGCGATGGTTCTATATAAATGGAATAGCCAATGGGTAAGACTCCATATTCATTTGAGATGCGTCCTACGCTAATCTAGCTAGCCATTACTGGGTGCAAGACAACATCGACCAACTATCATACACATTCGGCCGAAAGATCACCGGTATACATAACCGCACGTACGTTTAGATCGGACTTGAGACCGACAGGTACATGAAAACCTCAGCTAATCATTTCCCAAAGTGCCGGTGTTCTTTTCGATCTAGCCGAGTGCTTACTTCAACGTGGTTTTGCCTACGCAACTGGCGATGTGCGAAGAGCCTATGTCCTCATCAAAGAAGCACTTCTTGACCCGGCAGTAGAAAAGGTCGTACTTGTGCTCCATAGTCAAGGAGGTATTGAGGGAGGCCTTGTTATCGACTGGCTATTAGACGAACTCCCCCAGGATCTTCTTCACCAGCTCGAGGTTTATACTTTCGGAAATGCCGCCAATCATTTCAACAACCCGCATCGCACCTGTCCAACATCAAGTGCAGGTGACAATTCCAACCGTGACCCGTCAACGAGGCGGTCCATTGGGTATATCGAGCATTATGCCAACGCCGGGGACGTCGTTTCCTGGCTGGGCGTACTTCAATTTGCCAACATTCCAAACCGCTATCTTGGCCGTCTCTTCGTTCGGCCTGGCTCGGGTCATCTAATGAATCAGCACTACCTGGACAACATGTTCACTCTTGGATCCGACAGACGGGTACTCGACTCTAATCCATTCATGGATATGAAAGTTGAGACGAAATCAAATATAACGACCGAGAATAAAGGAGCCAGCTCGGGGCCTTTGGGCGATTCTGACGAACCTACGGAGGAAACATTGTTCCCAATCGCAAAGTCTGGAAGCTTTTTGCGCAACGGCGTGGTCATTGACGAAGAAGACAATCAGACTCTCCGTATCAAAGACTTCAGTCGACTATGGCAATACAGGAACGGCGGATCCCCTGGGAGGCAGAAGATGGGGTAAGAAAGGGTTGCTTGTGACATAGAAACATAAAGCCTTCAATAATTCCAAAATACATTATTCATTCTTTCTCCATAAAGTATACATAAATAGACACGCAATGCCTTTGAACATTTCTCAAAGACTCTCAAGGATGACCTTGTGTTTTTCCAGGCCAACAATGGCTCGGCTTCTTTATCGCCGAGATTCTACATATACTCGAACAAAGCCCCGAAGAACCCTCTTTGTATATCGAGACTACGATCGTTTGTTGTCCGAACGATGTGTAACTGCTCTTACCATCCAATCAAGAGCACCACGAGGCAGATCTTCGACTATAAAACCTCGGTCTCCTCCACACTGTAGTCAATCATCACCATCTCCTCAAGCATCAAGCTAACGAGCAAAGCAAACCCTCATCACAATTACCAACCCACGCAAGCAAGCTGAGTATTCAAATCCTCACAATTTCCTACAAAATCGTGCCTGCTCTTCAGCTAACATCACAAAAAATGGTTTCGAACGATTCACACTCTGGGGTCTGCCCAACCTGGAACCCCTATCCAACTCCTCCTCCTACGCCTCGGCCTAACCCATATCCCTCGCCTCCACCAAGCCCTTGATCTCCTTGGATGAGCTCGGGGTAAGAAAGTATTTATTTATGTGAGAATGTTATTTTGCTATTTGAGAATAATAACCAATTTCATACACATATCGTGTTTCATGTTTCGTGTTTAGATAGTAGTAAGTCAGTATCAAAAACTATCAAAAATCAGGGTTATCACCAACTTCCAGTTCTTCCAGGTACTCTCCCCCTCATATGGCCCAGTTGGTAACCAATCCGATGGTGACCAATGGGTGTGCCCCGTGATGGAAATTTGAGGGCAAAAATGTTGACAGGTATCCGATGTCGAGTACTGCTCCACGGATGACCGGGCACATCCCGAGGCGGGGAGAGTGGCGAGCAGGCTAAACCCCCCTGCTCGCTAATTGCTTCTTTTATTTCAATTTTTTTTTCATTTAATAGATAGATCTCTTTTAAATCTTCTATTCTAGATCTGAAATAAAATATTTTAAAGGTATTATGGTGGTGTAGAGGGAGATTGTTTGGTAGGTGTAGTCCCGGAGGAGTATGTACCTCAGCATCGTGGGAGAGCGATGGAGCATTTTGGTGAAGTATATAGATAGGGAACGCGAAGGTCTATGGTTCGATTCATGGGAGGGGATGGTCCTTTTTCAGGATGGTATGACATTTGGAGTTTGTCCTGTTGGACGTGGCTCGATCTTCCCTTTTCATTTCCAATTACACTGATGTAGCATCTAGAAATTGTAGACCCTCTAGATATTTCCACCTAATGCGCGCTGTAGAATGTAGTAGTTTATTCGCGAGGAACAGCCGAGGTCCTCTACCAGAAACACTGTAGTCATACAGTTGATGACAAGATCAACTGTGATCGATACCTATAGCCTGGATCATACTATCATGTTGATGTCTTGTCTTTATTTTCTTAAAGAATTGTACATGCATCGAACTAAGCCCCGCCCAGTTCGAAAAAAAAAATGTGCCACAGCCCACGGTCCACTCTTCGGGACACCAATCGTTCGAGGTATCAAGGAATCTTATATCCTCTATCATTTCTGAAGCAAAGAAAGAATAACGCCTGTCGCCGTGCAATGCAAGTAGAAGGTCCATGGAAATGCCAGATATCAGCCCAATCAGGCTCAGGCCTTGCCCTTCTTCTTGTCCTTCTTTTTCTTCTCCGCGCCACCAGCCCCGGAAGGCTCACCCATTCCCGCCATACCAGCCATATCAGCCAGTCCTGGGATCGAGGGCATACCGGGCATACCCTGCATGTTCTGCATTTCGGCCATAGCTTCCTTGAACGGGTTATCACTGACACCGCCGCCGCTGTATGCAGGGGAGTGGATGGGCAGGATCTTGCCAATCTTCCAGCCACGTGGGGCAGGCGGGGCGGCAGGGAGCTTCTCGGGCATGGGCAGACCGCGGATTCGCAGGCGATACGGTGATTGCTCGTTGGTGGGGTGGGCTTTCAGGTATTGAGAGACAAGGATGTATAGATGGTGCTCTGCACAGGGCGCAAGTTAGTCATGCGACTATATACAAGCTGCTCGTGGATCGACCTTCGAGCATTCAGGCACTTACTGTTCTTGATCTTGGGGTTCACCAGCCGACCATCCTCATTCTTCAGATGTACACGCACGCGACCAGGGTTCGCCCAATCCTTAGGATGAAGCTTCTCCGGTTCCAAACCAGCTTGCAAGCCCAACATCTGCACTGCATCCATAATATCTCTAGCCAGCGGGTTCTCGACAGCAAGCTCGGAGCCGACCTTACGACCCTCCGCGCGTGAGCGAGTCTTATCAAAATAGATAGGGTAAAGGCATTGGAAGTGTCTGGGGATCTCGCGCTGAGGCTCTGGCATCTGCTGGGCCATTGGGGGAGCCATTGGTGTCGGCGCCACGGGAGGTGGGTTGGATCGAATAGGAATTGAGGCTCTCTCGATGATGGAGTCCTCGGCCATCATGTCAGATGGGGCGACCTCATCAGGGTCGGAGTCCGACACCTCCTCAATACGGGCGTGGTGCGACATGGTGTGTATGGGTGGGTTGGGAGGAGGAGTTGGTGGAGTTTGGGGGGGGAAGAGGAAGAAAGTGCGGGAGGTGGTCTTTGCGCTTTCTGATCTTCTGTGTGGGCGGAGTCGTACTGGCCAGTTGCCACAACCGACATGAATCCGGGGTATACAACAAGGACGACTACATTAGCGCCAGTAAATATGATGGTTTTCATTATCTTGAAGAACTTGAGTCTCAACAGTATTTTGACTCAAAGGTGCAATTATGTTTAATTTGAATTATTCCGCCATTTATTTAGACCTTTTGACCTTAAAGAGTCGCCACAAGGGACTGAAGCTCCGATACTTAAAGCTTGTACGGACTAGAAACATAGCTATATTTTGATCTCGCTCAACTCATTCGATTTCACAATATTTTTCCTATATCTTTTGAGCTTACAATCTAGTTAGTGAGTTGGTTGGTTAACCTAAAGTTTGAGTCATCAACGGCAATGCCGATAGCGTCCCAGGGTGTGTTGCAGCGCCCTGAGCGCGTTACCAGCCCAGATAGGCATGTCCACGGAGAACAACCCCACCTCAACCTAATCATTCCATCCAGACTACTACTCCATTCATCAATCATATTCCAGCGATACCCCTGAGAAGTGGCAGTCGGTATTGAAGCCAATGGGCCGCTCGGCTTCCTCCCCGCTCGGCATGCCGAACCCACTCTGCCCCGCAATAAGACGATAGCCTCGGGTGAAACCACCTGGGTGCTAGTATAAAGATAAGCTTTGAACCCTGGTAGACTTGCTTCCAGATTCACCTTTTTCATTATCTCTCTGAATTGATCTCCTCTGTTGATCATCATGGCTGCGACTCCAGGTAAGTATACACACTAGGCTCCCGGTATACTCCTCTGTCTAACATATCTCAGATACTCACTCCAAGACGACCAGTGCCGTCTTGCATAGAGACACTCACTTCCTTCCCAGGAAGGCTGTCGGTGGCAAGGGTTGCTACATCTTCCTTGAAGATGGCACCAAGTTCCTCGACTTCACAGGTGGTGCCGCGGTATCGTGTTTGGGCCATGGCAATGAAGAGATCAACCAAGCCATCAAGGACCAGATGGATCAGATCTCATATTGTCATTCCGCATTCTTCGGTACTCAAGTGACAGAAGATTTGGCCACATTTTTAACCGAGTCTACCGGAAAGAAATTGACGAAGCTGTTTGTGGTCAGCTCAGGTATGGCGTCCGCAGACTCTCACTACCGTCGGAGTCATCATTAATGCATACGTCCAGGATCTGAGGCGGTCGAGGCAGCCTTGAAACTTGCTCGCCAGTATTTCCTCGAACTACCCACACCACAGCCGGAACGTACCAGATTCATCGCTCGTCTACCTTCTTATCATGGTACCACCCTCGGTGCGCTCGGCGCTGGTGGGCATGTCCTCCGAAGACAACCATTTGAGCCTCTTTTGGCCAAGAACACATCTCACGTCTCTCCTTGCTACGCATATCGTGGCAAGAAGGAGCACGAGTCGGACGCTGATTACGTGGCTCGTCTTGCAGCAGAGCTCGACGCAGAGTTCCAGCGTGTTGGGCCAAACACCGTGTGTGCTTTTATCGCCGAGCCAGTCGTTGGAGCGGTACGTAAAAAGGCATTCTTTGGAAATCAAAATATCGACTAACCCTCGTTATTATAGGCACTCGGCTGTGTCCCTGCTGTACCGGGTTACTTCCCCGCCATGAAAGCCGTCTGCGAGAAATACGACGCTCTATTCATTCTCGATGAGATCATGAGCGGAATGGGTCGCTGTGGAACTCTGCACGCATGGGAGCAGGAGGACGTCGTTCCTGATATTCAAACCATCGGAAAAGGCCTTGGTGGTGGTTACGCCCCTGTTTCAGGTATCTTGATTCATGAATCGATCGTTCAGACTTTGGACAAAGGGACGGGTCAGTTCCGGCATGGGCAGACTTACCAAGGCCATCCAATCTCGTGTGCGGCTGCATTAGCTGTCCAGCGGAGTATCAAGGAACACTCGCTTCTGGAGAATGTTAGAAACATGGGCGCTTACCTTGAGGAGCGGCTCCGCCAGCAGTTCCAGGATCACCCTCATGTTGGAGATATTCGAGGCAAAGGATTGTTCTGGGGTGTAAGTACTCAGGTCTTGAACGTCAGCAATTGGCACGCCGCTTTACTGACTACTACTATTTACAGCTCGAGTTTGTCAAGGATAGAACTACCAAGGAACCTTTCGATCCAAAGTCGCGTCTATCCTTTCACATCCAGGAAAAAGGCCTACAGCCAGAATACGCGGTGTCGCTCTATGGATGTACAGGTACAGTGGATGGCATTCGTGGGGACCATGTGGTGTTAGCACCACCCTACATTGTGACCAAGGAGGAAATTGATATTCTAGTGGATGTGTTGGCCCGAGTTTTGACAGACGTGCTCGCAGAGTTGGAGGAGTAAGCTAACGATGATATTTTACCAAATGACTAAACTAGATACAATTTGTGTAAAGACCAGACTAATAAGAGCAAATACTGTTTTGTAATCACTAAAATTGATTCATATTGTTGAGGATATCCCGTTATTATACACGATTGACAGCTCATGATGTTCGATGGTCAACCCTGAGCTTCAATAGCAGCCGCCTTCTTCGCGGCAGCATCCATTTCGGCCTGTGCTTTGGCAGAGCCATTGGAAACCACCACTTCTTTCGGCATGGAGCTCGGTGCCCACAGGGCAGCGACAGTTTCGACTGCCCTTTCAACGACGACGCGCACGCGATCGCGCAGCACGGCATTGTTGCATTCCACTTCCAAATTCTCAAGCCAGACACGAGCGACATGCTTATCCACCTTGATTTCGAGACCAGGTACAGGGATTCCGAGCGCATGGAGGCGGTCGAGCTCCGCAGATTCAATATCTGCAATACGTTCTTCCTTGATGTCTTCTGTGGTTTCAGTAGTCCCATTGACAAGGTCCGCTGGGACGCGAGGGCGCTCGATGGGCGCAATATCAGAGCCAAACTGTGCTTCCAGCATCATCAGCAGACGTGTCAGTCGGTCTTCAGGTCCAAGATAGGCATGGGGATTGCGAAGTTCGGGAACATCCTCATCGTCGTGATGATGGTGATGGTGATGATGCTTGTTCTTGGCGGATTCTGTGAAGCGGTGTTAGCATGAAAAGTGTGGCTATGGGGGTAAAAGTTTCTTACGCTTTACGGAGGCAGGGCTACTCTCTACGGTGAGAAGCACAGCCATGACGGCGTCAGCAACACCGTCGTTCATCATGTTCCCTTCCCACTCGAGTTCGATTTCACGAGTTCGTGGGTGGTAATGGAGGGTAACACAGCCCATGACCAGGTACGTTTGCGTTTCCTCCATCAGAATCTCCTCATCCGCAGCCTCCTCTTTAGCATCGCCATTTGTAGCTTTCTTCACTTCTTGCTTCACTATGGACCCAACTTGCTCGATGGCTCCGAATGTACCTTCGAGAGCCCATCGGATAAGATCCATGCTTGCGGAGCTAAGAGTCAGATGTTGCTTGCACATGATAGTGGTAGTTGTGAGTCCGGCATATTCACGAAGGTCATCGGGGGCCATGAGAGACAGGTCGAACCCATTCTGAACCAAGACACCGGCCATCAGCTGGCCATCATCTTGCTCAGAGGGAGGGGCCATCTCGGCAAGCCTGCCAACGACCTTGGCGAACTTGTCTTTTCTGAAAGGAATACGCAGTTCGGAGCAGTTGGCGGGTGTGAAAACTTTGGTGGCGATTGTTTTCTGGGCGTTAAGAGAAAGGAGTTTGGACTTGAGTCTCATCATCTGATGCTTCTCACCGTGCACAAGAATCTGCAGAAACCGTCAGTATACAACGAGGGGGAAACAAGGGGAAATTTTTACATACCACAACGGGCGCAGCCACCTCTTCAATAAAGTTGCGGTTCTCCACGCCATCCACATGTGCAGCAAAACTAATCTCGTCAATCGTGCAGCGACGTGGGATCATCACTTTCTGATCCTCGTCGTTGCCTCCCGGTACACGACCGCGGCCTTGTACGGATGAAACCTTTGACATAATAGCGGGAATAGACTCTGGCTCGTTCAGTAGCTGTTTGGCCATGGTTCCTTCCACACTGTAACCTGTCATGACAACACCGTTGCGGTCGCTCGGCGCCCATCTCTCGAGAAGCTCACGACTCGTGCCGGTCTGCAGCATACCAGGGGAGGCGATCATGACACAGCCTCCTACATCATCGAATCGCTCTAGGCTGCGCAAACTTCGAACAAAGCGGAAGTCCCACGGGCCTGCGGTCACACTCTTATCTCCACTCGCCTCGGCCTCGGCCATGCGCTGCCTGAAGAGCCGTTTGATATTGTCATTCATGGCACCGATATATGTCTGGTAAACGACCATACATCGTCTGGCCATGTTACCAATGTAGTAGATGGGGACCTTTTGCAACTCGGGGTGCCGCTCCCAGTATTCTTCGAGAATGAGGAGCAGCTCCTGTGCTCGACCAAGAGCGAATACGGGCATCAGAACTCGTCCTCCGCGATTCAAGATTCCCGTAACAGATTTCATAAGCGCTGCTTCACGTTCCAGTCGTGGCGGGTTGGACGAAATGCCGAATGTGGACTCGGTGATCAGGACATCGATCTTGATTCCCCGAGGGACCTCTGCGGGGATCAAATGCCGGTCTTCTTCGCGAGAGTAATCACCCGTGAACAGGATGTTCAGTCCGGCAATAGATACCAAGAACATAGCGGCTCCCAGCACATGGCCAGCTGGGAATGGTGTGATCCTGATGCTATTGATCGTATGTGTAGTGTTGAAATCGATCGTCTCGATGAGGGGAAGAGTTGAAAGGTGATCGCGCTCTGTATACAATGATGTGCGTTGGTCGGAGGAGGAGGATGTATTGCTGACTCGGACGTTGTCTTGGATTAGCCATTTATAAATGGCCTTTGTCGCATGGGTCATGAAGACACGACCTTTGAAGTTCGTCTTGCTGAGGACATATGGAAGTGCAGAGGAATGGTCAACGTGGAAACTAGAGGCAAGAGAGATTAGCTCAACGGTTCAAGATTGAAAGATTGTACAGTGTAAAAGAAATCATTCAATAGAACGTCTAGAACTTCCATGGTAGAGAGAGTTTGAACTTCAGGGAAGAGAGAAAAAGGTGCATGACATTGGACTGTATTGAGCTTTTGATCATATACAAGTAGGGAACGACTCGGCTCCCACTTCGTCTCGGACTCCATCGCTTCACAGATGTAGGAGGGATAAGGAAATTCCACATACTGGCTGATCAAGAGGATATCGACTGTACTCAAATCGAATTCGTCAAAGAAGGGAAGAGCAGAGAAGCCTTCTTTGGCTGGATGCATACCGGCATCAAGCTATAATGGGAGAAACATTAGTGGATAATCAGAGATGGAGGATACTCAATTCGCATACCATGACCGTCTTGCCCTTGTATTGAATGATGTGACAGGATCGTCCAACCTCATTGCCTCCACCCAGACAGTAGAATGCCAACTCATCGGAGGGATCCGCGGGTTCGTCATCCACGCTTGCGCCCATTGCAGAGGCTTTGCGCTTGGTCGCCATAGTGGCGTGGGCACTGCGCGAGTGCAATTGCGCTAATCGAGGAGCTGTCTCGGGGTTAGTTTTGGGGTTCAGGATCGGTCAGATCCAAGGGCACCACAGCCCCGGTCACACGGTTAGAATAGGCTGCCACTCAAATCGAATTGGTGAGCACTTCCATGACCAATGCGACAAGAGTTTCGAGAAAAGTGCAAAAGGAAGGACCAGTGTAGACTGACGGGGAAGAAGGAAAGGACGACCAACTTCCCAAAGACGCGGCATTAACTAAGCTGTGTCACGTGACAGGCGCGATCCGCGGAGCAAAACCTCGAGACACGCCAGAAGCTCCCTTTACATCCACTCGCCCGGCATCTCCCTCACCAACCCCGCTGTCCGTTTCGTCTCGTGTATCACCCCTATTCGTCAGTCGTGTCGATTTTATGCTCGGACTGGTATTGTGAGATGGTCAGAGCTGGCGGTGTCTGGTGATGCGAGCAAGTCGCTCACTTCAACCAACCTCGCGTGGACCAGCTGTCAAGCCACTCGGGCTGCGCAAATAGCAACCTTTTTATCATCTCGCCTCCGATCCCGCGCCTCAGACTCATTTTTTTCATCATGGCGCAAACACGCCTCCCACAACAGCAGGGGCAGCAACAGCAACAACCTCCGCCTCAGTTCGCTACCCATCCCTTCTCTCCTCCAGTCTCCTCGCCCTCACCTCACTCTGCAACCTCCCCCGTCAACGGAGCCATCGCGCCTCCCCCTCAAAAGAAGCCACGGTTATCGCCACTTCCTCCTTCACAAACACAGTCGCCATACGCGTCTCCCAGCTTCGGCGCGATGCAGCTTCCTCCATCACAGCCACCGATGAACGGTGTGAGCGCGAACTTTACACCATCTACACCTACTAGTGCAGCGCCCGCCCCCGGAACGATGGGTCCTCCATCTCGCCCTGTCGACAAAACAACCGATGCAGCTGAGTTGACTGATGTGTTGGCATCATCGGGTATTGATGTTCGGGAGGAAGAGGCCTTCCTTACGCGCAGCTTCTCTGGGCCCAATGCGCAGGCGCAGCAGCCCAATAGAGCTCAGCTGCCACAACAGCAAGCCCCAATCAACACCTCGTTTGTCTCGCAGGCGTCTACGCAAGGAACGCTATCTGCCTCGAGCAGTTTCGGTGACCTGCCCCACACCAAGCCGACAATTCCGCAAACTTCATTTTCCACCGATCCAACCTCACAAGCCACCTCCATCAGCAATCCACCGAGCCGCGCCGACACAGAGGCAGCACGAAGGGCACAATACCACCTTCAGGAGCCGTTCCTCTTCGCTAAGCTTGTAGAGCAGAAGATCCAGAAGCGTGGTTTCGAGCTTGGAGTCCGCATTCCCTCGGAAGGTCTATTCCATCCCGTACCCGGTCGACAGGCACCAATCGAAGTCACCGGTCCCGATGGATCATCGATTGTGCGAACGGGTCAGACCATTCTCAACCAGGAGGGTGCCCCCCTGGTGGATATTTTGAATCTCGTCTCTCTCTCGTGTGAAGAACGTCTAAGAGGAGTGGTTGACTATTCCTCTACACTGGCCCGTAGCCGGAGAGCCCACTCCCATGGTGTGGTCCCTGATGCATGGGTCGACATGGCGCAGCCTTTGGGTCCGATTGCCGGGAACACGGTGACTCCGTCAAAACGTGAGCGCAACCACGCTATCTATACGCGTCTCTTTCTATAACCATACTAATTCTTCTTTATAGGGCCCAATCCGGATGCCGAAGAGGCTGCCAAGAAACCCGCAGCAGAGAGATACAGAGGTATTATTACAAGAGAGAACAATCTGGAAAACAAACGTGCAGCGAAACGTACCAAGAGAAGTGCTAGTGCCATTGTAGGTGAAACCACGGGCACTCGGGCAGATTCTGCAGATTTCATGGGTTCGGCCCCGTCTACCCCATTGGGAGAAAGGGCACCCAGTTTCGACATCAAAAAGTCAATGACAAAGAAGGAGCAGAAGAAGTTGATGGATAGCAAGGCCAATGAGGCGCAGCAACATCAGCAGTCCGTAGAGACTGCACGTCTTGCCACGAATTCGATGCTATCTGGTCGGATGTTCGGAGCTAAGAAGTCATACTCATGGCTAAAGCCTGGAGGCTCCTCCAGTGGATTTTCCACGCCAACCCGTGCTGCTCCTTCGACTCCGACTACCGGGCCGGAGAAGCCCAGTCGGGCGGGCGAGACACCAGCCGGTCCACCAAAGCGACGACTTGGAACGTGGCGAGAGGATCAGGAGAAGGGGCGAAACATTCAGGTTCGGGATATCTTGTTTGCTGTCGAAGCCGACGGTCGAGCTAGCAAACACGTTCAAAAGGGCTACTCGAGAGACCCAAAGGAAGATCGTGGGGTTTGACCTGGCCCAGGCACTTGTAATCTTAATTTATACAGCGTACTGCTCAATGACACAATTATGGCATGCTAAGCAACATTTCTGGATTTTTGTAAAAAGAAGAAAATTCGTTCTATGCGTTAAAAATTAAAAAGGTATACACTCTACTTGATATCCTCCTTGTATGATGCTCATGCTGTCTGTCCCAAAGCCTCACGAGCGCGGCTCATCTCATCCTCTGATGGCATATTCACAATCGCCAAATATAAAACTTTCTGCATTAGAAGATTAGTACATTAAAAATCATAGTTAAAGGCATTGAATGGGGTGTCCATACCTTCTGCAACAATTTAGCAATTGGCGTAAGAGGACTAATACCAGCACCGCCGTCTCGATTCCCAGCCAACCGATCTAGTCCCCTACCCCTACCAAGAGGTAGAGGACCGGCATACCCGGCACGCGAAGCACCGTTTTGGGGGTTACGCAAGTCCCGAATGGTGTTGATAGTATCAGATAGACTGAATGGCCTACCATGGGGCGCTGGTGGATTAGAACCGTAATCCCGACGCTCTTGATATTGGTCTACGAATCCCCGTGCACCACGGCCTTTCATAGCGCTCAGCTTGTCTATGGTGAGGTGACCGCCTGTAATCAGGGCGATGGGATCACCGCTACTGGCCACATGGTTGGGGTCGGCGTAGCGGGAGTTGAAGGTTGGCTTTGGGCCTTGAGTGAGATGACTGTCGGGGTTTTCGGCGGCCTAGCAAGAGACCAGTATTAGTTTGCGTTCATAGATAAAGGATGAGCTGCCTGGAATTATGGCTTACAAATTTGGCCTGGGCCCTCTTGTCAAGGTAACCAGCGACAAACTCCTTTTTCTTCTTCATTCCGGCAAACTTCTTTTCTGCGTCTTTGTCGGACGCTAGTTGATCAATCTGGGGGAAGATCAAGGGTGCTACCTCCGGGAAGATATTACCGTAGGCCTTTCCGTCTGATGACTTGAACTTGTGACGAAGACGACCCAACGAGCTAGAACTTCCCCCGTCGGCAGCTTTGGAGATAAATGAGTTGAGGTCGATTGTCGTCGCTGGGGCATCAGGCAATTCGGGATTCCAAGTCATGAGGAGACAGTAGAGGCCACGAGGTTGGAAGAATTCCTTGTTCATCTTGTCAAAGAAGGTAGTCGTTCTAAAAGATGGTCAGCATTATATCCTTAAGGATCATTGATGCTCAAAAGATGTACTCACTTGCGACGACCGTCCGCAGCGATCGCAACACTGGTAGCGATCTGGATAGCGATAGAGACTGCCATTCCAGTGACAGTAGGAAGCCACATTGTTCCAATCGATGCCAAGTTAATCACATTCAGCCATTTAGCCCCTTGACAAGCCTTCTCCGCCGTATTGAGGAAATCGATAAACATATCCTGATCGATACCGCACTCGTTCAATGCGGGGGCATACGCGCGAATGAAGCCGCGCTCGCGATTCTTAGGTCTGCGCTGTGGCAGCACGACTGGTGCCGACAATTGCGGCAATGACGGTCCACTTCCATCGTATATGGTCGAATAGGGTGGTGGTGCAGGGTATGTAGACGCAAATTGACGGGCAAGGTCCTCTTGATCGACGTATTCCGGTGGTCGGTCGTTCTCCGGGGTGTTCTGATAGCCCTGCGCGGAGTGCACCAACTCTTCTTGTGCCTCATCCAGTGCCCACTGCTCCTCGAGAGACCCAGTGGGGGCTCTTTCATGGTGGGCCTCTTGTTCGGCGGTCAGCTCGTATGGTACGGGCGTTTCATACTGTTCGTAATGTTGCTGTTGTTGATACTGCTGTTGTTGGTACTGATCTTGTTGTGGCAGTTCCCTTTGTTCGTGTAGTCCCCTATCGGTTTCGGAGACTTCTTCTTCACTCGACTGGTCTTTTTGATTCTCCTTCTTGGTCTTGCGGGCCGATCGGGCTTCTGAGACGAGGCCGATGCCTGCAGCAATGCCTTGAACGGCTTTGCGGCCTAGACCTGATGCTATCATCCTGAAAGTGAAATATAATGAATAGAATCGAGGGTAAGATGGAACAGTAAAGGAATAATACTGATGAGTTATAGTCGAGGGCCATCTCCCAGTCGTGGGAATCCGGCGACCTTTATAACATTGTGAGACCCCTCGGACCCCCTTCTTCGCGCAGAATTCCCAACTTGGCACGCGCTGGATACTTTGCAGAAATTGTCAAGTGAGGCTATGGTGCATGGTGGGCCATGACAAAAGAGTGAATTTGGGAATAAGCATGGCCAAGCATCGCTGGTTCAGGCGTGCAACCCAAAGAGTGGTTCCGCTAAGCCCAATTAGGGATCCAGTTCGGCATAGTCTAACTTGATTGGGTTATATTTACTTACCTAATATACCCTTTCTCCACTTTTCGGTGGCTTTATTCAGCCCCCACTGGGACCCACCATTGGATGTCGAGGTTTTTACCCTTTCTGGTAGTACTCAGGGTCTCAGGCAGAAACTTTGTCAACGCACTCCCCTGTTGACAGGTGATAGTAAGCAGTCAGACAATGTCAAGTACCAAAATAATGATATGAAGATCTAAACATCGGGCACACCTCGAGACTTATCTTGGATTTTTCCCGGCAGCGTTGCACATGGTTTGATCTCTTCGTTCGTCAAGGGTACGGCCTACTCTACTAGCGCTCCTGGGGGCGCACTAGGTCATTAAGATTTAGAATAAAGTGGCCCGGATTGACGCTAGAAACCTGCTTATCATTCTGCAACTGTAGAGACTCATCCCCACTCATAAAAAATGCCAAGTGTTGATGAGAAGCATTGAACGGACAAGGGAAGAATCAAGATGTTGATATTATTAATAATACAGAGTTAATGGAAGACTGGATCCAGTTATTAGAGCTAAGACTACAGCATTATTGACTATGTGCCGAAGGCCTTCGGAGATTTCTAAAGGGTCACCAGAAGTGCTGTTTACGCTTCCACAGTACATAGTAGACCAAGTGGACTGCTCTATATCCGCTCAAACTCGTTTTCTATCATGATAAAGACCTATTGTGTCTCGAATATCCAGAAAAAATATGTATATAATTGGATGCCTATCTATCGTCATTCAGGTCATTATGCGTTCTTTTATCTATGTTATAATGGGTCTTCCTCACACCACGGAATCCGAGGCCGGCTCTTTTTCAGCTCCTTCCTTCCAGACAACAATCACAATGCAAAAGACCGCCAGAGAGCACAGCAGGGTCAGAATCGTCATCCACCATCCAAAGCCAATGCTTGAAGCCGCAATTGGCGACAGAACGGTGCCAATAGCGGCCAGAATGTTTCGAATCAAATTCAAATCAGCCACAACCGAAGCACCCACTCCCGGCTTGATGTCCACAAGGAAAGGCATAATGGTCGCGGTGACAAGCATGAGGCCTAGTCCAAACAAGAAGGCGCCAACCAAAGGAGCGACCCAGAACACTTGTTTTTCAACCAGCCAGCCGTAGATGATCAACCCGGCTGGGACAAAGCCAACACCGTACCAGACGGTCTTGATTCTTTCAACTGGGCGAATCTCTCCATCATACGTCAGCTGGTATTGTCGCAGTTTGGCGTCGCTCAATTTCCCACCCACGACGCTTCCAATCGCATATCCCAGAAAATTGCTGATATAGCAGAGCCCGATCTCGATGGCAGAGAAATTGTAGGGCAGCGCCGCGTATGCATAAGGAAGAGTCGTGTTGAAACAGTAGAGACTGGCAAAACAGATGCTCACGTAGTTGATTGTTAAAGCGATTGATGGCATCAAGAGGAATTTCAGCTTTGGCAAAGGCGCCAGGACGTCGCGCTTTGCTGTTTGGTGCCACCGCAGCTTTTCCTCATGGTCGTCGGTGGACGACTTGACCAACGTCTCGGGAAGGCATAGCATCGTGAGGCCTGCAGTGCTGAATGTGAAGATAGCCATGAAGTATAGCGGTGATCGCCATCCAAGCCAAACTTGAAGGGCGCCTCCAATATTTGGAGCAATCAAAGGTCCGATCAACGTGCCAAGGTAGAACCAGCCTAACGCGGAGCCCCTTTCAGTGGAAACGTAGATATCGCTAATGACACCTGCTCCTACACTTTGCGCAGAGGAACAGCCCAGTGCCTCGATCAGGCGAAAGACGATAATCAAGGGGAGAGAATTTGACACGGCGCAGACGATCACAGCGACCGTCGAGAGAAGGAATATTGCCTGTAGATCTGTCTGCCCTAGAACGAGGGTTGCAAACATGGTACGTCATGTGGAAGCAGTTAGGAGGACAATCTCACAATCTTCACGAAGAAAAGGCAGGGAGCATCCTCATCTCAAATAGCCTATCTCTCTACCGACTGGCGGTCCACTTTCTAAAAAATGGTCGCCCGGTTCTTGATGATATGGCGTACTTGGGGAAGTCTGCGAATGATGGAAATCCTCTTATCATCAAGGAGCAGGCATATCAGTATGAGATGATGCGATGTGTACAGCAAATGTTGGGTGAGTTTCAGGAAGGGAATATGTAACAATGATGGTGTCCTGAAAAAGAAAAACGTCAAACGTAAAGAGTACACCCGGGCTCATATCTCCATAGTTGATTAGCTCCATAGTCGAATTTATTCGTCTCGAGAATTGCAGATCCAATCGCTTTTCTACCGAACGAGGACTATGCAATAAGCACCTGCGAACTACCCCAGAATAATCTCTAAGAATGTCTCCAACTCTAGGGTATTTATCACTACATATTTAGTTCAATTGGTTTTCTGCCGTTCGTGTCAGACTCAGTGTAACAAGTTTCTATCTTGCACATAGCATTAACAGGAACTATTATGGACGATTCTACCACCTTATCTTAGGTCGCTGACATACTTCTTTTTTGGCTCGCAGATATGACGCAGCCCGGAATTCTTAGATTAATCTTTGACTATCAGAGGCGAATTGTTTGTCATGATAGAGTCGGTGTGACTGCCATATCAGACACCTCCAAGCCAATAATTTTGAACAATATCTTGAATGGAAGTCACGTCTTAGATGATGCCTTTCCTTGAAGGAATTCGGGACTTTTGATGTTTCGGGATTTCGGGATTTCGGGATTTCGGGATTTCGGATAAGTGGGAGAATCCCATCATCGTTCTGTCAGCCCGAAGTAGGATAACCTAGTTTGTTGGAATGTTCAAAGACTCAATCGAGAATTGAAATTGACACCGGCGCATTGAATTTTATTCGGGATGGTCTTTGACCTGCGATAGTCTGCAAGATGAATAATGGCCTCTGGCTATGCCACCATAAGATAGGCATTCCGCCTCTTAGGTCTACCTCGCATGTCTTGCACATAGACTTTTAATCATCACACTATATCAAAGGCCTCGAAGGCTAACCTTGAACCAATTTAGCTCGCCTTGATGTAATGACTAATCAACCACCATTCTCAAACTTACCACAGGTAGAACTAGGTACACAAGCCAGGCTCACACCCATATTCCCCTATACACACCAGAAGCGCCGTTGGCCCTTATCAAATTCGTCTTCAGATAAAGTGATAAGAATGCCGTATTTTAACTCGCTAGAGCAATCTTCAACTGAGCCACTCGCAATATTACCCAAATCCCGGGCGATCGATGACGGTGGGGCAGCGGGTGATTGGTCTGGACCAGCCCTGGCGTTAGGTTGAACGCTGGGGACCCCGCAGAAACTCGTGCGGACGCGGCGGAGCGAGACTGGTGGGTGATGAGGGAGGCTTGCAGGTTGTTAGAGAGGGGTGTATGTGGGAGTGGAATCGTTGATTAAGATATCGATACTTAGTTAAAGGTATTTGTTAAAGAGAATATATATTTTGGCAGAGTAGAATGTGCCAGTAGATCAGTAGGTTTCTGGGGATATATATTTCTGGTCGTGGGTCTGGATCCCCGTGGTCCGCTTACTCAACCAGCCACGAGTTTAAAGGGAATAGGATGGTTAAGTGTACATCATTTAACTTGAAAAGGGTTTGTCGCATTAATAGGTAGGCATCGGTATTCTCCGGACTTATTCTACACATATCTCGGACTGGCCGGGGTGTGGTTTACTCGGTATTGTTGAGCGGGGATCGCTGAATTCCAGAGTAAGAACTAAGGCTCCTTGACGTTATGTTTGCTATTATTCTTTTCGATTCCCTATTATAATCTCTTATTTCCGTTTTATCAGGCTCTCCGTGATGACCAGGCTGAAATGGATTGGACCACATGGATAGGCGTCCCTAAGAACCCTCGGACGCTGACATTGGACAATTCTAGAATCCTTAGATCTAAAATCAAACCAGAAGAGAATTGACCGATGAGATGATCTTCCGAAAGGCTCCCGTTGTCGCCACCAAAAAAGCAAAATTATGAAAAACTTACCCTCACGCTAACGCGCCTCGAGGAGAGAGCGGGGGGACGACTTCCCACGTCACTCGAGGCAGACTCCCTTGCATATACGGAGGTAGTGATAGGATTGAATAGATGAAGTAAATGATTATAGAACAGGCACGGAGCGTGTTTCTACATTAGATATACAGTGATCGTGTATTTGTGCATTCCATGGCGAGTCAGTGACCTGTTGACCGTCTTCTCTCGGCTTCGAGCTTAATTCTCTGTAGTGCTCGTTTCGATTACTTGGCCGGTATTCGAGGGTGAGTTCTTCTCTCGTTCGTGACGACCACCTGGCCCTATTGAGTTGTCTCTTGATCGTCTGATTTATGAGAGTGTTCATATTTCCTTGTATCTTTTTAGTCTTTTTAGTCTTTCTCTCATCAATTTGGCCTCTTCACTGCCACGCTGAGTCAGCTGGTATGTCAGGTGATCGGGTACTGCGAGAGATGCGATGTCCTTCTGGATTTCTACTTTGGATTATCGAGATAAACACAATCATCTCAAATCTTCTTGTTGATCGACTGCGTTCTCGCCTTCACTCCACTTCGTCCCCGTTTGCCCCGATGTGGGCTCTCGCGACGGGGGTCGCTAAGCCAGGGCTTGGACGCGATGCTCCATCGCTGCCGGTGGCGGGCCACCAGGCCAGACCAAACTGGGCCAAACGAGTTTCTCATATTCGCAAAGGCCCCCCAGGTTGAGATATATTAGTTATTATTCCACTAGGCTAATCTATTTTCATTCCGGGCAATTGGAATGTCTTTGGCCTGGTAGTGCTCTTGTTCGGACTCGTCCTCGGGGAAGTCAACAAGCGCGCGAGGGAACTCCGTTAGACTGGTCATCGACCAACTCGTTATCCTCTTTTCTCTGTTCTCAGAGGAAAGAGAAAGATCGTCCTATTTATCGATCTATAGTTAATATCAGTCTGAAATCACATAATTCCTAGTCAACCCTAAATTACTCAAAAGTCAGTTCGTAGTTTGAACAAGGCAAAAAGATGGATCGGCGTGCACCTCGTAGCCCTCCGGCTCCCCGTTCTCCCCGTCTCCTCTCTCACCCCCATCATCATCACTTTGCCTTTCGTCTCTTCTTCTTCTGCCTCCTCCCACTTCTCACTTGCAAATGTCGACTCACCCACCAATGCTAGCTTCATTTCAACCCCCTTCCTCGTGAGCTGAGATATCACCCCGAGGACCTGTGCCTCGCTTGATCCACTGCCCTCCGACCGCCTCGTCATTGTCACGTCTCGTTTCTCCCCTCTTCCCTAAAAGCCCTTCTCTCTCTCTTCTCCCCCTAGGTGAATCCCTAACTCGATTCTTCTCCCTCTCTCTCTCGTCTTGTCTGGAAAACGATCGGCCTGCTCCTGCTAGGCAGGTCTGTCTGACCTCGAGACTCCCCTACTTGCTCAGTCAAGTTCGCATTTCCCGCCGAAAACAATCGGTCGTGATTACACTTCCTCCTCCTCTCCTCGTCCAGTACCGTTCGTGTGACGGACAGGACTCCTCCGTCCACAATGTCCACGCCTTCCACGGCCACTGCTACCCATCCTACTCATCAGCACTACGGTTATCCCCATTCCTCATACCAAGCCACGACCTCCTACCCAACCCCGACTACCGCCGCAGGGGCTCGCCTCGCGAATCCCTACACCTACTCCATTCCTTCGCCGACGACAGCCACCCTTCCCTACGCTCAACCCTCGCGAGTCGCTCCGGCGACATCGACCCCAACGGTCATGGCGTCGCACCAGAGCGGCTCCAGTGCGGCCCCATCACAAGGTGGTCGGAGAAAGAAACCGGACTGGGGGGAATTCTACAAGAATGGCATCCCCAAGGAGGTCATTGTGATTGACGATAGTCCGGCTCCGGAGGCCTCCAAAACTGCGGCACCTCCTCCCATTCCACCTCCTCATGCTGTTGCCTCCGCTACCGGCCAGCCTCCAGTGGCACAACCGGCCGGGAAGAGGCGCCGCACGGGAATCGAGACCGCGTACGACCTGGGGTACTATGACCGACCGTCCTTTTCCATCAATCCCCAACAATACGGCGAGGAATCCTCCGCGCACTCCTTGTCAACCGATCGGACAACTTCTCTACACACTACCGCCCCGACTTCCCTCGGGTCCCAAGGGAGTTCGGGCGTTAGTAACGGCGTGTACTATGAAGACGCCACGGTGGGCCAAAAGCGCAAGCGGACCACCCGGAAATCGACTCGAGATGAACAGAAACGTCGAGAGCTGGAGAACGCGCCAGAGGCGTTCCCCAACTACGTTCCTCCTTCGAAACCCATCATCAAGGCCAAGGATGTTCCTGTGCCTGTGATTCGCGATGTACGTCTGACCTTGAGCTCGAGTATTTAGTTGGAGAATGGTGAACCTAATTATCCTCGCTACAGTTCACGAGCGGTCGTCACGAAAAGTTCGACGATGACGATGGTCACTACATTGTGACCCCGGACACTCCTCTTACGGAACGATGTAGGTCGAGCCGTTGACCCTAGCAGGATACTTGGACTCGACTAACTCTTTTCTAGACTCTATCATCAAACTTCTCGGTCAGGGCACTTTTGGCAAGGTTGTGGAAGCATTTGACAAGCAGCGGAAGGCTCGATGTGCTGTCAAGATCATCCGTTCCATCCAAAAGTACCGAGATGCGTCGCGCATCGAGTTACGCGTGTTGTCCACCCTGGCCTCGAACGACAAGGCCAACCGCAACAAGTGTATTCACCTTCGGGATTGTTTCGATTTCCGAAACCATATCTGCATCGTGACCGATTTACTAGGACAGAGTGTGTTTGATTTCCTTAAGGGCAACGGGTTTGTGCCTTTTCCCAGCAGTCAAATCCAGAACTTTGCACGTCAACTATTCACCAGCGTGGCCTGTGAGTAACACAACTTCCACAGTTCTTGAGAAAGTTTTACTGACCTGATTGCTAGTCCTCCACGATCTCAACCTCATCCATACCGATCTCAAACCTGAAAACATCCTCCTCGTCAGCAGTGCCTATCAAACCTTCACCTATAACCGCACCATCCCTTCCTCCTCCCATGCAAACCCCCGCAATGCGCGCCAGCGACGAGTCCTCCTTGACAGTGAGATTCGCCTCATCGACTTTGGCTCTGCCACCTTCGATGACGAATACCACTCTTCGGTCGTGTCCACACGCCACTATCGGGCACCAGAGATTATCCTCAACCTGGGCTGGAGTTTCCCCTGTGATATCTGGAGTATTGGGTGTATCCTGGTAGAGTTCTTTACCGGTGATGCTCTCTTCCAGACCCACGACAATCTTGAGCACCTGGCCATGATGGAGGCAGTCATTGGGTCTCGCATTGATTCCCGTCTAGTTCGTCAGGTAGTGCAGGGCCGTGCTGGTAGCCATAACTCTGCTGCCAAGTAAGCTATCCCACTACATGAAATCACTGAACATAAAGACTAACCAGATCTTTAGGTACTTCAACCGGAACAAGCTGGACTATCCCAACAATGAAACCACTCGGGCATCACGCAAGTATGTTCGTCTCATGAAGGGGCTTACTGTAAGTCATAATTCCAATTCTGATTCACAAGTGAATACGATCTGACTGTTTGTTTACAGGAGTTCATTCCGATCAATACACCTTTCAACCGTGCATTCCTGGATCTTCTACAGAAGATCTTTGTCTACGACCCCAAGCAGCGGATAACTGCTAAGCAAGCCTTGAAGCACCCCTGGTTCAAGGAGAGTCTCATTGACGACGGTACCGAAGCATATCGAATCGGCATGGGCCTTCATCGCCAAGCCGGAGCGAGGTAAAAGTGACTACCTCATTACCTTTCTCATTGGTTGTCTCTTTTAGCTCTCAATCTCCCCCCCCCCCCCCCCCCGTATCTGGCGTCAATAGGGTCTGTGGATAGACGGTGTCTTTTATTTTCAAGGGGTAATTATTATCAACACATGGATGGGATAGGATCGGTGTTTTCGTTCACATTGACTGGGAAAATGATGATTATGATGTGTCCGGTTTTTTTTTTTTCGTTATCTGCGCTGCGTTTTTCCCATTCCTGGCATGTCTGCGGTGGCTTGACTACGACTTTCTTCTCTGGCTGAACCTGCTTCCCCGTCTTGGAGGTTCTCTATCATGACTCAAGCAGAGAATACCACCCCGGCTCTGCAATAGCTGGGCTGGACTGCCAGGATGTCCGCAATTTTTTCTCTCTCCCCTCGTATGTTCCCCGGATATTGGCATATCGTGCGATGAGGTTTCGATTGTGATATCTTATGGTTTTTATCTTTTAGTTATTCGTTACCATTCCTTCTGGCGCTGGTGATTGGTTTTATATTTTCAAGGTCTTTTTTCTGCGCTGTTGCATCTGCTGCGCGATGTGTCCTTTTCTTCTGGTTTCTCTGTTGAGTATCCTTGGGGGTTAGGCTGTGATTTTTGGATTATACCATTGAGGTCGGGGATATTCTAGGCGTCCATGTAGGAGTAAAGGGGATGTATATAGGCATTGGCCGGTCCTAATGACCCGACTCCATTGACCCGTTAATTATATGGTTCTTCCAGGAGAGGAAGATGTAGACTTTCAGATATTCGCATAAATTTTCGTACTGGTAATACAAAATATGCCCTGTCTATTCAAGTCTCTTGACTGTCTGAACAGCATGAACCATACCCTTGCCTATTATAGAAGTTCACGCTACTATCTCCACACACTGTATCCAACCTAAGTCTGATATAGATCATTCCAATCCAAGGTCACCAAATAGTCAAGGACATAACCACCCTAGATACCTTCCTCGATCCAATTCAAATCCGGAGACTTCCTCCGCTGAAGAATACCCTCAATTCTCTCCGCAAGATCCAACAACTCCTCGTCACAACCAACTCTCCCCATCAACTCCAATCCAACCGGCACACCCTGCACCGCAGAAGAAGTCGGAGGACTAAACCCAGCTATAACTCCGATATCAGCATCCTCCTCAACAAGTCTACTCCTCGAGAAACTCCAAACTCACCAGGAATACAAATAGCCGGCCTCCCCGTCAAAGCAGCCAGAATCCCATTCCTCCTCGGCTGCACACACGTCCCAATCTTCGCAACAAACTGCCTCTGATGCGGATAAACCAGTGCATCAATCTTATTCTCTTCAAACACCCTCCTAACAGAGTCCTTCAACACAGATATCCTCTCCAAACGAGCCTGATGCCCAGGACTACCCAGTGAAAATGTCTCTGGATCTTTCAGCGGCGCAGTGAATACCTCGGTCACGGCATTTCGATCATATTCCCCGCTTTCTGCGATTTGCTTTAGCGAGGTATATGGTGATATGACAGTCGGTGATTGCAGGAATGTATCTAGTCGTTGCTGGAACTCGTAGATTTGTGTATCGGCCGTGGAGTAGAGAGTTGCGAAACTCCAGTTCGGATGGCTGGTAGGGGTGATATGGACCAATTCGATATCCGAGCCAGCTTCGGTCTGTATAGAAGCCAAAGCCTGGTTAATGATATCCTGAATAATACCATTTTCCTTTACAACATCCTCAGACAGATCTCCAGGCGAATCATCAAGACCGAAATACGCATCCAAAATACCAATCCGAATCTTTCTCACACCTCCATCCCCATCATCCCCAGTCCTCCCCATCTCCCTCCCATCTCCCTTAATAACGTCAAAAACAACCCTAACATCCCCCACACACCCCCCAACCGGCCCAACAACATCCTGCACCTCACTAACGGGCACAACACCCTCCACACACACCCTCGCACTGGAAGGCCTAAACCCAACAACCCCACACGCCGACGCAGGCGACCTACACGAATTAACCGTATCACTCCCACACCCCACAAGACCGAATCCACACGAAACCGCCACCGCAGTACCCCCCGACGACCCACCGGGTGTCCGCGTATAATCCCACGGATTAACCGTTTGACCACGGACCGAGGAAGTCGTCGTTCCCTGGAGGGCGAATTCGTGTAGATTCGCCTTAGCGAGGATAATAGCACCTGCTGCTCTTAGTCGTGCGACGAGGGGACTATCGGTTGTTGTGTGCAGGGAGTGCAGGGCTTGAACGCCTGCTGTTGTGGGTGTATCATGTGTAGTGATGTTATCTTTTAGGATTATCGGAATGCCGTGGAGGGGTGGGAGGGAGGTGTTGGATTTAGGAGGGAGGGGGTTTGAGTGTCTTTTTTGTGGGCTGTTTGTAGGGCGGTTTTGTTGATGTGGATTATTGATTTGAGGGTTGGGTCGTAGGCTGTTATGCGGGTGAGGTAGATGTTAATTAGTTCGGTGCAGGTTGTTGTTCCAGTCGTGAGGGCGTGGTGGAAACTTGAGATTGTGAGGTTGGGTATGTCGAGGGTTGGGGTGGTTGAGCCCATTATGGATGGAGGTAGGGTGCTGCTGTGTATTGGGAGGGGATTGGATTTGAGGGAGGTTGACTAGAAGAATAGTCCAGGTAGTCAATAAGAGGGATGGGTATATGTATAGTTGGGGTAGAGTTGGAGTAAGTAGTGCTGTACTCCAATATCCGTAGATGTCCCTCGAATGCATGGCGGGGTGTTCTTAGCACTTGCTAGTACAGTAGGAAACTATTCTCAAGGCCCTTTCTTCTCTACAAATACTATACTCATCAAATCCATCATATAAAATCGTATATTCAAATCCTATACAAAGAACCCTAAAATCCAAAAATTCTATTCATGCACATGCACGCAAAATGCACACGCTGTAATCAAAATGAAACGCCAAAAACCATAAGAAACACCAAATTACATGCCGCGGTTAAACTCAACCATCCCCTCAAATCCACCCCGACCATGGAACTCCTCCTCCAGCGAAGCAGCACTAATAGCCTGACGCTGCGGGAACGCGGCCAACGCCAACGGCAAAGCGAACAACGAAGTCGTCAGGACAAGACCCAGGTTCACGGGGAGAACCATGCGCGGGTTCGCCTTCATCCAGGCAGTCTTCTCGAGACGGACCAGGATCAGAGGGGGCAGGACCATGATCGGGGTTGCATTGAGGACACGGGAGATGGCAGTCTCGCCGACAGCGAGGGTAGCAGCCTTCTTACTCTTGCCCAGACTTTGGAGAGGTTCGGCGTCGTCGCCGAGGGCTTCGCGCTTAGCGCGATCCGCGTCCGAGAGAACGGGGTAAACGTCGATGCCGCGGCGGATTTCCTCGCCGCGCATGAGGAAGACGTTTAGGGCCGAGGCACTGGCGACGGCGGCGAAGGGGACGAGACGGGAGAGGATGAGGCGGGTGTTGGGGGAGATGCTCTTCAGACGGGGCACGAGGGCATTCAGACCCAGAGCGACGGAGCAGGAGGCGGAGACGGCCATGAGGTAGGATTTGGCGATTTGGGAGGTGGAGAGTGGGGTGGATTTGTTGGCGTTGGCATTGTTGATGGCGACGTTGAGGGATTGATTGCCGATTTGCCAGAGGAGGGTACCGGTTGTCTGTAGGAGTTGTGTTAGGGCTGTCGTGTGACATGTGAGTAGGGGGGAGGGATACTCACTCCCAGACCCGGGGTAAGCATGCCCGCCGTCACGACCAAGTTGGTAAGGACGTAAGCAGACATGCGGAAGGGGAGCATAACCGGTTCGCCAGTATCTAAACCCCACATAATCAGCGATTGACTCTATTTCTCCCACACGATTCAATCCATACCAGGGTGCAGCGTCGAGTCGACCACCTTCTTCGCCTTCCACAATTCCGGAGTCATAAGGGGGATCTTATTCTGCTTATACGAAGCGATCAAACTCTTCGCTTGCTCCAGGCCCGCGGGCGAAACGAGCAGCGTCCTGGTTGAATCAATTAGCATGCGATCGCATAACAAAAAGGGTATCCTCGGGGCAGCTTACCGAGGATCGGAGATGTCTGCAGCATGGCGAACACGGCCCCAGTAGGACTTCAAGTCATATTGAGAGACGGGCAGGTCACGGGGACCAGGGAGTGAGGCAGACATGGCCAAAAAGCACAAAAGAGAGTGTGTCTAAGAGGAAGAAAAGAGTGAAGGATCCTGGGGGAGGCGAGAAGAAATGACTCGAATTTGCGGGGAGTCCGATTTACTTTTTCACGATAATAAAAGGCGGTGAGGCGATAAGTGGACTAGCAGCCAATCAGAAGTGAGGGTTGATTTGCCTTTTCCAGGAACACCGGGCGGGCTTCCGATTCTATGCGGGACAAGGACGGAGTTAAAGATGGAGGAAATTCTATTGGACTGGGGCAAAGTATAAAGGCAATAGTACACAAAAAAAGTACAGAGGTATCATCATGAAGAGGGGGAAAGGGATTAGAAAAAGACATAACGGCGGGAGCTGTCCCGATGCAAGTATAAAATAAGAAACCCGGCGCTCGGGGGATATGAGTTAAACAAAGGAAAACAAAAAGTCGTCAAGACACATCCTCACTGGACAAGGAGGACCGGCAAGTCTACCGGAATCGAAAGGATTTATGCGCCAAAGGGGAAGGGGGACCCCCGCCTGGTGCATACCCGGACCGGACACGAGAGGGGGTTTGGGCACAAAACATGCAGACGTAGAAGGAGGGCAGGTTGGACCGCTCCAGACCGACACATTTCGTATGGAGCCAGTGTGTACAGGATTCGCTGGAAAGAAGGTCAGTAAAATTGTATATGCACAAAATTAGGAAGACAGTGCTTACCATTGAATCATGAGATGGCCGCCATTGTCCATCGAATTGCAAACGCAGCGTGTTCCGTTGCTGGGGTTGCTATGACGGTCGGTGCTGGGAGTGGCCAAGTCCGGGTCGGTCAAGGTAGTGGGGGAGTGATTTGAATGATGCGATGGGTGGATATCAAAGTCACTATGGAGTCGAGGAGGGGAAGAGCGGATGTGAGCAAAGGTAGCAGCTCGCGGAAGACGAGCACCGTAGCTACCACCAGTAGAAGGCCTAGGGCCCCGTCCGCGGTCTTTCAGCACCTGTCGAAGTGCATGAGTGGCATCGCCACTGTCATCTTCTTCGCCAGGTAGCGTCTGAGAAGCAACGCTACCCCGGGTAAATGTAGCATCCGAATGTAGTAGGGATGAATGCCGCTTGCTAGGCGTCCGCTTTATGGCCTCGGGAGAGCCCCGATAGGTGGATCGGCTCGAGATACCGCGAGAGGAACCCGCCCAGGGAGACATGCGTCCTGAGTGAGATGAACCCACCGTAGACGCATACGATCCTTTAGAGGGAGGGCGAGAGCCCGAATCACTACGGGACAAGGAGGGCCGACCGCTGTCAAAGAGACCGTACGAGGATGACTGTGGACGAGGCAGAACGGGATATTCAGAGTACTCGGCAGGGTCGGCTTCACTCTCGGTGGCAGAACCATCAAGGTCCATACCAGTCAAGGGATCAGTCAACCCTGTAGGGCCCTGGTCGAGACGCTGCATTTCCGCCTTGGCCCGACCGTCCTTGCCAATCTTCAACACCACCGACTGCGAACGAGTTGGCATGCCCGTGGCGACTGAATTAGACCGTGCCAACGGTGCCGGTCTCATAGTCTTGATGGGAGAAGACCGGCCCTTGGAAGGACTCTTGCGGATACCACTCGTCGTGGCCATGATGCCGCTGGATCGACTGAGTGGACGATGAGAGGAGCTCGTGATCGCCGTATGGGTCACACTCCGAGTAAGACCTGGCCGGCCACGAGGGGTGAAATCGTCATCTTCGTCATCCCCGGAGAAGCTCGAAAATGAACCAGGACGTTGGCCTTCATAGCCCTGGGCTCGACGAAGTTCCTCCCGTTTCGATTCTTCGATTTGATGGTGATAAGGCTGCCTCATCCCGGGCCGCCTTTCCGGCGTGACTTGAGGCCCGCCAAATCGTCGGGCAGGGGAGCTCAGAAACATCGCTGGGTCGTCGGCTTTAGTAACGGGGATACGCGGGGAGGTCGAGAAGGGAGCGGGAAACACAGCTGCATCGGTTGGAGCAGCTAAGGAGATGCCAAATCCACCGTTGGTGAATTCAGGTAGATCCATGGAGCCATCAATGGTGGGGAGTTGTGGGATGTTCGCATTGATAGAGGCGTGAGCAGGCAGTCGTTCCACATGAGTATTGCCTCGACCCGAGTCTAGTGACGGTAATCCATTTACAGACGGATCCTGCTCTTGGTCCCAAAACAGTCGCTGTTGTGGGAAGAAGGGAGAACCCGTGGGATCTAAAGAAGCCAACTGGAAGAGGTCTGGGGAAGACTGAAGATTGCCGAACAGTCGAGGAGATACCCCTAGAAGACGACTCGGAGTTTCTAAATGATTAGCCACCCGCGGTGTTGTCCCCCTTCCGACACTGCCCATGGACTCGAACTCGGGAATCTTCCGTCTTGACGCACTGGTCGGTGGCGGGGTTTGCATTGATGCTGCCGATTTCGCTGAATCCACCGTCCTGGGGCCATCTTCGCTCATGGTGGGCATCGGCTTCATAGGGCGAATCCTCCTGGCCGTATCGGTATTCTCTGAGCCCCTTCCATCTCTGATATCCGTTGAAGAAGTCTCTGCTCTTAAAAGGTTGGAGGGCGTATTGATACGAAACTTGTGCGGCGAGCGAAGGAACTCGGGACTAGAGGCATATGGGTCGGCGGTATCCCAGGTGACTCGAGGGTCGAAGAAGCTAGACTCGAGTTTCGGAGTCGTGAACGAGTCAAAGGCGGCCGTCGTAGGAGTCCTCGTCGGGGTCTGAGGTTCGCCGTTGGGATAGCTGAAGCTGAACATGGCCGGGTACATTAGCGTCATATTTCGGGGTCACGACCGGCAGTAAGACCAAGATTGCAACCGAAGGGGAAAAATAGCATCAAAGCACCAAGAGATACAAGACACGGAGTAATCTCGAGCAAGGCACCCCGCACGGAAGGGAGGAAAGGAGGGAGGGGGGGGGGGGGGGAGGAGGAAGAGTGGTTGGTGGTAGCTGCAACGGAAGGAGGACAGGGCTTCAACATACCTATGGACAGGGTGATCCCAACTCATGTCAGCAACACGAGCCTAGCAACCATCGACGGTCAAAAGCTGCCAGGCAACCTTAACGGAGGAGATATGGAAAAGATTGGAGGAGAAGAGTCGAAGGGGGGAGGAGAGAGGAATGCTCGACAGGGAGGGTGTGGGAAGGAAGGTTTGCGGAGGTCGGAGGTCAGAGCATTGATCGAAAGGTTGGATGCTGCAGGAGTAATTTGGTCGTGGCCTCAGTATTGCAATGAGTCTAGCTGTAGCTTCGAGATAGCGAGGATCGGATGCAAATTGATTTTCCGTGCAGGAGGTTGAATCCAGGTATGTAGGAAGGAGGAAGAGGTCGTCGGATGTGTTGGAAGTAGGCGGGCTTTGGCTTCCGTGGTCGATTGGAGCAGGCTATAGGATTTTAGGGTTGTTGAAGGATAAGGGCAAGATCGTTTCCAGAGGAAGAAAGAAGGACCAGGAATGTCGATAAAAAGTGTAAAGAGTTCGAAGCTGGCAGGAGAGATCGTCGAGAGGAGAAAAGAGACGGAGGGGTGTTTTTCTTTTTCTCAGTTGGTCCAAGATCGTTCTTTTTTTCCCGTGGGGGACCACTTTCTTTTTTTTTTCTTTTGATTACTTGGTCGGCCTCCACCGATCCACTACGAAGCCTCCGATTTTCCGTCGTTAACTGGCAGGTTAAAATAAGATGACTACGGTTCTCTAGGGAGGATAGAATATTGGGGACTGAGCTTAGATCTTGGGTGTCGATGGAGTAGTTAAGAGGGTTTAGTTACATGCGGAGTATACAAAACTCGGAACACGAGGATGGAACTATGAGCCTCATTCAAAGGACTGCCTACTTTTACATAATGGATACAATTCTTAACCTACTACTACTCCGTATATCAATCTTATATACTTTATAACTATCTTCTCCTCCTCACTATTCAACTCGGTCGCATGCAAACACCCCCTTTCGAAAAGATCTCCTCGGTCCGACAGCTCAGCACTAGCTGAACAAAGGACCACAGGGCGCCTATCAAGGGCTTGCCTCCCCCCCCCCTCCCTTTGGGTCTAACTTGGGTCTAAACTCATCTCAGGATGCCAGGCCCGCCGATCCAGACCCTATTGGGGCCGACACGATCGAGCCTCGTTTCCTTAAGTTCCCTAGGCTGCTTAAGTTCCTTGGTCGTCTCGCACCGGCGGCTTCGGGGCAGCCGGTAGCGATTTGCACCAGCCAGTCATTAATGGGCGCGGGGTTACTCCCGCTTTGTTCGTCACTAGTACTGGAGGAGTAGTAACTACTACTATGGAGTTAAGTAGTTTAGACTCACTAGACTTGCCCAGGGCAAATCTGACCGATGACGACATGCGGCCATCCCTGGCGAGATGAAAGTGGAGCCGCCTTGGAAGAGCCTGGAGAAAAAAGGCGGCTGGACGGGTTAACTACGGAGTACCGAACAAGGAACTTGCTTTGGGAAGCTGGGCCAAGGGGAGGTTTTGGGCAAGTCGATTTCGTAGCGGGAAGAGTCCGGACTCCGTTCATATTCACAGTTCGGGTGCAATTGCTGACGGTACCTGATCCTGATACTTATCTCCAGGGAGGGGTTCAGCTCGCCATGGTGCTAGGCATTAAGCCGTAGGCCTTAACGAGTTTAGCCATTCGGCACGAGCTGAAGTTCATCCCCCCGGGTGAAAGGGGTAGTAACAGTAGTACAGAGTACTCTCTGTAGCTCTAGGCTCCTCTCTGGTTCCACGTAGTCTACTACGTATTCCCTTCGGGCACGGCTCTCCCAGGCTAAAGAGGAAACTGCGCCGCTACTCGTAGTTGATCTATCGTTTCAATATAGCGATGGAGGATCCTTATGTACTTGTTATTCTCGGTCGCTATAGTCGTCGTTCTAGCGAACAAACATCTCGTCTCGATAGAATATTGTAAAGCCAGCTCCTTGAGATTATCAAGCTAATTCACGGCCCCTGACATATACGACCAGCCCATCTTCTTGGCACACCTTGAATTTGTGACTCTCCAGTCTCCGCTCATTCATCCCTCTGGGTCACTTCCCCTTGCTCCTCATTTGCTGCTCATCTGCCTCCCGGTCGCATTAGAACCGGATTTTCTGATGTCTGAACGTCTCGCACAGCCCGGTATCTCGAGCACAAGTACGTACTTTCGTATTTACTAATTCCAAAGTACCATAAGGGAGCGATTTCGGATTTCCATATTTAAGCTGTCAGGCCTTCCACCTCTCCCTCTCGAGTCTTGTCCGAGCAACGGCCCCAGTTGTCCACTTTGTATCCAATTTCCGATATGCGACACGAGGTCCAGCCCAGCCCACACCTAATTCCGAACCCACAAGTTAACCAGCTAAATCCACTAGAGCTCTCCACGCTAAATCTCACGCGAGATCTACTCTAGGTTGATCGTAATCTCGGTCAACCCTACGGAGTACATACTACGTTCGAACCGGATTTGACTTTCTCCCATGATCCATCCGATCTGAGCCGCCTCTAGGACACTTTTAACCCTGCTCAAGTACAATTCCCGACCTTGTCTCCCAATTTCGAGACAGATCGTCGCACTTCCTTCTTTGGTAGAGAAGATCGCTGAGGGTCCGAGACTTGAGCCGAGATCTTGCAGGCTTGCATTGTACCTGCATCCCGTGCTGCAAGGGCGGGCTCGACGTGGCGGGATCACGATGCAAGTTTGATCTGCAGTGCTGGCCCCACGATAGCTGTCCACAAAGTTCTTGACTTCAAGTAATATACTACTAAAAGTAGCATTAACTGTAGTAATCAATTAATTAACAGATAGAATGTGTACTTGACTGGATCCTACTACTCCAGACCAGACCTACTTCCCCTCATACCCCACAGACGACTCCTCGTGCCGCCCGTCCCTTGTAATTGGACAGTTCCCATGTATCTAAAAAGTCGACCGAATTGCATACGCACAACTGCCACCTCGACCCCGCTAGCTGTATAACACTGGCTCATCACATTGATTGAATTATCATAGCACATGCTACTGTAGAATCGAGTCATTGACAATGTCATAGGAGACATTGAATTCTGACAGGCCTAAGACTGATTGTGCCTGCATTAGCAATAGTCATCGTTCATGCAGTTACGCTTAGTAAAACTGCCATATCTACACCCAGCTTTTCAAGTCTGATTTTACGAAAAATCATAGCTAGAGACCTGCAGCCTTGCGCCTTGAAGTAATTGGCCTTGCCAAGCCGTCAGCATGTTTCCCCGATGCGCCACACTGCCATGCAGCGCTATACTTCCCCGCCATATTGTACTGCTAATCAATCTACTATAAGAACTATACTCCTCCAGCGCCATCAACGTCCACATCAATCGCAACCAAGATCAGAAATTAATGAATACCTCATAATCAACACTTACAATATGGTCCATCTCCGTAAAACAGAGGGGGGCGTGCCTCTGTTCTTTCCCTCTTTGTTTCCCACGCCTTTCTTTCCTCTCTACCTCTCTCGTCCTTTATTGGCGTTGATATTGACGTTTACTTTCACGTTCTTTCCACGTCAATCGCATCGTCACATCCATTCTAATCTCTACCTACACGTTTACGTTTAGATTCACGTTCTTCTCGTCATAATCGCATCCTCACATCCACCTCTACCTCTCTGTTCAAAACGTCTACATCTACATTCGTCCCAATAACCCTCACACACATCCTCTTCTCTATAACCAGTACAAAATGGCATACCTAGCACCATGCAAGGTCTGCGTGCGCCGCCTTCACAAGAAGGTGGCCCACCGTCGGCCGGGTAGCGTGCGTAAGCCGAAGGCCCGGTCCTTGGCCACGGCTAGCCAACGAGATGAGAAATGTCCCGAGCAATTGGAAGGTGTAAGTTAAATATTCCTCGTACTTGACCATTCGTCACAACCAGTACCTAAACCTGGATAGGGTGTGTATGAACGTGCGCCCATGCCAGAGGGCTACTCTTTTGTTCCCAAGGGCGATATCTTCATTACTCTGAAGTGTCGAATGAAGACCTGGGAGTCTAAGCAGATCGTGTACAACGTCTACGTGAGTATTGATGCTTGCTCTTATTAAACAGCTACCTCCATCCCGAATGGAATCATTCTAATCCACTGTTCTAGAACGGACTGACCCAGATTCCCGTCGGAATTCGAGTGCCCTCTGGTATCTACGCAGAGGTTCTTGCAAAGTCCAAGGAGACTGAACGACCTCGTGCCTTTGCCGCCAACCCCCGCTATACCAACTCTCAGGATCCAGCACGAACGCTCCTACGCCGTCACTTTCCGATGATGCCAGGGCACATTCTTGATTCCATTGTGGAGTATGCCTTCCAAGAAGGTTCGGGTCGAGTGGGTTGCGATGAAACCCTTTCCGACAGCGAAAAAGCCCAGCTAGCTGTCGAGGCCCATATTCGACACCACCACACGCCTTACGAGGCCATGCTTGAAAGCGGGTTGGATCGGGAACTGGCACACAGGAGAGTACGGGAGACCGTACAGAGAATCCGAAAGGCTTGGGAGGGAACCGACTGAAAAGAAGATGAGTCTTTGTGCCATTACGGCTGGGATGATCCGAGTTGTGTGAGAAATTGTCAATTGCATAGCAATGGAATTCTTGTTCGGATACGGGATCGGGTATGTTGTGAATAACTTCAATGATGCTGATGGATATTTGGAATACCTGTGAACTCTCAACACGTGTGAGTGATCATGAGATACATCCAATGTCTGCTCAGCCTATCAATGCAGGATACGCTCTTTTTGTTCTCTCGTTTATTCTCTGTTTCTACTCCCCTGTAATTCTATCTGGAGCATAGCCATACTTCTTTCAAGTATTTCCATGAATAGACTATCGTCTCTTCATGTCTCATGACCACTGAAACAAAACTTCTTAGCAAATCATCTCCTCATCCCCCAAACTCGGCGATAAGCACCACCATTAACCCCATTAGGAATGGCGCTCTCAGGGGCGACCACAGTTAAGCATCAATCAGCGCTGGGCAGTGGATCCTGGCCCCCACTCAACGCCCAAGGGTCCCAGTCCGATCGCTTGCCAAAAAGAGCCAGCCAAATGGAGAATCTCGTTGCGCTGACTATCTCCCCCTACCCCAATATTCGGCCCAGCTCGACTCCAAATTTCCCTTCATCATGGCCCCTCCCCGTCCACCATGTTGAGGCGATACGTGCCCGTCCGGGGATGCGCTGGCCGGCGTCGCTACGTCGTGCTTATCGCTCTGCTAGCCTTGTTCTTGCTAGTCAGGAGTCTGCCAGCATTGAAAAGTGACTTGAACAGCCGTGCAGGTATTGCGCTTTCTGAGGACCGGCCGCGATACCTCTATCACTCCGCATTCCGCAGGAATCCAGATCGGGGTTATGAAGAGCAGCTGTCCAATGCTTTACAAGGAATTGAGCGTCAGCAGTTATCGCTGAATAGCCACGAGGATAAGACGCATACGTTATGGCAGATCATGCTGGGGCTGGACCCCAGTGCAGAAATCAGGAGCGAAGATTCGCTAAAGTTTGAGAAGAAGAATTCCGAATGGAAGTACTCGGTGAGATCGCAAGAACCAATTCCTCTGCAGATGGCGCGATTTGCGCAATTCGCGCAGTCTGCGCAATTTGGCACGCTTTCCGCTAACTGATTCTCGCCGGCCAGCTCGTAACCACTGAATGGGCCGAAGAATTCATTACCGTCACTCTTGCCTCCATCCCGGGCCTCTCTAGTCTTTACCATTCCTACCCACACCACGTTCTGCGGGCCGACTTACTGCGCTATCTGATCCTGTGGTACTTTGGTGGCTACTACGCAGATACGGACGTTTTCCCTGCAAGATCAATCAAGCAATGCCCATCACTACGAAACTCAGTCTTCCAGATTGACAACCCCGACATTTCCCTCGTCGTGGGCATCGAAATCGACGAGCCATTCGCTTCACCCAAGAAAATGCGCGATTGGCACTGGGTCCGCAGCTACGGTTTCATCCAGTATACCATGTACGCACCCCGTCGATTCAGTCCACTGCTGCGAGAAGTGATCGTGCGAGTCCTATCACACACGAAACGCCACATCGACGAAAGTAACATCTTTCTCGGCGCGCGGTATAATGAACTTACTACGCTCGAAATCACCGGACCGGGTGTCTTCACCGATGCCATTCTGGACGTTTTATCCGACACATTACCAGCAAACCACTCGTTGGTTGCAGAGTCACTCGAGGCGGATGCAGGTCTGGGCGACCTTGTCCCGGAATTCTCGACTACGCCTCAAGAACGGGTGACTTGGGCACCGTTCTACCGACTCAAAGAACCGCTGTGCGTCGAGGGGGCCGAGGCTAAGCCGGGTACCCAGCTGGGTGGATTGTGTGTTCTGCCTGTGAATGCTTGGGGTAATGGGCAGAGACATAGCGGGTCGGAAGACTTTGGTAGCTCCCATGCCTGTATCAACCATCGATTTGGGGGGACGTGGAAGCCTTGGAAACAGAGTTGGAAGAAGTATCTGTTTGGATGAGTGGTATGCAGGTGATGTAAATTTCGGGTTTTATGCTTGGTTACGTTTATTCTAGACATGTCCACTACTTTACTGTACATATATGCACCTATATACACTGGGTGATGTCCGCTTGGTGGGACTTTCCTGTCTTCTGCGACACTTCCCAGCTGTCACGGTGTCTCCATCTTAAGTGCTGAACAACACTAAGCGTACCATGCCTTTGACACCATGCGGTGGCTCGATCATGGGCAAAAATAAAAGACCAACTTTCCCTCCAACACCTTCAGTCTCATAATATTACCCTTCTTAACTTGCTTCGAGCAACACTCACCTACACAGTCACAATGTCATCGAGGCAGCGTAAGGCAGCGACAACAGACTTTGACTGGAATGCCCTCGTTTGCAAGCAAAAGATACAACCTATTACCGAAGATTTTGCCGCAGCGACTCGTGAACGTCTACAAGCTATCCATGCGAATTTCCAAAGGTTTGTCTACCCAGTCCCAGCCCATGTCCAGCTTCCTAGTAGATATCAGCTTTATACAACAAATCGACCCACCGGACTTCATATATTGGCTTGAGAAACATCACATTGAAGCTGATCGATGGCTATCTTTGCTGGTTTCTTAATGAAAATGGTTCATAACCGGTTGTAATTCAGAGGAAATGTTCGTTGTTATTTCTGATAAGACACAAGAGGCTATAAACAACGTAAAGTCCACTTTGATTAGAAATCAATTTGTTCTTCGTATAGACAGCGCAAAAATTATTTCCCATGTTGCGAGTTTGTTCCTAACATACTCGTGCCTCGTCTCACAACAATAATTTGGAAAGAATGCGATTGCCATCACTTGGGAATGTCTTTCACGCAACTAGTGCCCTTCCCGTTTTTATAGATATGACAGCAAACTCGTCCATACAGGTATGAGTCGCTCTATAGTCGTCACCATATTGGGATTAACCTTATTTTACCCCCAAAAGACATCAAGCCAGATAATATCATGCAAGAATTAAACGACAACTCCGTCCTCGACAAATTTGTTCAAGCTGAGCTAGACAAACCCTCCCCTCGGAAAGTTGTCGACAGGCAAACAATTTATCTTTCCAGACTATTTGAGCCCCCGAAGAAGTTCGGGAGAGTCTTGCTATGTGATTTCGGGTCTGCTGTTCAAGGAGAAGAACAAAGGAATCATAATGCGCAACCTGAGATCTTCAGATCGCCAGAGGTGATGTTAACGGCCGACTGGAGCTATCCTGCTGATATCTGGAATGTGGGCGTTATGGTGAGTCTGATAAAGCAGAGGTTTAAATACGCACTTTGATGCTAATTCGCCTGGACATTAGGCCTGGTTTCTTTTTGAGGGCGACCTCCTCTTCACCGGACAATACCCTACCTTACATAGGTATATTACCCGTGCGCATCTCGCAGAAATCATTGGATTGGTAGGGCCGCCACCACTCGATCTTGTTCAGCAAGGGACCAGAAGCTCTGAGTTTTTCGATGAAGACGGTAAGGATGTTTTCTTGCACCATTCTTGCTACCAAGATTATTGACACACTCTTCTGTAGGAAACTGGAAGGTGGATGACGTGGAGATAAAACGAAAACGCCTGGAAGATTTAGAGCAGTATCTCGAAGGAGAAAACAAAAAGGACTTTCTAGCGTTCATGCGGGGCACTCTTCAATGGCGACCAGAAGACCAGAAGAACGCTGCAGAACTTCTCAAAGATCCATGGCTGAACAGCTGGATCTGATGAGAGAGATTAATCGCTGAGGTTCTGATGTTGCGCGTCTGAGATTGGGACTGTACGGCGGCCGGTAGGATACCAAATCATGCAGAAAATGACCTAATCAAAATACCTTACCCATATATGCAGACAAAAGGACATTTGAGTAATCTCTAGGCTGTCTTCATCAAGACGGGGCATGCTGCTTAGGCAGTCTAATTTCGCCAAGTTGATATATCTGGTACTTCAACGCCGAGTTCATTACGATGGCCCTGCTGGAGTAGGCCTCAAACCCCGTAGTAAGAACTAGCCACTCAAGAACAGTAGAGATGATATTACGACTAATTCAAGCCTAAATAACTATCTTCCTAGTCTCTTCGTATCTGTTTAATAAAACTCCAGGTAGATAGAGCATTGAGCGGTCCCCTTCTATAGTCTTCCCAATCTGGTAGTTAGGGCTAACCCCCATCCCGCCTTATCGCGCTAATCCCGAAACGTTATCAAAAGTTCTTGCTCCGCTGAGACTGTTGCGGAGCTTTCACTTGATTCCCCGATCAAGCCTATTCACAATGGAACGGCCAGAGCTTGTAGAGTCTCCGCGGAAGCGGCAAAAGACTGAGGATGTTCCTTCAACCGATGTCACGGTTGATGTGCTTCCAGGCAATGGCAGCGCCGCCGCGACAGACGCGCAGACCATGAAGGAAAACGATGTTGGCATTACGGAGCTCGTGACTGCTGATAGCGAGGGATTCTCGGGTATCCTGAAGAAGAGGTATGAGCTGGAGGCTCGGACTGAATTCATCATCATTGTACTAAACTACTCGCTACAGATACACTGATTTCTTGGTCAATGAGATCACTCCCTCCGGCCAAGTCGTTCACCTCCAAAACACCCGCGCGCCCTTCTCTTCGAACACCGAGGAAGCCACCCCGACTGAATCGCAGCAGCCCACACCACAGGCTACGGAGCAGCCCGCTCAGAAGGAGGAAGCCACTGAGACCCCAGAGGCTGTGACCCCCGCCGAGTTCAAGGTGTCGGAAGAGGACAATGCTTTGCTTGCAGAGTACTTTGGCGCTGAGAATGCGACTGCCATTATCGATCTGCACCAGACAGCAATGAACTCTCCCAGAGCTCGTCCTAGCGAATTGGGCAAGGTTACCGTCGTTGTCTCCGACCGCGACCTCCGCACCAAGATTCACCAGGCCATCCGTCGCATTTTCAACTCGCAGTTGGAGTCAAGCACTGATAGCGAAGGAAACCTTGCCATCACGGCGGCCAGCAACCGCTTCAAGCGCAAGGCTCAAGGACACCGTGGTGGCAACGCTGGTCGTACCGGTGGCCGAATGAACTGGGACGAGCTGGGTGGCCCGTATCTCCATTTCACTATCTACAAGGAGAACAAGGATACGATGGAGGTTATCTCATACATTGCCCGCACAATGAAGATGAACCCGAAGACCTTCCAGTTCGCCGGTACCAAGGATAGACGCGGTGTGACCGCTCAGCGCGCCTGCGTCCTCCGTGTCCAAGCCGAGCGGCTCGCGAACATGAACAAGTCTCTGCGAAATTCCTATCTGGGCGACTTTGAGTACCGCAAGCATGGGCTTGAGCTCGGTGACCTTGGTGGTAACGAGTTCGTCATCACCCTCCGCGACTGTGAATTCCCCGGTGTGGATATGACGGATCCTCAGGCTGCTGCTACCAAGGCCTCCGAGATTGTTGGCACTTCTCTGAAGAACCTCCACGATCGCGGTTACTTCAACTACTACGGTCTTCAGCGATTCGGTACTTTCACCACCCGAACTGATACCATCGGTGTCAAGATGCTGCAGGATGATTTCAAGGGTGCCGCCGAGGCTATTCTTCACTACCCTCCCCACGTCCTCGCCGCTGCGCAGGAAGGCGAATCATCCACCGCACTGATTAGCACCGATGACAAGGCCCGTGCCGAAGCAATCTACATCTTCCAAAGCACGCACAACGTGAACGACGCTCTTGCCAAGCTCCCGCGCAAGTTCTCTGCCGAGGCCAACATCATCCGCCACCTGGGTCGGGTTAAGAACGACTACCTGGGTGCCATCATGTCTATCCCCCGCAATCTGCGACTGATTTATGTTCACGCTTACCAGTCCCTTGTATGGAACTTTGCTGCTAGCGAGCGCTGGCGACTCTACGGCGACAAGGTTGTCGAGGGTGACCTGGTTATTGTCAGCGAGCACCGGGACAAGGAAGAGACCGACCCTGCCGCAGCCAATAGCGGTGTGGATGAAGATGGCGAAGTTGTTGTTCTCCCCGAAGGCGAGAACAGCTCATACGCCGCGGAAGACGCATTCACTCGGGCCCGGGCTTTGACCGCCGAGGAGGCCGCTAGTGGAAAGTACTCCATCTTTGACGTGGTTCTGCCCCAACCCGGCTTTGACGTCCTCTACCCAGCCAATCAGATGACCGAGTTCTATAAAAAGTTCATGGGCAGCGAGCAAGGTGGTGGCCTTGACCCGTTCAACATGCGCCGTAAGAACAAGGATACCAGTCTGAGTGGTGGCTACCGCAAGGTCTTTAGCCGTATGGGATCCAACTTCTCGCATGAGGTCAAGTTGTACTCTGAAGATAACGAGCAGTTTGTCCAAACGGATATGGAAAAGCTCAAGGGTAGCGAGGATCGTGGCAGTGCAGCCACGTCCGAGACTGGCGATAAGTTGGCCGTCGTGTTGAAGTTCCAGTTGGGCTCTAGCCAGTACGCCACCATGGCGCTCCGCGAGCTGAGCAAGGGGTTGGTTCGTGAGTACAAGCCTGATCTTGGTGGTGGTCGATAAGCCAATCATTAGTATGATATGATGGAAATTGGGTGGCCTTCCACTTTCGTTGTACATAGCTTGAGATTTCTAAAAGTGGAACAAAATCACCGAGAATATACCAAGGAAAAAAAGAGATTCATACTACAAACTAGCCTTTTCACATCTTCTTGTGTTAATATTCCAAAAATGATTGAATCACATTTAGCAAGTTGGATATTAAGAACCCACATATCAAACATCCCTCCATCACAGCGCCAATACTCCAGTGCTCAAAACACATAGAAGAAAACAAATATGTATATAGAAAAGAAACACAATCCTCTCCACCAGGAGCCATCCCAAACCCACTCAATCCATCCCTCATCGGAACGACTGACTTTGACCTTCAATCCGCTCACGCTCATGCTCATCATCAAACGACGAAACAGAAGACATATCATCAAAATCACGCTCATGATCCGTCCGCCCATGCTCCCCCGAAATAATCGACACCCCATCATTATCCTCACTCCGACTCTCAAACGGCATCCGCACACTCACCAACCCAGCACTAGACGGCCCATTGCTCACGCGGCGACTAACCGATGAAACCGGGCGACTGAAGTCACGTAGATCATGTTCCGTAGCGCTGAGTCGTTGATCCACGGGCACTGCCATGGCGATTCCGAGTTCTGTGCGTGGATCGTCTTCTGAGCGTGCAGAGGCAGAGCCGGGTGTCGGTTCGTGGTCGTGACTCCGTGTGACATCGATGACTGGTAGTCGGGATAGATTCATAGCTGCGGGTTCTGGAGAGGCAATGGATATCTTGCGTGTGGTATTCATCAGAGCGGCGGTTGAGACGCCTGGTGTGTTGGTGCCGCTCATTTCGTAAGGTTGCCGGGCGTTGCGGCGCTTTCGGCGACGGATGAAGAAGAATAGCAGGGCTAGGATGATGAGACCGACTATTGCGATGGGAAGGGCAATGGCGAGTTTGGTTTTGACCGAGCCGCCTCCACCCGAGTAAGCGCCGGGGGCTGCTGTTTGAAGGGTACTGGCACTCGTCGTACTGACCGTGCCGGAGAGAGTCATCGGTGTCTCTGTCGATGTAGTTGAGAATGTCGATATCGTGATCAGCGGAGTAGCTGTTTCAGACACCGCAGATAAAATGCTAGTCGAGGTTGGCGTCGTGGATATCCCATTGGTGGTAGTCGTAAATGAGCTCTCGAGCAACCCTTCTGGTAATGAAGCGGTATCTGCTGCTCGACTTTGACCTGCTGCCATCTGCGAAGTCTCTGTAGCCACTGGTGTCGGGTTTCCGTCCGTCCCCCATGTCACGGACGGCTCTGAACTAACGATGGATGCACCTTCCTCCCATCTTGGTTCTCGCTTAAGATTATCTGGATTCATGGAATCGTCCATCCTATGTCCAGCGAGAGTGCACTATACCCAAGATTTCTTCAACTGGAGTGTTCACCGTAGTATCGAGAAGTTGAAAGTTGAAGCCTTGGAAAAATCACAAGACGAACCCTTGTAGCAGACTCAAACAAAGGAAACGGGATCACGCAAGGATACAAAGGACGACTGGGGGCTGGAAATGGGAAATGGGCACTTTTTCAATGGGGCGTTGACGAGTACGGGTGGCTTTCATGACCCCGTATTCCTTTTAGATCGTCTCGGTGATTTTAGCTCTCTTGGGAGTTTAGGGTTGATCCTCGAAGATTGTCGAGAAGTAGAAAATGGATATACTACGGCCGCAGAAGAAAAGATGAAAGTCGCTTGGAGAGCGCCCGCGAAAAAGACAGTGCAGTTTCACAGCCTCCCACGACTTCCTGGGTTCCCTTATTTTTCCCCTCCATCCACCAGTCACCAACACTGCGAAGCCGCTCATTTGCGACGGCGGTTCGCGCAGGTGGAGAGAGGGGAGGGGTTCAGCTTGGGGGCTGCACGTTGGCACAGCCCTGATTGGGGCCGACAACTACAAAGAATTCTCGACAATCCAATCAATCATACCTTAGCCGCGATACTTTGTACGTGTGACGATGGGAGTACGCACATTTATTCGGATACTACGGATATCCTTTTACACAAAGAATGTGTGTTTCTTTTCTGGTTACTTTTATGTGAACTTCATGAAGTTTTGTTTTTAGTTATGACAAATTGGGCGCTCCATGTTCTATATTTACCATCCTAGAGTGGTCGTGCCACGCATTCCTTGGGGCGGAACACGATGGATCGGCGCTCTAGTCCCTTTTGCGTTTAGTCTGCTGCTCGTGAGGCTCCCCCCGTTTTGTTAGACTTGCTGATGATGATCCATTCTTATGACTATGTACGATAATATCCGATGATCAAAGTTCAGGTAAGAGGTGATTGGGTATACGCCCGTATAAATTAAGGTTTGCTGTTTCTTGGACATGATTGCGACCTTTTTTATCTACGGGCATAACGTTCGGGTTTAAAAGAAGGGATAAACTAGATGGATATGGTTCGTATTCCTATACTTTGTACTATCAAGGAACACGAGTTACCAACCTATATCTGTCCATAGCTATATCGGAGTTTCTGTTAATCGCACAAACCGTCAGTCTGATTTCTGCTTTCGATCAGGCCGGTTCTTCTTTCTCGTATCATGGTAGACTGCCCTTAGTCTGCTCGGGGAAATAATAGGACCTTTGTCAATCTGCAAACCTCTAACGGCTCTCGGTGACTTGCATGGCTGCTGTCATCTTCGGCTATTATCTGCCTCGAAGATAAGGCCTGTCTCCAGCAAAGATAGCTCGAATAGAATGACCTTAGCACAACTTGGGTACCCAATCGCCAGATAAGCGATACATGATAGGTCACATCGCTCGTGGGCGTTATGATTCAAGACTTTTCGGTCGATGAGGCTTTATCGTGGCGTATGCTATTCATCCGTCTACTCCCAGGTCTGATGAATGTCTCGATCAAAGGCTTTTTGAATTTAACCATACCGACTTGAACCATCTAGGACTCGAGGCACCTTTACACCTCTCACCTTTACTTTGGCCTAGGGTTAGTTGAATGTGCTCTCGCAAAAAGACCCAGTTCGATCCGTAGAACGAACGAATGCTTGTTTTATTTCCACAGTAGGAGTGGATCCCTGTCAAACCGGATGGAACCGCCTTTCCCAATCGGGATCAGCTTCACGTGACTGCGGACTAAGCGGGGTCAGGTACGTAACTATCCGTTGTCCCCGAGTCTCCTTGACAGCTCATCCGCTTCACTGACCATCATGAGTGGTTTCAAGAATGTGATGAAGGATGGCTGGCATCCTAAGAGCAAGGATGGAAAGAAAGAAAGTTGGCGTGGTGACTTCAAGGGGATCAATCAAGTGGTGAGCTCCTATCCGTTCAACTACCTGGCCAGATGCAAGGCTCGGCCGCTAACGGATATGACAGGCAGGATGGATGGGGAAGGGGAAAGATTCGAGTTCCGATGCCTCCGAACATGTATCCCAACCGCTATCATCACTGAAGGACCCTTCCTCTTTCGGTCCACCACCCAAACACATCCATTATCACGGCGCGGCAGCTCTACCGAATGAGACCACCCCGGATCGTCGAGGGCTTGGAGCTCCGTTATCCCAGAACCAAATCGCAGAACAGAATGCACGCCACCAACAAGCAGTACAGGAAGAAGAGGAAGCTGCACAAAAGCCGCCAGCTCCGCCAATTCCTTATCGGGTGAATACGACTGGGCTCTCTACGAACAATCTCCCACCGCCACCCGTACGGCGCCTGGGTACACCGGAATCTGGTTCTCCTGCTTCGGCTTCTGCTCCTGCACCGGCGAGTGCGAAACCTAGACCACAGCCCCCGCCTCGAGTTCCGCCCCGAAATGCCACACCCGTCTCGCATTCTCCCTCCCCGCCGCCCGCGTACAATGCTACGCCGCCCCCCGCATTACATGGATACGTCAACCAAGAAGCGACATCACGCCTTGCCAACGCTGGCGTTTCGGTCCCGGCACTCGGGATCGGCGAGGCGAACGCTTCCTCACCGGCATCATCGGGTGCGCAAGGCGCAAATATCAATGAATTGCAATCTCGATTCTCGCAAATGCGAACCAACTCGGGCTCGGGGTCTGCAGCACCGCAACCCCCAGCGCGGACTCCTATTCCCAGCGGGAATCGAGAGGACGCTCTGCCTCCCCCTCGCACTTTCCGCGAGCGCCATGCAGATAAGATTGATATGGGCAAGGAGAAGTGGGGTGGAGTGACGTCGCGGTTCAATACCTTTGTGGAGGATCGCAAGTTCTCGGCCAACGCAAACAAGAGAATTCCTCGACCACCCGGTCCCAATTCCCCTAGCACTAGCAGCAGCACCACCACGACTACCACCACCACTAATACACGCCCTTCCGCGGTGGCCGAGATTCCAGCTCAATCAACTGGGAACAGCTCCCTGGAAGCCCAAGCCCAACGCAAGAGAGCACCCCCTCCTCCGCCTCCGAAGAGAGCAGATATGCGTGCAGCTCCTGCAAATGCCTCACCCGCCTCATCCGCCTCGCATACACCGCCGCCTGTGCCGCTTAACACCAGACCCCGCTGAGCGGGGGAGGTCCACGTATCTTGTACCCCGATAGTTCCACTTTTCTTCAACAGCGGCAAATTGACAAATTCAAGAGTAAGCGAACCATGCGTGCGATTCCTCTTTGTACTACACAGCTTGATCGAGGTCGATCTCAATTGCATGAATTCTTCTTGAAAGTTCCCTGTAGTCCTGCACCTTTTTTGCTGCGCCAAGGCCTCGGCCGCATGTGAAGGTCTCCGGTTGGCCGGCGATATCATCTGATTGACGTGATTCTCCGAGATGTTGGGAAAGACATGCTTGCGATGTACAGTTGTACAGTGATCGATTGGTCCCAACAATCTTATGATTATCGGTATGATAATTTGCGCATGAACCCTGTTCTTATATCGGGTACAATTTATCGGAACACATGCGATGATTGTGGAGGCCGGAGTTGTTGGCCTGAAAATCTGCCTGAATTCTGTTTCGCCCAAGCCAATTGTGGCTGAGTCAGCGGGACCAGTTTTTACCCAAGGCAGGTAAGGTTATTCTGGAAATTCCACACTCCAAAAAAAAGCGTGGGGTTTGCAGATGTTTGAACAGTTTGCAGCATTTGCACTTTCAACGAAGTCGCGTATGGCGGTCGCGTGTCGACTTTCTTCTAACGAAGTTTGGTCGTACAGAAGGAATGGAACCCATTTTCAAGGATCTCAAAAAGATCAAAAACAGGATGATCAGCCATGAATTAGTCCTTATTCGTCCTACAGCCAGTCGACTCCATGGATCAATAAGATCAATGGAAAAGATATCCCCCAAAAGAATTGCCACTGCGGATCATAGTGACCGTTTGTCCCAATCTTTGGGGCGCTGCGCCATCAACCTCGGCACTTTCTTCCCCCAATTCCCAACAAACGCGGGCTCCACCACTGCCAGTTGAGCGAGTCCCGCCTGCTGATAAGTCCATTTAGACTTGCTGGGTCTACTTTTATCTGCCTGGTGGAGCCCCCTTTGGTCTTTCCGTGTCGAGACTGTTGCTGAAAAAAGAACTGGTCGCTTTTTTTCTCTTCCTGTTTTTTTTCTTCGTTGGTAGCTCTCTCCGCATTCTACTACTCTCTCATCACAGAGACCAGAAGAAACCTGGTTGATCCTCCCTGTGATCTTCTCTGGCTGTGGGATTCCATCATGTTCGACATCAACGTGCCCACCCAGTTCGGCTCCGGCGTCGTTCGCATTGCGCTGCCACCGGCATCGCTGTTTAGCTTTCCTCCCGCCGAACTTCCCGCGACGATCCCCGCGCCGCACGTTGCAGAGGCGACATGGAAGCAGCCCTTCAACATCCCGGATGACCTCTATACCCAATTGTTGGACGTGCGCGTCCCCATCACGATTGCCAGCGTCTACGCGGTCACCGTCGTCGTGATCAACCGTATCAACAAGAGCCGTGGCTACAAGCCCTACGGTTTCAGCCACACGCCTCTCTTCAAGTTGTTTGTCGTGTTGCATAACGTCTTCCTGGCTGTTTACTCTGCATGGACCTTCATTGGTATGTTCCAGGCCTTTGGCAACGCCTGGGCGGACCGCGACCAGCCCAACGGCCTCGTCGGAGTTGTCGACTCCCTCTGCAAGATCAATGGCCCCCGCGGCTACGGAAATGCCGCTACCTATAGCCCCGTCACCAACCAGTGGTCGATCCCCAACCCCGAGTTCAAGTTGACCGCTGGCCTGCCCGATCAGTCCGACGTTGGCCGTCTGTGGAATGGTGGCCTGGCCTACTTCGGCTGGATCTTCTACCTGTCCAAGTTCTACGAGGTCGTCGATACCGCGATCATTCTGGCCAAGGGCAAGAAGAGTTCGACTCTGCAGACCTACCACCATGCCGGTGCCATGATGTGCATGTGGGCCGGTATTCGTTATATGGCAGCTCCTATCTGGATCTTCACCTTGGTGAACTCGGCCATTCACGCGATGATGGTATGTTCTTCCAACGTTGCGCTATATTACTGTGAACTTCCATAGCTAACCTCTTTTCCCTATTAGTATACTTACTACACCATCACCGCTCTGCGCATTCGTGTCCCCAACGCGATCAAGCGTAGTTTGACCACCATGCAGATCACCCAATTCGTCTTCGGCACCAACATGGCCGCCGCCTATCTCTTCGTTCACTACACCATCCCCTACCCCGCTGGAAGCGCCGCTCTGAAGCACCTGTCCAAGGCCGCTCCCGCCGTTGCGACTGCCGTTGCTGAGGCGGGCTCCATCCCCTGGTTGAAGAAGCTGGCTCTGCGTGCTGCCGGTGCCGAGGGCATTGCTGAGAACGTTGGTGGAGCCGTTGCTGCCCCGGCCACTGGCTACACCCAGGAGATGATGACCTGTGTCGACACCTCCGGCCAGGCCTTTGCCATCTTGCTCAACGTTTCCTACCTGTTGCCCCTGACCTGGTTGTTCGCCCGTTTCTTCGTCCGATCGTACCTTAACCGCAAGGACCCCAAGCAGCCCACCCACATGGAGGCTGCTGAGAAGGCTGGTATGGATGCTCTCAAGGGCCTCAGCCGTGAGATCCGTCGGGCCGCCATCGAGGGCGAGAACAGCGAGAACACCGATGAGGAGGTTGTCAAGGCTCACGTGCAGAAGATTACCGCGCAAACTGTGACCCAGGACTCTCCCGTCCGAACACGTTCGTCTGCTGCCAACAAGGCCAAGGCTGCTGCTGCGGCCGCCGCCTCTGCAAACGAGTCCGCCTCGGATGAAGGCTTTTCCACTGTCCCTGCAAAGAAGGGTGCTAAGAAGCAGACCAAGAGCGAGCGCGAGTCTGCCTCAAATGTGCCAGAGACCAAGGGGCAGAACCCGTTTGGCGTTCTGGACAACAATGCTTGAGTTAGATTGAAGGGGATGGGTGACATCGATTTGCGGCATAAAATTTTTGGAGTCTTGGAGTTCAGCGCAATATCCACTTCCTTTATCTGACGCGGACGTGGCATGATATGCTCTGCCCGATTCGCTATATCTTTATCTCCCCATTGGCTACATGCATGTTCCTAGGCCACAGGTACTTTTGAGCTGTGCTTGTCAAGACCTGCCTTAGCGGGGCATCTCGCTTCGGTCCAAAAGACCCAAGCGGGCCAAGTGAGTCCGGGGATATCGAGGACTAATTGCATTGTGATTGCCATTAGCTTCATCCTCTCGGAGATCCGGTAGACCGGTCGTCCTGCTTGGGAATGGCGGGGATTTCGGATATTTACATCACGGACCTCACCGTTGGCTGGTTCTTGGGGGCTTCGCTTGTTTTAGATTAAAGTAAAGACACGACCGGGATGTATATTATATAATCGGAATTCCAAAAGTGCAAATTTTCCCTAGAGATGCCTCGTTAGCTCTGTAGTAATTTCCATCATCTCCACCTCTCGCAGCCAGCTGAATGGAGGAAAAAAGACATCCCGCCATAGTCCGCGCGGGGAAGACCTGAACTCCACCTCATCTTCGCTTCAATCCCTGTTAAATTACCCTTGACGCAGACTAAGACTGATTAGCAACGCATTCTATTTCACCCCACATTTTTCTCCGAGAAGCAAGTTCTTCAAGCACGCATCATGAGTCCAATGCAACATAAATTGGACCCCCCGGTCCGAAGTGGCCGTCGCGAAGCTCGAATCAATCGATCGGCAGCTTGATAACTCGGCAGCAGTCCGAGTCTGATTCAAGATGACGCGGGCAACTCGTCTCTTCTACGGATTGGGAACGATTTTCTCTCTGCTAGGCGCTACGGTTGCCGCGGAGAATTCAACGACTACGGAATGGCCACTGCACGATGATGGTCTGAACGAGGTCGTTCAATGGGATCACTTTAGTTTCCAGGTCAACAGCCAGCGAATTTTCATCTTCTCGGGTGAATTCCACTACTGGCGTATCCCCGTTCCGGGTCTTTGGCGCGATATCCTCGAGAAGATCAAGGCAGCTGGTTTCACGGCTTTCGCCTTTTACTCGAGCTGGGCCTACCATGCGCCCAATAACCAGACGCTCGACTTTACCACCGGGGCGCACGATTTCACCCCTCTCTTCGAGCTGGCCAAGGAACTTGGTCTGTACATTATTGTTCGACCCGGTCCGTACGTCAATGCGGAAGCCAGTGCTGGTGGATTCCCTCTATGGCTGACCACCGGTGCCTACGGCACCCTTCGCAACAATGATACGCGTTATACGAATGCTTGGACGCCGTATTTCACCAAAATGTCCCAGATCACCAGCAAGTACCAGGTCACCGATGGAGAGAATGCGTTGGTCTATCAAATCGAGAATGAGTATGGAGACCAATGGATCGGTGATGCCTCGGACCGCGTGCCTGATGAAAGCTCTATCGCTTATATGGAGCTTCTCGAGGCTAATGCCCGTGCTAATGGTATTACCGTGCCGTTAACTTCCAATGATCCGAATATGAACACGCACTCGTGGGGAAGTGATTGGTCGGACGAGGGTGGTAATGTGGATGTTGCTGGAGTCGACTCGTACCCTTCGGTAAGTCTATTGATATACTTCGACTATGGCCCGTTGTGACTAATGAATATGATCTGGAATAGTGCTGGACTTGCGATCTCAGTCAGTGTACCTCTACAAACGGTGAATACATCGCTTTCTCGGTTATGGATTACTACGATTACTTCCAAGAGTCCCAACCCACCATGCCTGGATTCATGCCCGAGTTCCAAGGTGGTTCGTACAACCCCTGGGGTGGTCCAGAGGGCGGCTGCGCCGAGAACTCGAACCAGGACTTTGCCAACCTCTTCTACCGATGGAACATTGGCCAGCGTGTCACTGCCATGAGTTTGTACATGTTGTTCGGAGGAACTAACTGGGGTGCCATTGCTGCCCCGGTCACTGCCAGCAGTTACGATTACTCGGCACCCATCTCGGAGGATCGATCTATTGGAGACAAGTACTACGAGACCAAGCTGCTGGCTTTGTTCACTCGCTGCGCGAAGGACCTGACCAAGACCAACCTCATCGGTAACGGCACTCAGTATACCGACAACTCCAACGTTCGAGCCTATGAGCTGCGCAACCCCGACACCAACGCCGGTTTCTATGCGACTTTCCACACCAACACCTCCGTCTCCACGAACGAGGCATTCCATGTCAAGGTGAACACCTCTGCTGGTGTCTTCACTGTTCCCAAGCATGGCGGTGTGGTCCGGTTGAACGGACACCAGTCCAAGATCCTGGTTACCGATTTCACCTTTGGCTCGAAGACATTGCTATACTCTACCGCCGAAGTTTTGACCTATGCCGTCTTTGACAAGACCCCCACTCTGGTCCTTTGGGTGCCCACTGGTGAATCAGGCGAGTTCAATGTCAAGGGCGCGAAGAAGGGATCCATCAACAAGTGCCAGGGATGTTCTGGTGTGAAGTTCTACAAGGAAAATGGCGGTCTGACTGCTACCTTCACCCAATCTTCCGGCATGAGCGTGTTGGAGATTGATGACTTCCAGGTTATTCTGCTCGACAGAACTGCGGCGTATAAGTTCTGGGCTCCTGCGCTCACTAATGACCCGCTTGTACCGGAAACAGAGAGTGGTATGTCTCAATATCCCAATTTGAGTTCCAGACTAAATCTAACACTCATTTGCAGTTCTCGTTCAGGGACCTTACCTCGTTCGCGGCGCTACTCTATCGGGTTCAAAGCTTGCTGTGACGGGTGATGTTGTCAACGCCACGACTCTGGAGGTCTTCGCCCCCAAGGCAGTCAAGTCTATTACCTGGAATGGAAAGACCCTTCACACTCAGCGTACCGACTACGGTAGTCTGAAGGGCTCTATTGCGGCAGCCAAGAAGGTTAGACTACCCTCCTTTGGATCTTGGAAGATCAAGGACAGTCTTCCTGAACGTCTGACTACTTATGATGACTCTGGAGCTGCGTGGGTTGGTAAGTGCTATTTAGAACAACTGCAGCTTATAAAATGGCGTCCTAACGATAATTACAGATGCGGACCACCAGTCCACCCAGAACCCGCGCACCCCCACGACCCTGCCAGTCATGTATGCAGACGAATATGGTCAGCATTATCCCCTCTCTATTACTCGAAATACCTAATCCTAACTTACCTACAGGCTTCCACAATGGTGTCCGTCTCTGGCGTGGATACTTCAACGGCTCCGCAACGGGAGCCTACATCAACGTCCAGGGTGGATATGCCTTGTAAGTAGCCCCAAACTTACCCTCCAATATCAACACTAACATAATAATACAGCGGCTGGTCTGCCTGGCTGAACGGCCAATTCCTCGGCTCCTTCCTCGGCGACGCCTCCGTCGAAGCAGGCAACCTAACGCTCTCCTTCACAAACGCAACCGTCAACACCAACAAGCCCAACGTCCTCCTAATCGTCCACGACGACACAGGCCACGACGAAACAACCGGCGCCCTTAACCCCCGCGGTATCCTCGACGCCAGCCTGCAAGGCTCTTCCTCCGGCTTCACCCACTGGCGTCTAGCCGGTACCGCCGGCGGCGAGTCAAACCTCGATCCCGTCCGTGGCGTCTACAACGAAGACGGTCTCTACGGCGAACGTGTCGGCTGGCATCTGCCCGGCTTCGACGACTCAGCCTGGACCAAGACTTCGAGTCTGAGCTTCACCGGTGCGACGGTGAAATTCTTCCGGACTACCGTGTCGCTTGATTTCGCGTCCGACACCGACGTCTCTATTTCATTCGTCTTGTCCACGCCGTCCAGCGCGACTAAGGCCTATCGTGCCCAGATCTTCGTTAACGGGTACCAGTATGGTCGGTATAACCCGTACATTGGCAACCAGGTGATTTATCCCGTTCCGGCGGGTATTCTCAACTACAATGGTGAGAATACGGTTGCTGTTGCGGTTTGGGCGCAGACGGAGGAGGGTGCGACTATTGGGGTCGATTGGCGGGTTAACTACGTTGCTGATAGTTCGTTGGATGTTGTGAGTGTTAGTGATAAGGCGGAGGGATTGAGGACTAAGTGGACTGAGGAGCGGAAGAAGTACGCTTGATGGGGTGGAAAATATGTGTATAGTGGGTTTTGAATGGAGCTGAGAGAATTAATGTCGAATTCAAGTGGCAATTCTCTTTGAGTAGTTTTGAAGAGCAAGGTTCAAGGAAGAAGTATATTCATTACTCGATATATTCCCTGGGAAATCCAATTCCCATACCTAGCTAAGCAATCTAAATAAGTCCGTAATCATTTCAATAGAGCAATATGACCATGATCATTCAAACCCAAACGGCATCTCACATCTAAGCAACGTAAAAAGTCAAACACGCAAGTCTGATAGACACCAAATTGACCACCGCGTTCAAAAATCTAAACCAAGAAACGGAAGCCACGGCTACTGGCATGACCAGGAACAGATCCCTCGACGTGCTCACCACGATCAAGCTTCTTATTCAGACGGACCAGGATGAACCGCAGGGCAGTAGCAGCCAGGATAGCAATGAACGCAGTAGCACAGTTCACAGACATAGCAGGAACTAAAAGCATCATTAGCCTCGCTCAACAGAAGATCCAACATTCTAAGGTAAGACTTACCGAACCGCGGGCCATCGCTGGTAGGATACATATAACTAGCATAGATACTGCTCGCATTGCTGACACAGTTAATAGCAGCGAGGGCGGCAGCACGCTTCGACGCCGGACGAGGCAGGGTATTCGAGATCCAACCCAGAGCCACGACGTATCCGGAGTAGAAGGACGGCACCATGAGCATCATGGAGAGGTATCGAGGGGCGGTACTGGTCGTAGCGGCAGCGATGATGAAGGCTGCCACGGAGACGTATAGCGGAAGTGTGACGTGGAAATAACGCTCGCCCGTGCGATCGGCATGCCAGGCATTGGCGAATGCGCAAATGACGGCGAGACAGTATGGAGGCGCGGTAAGGAGGAGGGTTTCGATGTTGCCGTAGTTAAGGGTTTTGACGACGGTGGGGAAGAAGTTTGTGACGGAGGCGGAGGAGACGATGCACAGGATCATAAGCATCTACATGAGGAGAGTGTTAGCCGGTGGAGTATGTCGAGGCGATCCGGACTACCTACCAGAATGTATGTCTTGATATCGGTAAAGGCAAGCTTTGCACCGTGCAGGAAGGACTGCTGCTCGCTGTCAACCCAGTCGTCCTCGCCGATATCCTCTTCCAGACGCCAAGCAGCGAGTTCCTTCTCCTCTTCGGTAAGCCAGCTAGTGGTACGGGGAAAGTTGGGTAGGACGAAGATGGCGATCACAGCGACGACGATAGTGATAGCGCCTTCGATGATGAACAGCCAGCGCCTGATAAAGTTAGAAGAAGCACTCGATGATACCAGTGATATTAATCTTACCAGGCACGAAGACCAAGCTTGTTATCCATGCCACTGGTGATACCTGCGGCAATGAGACCGGAGAAGGCACCCGAGAGGAGAGAGCCAGAGTACAGGGCGGCAGTACGGAAGCCCAGTTCCTTGCGGGTATACCACGCACTCAGGAAGTAGAGGCAGCCGGGCTTAACAAGAATCAGTCATTGAACTTCTTCGCGAGAGTATACAGGAAACGTACGAAGTAAGCAGCCTCGACAAAACCGAGGAAGAACCGAATCACAACAAGACCGGCAAAGTTGTGAGCAGCTGCAGTGGCCGTCGAGATGATACCCCAAAGGACCATGGCAGTGGGGAGGTAGATAGCAGGCTTTCCGAACTTGTTGAGGAGCAAATTGGAGGGGACTAGTCATTATTAGGGTGGTTCGGTGATGCTGGCTCATGAATGAATACTCACTTTGCATCAAGAGGTAACCAACGAACAAGATACTAACACATGTCTGTCACTAGTTCAGTACAATATTCACGATTGGGGTATTTCAAGTTCAGCATACCAGGTACTGGTTACCAACGAGGCCCAAGTCCTTCTCCAAACCAGCCAATCGAGCCGCAGCCTAGTGAAGCAGTGTTAGTCGTGTCATCTGCAAAACTCGAGGATTACATAGAACTAACAATATTGTTTCTGTCAAGGTAATTGAGGATGTACATGATAATAATCATGGGCAGCAGGCGGATATCAATCTTGCGAACGAGAGCCTTTTCAGCCGCCGCACGCTCTTCGGGCGACAAACCAGCAACATAGGCCGGTGCCTCCTTTCTCGGATTGGGCTTGTTGGCATTGGCAACAACCTCCACATTGTCCACATAGGACTTGTCCATATCGGCGGCCTCAATGTCTTGCGATGGACGAGACATGTTGACGCGTGCTCAAATGTAACGTGAAGAATAGATCAGGAAGTATAAACAAACGAGACGTAGCCAGATATCACGCCAAAGACAGCAAGTGGCCCAGTCACGCAAAGATAAAGAAAATGCCACAGGACGCAAGGGGTAGGAGGACGAAATAAAACGTCTACAGGGGGCAGGACGAGCGACAAGAAATAAGAATCCCTCGCACAACCAAAGCCACAAGTATCGGGCCAGCCGGTGTCTACAGAAAAGAAAGTTTTTCAGCGTCCGAGTTGACCGTAACTTTTTGTGGGAAGCCGGCCAGATGTGGCGTAACGAATCCCGAGAATGAACAATCCCGGTGCAACAGCCAAGCTCATATGGGGAACAGACACGAAGGACCATGTCTATGTGGATAGGAGGGGACGTAGAATGGCCCGACCCCCCAACCAGAGCCGGTCATACGGCACGGTTCAACCCCACGGGGGCGTGCCGAGAAGATAAACTCCGTGCTGCATGGTCAGCTTGACGAGAGAGAGAAACGGCATGAGAAGGCGACTATAGCCAATGGCGGACCCTGGACCCTTACGGGGCCCACAAAGCGTGGGGGAAAGGAGGGGGGTCCGGGGAAGGAATGGAGAAGCGAAAACATGGGGGTGTTGCTCCAGAGTTGTTGTGGAACGAGCTACAACAGGGTCTCCCGCCATCAACTCAATCCCGTTAGTCCTGTTGGTCCCTAGGTTTTGCCAAGGGGTCTTGCTCCTCGGTTGTTGAGATGGCCAGGGCGTGGGGGTTGCACAAGAATTGCCTCTCAGGGTCTCCGAACGTTCCCGTCCCATTTAGGAGAGACCAAATATGATTGGATTCTTTTCATGTCATAGAATGCACTTGCTGTCTCGCACTAAACCCCGTGGGGATTGTCGATAGAGTGGAGGGTTGCAATGGACGGGGGTAGCCAAGGCAGTCAGCGGGGACGTTCTTGGCTCGGGGGCAACCCCTGCTAGTCGACATCATTCTCAACGTTGTCGCACGGTTTGTATTATTGGCTCGTTCAATTTTCATCTGTATGGCCACGGTCGTTGACACGGTGAGGTGTAGACCCGGTGTGTGGAAGAGGTAAAGGCAGCCTGTGGGGGAAGTTTGCGAGAATCTAGTCCTCAGAACCTTATCTCGTGCTGTTCTGCAAGACCGACTTACCATAACCCTTGCCCACTACGGTGAGGCATAAATATTCCCAGAAAACCCATCATGAGAAGTGCCCCATTTTATTTCCAACTTATGAAAATCATGGAGCAAAAAGATATATCGAGCACAAGCCTATATTTCACAACGTTACCTCCACGTAGCCCAAAATACACAAGCACTACAGCGCCGATGAGAATAAGCCATGCAGCCAAGCGATAACCTGGAGATTCTCTCGGCAGACTTGTCATTCTTTGACCAGTGATCCATACGAGGCTGACAAGAACCCTACTGAACATAAGCTCCTGCGGCAGCCACATCATCGCCCGCAGTGATACACCTTATACTTCCGAAATCCGAGCCAATGCCAGTCATTCCTTGCACGGTCCGTCTAGAATTGACTTTGCCTATCGGGCATATCAAACCTATCAGATGGTAGATGCAAGGACTCGAGCCAGCTGTCCGGAGAACTCTTGCATACCTGGCATTCACTGCTTAATCCTAGTCCTACGTAACTACAAAGTTGTTGTTCAAGCACGGTGCAGGACCATTGAAACGACTTCACATTAACGCCTATCCCAAACTTAAAACAGAAGATAATTTTGCAGAATGCTTCTTCGCCAGGCACAACTACTCAATATCTCTGCAAGTGGCAAGGTCTCAAGATACAACGAAATAAAAAAAAAAGATACACAGCAAAGTTAATCACAAAAGCAAAAGGAAATAATAGGCGAAAATGCAGACGCTCGGATTGCGTTCAGACGAGCTGATGAGATGATAATAGTAGAGTTAACTTGGAAAAAAAAAGAGGAGGTCCCGACATGACCATGGCAGAATGATGTGCTAGAAAATCAAAATGAAAGACATGGGGAAGAGCCACAGAAGAAAAAGAAAAAGAAAACCAAGCCCAGTTTGCCGACGCTCCCAATACTCAATGACAATGACAATGTTTCGGTTCAAATGCATGCGGAAAAGACAGATAGAAATAGTGCAAAGTGGAGTGCCGTGGAAAGGAGAAAAAAGAGGTTGACGAGAGACTAGACCGCCGCGCCTGGCATGTAGTAAATGGCATGGAAGGCAACGTTCATTAGATTGACGGATCAACGCCCAGGGCAGAGAAAACGCAACAGGGAAATGCGCAAGCGTCGGCGGCGACATGACGAAGAGTGAAGTTTTGAGACAAGCCATACCATGTTGATCGGCGTACTGAGACCAGTTGTGAAGAGCCACATCAAGAGTAACAACTGGGAAGAGCGTGGGCAGAGTGGTTGGGTTGCCGAGATACGGGGAGAGAGAGCGAGAGCGTGGAAGATAAAAGGGGCAAAAAGATCATCAAACACCCCCCGATCGCCAAAGTAAATGCAGATCTATGGACTTGGATGTAGACTCGAGGTAAGAAACCACGCAAAAAACAATCCCGACCAGTGAAATCAAATGAAGTGCGTGTAGATCTTGGAGTTCTCATGAACTTCCATCTCCTAGAGGCTAAGTTAGTATACACAAATCAAATCGAGTAGAGGGAGTTCATGACGATGCTTACCATTTTGAAGTTGTTGATCTCCTCTCGGATCTGTTGAGCGAGCAGCGGCGTCAAACGGTTGCAAGTAGCAATGTCTCCGCGACGATCATACTCGCCACTAGGCCAGGTGTCGTGGAATTGAATGCGAGGACTGAACATGATGTTGCGTGAACCCGGTTGTGGGGTGATGGGAGCGCTCTTAGCGTCACCACCCGAAAACCTTCCACCTTCCGACATGAAGTAGTCTTCACCGGCAATCTTGACATGGTCGGTCGGACGAGCAGCCCGGGCTCCCTCATCGGGGGTCGTTGGCGCACTGGAATGTGGCGAGTCACTGCCATTCTGTGCACGAGCCTGGGATGACACACCGAGGTCCGAGTTGGTCTTCTTCAGGATACCCCTGGTCTGGCGAATGTTCGCCAAGACCTCTGCACGTTCACGCTCACCTCCAAGGATGCTCTTGCGCGTGTCACCGGTGTTATCCGAGACACTGCGTTGTTGCGGGCGATCACGGATAGAAGCAGATCGACGAGGCTCCGAGCCACCTTCAGCCTTGGGGAACACTGTGCCACCACGGGGCACGTCTTGCAGATCGGGATTCACTGTTACGCTCTCCAGGTCCGCTCGTTCGCCCTCAACATTGACCACTGAGATTTTAGGAGCAGCCATAGGCTGTTCCGGCGATCCAACTCCGCCTTCAATTGAGTTGATGCTAGCAATTGACTTAGGACGAAACAGGCCGACGAGGGATCGGCCACCTCGCTTCATACCCTTACCCATCTTCCGGAGCATCATTGACGCCGAGGAAGCGGTCGATGAGACGGACAAAGCATCGGTGGAGCCACGGAAGAAGTTGCCCTGATGAGAGTATATACTCTCACCCAAACCACTGGCTTCTTGTTGTTCAGCAATGGCGGCTTGTTCTTCTCCCAACTCCTCACGAAGAGCTTCCCGGCGAGCCTGCTCGGCGGCCGCGGCCTCTCGCTTGTTCGCAGCATTCTGTGCGGAGGATGCCTTCAACAGCTCCGAAGCACTGCCGAAGGAGAAGGCGCGTCGCAGACGTGATTTCCCCGGGCGCTTTGGGTCATTCTTCAGCTCGGCTAGGCGTTTGGCGGCCGGCGACTCAGTTGGTGGTGACGAAGCCGTGGTAGTCTGAGCGGTTGTCGGTTCAGTCTTTGGAGACTCGGGTGAAGTGGACGGTTGTGAGAGAGGCGAGGGTTTACTCGGGCGCTTCTCCTCCGGCCTGCCAGTCTTACTGGTGATGGAACCTGCATCGTGAGACGGCCCTTCTCGTATCTATTAAAGTAATTTGTCAGTTTAATCGCTCTTAAGACAATACGTCAAATCCCAAAGGCAGCCTTACCGAAGAGGTTGACGAGTGTGCTGAGTGGACACTCCCCGAGCTATCCCGGTGCGAGTGAGCCGAGCGGGGCCTTTGATTCGTGTCGAATGCGATAAAGTCGTATGGACCTGACTGAGGAGATGAGGAGATGGGCATTTGAAGATCCAAGCTAGGATACGCAGCTGGGTCCATATTTCCCAAACTCCGGCGACGGTATCGCTTGGCGAGTTCCGGCTGTGACCTCTCCAGGTGAGACGAGTCGTCCACGCTGGAAACACGATTGTGGCCATTTGACCGGAGAACGGGTGGCGGGCTGACAGTCGTCTTCTCGTCAATGGCGGGAGGGGTCGACACGGGGACTGGTGATTGAGACCGAGCACTCTCTGTCCGTTGTTGATTCGCACGACGATAACGGTTGGGAGATGGCTTTGCGGAGCCAGCGGGGGAGGAGATATTCATGACGTTGGGAGGAGGGAGGTTGGCAGTCGATAGAGGGCGGAGCGGTTGCTCAGTTCTCAATTTCCGGGAAGGAAGAGCACTGTCGTCCTTGGAAATATGGGAACGGAAAGAAGAGTTTGATGAAGAGGAAGTCGATACAGAACCAGCTGCAGAATTGTTGACGCGTGAGTTGCCCGTGTACGATGGATTCAAGGAACCCTGGTGAATCGCAGGAGCGGAAAAGGTACGATGCTCCGGTCGAAGATGGGGTGACCACGACTGGCGATGCTGGGTTGTGGGGGAGGAGGCCGAAGGAGCCAGATTGGGGGCGTAGGCATAGGGAGCCACAACCTGGTGGCCTGCGCGATAACTCCCGGAATTGCCGGTATTGAATGAGCTCCAGGACATGTTCTGGTAGTGAGAGCCTGAATTCTGGGCCGACGAGGAGACGAAGGTGCCCGAGGAGGAGGAAGGACGCGTCTGGAGCACCGGTACCGTGCTACTGTGTTGGGGAATCGTTTGAACCAGCGCAGCCATAATTGTTGCTTTCCGTCAAAGTTGACTAGGGAGATTTCACGAGTGTCCGGGTCGGGTCAGATATCGACAAGGCAACTCGCGGTGAAATTGAACGGCACAAGACGGTCGTGGTCAGGACAGATGAGGTCGAGGAACAAGACGGAGTACTGATAGGGGAACCGAAAGGAGAAGTGTTAGTGTGGATCCCTAATTATGATAATCGTCGAGATATATGGGTCGCCGGGGTATGGAGGGAGAGAAGGATCGGTGGGAAAAGGGGGGAGCAGAATGGATTGTCGTCAATTTTTTTTGGGTTCTTGGTGGACAAGTTTTGTAGGGAGGGATCGAATGGCAACGCGTCAGCCAGGGGCAAGAGGAACCATACCTGTTCTAAAAGTCGTGAACATAAAAAAAAGTATAGTTGTACAGCGATTAAAAGAAAGAGACCAAGGACGCTTGATGCCGATAAGAGAAAAATGCAGAAGAACTCGAAGCCAGGCGAGTGATAGAAACGAAAGGTGGTCGGATGGGGAACCCCGGAGATGACAAGTCGTGTCGGGAGGACGGGGAAGGTAGGGGGTAGGATGTTGTTAGAGGCATGTACAAGAAGCGAAAGAAGAAGAAGAAAAAAGAAAAGAACCCCGAAGAATAACAAGACCAGATCCAAAGAAGGGCACAGTCGAGAAGTGCCGCTCGTAGGACTGGGGGGGAGGGGGGGATGTTGAATGAATGGGGGGGGGAGGAGGAGAGTGGGAAAGGGAAGAAAAAGAGGGAAAGGGAGAAGGGAGGGGGCGGAGTGGAAAGTTTGGCGGTTGATTCTCCCGGCAGTATAAAATAATCACCAGTAATCCAAGCAAGACATACGTCAATATTGATGAAAAAGGAAGAAAAAAAATAGTTTTCTTCTAATTCCCCAGATTGTCCAAAAACTTTTTAAAAAGGGGGGATTGTTTGATCCAAAGAACGTAAGAGGAAAAGGAAAGGCTACTAGGAAAAGTATAATAATACCCATGCAGCTGGACTATGGAGCACAACGGATTCAGTTTGTCGACAGTGGAGGTTGGCAGCCTTCAAGGACTTGAGAAATTCAGAGGCTAGGGAGACCAGTGATTATAATTCCATATGATTGACTGTCCACCAGTGAGTGTGTCCTCTGCACGGAGTACCTCGTTGTGCTAATTATGGGAGTGGGTACGGATTACTATGGAATAGAATACAGTTAGGTGCATACATAACTCCGGAGAGAATTACAATTTGATCATGTTCTTGTTCCTGAAGTATACTCATTATCTGCTTCTATCGGTAATACTAGACTCTTTTATATTGATATTCTTAGTATTCCCACCATGATTATCGGGGTCTGATCAATTGCGGAGGATTTCCCACTCTACGACCAAGGACGGAGCAGCGACGCCTCCGTGCTGGAGACTGCTGGAGGGCCGCACCCGATCGCCAATCAGCATTGCGGAGCCCGTTAGCTCACTTCTCGGGCTGATTTTAGGGGGCAGATTGGTCTAAGCTTGGGGGGAAATACTGGGAACTATCCAAGTGCCACACCGGATAGGGCGGGATAAACACCTCGAGAGAGGGGGGAGGACGGAGTTGGTACTTTGGAAAGTACAGAGTAAAGTACGTACAGTCTATGATCATCTGGCAAGAATATCCGGGCCATAATGTCGTGCTGGAAGTATGCACGCCGCGGCTGTACCTGACGCTGGGGCTCGAATTGGGAGCAGAGGCCCCCTATTTATGTCTTTTTGTCTTCTTGCCTTGGCCCGTCTCTCGCATGACTCGAGAGTTTTTTCTTTATTTTGTACCCCATAAAATCTGATAAATCTCGTGATTATTGTACTTTGTAATAATTACTGTTACCCAGCCAGAAGAAAAAAAAACTCTCTAGGGACCCAAGCGTCCCGCGATTGGCGACGGGGACACTAAGACAGCTGGGTGCAACGCTATCCCTCGACGGCGTTTTTTTCTCCACGTCCACAGCGAATCCACAAGCGTTCGCCGAAACAGATGGCGGCTCCGTGCACCGCACGTGCTTGGGGTTGACATTCTTTGTATTTGTTGTACGGAGTACAGTATGTCTGACAGATGATAAGTTGATCAATTTGTACGGAGTACTTGATAATTAATGCCAAGCTATGATCGTGTGGTCTGTGGGAAAGATCGTTTATACTCCGTCTTCTATATAATAGAACCAATTCGCCCGTATACTTCCAGATTCGGACTCTTCTCATGATATCCATATATATCGTCCTTTCGCCGGTCGCCATGAACTATCACTATTTCTCCTACCTTGATTTTCAACAAAAAAAAACTCCCATCCTCCCCACACCGAAACGCGCGCTCCGGGAATTTCCAGCGAGCGGGCTGATGGTGGTTCCATGGATCCCCCTGTGGATAGCTCAGCTCCCCAACTCACTCGATCCATTTAAATCCAATTGATCCCACCGTGATCCAAATCCTCTCGTTATCTCCCGTCAACTTTGTCACAGACTGCCACCCAGGTACCCGCCCGGTGAAACTACAGCCGTCAGACTGGACGGTAATGGGAGACGGGAACGCAGTTTCAGCCGGGACTGGAGCCATCGCAGAAACACATATCAATTATCGATCCACCTACCCGAGAAGATAATTACATACAGCGCATAGGCAGCAGACTGGGACAATATCAATGATGCAATCGATCTCTGGAACTTGTGGAATTACGGATCAGGCTGAAAGGTTTGACCAATCGCCCGATTCTGCCGAACCAGATAGCGTGATCATGGTTCGCGACGGTTATCGGGAAGTCAAGGGAAGTTTGGAACCTGGCGGGGACTCGAGATTGAGGGAGTTTAGAAGTGGTGGATAGGTTTGTCCCTTTCATTATTCTCTCCATCATTCCCGTGTCTGGTCATGTCGCGTGAATAATTTAGCATTCGATCCGCTCGTAGATGACTGACTAGTGTACCTCGGTGGACAATCAACGTACTAATCCCAGTAGACAGCGTACTTGATGATCCTATCGTGAAGTCAAAGGGTTATTCAATGACGTATTTTTCACTTAGAAGGAAAATATCTGCTAGCCCAAGGAAAGATTAAAGAAAAAAGCAAAGATCGCGCCAGTCCTGGCGGGGGTGTTCGTACAGACGCCACCACGAAGTGCGACTGGGCATAAGCAAATGGGCTTATCAGGAGAGGAGGGGCCAGGACCCGAGCCTTGCCCTCGTTTGTCGTGGTGGACTGTATTCCGTGGCTCCTTTTCCAATCGGCCAATTCTGTGGGAGGGTCTCCGTACATACTACGAAGTACAGAGACAATATTTGCGATTCGTAGTCCACTAAAATTAGCAAGTATACAAACCACACTATATACTTGGAACAGCCCAACTACGACTTTGTAGCAGCGTATCGCTCAGCCATGGTACAACCAAAGACTACTGTAACAACCTCATTCTCTCTCCTCCGTACTCTATCCATATCAAATATCTCCATCTTCCCGCCCCTCTCAAATTATTTATTCTCCACCCACTGCAAACCACTGAATCTGATTTTGTCGATCCGCATCCCTTAGCGCCCTCTAAAAACTTCTCCCTAACGCCAACCATAAGAAACACACCGTAGACTGACACACTTCCCGCGTGATCGACATGCCCCAAAACCCATCCTTCAAGAACGGGGCAAGCTCTTCGGTAATTATGTATATGGTTGGAAGAGTTTCTCCCAAAGGACAGAAGATTGCAGATTTACATTCGCCACATGCAGTATAGTCTCTGACTTTTTATATATTGGTCTGCCGCGTAACATAATGGCATTGAACGCTCCTCGTACAGCCTCACTGGTTCCTTAACCCACGTTCGCCTTCCCATTCGTTGTCTGCCATCATTATTATTATGCCACCATTCGGTCTCTGCCCGCTGCATTGGTTCTTTAGCTCCTACTTCATCCGGATTGGCACCGATCAGTTTACCCTGCCGAGGAATTTAGCGCGGCTGAGAGACTAAAGAGGGGCGCCTGAACCCGCAAATCATGGAGCATCTTTCGTTGAGATTTACCTTCCATCCCGCCCCGTACTAGTCCGGCATGCTTCAGTGCTTCGTGATGCATATTGACTCGTATATTCACCTTCTGCCCTGCCCATAGGCCCCATACCGAGCCGACCGTGGTTCCAATGCTCCGCGTAGAGGGGCACACTAGACAGGAGGCCACGAGGAATGCGTCAACCTCGTGTGCAACTGTGCATACAGCTCAGGAATGTGTGCTCTCGATGATCCTTCGGATTCGCTCCAGCCGTGCCGCTCCTAATTGCCCCAAAAGGGATCGCGCCAGCTGCCAACATCTGCATGTTGCAGCATCGCCTTGCGGAGAGAAAATCACTCTACAGACGAATACTATTGAGGTGTAGCTAAAGCTCACTATTAGGGCGTACTTCTAATAGTTGCAGCAATGCGAGTCAGCTCCTCCGTTTCTTCCACGGAAAACCTAGATTAACCAGTGAGACCGTACTGTTAACCCCTGCAAGAATCAATCTTACATTATCAACCTCACGGCGATGATTTCCGCCCCGAAGGAATCAAATCCTAGTCATTGATCTTTCCCCCCATACTCCGTCCTGACCAACTCACTTAATCCTTGTCTCTTCAATTTCCCCCATACAATCAATCCTGCCCCGAACTTTCAACTTACAGGGGCACATCTCCACTCTTTGACTAACAAACTTTACGCGAAGAAGCGACGTCTGGGGAAGCACAAATGTGGAGGTCCTGCGTGATGATCCCAACGCCTTTGAGCGCCTCTTCCTCTTCTTTTTCTTCCGGTCGCGGACCCGTAACCGTGCGCGCCGGCGACGTTTGGTCATATCAACGGGTTCATCGAATAATATGGAGAGCGGATATATTTTCACAATTGTAATCCACTATCAGCGACCACACGGTACTTTTTGCAATCAAAGCGGAGGCCAAATTTCCTTCGAATTGAGAGAGAGGACAGATTACAGTACTGTAGTATTCAAATCAAATCCCGAGGTCTACTGTAATGCTCGCATTCGTACCTCCGAGGCCTCGACAAATCACCGAGATCACTTCCTTATTATGTACAATAAGAAGGTACCGTGCAATCTTAAATCATACCATGCAGATGAGCGTCGTTTGAGGTTGATGAAAATCAATCGAGTCGTTCGCAGGCGAAAAACCCTTGCATGGTTTAATCTTACTCAGACCTTATTACTGGTCATGCGGAATCTATATCCTGGGCTTATTTAATTCATTTCAAACAGGCGAACCCGATCACCATACAACCACCCGACATTGACAATAATCTCGTTCTGGTCTTCTCAATTCTTCTTCTCCTTATCTGAGAATTCATTGAGCATTGGCCGATAATCATACGGCCGTTGGCCGCGCAAGACCCACCATCCACGCTTGAACGCAAGAGACCCCACAAGCTATCGTCATGGCCAGCAAGAACTTTGCCCACAATTGGAAATGACCGCGGGGCTCGTGAGCAAAAGGAGAAATGAAGTGATTTGAGTGACATGATAATGCATGATTTCTCCGCTTCTCGTGTGCAAAGTATAAACCGTGGTATGCAAGTGGCAGCTCTCAGTGGAGGGCGAACCTATGGATCGACACCGTCATACGCTTGGCTTAAATTGCCAGACACGTATGCTTCTTGGTTGGCAAGACAAACTCTTCTTAGATGTGGATTTTGTAGCATATCGAGGAATATTCATCGTTGCACGACAGGGACTGATGAACGCTCCGAGTCTAGTGTACGGTCAGCTGACAGAACATCCAATGTACAGAGACATAACTCATCATTGTAAGCAAACATAAACTGGAGATGAAGGTTCAACTTACCTAAGATCACATTAAAGCCATATTAAGCTAGCAATTCTCAGTCACTATCTCAGAACCATTATAGAGTGCGAGCACACGATTTCCCAGACCCATCAATCTCAGCCTAACAGAGATAGATCAGAACCGAGTATCAATCTTGAACACTGTGCCCATATGCTACACAGATTTCGATAATATTATCTGCCTCCCCCTAAGGCACCAGAAGTCCCACGACTATCAACGAACAATGCCCTAGTACAGAAGAACCGTGGCCTCGATGCGGGCTGACCGGATCTGGCCTTATTGCTAATTCCTCTGATAGATCCCATGATCCGGGGAGATGTGCACCGCATCTTCGATTCCTGTGAGTAGATTGCGATCTAGGCCATGGGGCTGCAGGGCTGAAAATCGGGGTTGTGAGCCAACAAGATGACTTCTTTCTCGAATGACACACGGGGGAGAACAGGATACAGCAATGATTTCCAGAAAAAGGTTCAAACTCTCAGCTAGAGCTCAATAAGATTAGTCCTGTTAGAGGTGTTTTGTATGATGCCGCTGAATTCGCTGCTCATTTTAATTTTGTGATTGTCTTGTTTTTCTGTCGGGTCATGAAATCTATCGATATTTCGTTCAAGACATAATAGAGCTACAGAACAGACATGTAAAGATAAGGGATTTAGTTTAGAATCCCAGCTCATCCTCTCCATCAAAATCCCCAGAGCTACCCATATCCTCATCATCCTCGAGACCCTCAAAGATCATGAACTTTTCATTTTTGGCATCGGTCTCTTCCTCGACGAGATATCCATCGCCGACTTCGCTGTCTTTGAGGACAGAGTCTTTGCCAATAACGGCTCTGCGGCCGACGATACAGCCGGTAAGTGTGCAAGAGCTGTTGACCACGGCGCCGTCCATGATCAAACACCTCTGCAAACGCGCACCCGAGCAGATCTTCACGTTCGCACCGATCACACTCTCCTTGATCACACACTTTGACTCGACGGTGGTGTTTTGACCGACCAGGCAGTCAGACTTGGTGATGGTAGTGCGCTGGGCAATCCCCTCGGGGTGTGCAATCTTTTGAGGGAGGGCAAAGGGTGAAGCGGCCGCGCCGGCTTCTTCGATCGACTCGAGCTTGGCCAGACGAAGAGCCGTAGAAAGCAGAATTGCACTGCTATCAACACGGCGAACGAACGGTGCAGATCCGCGCTGCACGTAAGCCAAGAGAGGGGGGATCTTCAGCTCTGGCTTTTCGGCGTCACTCGAGACGTTGGAAACTCGGGACGCGAAGGAGGAGGTTGGGGTGGGTCGGGTTGCGCTGATGTTTGGCCTTGAGCTGGTGGTGGACATGGCGAGAAGATCGATCTCCTCTTCTATTGATTCACCATCGTAGCTGCCACTCTCTGCGTGAGCACCATTTTCCCGATGGAAGATCTCATCCATCCCCAACTTCTCGCCAAGTCCCCGCTGCCACTCAGCCTTGGCCCAGAAGCCAACCAAGTCTTCGCTGACGGACTGGAACGTTTCTTGACGAAGGGCCAATTCTTTGACCCAGTAAGGGAAGATATAAAGGTGAGCATCCCGGAAAGTGCTGAGCATCTTAACACGAGGGTGCTTCTCCGTGAGCGAATGCCGAAGAAGCAGGCCTTTGTCCTGTTCCATCTTCTCCTTGACGGTTGCCATGGGCATCGACAGTACAACCTTGGACAAGTTGTGTCTCAGAGCTGCAGGGCCGTCGACGGCATGCGACACCGCCGGTGCCTCGTCATTGTCGAGAGGTGCGATGGCCACAAAATCGGTGCCTTCGCCCTTGACCGATTCTTCACGGTTTTGCGTTTGGTAGAATACAGTCAGACCACCGCGCCGACCTCCCTTCTCGCCACCAGACCCGGAAGAAGTTGGTCCGTGAGCATTTCGTCCCTCAGAGACGGTAGAGGAGCCTCCTAGCGCACTTTGGGAGACCATCCAAGCTTCGAGAAGCGACTCGCCGGGAATTTCGCACACCAAGTCGCAGGGAAGCAAAAGGAAGTCGGTTTTGATGCAGGCTTGCACCTCAGGCAAACGGAGGAGCTCTGCGGTTCCCATGTTTAGATCGAGATCTTTCGGCGCAAGGACAGACGGCGATGGAGACGGTAGAGAGGTAAGATGAGGGTTTTGTTGTAGTGCGGCCTGAAGAGGAGCGGCGGTCGAGGGAGGTGTAATCAATGTGATATCTGCAGCTCATCCATTAGCTTTTGATCTCGCAGGAAGACCTACAATCAAGATTCTTACCGGTAATGCCGGATTTTTTCAGCCATGATAGCTGGTAATAGATCAGCGGCCGATTGGCCAAGGGAATCAATGCTTTCGGGTATTCCTCGTTGGTGGTGAAGGTGTTAAGGGAGACTCCAGGGCCGCACAGAATCAAGGCTTGGATGCCAACCCCAGGAACAACTGCCGAAGGGGACGGCATATTGCTGGCGTTTTGATCGAGACGAGGCTAATGAGTTGATCGTGTGTAGGTTTGGGTTGAATGAGAGAGCCCCGCGGGAGAAGTGGGATGAAAGATTGCCGGGTTGATGGTGGGGTGGACAGGGGTTGTGTTCGAGCTAAAAGCTTCAAAAGAGCTTTGGCAGATTCGCAAAGAGCGTGACTCGTGTACAAGGCTCCAGAATTGGCCGTGACCCCCTCCAGGCAATGACTCTTGCCTTTGAAGCATTAAGCGGGACACCATTTTTTGATACTATCACGTGATGATAGCGATGAGTCAGCTCCTGACCCGCCTCCAGATTTAATTGCGACCAAACAGTGCAAACAGTGGACAGCCGTAAACACCGCGGTTACCATGGGGGCTCTCCAGCCACATGTTTCCGTCCGAGGTCGAGATCCCCATCTCTCCCTTCTGCATCTCCTGCATCTCCTGCGCCTTCTCCACGTCTATTCCGTTGTCGAGGAAGAGTGAAATGTGATTGGCAAGTCATTGCGACTGCGATTGAATATCTCTAGATGCGCTATTATTAAATCAACATCCCCGCGATCGCAATGTCTTTTCCCCAGGATTCTCGTCGTCGTCGCGGTGGAGCCGGCACCGGTTTCAGCTCGACAGGCAGACGAACAGCCATGGGCTACTGGATTCCCTTGGCTCTCACTGTGGGAGTTGCGACACTGAGCATTGCGGCCTGGATATGGAGTGAACGTGACGAGGACGACGAAGGTGACCGCCCCCACGATGGGCAAGATGGTCATTACCCCCCTCCACCTCCCGGTACCGTCGGCAGCGACTATCCTCCTCCTTCATACGATACTGGGGACTATGCGAGAGGGCCAGGGACGGGTTCAGCACCCGGCGATAACCCTTATGATCCTAGCTTCATGGGTCGTATGCAGGGTGCTTTGCGCCGAACCCCGAGTCCCCAACAGCTCTTCGACGGAGCCAGCCGGAGAGTCATGGCTGGCGTAACTGCGGCTGGTGCCTATGTTGGTGGTGCACTCACTTCGATTCGGGAAGAAAACCGTGGTGACTTTGAAGATCACACGAGATGGTCTGAGGAGGCACAATCCCGGGCTACCCAGAGAGATCAACAAACCGCTGCTGCGCCGACTATGAGCGGCGCGCTACCGAGCCGTGCGCCACCTACTGGCCAGAACACGTTTGAAAAGAAGAAGAAGACCGTTGCTATTGTTGTGTCGTCTCTTACCCCATTGGATTCTGACGAATTCGCCTCGGAACACGCGGTAAGCCTCTCTACATATTTAATATCTTGACCTGATTGTACAATACTGACAATCGCAGTCTATTCTGTCTCATCTCCCCGAACATGTTGATCTCGATACTTCTCGAATCTTTGTTTTGATTTATGCCCCGGATCTCAAGCATGCGATTGGACAAGGTAGTGCGTCTCACCAGACCACCTCCATTGCGTCCTCCTATTCCAACATTGCAACCGAGGAGGCAAATTCTTCAGCTGAATTGATTGGGGATCCGACCAACGTGGAGCCCCGTCAAGATGACGATATTGATGGCACAAGCCCGCTCTTCAAGACTTTGTACACTCAGTCCCAGGCAATTGTTGAAAAGGAGACCATGATCATGCCATTCAACACAGCCGGCGGCTACGTCCACCTTGTTCGCCATCTGTCACCTGACTTGGTCTATGTCCAAGAATCTCTGACTGGCAATGAGGGTGACGCTGTCCAGCACATCTCCGGTTGGGTTCGCCAGGTCATTGTCGTGGTTGGTGATGAAGGTGGCCGCGGCGGTCTCATTGACAGCGATGACGAATCTGCTCTTGCTGATAAGGGAGAGAAATGGTGGCAAAAGGAGGGCACCATTGGCATCGGTAAGCGCATTGACGTCGTCGACGCTCTCCGTGTAGGAGACGACTGGCGCCGCCGAGTGCGTGGGTTGGACTAAACCAGCCCCTCCGAAATTATCTGCCAAAGCCCCATGATGTTAATGTTGATACTCTTTCACCTGCATGTCTATATTTGTTCTCACCTTCCCCCTGATGATTGTGTGACTTTCGATTCCCCTTTGTCTTCTTGTTGCTTTATTTTTGGTTGTGTACGGTTCGATTATAATCCAGAAACCTCAGGTCTCGGGGCCTAGAAACACTGGGATGCTGCTTAGCCAGTATCTAGATAGCTTCTATATTGCAGTCACCTTGCTCTGAACAAACTCTTCTCTCTGATCTAATTTGATGCGGTCTGACTTGAACAGAGACGAAGTCAATGAGAACTAAAGAGCTCCTTGTTGATGTAGAACATAAGAAATGGCAGAAACACGCTAATCCCAAAGCGAAATGTCATGTGACACCGTCACGTCTCGCCCGCGGCTTGGCATCATCACCTCACTCTGCAAGGCTTCCGCCGCCCAGCGCCTCTCCGGACCCCTTCCCCCAAGCGACATCGATTGATGGACGCCTCCGCTCTCTTTTTCTAGTCATCTCTGGCTACGCAAACCAATTTTCCACTTGGAATTCGCCGTGTTGGTGACCAGGGCCGACCGACCGATCCCCACATGTCTCGCGCCTCGGTCATCCCATTCTTTCTCGGACCCCGGCTTTCAACCAATATCGGCGAATCGGTTTCTGAATAAAGCATACTCTCACATACTGGAAGGTTCAGTGTCGCGCTCTGTGCGCCGATAATCATGGCGACCGCGGTCTCGAAGCCAAGCGCTCATCCTCCGAAGATGAAGCGGCCGCCCCCGCCTTTCCCCCAGACTGGGGTGAACGGAGTCAAGGCTCAGCAACCCTCATCTTCCCCAACCGCCACCTCCCAACGCCCTCTCGGTAACACTTCCGCTGGCTCGAGCCCAAATTTGATCAATGGTGTGACCAATTTGTCAAATAACGCCAAGGGCGCCCTGAACCGAACCAAGACCCAGTCGCAACGGCCCGGCGACGTAGCTTTGCGGCAGAATCGGCCAATGACGAGAACGTCGGGTGCGGGAAATGACAATCGGGGCTCGAAGATGAATATAGAGCCATATGGTGAGACTTGATCCTGCGTAGAATCGGTCAATGCCGTCTCGTCGCATCTCTGCGATTACTGACTTTCGTCTGACCGCCATAGTCAAAACTACGGCCTACATCCTTAAGAAATACGCGAAATGCCCTCCCTCCCTCATTCTGCATCTCCACCCTACACACTTTCGATTCGAGCAGCAAGATGGAAGCTTTCCATATAATTCGGAGATGAAGGTAATCATTGAGCACCTCCGCGCCGGCACGGTTCCACATGAGATCATCGAGGAGTTATTACGCGGGGGCGTGAAGTTTTACGAAGGTATTTATTATCCTTGGCTTATAATGCGCCGGGCTTTTGAGAGAATCCATACCGATAACAAATCCTCGTAAAGGTTGCCTCATCGTGCGCGTGGTTGACCACAAGTCCGTTTCCGCACAAGCGCAAAAGACTTCCGTGTCAACAAGCAATGAGAACAACACACCCTTCTCTCTTCACAACTACAACGAGCACGTCACCCCCTCGGCATTCGTCCCATACCCGAAACAGAACCAACTCACTTCCGATTTACAAAGCTCTAAACCACCGGAGAGCCCAGCTTCTGGACAAAACAAGGCTGAAAGTCAACCCAAAGGCGAGGGTGCCGAAGCCCAGAGTCAAGTCAACGGATCGGATCAGAAATCCGTGTCGCCCAAGCCTCGCGTCTTCACTACTGTCCTTCACCCTACACCTCGTGTGTTACAGGCGGAACTTACCCTCCTTGTGACAACCCCGGATCCCAAAGCTTCCCGTCCGCAACCTTCATCAGCCATCCCTCAATCTCCCGTCACCGCGCAACCTGACCGCGGTCACCCTACAAAGCGACAGAAGACACTCGTAGAGCCGCAAGACCTACACAAGTGTGAATCAATTCTTGTCAACTCCTTGGCTCCCCCTCTCTACCTCGATACCGTGGACAACTTTGAAGACTCACAGGTCCTACTGGAATTCCTGAAGAGTCCGCTACACAGTGACCCTCCACCATCGCCTAAGCGTCGCAAGAGAACTGTTGCCGAGCTTGCTGCAGACGAAGCACTCGCGGCTGAGGAAGAGCGGTTCATGCTCATTATGGATGAGCGTCTCCAGCCTACAGCCTCAGGAGCAGCCGGTAGCTCCAAGACCGCTGCTGTGGACGACACTGCTGGTGTGGCACCCTTCGAGCCTCGCTTCTCCCGTTTCAAGACTTTGGAGACGATACGCATGCAGCACGAGGAAAAGGCGAAGCGTGAACACGAGATGAAGCTGAAACAAGAACTGGCCAAGAGACAGCAGCAGGAACAGGAGAAGGAGAGACGCCGTGCCTTGGAACAGCAGCAGGCAGAGCAGCATGCCAAGGAGGAGGCGCGCAGGCAGCAACTCGCCGCCCAGCAAGCACAGGCACAACTGGCGGCTCAAAATCGTCACGTCATGGCCCAGCCGAATGGGGTCACCCAAGGCCAGCAGTCGTCCCCGATCGTACGCCACCAAACCCCCCACAGCACTTCGTCGCCACTGGTCGGTAACGCCATGGCAACCCAGGCTGTACCAATGAGCATCAGTGCATCCCAGCAATCGGGAAGCCCCCCACGACCTCCGTCCTCTATGCAGCATGCCCATCCTAATATGATGGGCCATCCTATGGCTCCCTCGCGAAGTCAGCAAGGTCCCAGCCGACACGGGACTCCACAGATGACTCAGGCTACACCAGCAATGTCACAAGCTACGCCGATCATGCGCAACGTAACTCCAACTCAGCGTATGAACCACGGCAGTCCTACCCATACCATGGCTCAGACCCCGATGATGAATCAGCCCATGGCACAAACCCCACAAATGAACGGTGCCGGTATGGGTCTCACACCACAACAACAAATGTTGTTACAGCAGAGACAGCAGCTCCTTGCTCAACAAGGGGGTCAAATGGGTGGCACGGCCCAGTTTACCCCACAGCAGCTTGCTCAGTTGCAAGCCAACGCGCATGCTGCTCAGAACATCAAATCTCACCAACAACAGCAAATGTTGCAGGCCCAGCAGGCCCAACAAGCTCAGCAGGCTCAACAGGCCCAGCATCAGCAACAGCAACAGCAGCAGCAGCCAAATATGCAAAATATCCCTCAGCACAGCCAGCAAGCATATCAGGCTCAGCTCATGCGTGCGCAGTTTGCACAGATGCAGATGGTGAAGCAGCAGGGAGGCCAAATCCAGCAAGGTCAACCAAATCAACAACAGCAGCAACAACTTCATCAGGGTAGCCCACAGATGACAGCTCAACAGCAACAGCAACAACAGATGCTGATGGCTGCTGCTCAAGCGAATGGAGGCCAGATGCCAAATGTTCAAGGAGCTAATATTGCCCAACGATACAACCGACTCTTCCAGCAACGTCTCCTCCAGTTGCGGCATGAGATGTCTCAGAGATACATGACCCAATATGGACCCCCAACTCAATATCCACCTCAAATTGCTCAGCAATACGGTGCTGGGTTGGAGAAGAACGCAAAGGTATGGGTGCAAGATTTGATGCGACGCGACCGCGAAGCTGCTCAGCAACAACGAGCGAGTGCCATGCATGCTCAGCAGATGCAGCAGCAGCAGCAGCAGCAGCAACAGCAGCAACAAAACATGATGCATAATGGGATGGGGAATTGATTGATAACCAACACATGCCTATACCCACTCCCTGAAATTGAGGGGCGGATCCATGGATCTACGATATCAGACGTGACATTTGACGAGCACCCCGGATTATTGGGATGGATATATGGCAAAGATTTTCCGGGGTGGAACCAAAAAACCTCGGGGTCCTGCTATCATCCCTTTGGTTTGTTTTTCCCCGGTTTTTTCTGGATTGCATTGTTTTTTCACATTCAAATTGTACAGGGGGCCAAGGCAGCACGGATGTTTCAATGGCCGGCGTTAACGCAAGATCTTCCCACGAATGTTTCCTTTTTTACTTTCTCTTTGCCTTTCTTGATTGTACTATCTTCCGGGGACTTGGTCCTTCTTCTTCTTCTTCTTTTTTTTACTTTTCTGCTTTTGTTTGGCGGGGGTTCCAATGGGTTCAGGACTTGATACCATTCTGCACAGGAGTTCTTTTCTTCCATGAAGGAAGAGGGTTTGGTCGTTTGTCTTCTTCGTTTGGGGGGATATTGGCAGTCGAGGCTGGGAATTGGCCCAAAATGCAATAAGACATCAATGTCACATAGGTTGTCACGTCAATTCAATTTCAAATACCAATTTCTATGATAAACTGTGCACTATTTCATAACTTGAGCATTTATATTGCTGATTATTAAGGTTCTCCATAGAGCTACCTAGTGTATTCACGGCAGATGTTCCCCACGTTCGGCTACGATTGCCTGGGCTTAAGCCGATGGCCCATCGTCGGGGTAAAACCCGCCGAGCGGGATATCCGAGCCGAGTCTTCCACACCCGCACCGAGCTCCGGCCTTGACTTATCTGCTGGCGCGGGGTTTCAACATGCTTCACACACACCTTTTGACACCCTAATATTGTGCTGCAAGATGTCTTCCTGGACAAAGTCGGCGCAATGGATCTGGACGCCCAAGTATCGCGAAGAGGACAATCATACTGGCCGCTACTTTCTCTTCCGTAAGAGCTTCCAATGGACTGCCCCCACAGAAATTGGCGAGTTCCCTGTCCACGTCTCGGCAGACAGTCGCTATCGGCTCTTTGTGAATGGTCAACGTGCGAGCTTTGGTCCCTGCAAGAGCTATGCGGAGAAGTGGCACTATGAAACCGTCGATATCCTCCCGTACTTGAAGGAGGGAGAGAATGTGATTAGTGCTCGCGTCCTACGGTATTCTCCTGTTGAACCTGGCTCGTCGTCTATTATCCGGACAGAACTGCCAGGATTGATGGTGCATGGCGAGATCGAGGTAAATCCCCCAATCTCAAATAATGAATAGTTTTGACCGAACAATGCTAATTGAAATTTGTATCAGGGTCTGTCCGTATCAACCAACGAGTCATGGAGATGTGTGGAGGAAACCAGTCGACAGATCATTCCTTACTCCGAGTGGAACTATATTCTCGGTCCTCCGTTCCTCTCCAACCACGAGAGGACAGCAGAAGCTCAGGAACTCACCGGATGGGAGCTGCCTGGATATGACGATTCGAAGTGGGAGAACGCTATTTTCCCTTTCCGCCCGGCCAAGATGCTTCCAATGACGAGTCCTTGGAAATTGGCTCCGCGTCCCATTCCTGCACTGCCCGAGACGTTTGGACGATTCGATGGAGTGGTCAAATGCGAAGGGTCGATCACTCAGGATCAGTGGAAGGGCTTTGTCAGGGAGGATGGTTCCGTTATTGTCCCAGCCGGTGAGACAGTCACCGTCGACATTGAAGTTAATTCTTTGACAACGGGCTTCATTACCCTTCAGTGCAGTGGTGGAAAGGGCTCAGAGGTGACACTTCATTACGCCGAGTGCTACGAGAAAGATCTCGGAGTGGAAGTCGCTCCATTCCCAAAGCCTCGATCGAAGTCTAATCGAGCCGACTCCAGCGGCCGGTTGTATGGAATCAAGGACATTTACCTCGTGGCTGATGGCCAGCCGGAGCACACATTCGAGCCTTTCTGGTTCAGGACATTCCGATATGTTCAACTCAAAATTACGGCCGCCGAACAACCACTCACTCTTCGGAGCTTTACTCTCCGCGAGACAAACTATCCACTCGAAATCACAACTGAAGTTCAAGCTGGCGCGGAACTGGACAAGATCTGGAACATCAGTCTAAGAACTCTGCAAAATTGTCGTCATGAAACCTACGAGGACTGTCCATTCTACGAGCAGAACCAGTTTGTATCAGACTCACGCCTGCAGATGCTCTTCACTTACCAACTTTCCTCTGATGATCGGCTCGCCCGCAAGACTCTGCAGGAGTACCACGCCAGCCAGGGCCCCGATGGATTGATTAAAGCCCAGTTCCCTGCCGGGTTCCGCAGCACCCAAATTCCTCAATTCTCTCTGTACTTTGTCGCGATGGTGTACGACCATATGCATTATTTCGCCGATACCTCCGTTGCGCGTCAGTACTTGAGCACCATTGATGGCATTCTGAACCATTTCGATGGACGACTTAATGAGCTTGGCCTTGTTGGCCGCTTCGATCATGATACTTGGCCATTCATCGACTGGGTGCCGGAATGGTCTCCACCTGGACCTGGAAGGATCTTCGAGTCATGCATGCCGCGGGCATACAACACCACCGGGGCTGCCACCTTCAACAGTCTCCTATACATTGTCGCGCTGATGCAAGCTGCTGAAGTATGCACTTTTGTGGGGAGAAAGGATACCGCACAAGAGTATACTGCTCGTGCGGATACTCTGCGGAACGCTGTGAACAGTCATTGCTACGAAGACGGGCTTTATCTGGACGGCCCTTCGACCAAAGAATATAGCCAGCACAGCCAGGTCTTTGCCATTCTATCTGACAGCATCACCGGGACCGCAGCCAAGGAGCTCATGGCCCGGACATTAGAAGACACATCATTGGCAAAGTGCTCTTATTCGATGAAATTCTACCTCTTCCGTGCTGTTGAGAAAGTCGGGTTGTACACACAGTCGTTCTCCAATCTGATTGACCCGTGGAGAAGTATGATTGCAGATAACCTAACCACATGGGCTGAGTTTGAGCAGAATGCTCGAAGTGATTGCCACGGCTGGAGCGCAAGTCCAGTGCACGAAATCGTCACTCAGGTATTCGGCATCTCGCCCGCGCTACCCGGATTCAAGAAGATTCGCATTGCGCCTCAAATGGGGCTTTTGGAGTCTGCCCAAGGAACGTTCTTTACTCCGGTGGGAGACGTTTCGGTATCCTGGACAAAGGACGGAACCCTAGAGTTGAAGGCTACTGCAGATGTTGAAGTGGAACTTGTGCTTGATGGGATCTCGTCAGACCAGCAACTAGAAAAGGGCAAGGCGATTGCTTTCCCTCGGAAGACAATCCGATGCTAAATGGCCACGGGATAGTTATGACAACACCTGTTAGATATGCACAATTATAGAGTCCTCTAGCTAGTGTTATGATAAATGTATATTGTATAAAGATTGACAATATTGCCCTAAGTAGTACATAAGGCCCTACTCCGGTGCTCCTAAGTGTGGAATACCCGTGCATACTGATTTTAGGTGTCTCTAAACATCACTAAAGTGGAATATCGGGACCTTCCGAGAACTATTTCGTTCACCGATCGATACTGAAGAGGATGATAAGGAGCAATACTCGGATATCCCATCAGCGTGCCAGGATAGGAAACTAAAAGCCGTCTTGCCCGGCTGGACCTGATTCTACCTGATCCCCTGGCAAGCCAAGCCTCGGTCTATCGGCCCCACTCAAGTCCGAAGTTTCCCAAACCCGGGCCGAATCCAAGCAAGATAGACAGCTAGAAATTTACAACTTCGGCATCATCTTGTAAGCCTCGTTTGGTTTTTTTTTCTGTGATCATTTCTCCCCAATGTTGATTGCAATGTCCCTAATAAGTCTCCGGTGAAAAATAATGCACAACAGTCAACCTCGGGATACAAATTATCTCCACTGTCCATTGTCCACTGTCCACTGTCCACTATCCACTTGCCACCCCTTCCCCGGGATAGCCGAGCACGGTTCGGTTTATCGTCCCCCGAATTTCGCTTCACTGTGGGTCGGGACGACGACGCTCCCCCACAACTTGGGGAAAGACCGGGGGTTCCTTCAAATGCATGTGTCTAGGATTCCCCAAAAACCCCCAGGTTTTCGTCCGTGGATTCTGGAAGCTTGCATCGAAACTCAATCACGAAGAAGATGGACACTCGCGACACGAAATCAAACTCTGCCCATCTGGAAAATGTCCCTGAAGAGTCAACAGAGTGCGAGACATCGCCATGGAAGTGTCTAGCCCAGAATCCCTGGGTCATTCTATTCTGTCTCTATGGCAATCTCGGCGCGTTGATGTACGGGTTTGACAACCTGGTGTTGTCTCTAGCATTGTCCATGCCCGGGTTTGAGTGAGTATTGCCAAAGTTCAATCTAGGTTTTGATTGATCGTGCTGACAAGGTTTTAGAATTCAATTCGGCGAGCTCAGCAATGGATCATATGTTATCCCGGCGTATTGGCAGTCCCTATGGAGTGCCATGTCCCAGGTCGCCACGATGCTGGGAGCTACCATCGCTGGACCGGTGCAGGATCACTTCGGTCGTCGTGCTGCCTTCCTACTGGGCGCGATCGTCTCTGCTGCAGGTGTTGCCGTTGTCTATACGGCATCAACTCCGGGAGTTTTCCTCGCAGGAAAGATCGTGAATGGTCTGTCCCTTGGTATTTGTTTGACAACTGGTCAGACATACATTTCGGAAGTGACTCCAATGCAAATCCGTGGCATTGCCCTGTCTGCTTTCACATTCTGCATGGTAAGAGCGTTCTCTGACGGGAGGCTGGGTTTAACTCTTATACTGATTCTGAATAGAACCTTGGATACATGATTGCAGCTTCTGTTGCGTTGCCCCGTATGTCAATGGTAACAACATCTGCATACAAGGTACGCCCCTTCAATCTCTAGAAACTAATTCAGAGAGATCCGCAGAACCAAGGAATGTATTCTGACGTCTCATTTCATAGGTTCTGTTTGCCGCCGCATGGGTCTGGCCAGGTGTCATCCTTCTTTTGCTTCCACTGATTCCCGAGTCGCCCTACTTCCTCGTCATGAAGGACCAACTTGACAAGGCCCAAACCTCTCTCAAGAAACTAGGCAATGAGTCTTCGCAGGTCGTGCCCCTTTTGGATCAGATTGTCCGTGTCAACGAAGAGGAAAAGGCCCGAAGCGCTGCCGCCAAAGGAGCCAGTTTCCTTGAATGCTTCCGCGGTGTCAACTGGCGACGTACCAGGATCATCCTTATCTGCAATGGCCTGTCGCAGATTATTGGAGCCAGTTTCATGTCGAACGGGCCTTATTTCCTTGTCTCGGCGGGCATGTCTTCGGCTAAGATTGGCATGATGACCGAGATTGGCATTGGCTTTGGTCTCGCTAGCTCAATTCTGACTGCCTACCTCATGGCGAAATGTGGACGCCGAAGACTCATCATGTTCGGTCTGTCTCTTTCGACCGTTTTCTACACCGTGATGGGAATTGCCGGGTGCTTCCCGAACTCGAGCACCGCCTTGTGGTAAGTGTTATTGACATCGCTCGATCCGAGCCTTCTCACTTCTAGAGAAGCCATTTATTGAATTTGAGCCAACGCTGACAATTAATCAGGGTCATCGGTGTCTTCCTCGAGCTAACCTGGTGGGTTTATGGCCCAGCCATCGGCCCAGCCATGTCGATAGCCGGAGAAGTCTCTGCAGTTCGTCTTCGTGCTAAGTCTATGGCTGTTGGATTCACCTTCAACTACTTCTTCTCTACCGTATGGAATGTTGTGATGCCGTACCTGTACAACACAGATGAGGCGCATCTGGGTGGCAAGATCGGATGGATCTTCGCTGGCTTAGGCGTTATTACCTTGTTCATCATATACTTCGAGGTCCCCGAGACCAAAGGCCGGTCCTTTGAAGATCTGGATGAGATGTTCAATGAGAATGTCAGCACTCGGGCATTCCGGACATACCGGTGCTGTCCACCTCAGGTGCTGCGGAAGATTGACGAAGAGTAGAGTTATTGGCATTTGCGCTGTCTTATGAGGTATATAGATTTTTACAATACAGTCACGACATATTGAAGCACAGGCTGCATATCTACTCTAGCTGGCTTAGTTAATGTTATAGAGTCCAGAAGACTGTTCATGTCAGTAGGAATGGTCGTCCTGTAGACGATCCCCCTCAAACAACATTTGCCCCATCTTATCTCATGCAACTACGCTAGAGAAATTCGGATCCTTAAAACTCCTGATGAATAGCAATTCGTTCACTATGAATTCGAGTTGAGTCAATAATCTCCTATGTTTTGATTCATCTATGGAGAGCTATGTCTAGACTAATATCACCACGCGTGTAGATCTCCACTGGAGTCTCTCGCTATCTACGTAGCCAACGTACAGTCCCTCGATGACAGCCAATTTTGGATCGAAGGTAGGGTATATCGAGTAGAAGACGTAGATCGCTAATTACTTTATTTCATTCATTTTCGGCACATGCATCAACATACGAATATAGCTGAATTAAGTAGATCAGCTCATTCACCGCTGGATAGTCAGGCATCGACGGGACGGGGACTACACCGACACCAGCTGCACAAATATGCACTGTTTCTCTTTTCGAACAAGGAAAATCACGCATAATATACTCGCACAAAGAGTTTCAGGATCTAAGACAATGTTCATTGTGGAGTTTTAAACAATATCAGATCACCCAATATCCACCGTCACGACGCCAATCCCGAAGCTAGGGATAGCGATCACAGCACGCGTACCCCACGATAGTATGCACCAGAGAAACGACTCTATAATCTTGCGTAAAAAGAAAATTCCCCTCAAATTTCTCAACAGATTTACATGCACGATCATCACTTCATCCTCAATGGCCAAATATTCTTCTCACAATAGTCCTGACCGACTCGAATATTAACGTGGTATCCCAACATTCGAATCTCACATTCCAATGCATCCTGTGCACTGCACTGCAGCACCATGCGCCGAGCCCACAGCAAGCATTCCTCATTCGGACGTTGCGTCGACAAAAGGAACCCCAATTCGATCATGTACTTTCTAAAATTCCATCCCGTCTAGGAAATAAGGTAGAAAGTCGAGAAATATCCAAGAGAAGCCAGATTCTGTAGACTGCATACCCATGAATGTGCAGAATAGTATAGACTTCCCTTCCCCAAGAAGCCGGCGACATGCGCACAGACATGCCAACACAACACGCGGCAGGGATCCAACTGGTCGGGTATTGCTTAGGAATGTTGAGGATAATCGTGTATGAACAGGATTGCTGTCTAAGACGTTTTGCAGCGAGGCTAATAATCGTGGTGAGCATGCAGCGTGTGAATGGGGCCTGACTTTAATGACTACGGAGTATTTTTTCCTAAATCTATACCCGTACAAAAGTACAACTTAGATAGGCACGCAAAACATAATCAAACAGGCAATCTCAAAAAAGCAGGTCCAAACCACCAGAACAAACCAAGGCATTGTGCAGATCCCGTGCAAAAGCAAAAGAAAAAAGTCCTCAATAGCGTGGCCGGATCGCTTTTCCGAGCCGAGTTCCAGGACGACGACTAACTAGAAAGAAAAAAGCAAAGACAAAAGGATGTACGCACCGCGTTTATAATCTATAATCTATCCAAATTCTGGATTAAATACTGTCTCTAAAAACAGGGCTATAATAATAATAAGAAAGGCAAGAGCCTGGGTTTTTTTTGGCGCCGTGTAACCGCGTGCTTCAGAGTCCAAGCAGTGAAGGTCTAGCAGAGAGTGGAGCACATAATTTCAAATTATTGTAAACGAAACTTGGAAATCAAGTCCGGAGATCGAAATTAGTGAGTAAATGGTATTCCAATGTAACATTATGGGAAGGAGCAATGATTCAATCAACTCTAAGGAGCAAGTAGTTCATGGGCTAGACTCCAACCAGGTGGGAGGCCCGGTATGCTCAATCATACGAACTGTGTAGGGTTCAGCCCCAGATTTGGGAAATTCGATATGCACGGCCGATCAGGAGAAGTAAGCGAGAGTATGAATTTTCCGTTCTAGACTCGGCCCTCGGTATGAGTAAACATCAGGGGATCAACCAGTTCATCCGATCGGCTCAAAGGTCCAAGCCATAACCGCCAGCCCCGGAGAATGATAGTATGCAAGAGACCCGATCTGGGTGGCGAGGCACGTATACACAAGATCCCACCAGCCCAACTGCTTGTCAAACTCAGAAAGGTTGCGACTAACAGGTTTGGCCAGTCCGAGCGGCGGGCTATGTACCTGGTAGAAGATTGATGTAGCCAACTCCTAAAATGGAAGATTGGAGAGGCGAATCGAGAAGGCCCCAAGTACTCCACATGACTCTACGGAGATGCCACAGGGAACAATAAGTCACGGATAAAGTTACGTGGCGCAAACCAGGCCAAAGCAAATCCGATGGTCAAGCCATTTGACCGATATGATCATTCGCGTTAGCCTACCGTGTGCATGTACGAGGGAACGGGCACGACCACGACTGTAACTCAACGAGAACGAGGGATCCTGGAAAAAAGCGAGCGACGAAAATAGCGAAGATCAGAGCACCCAAGAGTGATGATGCCACAATTAGTTCCTGAAACAGGGGAAACCGCAAATAGGAGCCAAGGCTCGGGACTGGATGGTAGAGAACACGCATGGAAAGGCGAAGAAAGGGGATGATCAAAGTGGCGGAAATAGCAGATGCAGCCAACGAGATGATGCATACAGTAGTACAGTACCACTAATAGTAGTAATAGAAAAGTAGAAGTACTCCATCCAAGTCATCTCAAAGCCGACAAAGGCCCGAGAACAGCCCTCCTCCATCTGGCAGGAGTCAGGACAAAGCTCCAAAGCTAATTATCGACGAGGCCCACAGAAGCAAAGAGTCCTCGGATCTAGGCACAGCCTACAATATGAAAAGCTCCGGTCCAAAAGAAAGGAAACCAGATAGATCGGATGGAGAGATCCACGAACGGCGGAAAATTGTACAAGTGTCAAGAGGGGAACTAGAAATTTAGATCGGACTGGCGGGAGGCGGTTGTGATGTGTAACATTTGCGCTCGGAGGCTCCAGGAACCGTGGAACGGGGGCCTAGTAAGATTCAATGGACTGTATGCGAGGATGGGCCAAGAATAGGCTGTCAGATTCATGGAAGAGAGGCAAAAATGATTCGATTTTTGGAGCTGTTGAAACTGTTTAGAGTCTCGATAGGACGGGTAATAGTGTTCGTGGTGTGGCAGTTATCGGTGGATCTTGAAGGATGCTAGTTTTCCGAGTGGGTAGTGGGGGGCCTAGCCAGGATAATTTGACAAGTCTTGTGTGGAGTCTTTCAGGTAGATAATCATCAGGAATAGAAGGATGAATTACAGAGGCGGAGACTACTATGTTCTTTGGATGATAAGCAGGGAAATCAAGTAAATTTCGGGATCTGGAAGTGGAATAGAAAACATCTCTCGTCTTTTTTTCATATTATGCCGTAAAGTAATGATAAGCAATGGTGATACACGCGACAGAGATGAAGTCAGTCAGAAAAAAGAAAACGTTGTAGCTGATTGTACAAGATCGCCCATTCCTCCCAAGTGATTATCCCACAGGCGATCGAAACCAACAATATAATATGCAAACGCCGTTCAACACAAAACTAAGCAGATTCCCACCCCAAGGCCCTTTTCGCCCCAACAAATTATGCATGAAGAGAAGAATGAATAAAAATAAGTAATCACACGGAGTGGTCTTCATCAAACCGGAAGACCATATACAACGCCGTTGCGGCCAATAGTGGTTGGCCGGGTGTAATGCCGATGGGTGGCAACCCATTCTCCTCCAAGGGTATCATTGTCTAGCCTCGAAAGGCCGTGAATTTGGTCAGTTGTTTTTTTGGTGTTTGAATGCTTTTTTTTCTTGAATCTTTGACGTCTTGAGATTCCGTATTCGTTTAAAATTGTTTGCATTGTGTCGGTGGGATTCGCATGGTTTGGTGATAGATGTTTTTTTTGGTTTTGTTTTTGTGGTGCTTCACCCGATGACCGAGACTTTGCTTTTTTGTAGTGGCTGTTGGTGCATCTAATCATCCCAGCTATCAACGCTGATGTCGCAATCAGGAATTTCCTCTAGTTTGGACCCGTAAATGGGACGCCCATCCTGGGTCAGCTGGCCACGGAATTCAGGATTGTAATCCGGGCTAGTCTCGTCGAGGGTGGAAACATAGCGGTTGCGACCGCCCCGCTTGCTGTGGGTTTTGGTATAGTGCGCGTTGAGGTTGTCGCTTCGGGAGAAAGCACGATGGCAACCAGGCACCCAGCACACATGGGGTTTCTCCTTGGAATGGCTCTTCATGTGACGCTTCAAGTGCTCCTGGCGCTTGAAACGGCCCTTGCAGCCAGGCTCCTTGCACTTGAACTGGACCTGCTTGATGACTGCGGGCAGATTCTCCAGACTCAAGTTGGAGCGGAGGAGCTGCTTCTTTGACGGCTTGCGAGATGGTTGACGGTGTGTGCGGATCATGTGGCCATCCCTGTACACTGGTGATGGTGGGAATTCCTCTTGGTACTCAATGTGGCCGGACATACGGCTGTTTGGAGTATCACTGCCGGGAGTTCCCAAAGACATTGATCGCACCGGGGTAGTAGGGGTGTGAGGCTTGAAGGTTTGGAGACTGGCGGGGAACTCGGAGTAGCTGGAAGAGGGGGGTGTGACAGGGCCAGCCAGGGTCTGTGCGGGAGTGATGGTCGGTGGCATAGACTCTGTGGCCGCCATCCAAGGCAACATGTTTGCCATGGATGCAGAGTTGGGAAGACGTTCAGGCTGGTTGAACATGGGACGGGAGAGACAAGGGTTGGATGCGGACTCGGGCAAGTATGCCGCGTGAGTTTGCGGGCGATAGTAATGGTTGCGTCCCATCGTGTGGTGATATTGGGTCATGGGCGCTTGGTAAGGGAATGTGGGTTGCTCAAAGGTCTTTGGAATTGAATCATGAGGGATCCAGAACTGATCGACGTTCTCGTCGTAGCCGGAGAGGTACTCGGCGGTCATGGGGATCTGGTCCTGGCGTTCCAAGCTCCCAACAGGCATGCCGATACCCTCGGCTGCTGGGAAGTCCGACATGCGGAAGGCACTTCGCAGGGGCGTCGCAGAAGCCCGTCGCTCCATAGGTAAGCCGTGATAGGTGCCGGTTTCGTGCCAGCCTGGTGATGCCAGAGAACCTTGGCTATAGAGGCTAGTGGGGGTGGGAGTCGGAGACTCTAAAGGAGAGAAACTCGAAGTCATCGAGGGGCATTCGCTAGGCCCCAGAGAGTGGCAATCAACCTCAACAGTCAGGCGATCAGAAATCCGCTGTCCCTGAGATCTCATTTCGTCGAAATCTTCGGTCTTGAGGTCTCGTTGGGTGACAGTGTCGACAATAGTATCACCTGTATCAAGGAAAATCGAGTTTAGTCCACTATACTAGTGGAGTGTAAGGGAATGGAGGGTTGGTAATTGATTGGGTAGGAAAGTATGCGAAGGATCGGATGCAATGGAATGGAAAGGATAATAGAACGATGGACTTGGAGTAACAAGGGACGGTGAACGAGGGTCGGAAATAGAGAACGAGGACGATGACACAAAGGAAGAGCTCAGGCACGAGGGAGTGATGCCTGGCAATGACACAAGGATTGGAAGAAGAAAGAATGTCGAGGGCCTTGGAGGAAAGGAATAGATAGAAAGAAGAAGGGAGAATGGAGGGACAAACGAGCAGAAATAAACAAATTGGGCCAGCATAGAATCCCGGGTGGGGAATCGGACTTACAGCTATACGCCATGACTCGGATGAGATCCAAAGGCGCCCGCGTCGCGTGCCGGAGGAACGCTTCACGCAAGGCCAGGAATGCAGAACAATAGCCTCCCTCTGTTACCGCGGCAAAGGGCTGGGTTTGTGGAGGAGGGGGTTCAGATAGCCGGTTCGTGGACCCCGGCTTCAGGTCTCTTGGGAATAGAGAAGCACCAATTGCACGAATAGAGTGGCGAAGCTACTCTCGAGACTCGTGGCTGGAGAGGGGCAGCCAAGGTACGCGGTTTCAGTACCTTCGATAGGGTCGTGATAGTTTCCCTGGAGAACGACCCTGAGACGCGGTGGTTGGACGTGATGGTAGAGTCAAGAGGGGGGATAAGTTTAAAGAGAGGGGAGGCTGGGTCTCAGATTAATTGATGGGATCGCTCGGGAAGGGACGATGGTAGGTGGGCTGGATGGTATAAAAGACTTTTTAAGCGTATTAATTGTTCAGAGACACCGGCAAGGAGGATTTGGTGGGTTGAGATGGTGGGTTAGTGAGACGAGAAGGGGCGGGTTTATAGTTCCCCAGCCAGGGCATGGAAGCTTGTTCCTGGAGAGCGAAGAGACAAGAGAAAAGAGACCTCGAGATCGACAGGATCGATTGCCTCATCCCTAACTCTGATTTCCCTTTTTTTGTTATTATTATTATTATTATTTACTGAATTCTGATTTATGGTTTGTGGTTTATGGTTTATGGTTTATGCTTGAAGAAATCAAATATTTAATGAGGATCATTATCATGATCATGCGAATCATGATGATCAGACCGCATAATTTGAATTTTAAAATAATTTTAGGATTTTAGGATGAAAACGACCTTCAATCGGCATCTGTCTTCTCACTGAACCACTACGGAGACTGTGGGGACGAACTCCATGTCCGATCTCACAGGTACAATCAGAGAGTGATCCATAGGGGACCCATAGGGGACCCATAATTACCCTATGGGTACCTATAGGTGCCCATAGGTGCCCATAGCTATCATCGCCGGTCGAAGAGCCAGTTGGGACCGGCAGCTACTGGAATGCCCGGCTGTGTCTCTTGCGTTCCGCGCAATGTGAGTAGAGTCTATTTTCGCTGTTGACATGCAGGTTGGGGAGTCGTTGGGTCTCGAAATGGTCCCCCAGATTTTCCCTTTTTCCTATTGGTTTTGATTTTTCCCTTTTCCCTTTTCTACCTAGTGTCCATCATTTTGTCATATTACCAGCTCCAACAGTACTGGATCTTAGTCATGCTTTAAGTTTGCTTTTCTTTTTTGTACCGATTGAGGGCGTCGATCCTCCCCGGTGCCCTAATAATAAATACAATAAATCCCTAACTCTGCGACAGAATTCACTAACCACTTCAGTAAATGTCGTACCTTCGTTAGAACTACACCAGATCGACCATCGCCCCACTCTCCCCGTTCGAGAGGGCCACTGCAGAAAGAAGGAATTGTCTTGAGCGAAGTCCTTTTGAGACAGACACAAGCAGGCCAAAATCACAATTCACTGGTGCTAGATAAACTAAACTCTGGACCAATTCCATAGTGAATAAAACAAATTATCTTCTCGATTATTCAGAGGGTCTCCCACTCCGCCAATCTGAGCTCAGACGTTTGTGGCGGGTTCCCAAGTGGGGGCGTTGATCGATCGTATCCAGCCCAGGCTCGATAGGTCAGACGTTGTACAGAGTAGTACCTGTTGTACATGCAGACTTGCTTCCCAGCTGGGCTCGAGTCTCTGCCGGTCTGTCCCAGTCGGGTCTAGTCTGCTTCGCCCGGGGATCCGCAATAAAAGCAAACTGGCCATATCCCGGTCGTGGGGAGTGTAGCATCATAAATTCCAGTACATCGGTCGGGCTATTCTCCGCGTGCTTGGGCCATGTTGAGTCCCTTTCGGTCCCTCTCGAGCCTCTCAAAACTCATCACATACTTCCCATCGTCCCAAGCAAAAGCTACTCGCGGGCTCCGGGGTATGGATCGCCATCTCATAAGGCTATCGATTCAAAGTACTCTCTACTCAACCAACTCCTCAATGTGCCATTCAGATTAACGTGACTAGTGAGACGATCATCATACGTCCGATTATAATTGGCCGGATGAAGATTTCCACGAAGTTGCTATTATTATACAGTAGTCCTCTCTCTCAGAGTCGAGACCCTACAAAGTACTCCGTACTATGTATTTCGTACAGCCCGCTCATGACAAATAAGCCAATTAAGCCAAAAAGCCCCGGTCGCCCACCTTCATCATCCGGCATGATTGGAATGTGCAAAGAGTGCAAATCTGCAGACAAGATGGACCCTGGACTTTGTCTCCGTCAGTAGTGCCATCGGTAGACAAACCACCGAGACTGAACGGGCGCGGGGTATGGTCAATGATCTCCCCATACACTCCGTACTTTCATGGTTCTCTTTTTACCTTTCGCTACGGGGCTGCCGAGCGAATGGACCGCTTCGCTCAGGGACCACCGTCCAAACTATCCAGGGAGCTAGTTGTGGACCTGCATCTGACTCTACGGGATGTTTCTGATCCATCGCCCGTCAGTCAAGACCCGAATAGACGGAACTTGCTCTGGTTGGAGCAGACGAGCAGACGAGCAGACAGCTTTGATGTCCACGGACTTGGCCTGGCGAGACTTTTGTTCAATACCAGTATTTCGGGATTCCTGTGTGGCTAATGACCAGGAACTGCCAGTAGCTCCCGGGATTTGCATGCATTTCGCATTCTTCTTCAAAAGCCGCGAGCAAGTTCCTCGATCCTAATCCCAAGCCACGCAAGTCGGTGGCAAAAGAAAAATGGTATTGGGATCCTCGTCATGCGAAACACACGTACAGCTTTCTCTTCCCCTCATTCCAAAGTACCCAGTGTGTTTTGCTTTCCTCCCCGTGCCGGACTTGCACCTGGAACAGATGCAGAATGGGGATTATCATAACGGATTCAGTTTCCCCAGTATTTTCGCCTCCGACCGGGACAAGCCCCCGTGCTGCGTGTATCACATTGCCGACCCATAGACAATAGACACGGCAGGTTGAAGGAAACAGGGAAATCTGCCTTCTACTCCATCTCCCTTCTGCTGTGTGCCCTGAACCACGCAACTACTAGGCCCATTAGCCTCCAATAGACGAGCGCCTGCTCCTATGGCCTTCCACGGTAGACAGCCGAATTCTGACAGCTCTCACTCGCTTCATAGCCCCATTTAGGGCTGTGATTCGTGGCGCTTGGTCAATTAGTCGAACTTTATTATTATTGACGACTGAGCCACAGTACTAAGCCCCGATCCATGTCATACTTAGATGCAGCCGCAAATTAGCGTCGGGGTACTCCAAAGGGGGCTTTTTGTTTGTTTCTTTTTTCTTCGGGCGAAAGGACCTAGAGTTCGGGGATGAGAGCCAACCTGGTGGTTCAGCAATGTAACTAACAGGTTATCGATAGGCCCAACCTTCCGGCCTATGGGGTTGGTGGATTCAGGGGACTTTGGGACTCTGGGGCTCGGACAATGCCTGTCGATCATGTTTCTCTTTCGGTCTCTCATGCCGTTCCGTGAAGATCCCCTCTCGACTGTCAGATCCAGACGATCTGGTCTAATCCAATTTAGTGATCAGCCAGCCAGTTCCAAGCCCCACCAGGCTTGCTGTTCGTCTCTCTCCATCTGTACATTCCATGTTTTCTACTACAGTATCCCATATCTCATATCTCACAATTATCTGCTATATTGAGTGCCCACACACAATGGCTACCACGAGGGCGATGGCCGCAATAATGTTTCATGCATGGTGGCGGCAAAATTGGGCTTCTAGTCTTGTGCGAAGCAATACTGGTATCAATAATGCTACCCAGGATATGTAAACCGGTTTGCAATCCCCGCAGGGACTATTGTATTTTGTCAAAGCCCAGGATCCATGAGAGTCTCAAGATTCAATTGGTGCCGAACTCTATACCCGTGTTTGTTTAGTTGTTTCCATAACAAGTTCAGCCCTATGTTCGTTTCGATTAGGGTCAGCATTTTTAGTTCATATTGAGCTCAATCTTGACGTGAGAACCATCCTCTGGATATCATACAACTTTTGCTGGCCTTCACTACACATCGAAGAGCCATTCAAATCACAGTGCTCCTACCAAGGCATTCAGAAGCACAGGCCTGGTTTATCCGCAAGGGCCGGCCGAGAGCTGGAGAGTTCCCTCAGAAACACCGAGGACCCCTGCGTCCAAAGGGATGACTTACTTGGATCTTCTTGTACTGGCTAATCACCTCAAGCTGCCAAGACCATGCTTAGGCTCCTCTTGTCATGCTTGGCAACGCTACAGCTAGCCACATTTGCACTGGACAACGGCGAAAGGGCTTGAGACCACATAATCTCGGTCTAGAGCTCGAACGTACCTTACTGAATGGGATGTGGCAAGGCCGCGGAGAAGGTTTGAATAGTTCGTCCATAGAGATCCGAGCTCTTCTGTTGCATTGAGTCATGCCATTTGAAGTAGCCTTATGTCCAAGCCATCGCATGGCTTGGGACCGCCACAAGTGGCGATTTGGGTGGCTTGTTCGGGGAGATTGGGGGC